GCTGGGCTGATGAACGGTGCAGAGAATTGCCTGACCAGAATCAGCCAACTTGCGGAGAAACGAGCAAATGGCCCATGAACTCTGGGAATCGAGACCGCTGGTTGGCTCGTCGAGAAAGAGGAGTAGCTTTGGCTTGGCGGCGAGCTCGACTCCGATGGTGAGCAGTTTTCGCTGTTCGACATTGAGGCCTTCGCCTGGGACACCGACGACCGCGTTTGCGAATTCTTCCATGTTGAGCATCTTGATGACTTCTTCGACGAATGCATATTTCTCTTCCTTGCTGACGGATTTGGGCTGGCGTAGCATGGCACTGAATCGCAAGCTCTCACGGACTGTGGCGGTTTCGAGATGTAAATCTGGCCCTGTAGTTAGTAATTGTCATGGAGAACTCCGGCTCATCTTGAGGCTTACCTTGTTGTTGGACATAACCTGTTTTCCTTTGGAAGCTGGGATCGCGCGGCCTGCCATTTACAAGCATATCGCCGGTAATGACACCCATCGTCGTTCGTTGCGCGAGCACATCGAGAAGAGTCGTCTTACCAGCACCCGAGACTCCCATTAGTGCAGTCAAAGTGCCTGGCTTGACCCAGCCAGATACATTATCCAGAAGCCTGCGGTCCTCGCCTTTGATCTTGATGTCGTAAACAACGTTCCTCCATGTGAAAATGTCCCGCTGCGGCTCTAATCCGCCAACATTGGAGTCGGCAGTATCGTTTCCATGTCCGCCTTTTTCATCAACCACAACATCAGTCCTAGCAGGGCCGGTATTTCCCTTCAAAAGATGTGCAGGAACGTGACCGCGTCGGAAAACAAGAGCTTCGGCGGTGCTCGACGTTGAAGAGTTCAGCTCCGTAGCGGTAAAGTATACGGCCATGAAGAAGAACAGGAAGCCCAGCAGAATACCAAAGTTTCGCCACACATGGGAATAATAGTACTCGTAGTTTGTCGCAATGAAGGCATCTCCGCTCACGGTCGCGCTGCCTGCGACAGCACCGGCTACGGGGCAAATCCAAGAATCGCCGACCTGAGGGCTGTATGGGGGAACGAAGCTGGCGCCGCAGGGAAAGTCCTGGCCGTGGAATTCGTTGGCGACGAGGATTTCAAAGGCGTAGTAGATTGGATTGATCCATCGAATCCAACTAAACCAGGGATGCATCGAGGGCACTGTGATGGTGAAACCGGTGTAAATGACGAGAGCGAGAACCAGGATTCCTGCAAGTGACATGGCCTGAGAGACAGTTTTGGTGATTGCAGCCATTGTTCTGAAAATCGCGCTCATGACAAAGATTGAGATGTAACCAATGAGATAGTAGATGAAAAACTGCGATGGTTCCCTTCTCAGTCCGGCCATAAAATAGAGGATAATGTTAAAGACGGTAGCAGTGATGAACTTGATGGGAATATCGGCAGCGATACCCGCAGCTGCTTCGGTAGCTGGATGATAGAAGGCATACGAAGCATGTTTCTCGACAATAGGCCGTTGCGCATACAAGCTGTTGATTTCGGAAATCGCCGTCAAGGCGTTTAGCAAAATGGCGATGAACAAAACTGAACCTTTGGCAAAGAAACCGTCCGTGTTGGCGGGGGTGTCGAAGAATATAGAACCAATGATGAGAGCCATGACGATTTGGACCACGGTAGACGCCATGGTGGCAGACCAGTTGTTCCATATGCGCTGATATGCACGCTTGGTGTTGAATCTGATTTGCATCGGAATGCTGATGATGTAAGGCGACTTGGGCCGCATTCTCTTGGCCTGTCTGAAGTTTTTCTGCTGTCGGAAGTGCGCAAGAGTCTCTCCCTGGCGCTCGCCGCCGAATTCCTCCTCGTATTGATCGAGATCATCTTGTAAGGCTTTGAACTCGGGGGATTGCAGCCAAAGTCGCTCAAAGTCTTCTGGAGTTCGAGGCACTCTCATTTCCCATCCCTCGCGAGCCTGGCGCTCCACGGGATTCGTAACCGAGGTCAAGAAGTCTCCAGTTGTCTGGCGTGGGGGGCAGTACCAGCCCTGTTTCTCGAAATATGCCTTTGCTTGGCTTGCTGGTCCAAAGTAGATCTGACGACCTTCGTATAGTACCGTGGCTTTATCAAAGAGGTCGTAGATGGCCTGGCTGGCTTGATAGATGGCAACCGCGTGAGCATGGTTGCCGAGATCGGCAGATGTCCGCAATGATTGAACGAATTTGAATGCCGTTGCCGAGTCGAGTCCGCGGGTGCTAGCAATTCTTGATTAGACATATATTGTTTGGTACACGTGTAGATGAACATACCTGTTGTCCCAAGAAGAAAACGGTGAGCCGGCCAAAACCATCTCTGCAATACTGACACGCTTTCTTTCGCCTCCAGACACTCCTCGGATGAAATCATCGCCGACTTTGGTATTGTACGTGTGCGTGAGTCCGAATACGGCCATGACGACTTTGGCAATGTAGCGACAATATTCAGCTCGAGGCATGTCATGAACACGATGAGACGGTGTTCTAACCGAAGCTGCAAATTCGAGTGTTTGGCCAACGGTAAGATGAGGAAAGTGTTTATCAACCTATCCATTTGAATTTAGCCATCAATCCATAACAAAGTGTCTTGTGCAAATTCGTCCAAGTCGAGCATACCTCTTGGTTGTAAATGGCCTCACCCCTGAATTCCTTCTTCATCTGCTTCTGCGGGATGCCGTTGTAGCTAATGTTTGAGCTTTCTCCAAGGTTTAAGCCATGCAACTCGCCACAAACAGACTTGAGAAGTGTACTGCAGCCAGAGCCAGGTCGTCCAAGAACAACTAGGAGCTCTCCGCTCTTGACAAGTCCATTGAAATTGTTCAGAATATGCTTTGGCTCCTTTTTGCCAAAACTGAAGAACTCTCCGATCCTCAATGGTGCCATCAGAACATCTCCCACCGTCTGCTGGAGCTGAATTGCATCTCCAGACCCAAAAACATCGAGATTTCGAAACGAGACACCGATTTGTCGATCTGAAAGGCCCTTTTCACTGAGTTCTCGGATAAAGTGTTGTAGCCATTTCGGTAAATCAAATTCGCGGCGATCGGGGTCGAGGGTGGCATCGTATTCTTCAACGGCACCGAGGCCAACCGATTGACGACGAGTGGGAGCAGCAACATTAGACTGGCGACGAGATAGAGCAGTAGCAATGCGTTTGAGTTCAGTTCTGTCATCCTGTTCCATTATAGACTCTCCACCATATGTATTAGAGCGACTCAGGGCTGAGGGAAAGGTGCTGGCGTCATTGTCGGAATCTCTCGAGTGAGTTTCGCGGGGACTCCTCCTTGCTGAAGACTCCCCTTCTTCGTCATCGCTTTCTGAAGTGTTGAGATATCGATTGTCATGGTCAATAGGAGTCTCGATCCTTTCCAAGTTCCCATCCACAGCCTCCTTGGCGTCTTCGTTGTGTGCCATTTTGATTGATTAACTGAATGGCCCCACCAAGTTCACTGAGGGAGCTGAGAGTGACGACGTTGAACAGCATGAGACATGAACTCTGTATAAGTAGCAACCAGTTTACACGCCATTGATAACCTTAAACCGGTGCAAGTCTGCAGTAACCCGAAATCGGGCTCCCGGAGTATTGGCCATGCCAGCGCTTGGCAGCAAGTCAAAACCTTACGGGGCCAATGGCTTGCATAGCCAACAAACGAGCTTCTGCACCGTGCGCATCTCAAGCTGTAGATCCCGAGTAAGGGCTGCTACACTGCCCTATGGCGAGCCCCTATGAGAGAAGCCTTTCGTAATACGCAGTGCAAGTTGTCGGGTTGGCGGACTTTGAAGATCCCGCCCCTGTAGCCAAAGTCCGTCAGGCGGCGGGGCATTACCGGCGATACGCCGTCCAGCTTGAGACACTGCATTCCAACTGCTTTACTGCTATCTCCTTGATAATTTGATAGTTGATTGTATGCTTTATGTAAGGCATTGTCCATCTGTTAATTGGCATCGCATACGGACAAGTCTCAAAGTCAATTACTTCTAGCGACTGGTGATGATACTGCGCTTATACAGGCCTCGGCTTTCATATGCGATGGCTCATGCGGCCAGCAGCTCATTTCAGCTACTCTCGTGCACTGGGACACAACACCCTCAATTCAGGCGATTTGCAGCGGCGCGAGCCTGTGGCTTCTGAATAGCGGCAGACGGCGCTGAGTCTGTTGAGCCTCCAAGTTGCGGATTGGCTCGTCAAACTAGAGTTTGAAACCAGCGCGCACGCCGAGAGAGCTGAAACTACTGCATTGGATGCGCCCGAGAGGCCAGATGTTCGGACCCTTGCAAGCACCCGTTGCCCTACTTGAACCTGTATATACGTGTATTGTGTGATTGCAGTTCCGTATGCATCCCATCGTCATTGCCGCGCGGGCCTCCTAAATCTTAGCGCTGGCTGTCTTTACGCAAACGGCCGTTGTAGAGACATCCGTCGATCATAGTAGCATAGCATAGCCGCCGAGTTCCGCAGCCAGAGCAAACAGAAAGAAGAAAGTATGTGCATGTGAGGATTGAAGTCTCGTGCTGAATCTTCAAGCAGCGACGCGACTCGCCGAGCGCGCGCCACGGCACCATTGTGGCCAACGGCCAGTCTTTTTTCAAACTTCAGTGTCTAGAATTCAATTCAAAGTGAAGACGAGCGGGTATGTGAGGGTCCTGACCAAAAACGCAGCAATCCATCGTAGAAAGGCAGTAAAGAATCGCTATACGTTTGCACTTGCATGCACAAGTTAACCGAGTCATCTCTCAATGTTTTAGCGTCAACGTTGAATAAGAAGAACATCGAAACAATCCACTTCGTTCCATACAAACTGACAAACGGCATCTCGAGATCGGTGTGGCGTTTAGCGGACTTTCTATGCGTATGTGTTACTAAGTGGGGATTTCATTGCGGCGAAGCATCGGGCTCGGGAAGGCCCCTCTACTCTCCTGATTTGAGCTTCCGGGCTACCGATCTTGATGATATCAGTTGCCCAGCTATTTATACGATTTGGGTCCCGCTGACAAACAAGGCAAATGTCGCACTCCCAACTCAAGTCCGAACCCGAAACCCGGCCCTGCTCAGCATGCCATCATCCTCCGGACAGGCTCCGCGGACCTACGGCAGCCATCACAAGCCTCAGTGCTCTACGCCAAGGGGCAGAGTCCGGATGCCTTTCGTGCTCTGTCTTGAGTGCCGGTATTGATGGCGTCATTGGCGATGATTTGCCCCTGGACGGGAAGATCCAAGATGCCGTCGAAAGGCTCCGCATGGACATGAATATGACGGCATCAGGGCAGAGTCTTACCTTGACCCTCTTTAAACGCCAGATGGAGATTTCCGTTTTTGCTCCCCCACCATCCAGTAAGACATGTCATTGTTCAGGCCAAGGAGCCGGATATCTTGTAGACTTTGATGGTGCTCACTTGCTCTGCTCCGTACTAATCGTTGGTTGCGTCAGAAACCCCAGAGCTTGAAATTTTATTTCCAAATGTGCCAGTCGGAGTTTTAGATCTGCCTCAAACCACAAACTCTGAAGCTAGTTTCCAATGGGTAGCAGAGAAACTCGGGCAATGCGGCAACCACCATGGATGCCATCGGACATGTTCCAACTTGACAGTAACTCTGCCGAGGAGAATCCTGGACGTGGGTTCTACAGATGGGGATCTCGTTCGTTTAAGAGAACTCGATGCCGAAGACACTGCGGTGCCAAATTATGCATGCTTAAGCCACTGCTGGGGCGCATCACGGCCTTCGAGAACAGTAATGGCCAACCTTGATTCGCATAAAGAAGAGGTCCCATGGAGTTCGCTGCCGCCCGTTTTTCGAGATTCCATCACCTATGTGCGCAAATTGGGGATATCGTTGCTATGGATCGACAGTCTCTGCATTGTACAAGATGATAAAGAAGATTGGAGAATGGAAGCCGCCAAGATGGCGTCAATCTACCAAAACGCATATCTCGTAATCTCTGCATCCAAGTCTCATAATTCGGAAGATGGGCTTTTCGGCGGCATTAATGGAGAGTCGAATCCTATTGTAATCCCTATTCCGTCTTCAAGTCAAGGATCTGCACTATGTTTTCGCAAGTCTTTTACACATTTACCTGGATACATGGACCAAAGGCTTGTCAAGAAATCTCCCCTTCCGACTTTAAATCGCGGGTGGATATTCCAGGAACGTCTTCTAGCTTCGCGAGTTCTCCATTTTGGGCCGCAAGAGCTCTCATGGGAATGCTTGGAGGACTCGGCCTGCCAGTGCACTGGCACATATTCTTCCTCGACTGGCAATGGAGCTACTAATACAGCTCTTACGATGTCTGCGCAACGGATGCTGCAACCGAAAGGTATTTATAACCAATATTATTGGAAACAGCTGGATGGAACGAGACTCATCAAGGTCTGGCATATGTTGGTAGAAGACTATACAAGGCTTCATCTTACTTTCGAGAGCGATATTTTCCCAGCAATGTCAGGCATCGCGAAGAGTTTCCAGCAATACACAAAATCGGAATATGTTGCTGGAATGTGGGCGAAATCTTTGCTGTGTGACCTAGCATGGCATAAAGAAACCATATCGAGCAGCTCGACGGAGAATGTCGAATGGCATCAACGTCCGAAAGCATGGAGAGCTCCAACATGGTCTTGGGCCTCGGCACTTGGCCCCGTGCAATTTCTCGATATAGGAAACGGCTTGGTTCCTTTATGTGAGCTCGAAGAAGTGAAGTGCTCACCCTACCAGTTGGATCCAACTGGCGAGCTAAGAAGCGGTCACCTCTTGCTACGTGGCTATCTTATATCGACTTCAATCCGATATAGGCCATCCGTGAAAGAGGGTTCAAAGGCACCATTTGACTTGTATGAACTCGACATTATGCACAGGCAAGTGGGCAATGTATGGGCAGATTACGACTCATCTCTGCCAGGAACTGATCACGTTGTTTCTGGAACTCCCGTAAAATGTTTCATGCTCACGGCAAGACCTGACTCAGGCTCACTGACACTGCTTCTGTTGAACGAGATTGGCTATGATGAGCAACATTCCTGTACCGTATGGAAGCGGCTGGGGTTGATCCAACTATCGAAACCTCCCACGGTACTCCGGGATGCCAAAGAATACTGGTTCGGCGTCTTCAAATCTCAGTTAGCTAATACGACACTGGTAAAGATTATATAAAGGCTACCCCGTAATTTTCTCTCTTCGATATGAGTTCTTGAAGAAGGAACAAGAGCTCATATGATATTCCTAGCTACATCGCAATCCATTGATGAGACTAGCTGCATAAAAACGGTTCATAGATGTCTCTGTCGTTAAATAAAGTAACAAAGCGTTTACGACTATGCAGGTTTAGAAATAGATGGATGAAGCCAAGATATGTACAGATTACCATCCGACAGTCCCAATACCTAAAGTTCGACTGCCCGATAGCAGTCATCATCACGATCAACGACCACCGCATTTACTTCACTATATGCCGTCAAACGCTACCATCTAATGAACATACACTGTCACAATCAGCCAATCTACTACGCAATTATGTACACACTCTTTTCAGAATTTTCTTTACAATCGTTGATCGCTCTCATTGATCAAAGATGGTGTTAGAGCAACTAATACGCATACCCAAGCGAATAGCCTTACTTTCCTAAACTGACCAATTTATACAACATTTCGAATACAGCTTAATTCAATTTTATTTACTCATATTGTTGAAACCAATCAATCTTCATCTATACTACTAGAGAAATATCCGCTGATTTCGACTGGCGGATGAGGTGCAAAAATTCGCTTTGAGCCATTCGTCATTCACCAGAGAAGATTCCTAAGCCAGAAGGGCATACCCTACGATGAAAGCAAGGCACACAAGAATGAATAAACATGTTCAAATAAAGGAGCATCTATCTAGAAAGCTGTAGCCAGAACGCAAATATCGGTTCTCATTAGTTTCCAAGTTGAGATTCTACAGAAAGCGCTGTGTAGGATCTGACTGGCTGATCTTTCGTGAAGTAAATTCAGTTTAGCGATCCTTGAGCCTTTTACATTTTTGCCAATAGTACTGAGCTCTTTTATTGTTCTTGGATCAATGCTCTCTTTATCACTTTATATGATATGTCATTTCATTGTTCAGAGAGTGTACCAAAAGATTTATCTGCCAAAAATGTCGGATCATTAGCCAAGATATGCAACGTTAACACAGCAAAGGCCATGAATGTACGTTTTCTTTGCAAACTATTGTTAAAAATATGCTAGATAGGGCAATTCGACTTCTATTTAGAGTATCGTGGCAAGTCAGATCCTAGTAGGTACTTGACATATGTTTTCACAGACAAATCCCCCCATTCTATGAAATTCCTTGGCGCTTTCACAACAACTACACAATCAAAGTTGAAGGATATTTCAGCAGCGGGATTGAACGGAATACTATTAGCTCGAAAACTTTGTTAATCGTATCCATATCCAATCATGGTCTAATATATCGGTCTAACAAAGGGAATGTATCAAAGTCACGCCGTCGTAAAAAAATCCATCATCGACATCGTCGGCCTTACTTCGACGAGGGATCCCAAATCAAGTGACTCAAGACCTTAAGTAGGACCAACATATCTATTTCGTTGAGATGGCCAAGCTTATAGTCCCCATTTAAGCAAATACAACTACCTGTAATGAGAATGGTTGGTGGGTCTCGTGAGCAAGTTTACTATTCATCAACTTTTGCAGTTGCTTGGCCGTTTCAGGGTTAGCTACGGAGTATACGATCCGTCCGTACGTTAACATGGATTGTATTTTAATAAATCGGATTTATAGGCCTGGGGTAGCATGCTAATTTGTTCTGACCCAAGTCCCTGTGTTTGTCCTTTTGTCTCTACTACTGTACTAGCTCACGGGATATCAGCACTCTGTTCAGAGTCTAGCGATTTTGACATCCTTGATCCAGAGTGTGACTGTTATTACCAATTTTAGGTATATCGAGTACACAAGTACAAGGACCCAAGTAAGACGTCTAGCAAATTTCCACCAGTGAAGATAGGAGAGATCCGAACTTTTGCCCGGGTGGCCACAGGGATAGCCAAGCTATTTCTTTACGAACAACGCACAAGGATATTCAAGGCCAAATATGAGCATTTGCTAGAGAACTACTGCAGTTCATACCGCTGATATTGAGTATAAGGAGTTGCTCAGTAGAGGCACGCTTCGAACGGCTTAAACTGCTAGATAATCACCAAGTTTTTATTTTCTCTTCATTATAGGCAAACCGCCTCTTTTGTTTACTGTAGTTGCTGTTGTCAAATGCTGCCAGTACAGTTTCTATAAATAGTAATGTACCAAAGATGTTACCAATCCTAGTTCCACGTGGAGAATAAAGCACCAGCTGACCTACCACTTAAGCTACTATGATTATTCACATCTCGCATAATAGGTCCAGTTAGTATATAAATTCTTCGGGCGAAGTGCCTATAACAGATGCTCGATATTGTTTGTACATGGCCGTGGGGAGTAAATCGGTCTTGGATTCTGTCAGCATTTAGTCTGTGTTACTTGCATTGCCATCGGAGCATCATCTAGCCGATTGTCCCCAAAGCTTGCAAGGGAGCCTAGTACAGGTACAGAAGGAATTAAGAATATATTATGTCTGCGGCCGTTGAGCTTAAAACTTTGACAGTATTCGAATTAGCTGGGGTGCGAGTGGTGAGTTGTGCCGAGTACTCCGTACTTGGTGGTTGCTCCCATTCGATGCATGTTCAGCATCTCGGGAGCCGGCACCGGGCCGAACCATATCTGGATTGGGCTGGAGTAGTCAATTATAGGCGAAGGAGTGAGAAACAATTCTTAAGAATGCGAGTTGATTTTCTATTTCTTTTAAGCCTGTCTGGCTAGATTTGTTGTAAACTTGGGTACTTATAAACTTGCCATATAGCCATGCGGCTCGATATGCACTGCATATTCCACGTGTGCAAATAGAGCTTTGACATCACGTATGGTTACAGCAGGATGTCTCAGGCTGTAAAAGGCAGAGAATTACAAATAGAGTGCTCTTGACCCACTCCAGCCGCCTCGGAGCCTGATAAATTTCAGGGACCAGGAGGGTATGATTTTGGTCAAGAGCCCCAGTTAAAAAAAACAAAATCGCGCGAAACCTGGATGAGCCATACGGAGCAGTCTCTTTACTAAGAAGGATGGAATCACCCAAAAAAAGAGAGAGAGGAAGAAAGTAAAAAGCAACGCCCGTACGAAGCGGCACGGCGGCATTTCAAGCCACCCGTCCAAGGCGGGTCCATCGGGGTAGATGAAAATGGCGGAGAGCGCTTTCTTAGTAACCGTCGTTTACCAGTAGCATCACGACACAACAAACTACCCAGCTAGCGTAGCCCCTGAAAAGACGCCATTATGCGGCGATCCCATTAGTCTGAGACAGTGTGTTGCACAGAGCAAAACTAATGGAGCAGCTTATGGAGCACTATCACTATCACATTCCTCATGCAGGGAGAATGGGGAGCCATTGTCTTCTCAATGGATGGATTCAATGCATGCGGCAGAGGCAGCTGTCTTTCAGCTTTACTCATCAGCAGCTGAACCTATAAGCCAGATTATTTTCACCAATCGAGAGGGAGCACGTCAGACTTGGAACGTTCTGCATTCTGTAAGTTGACTGAAAAAAATTATGACAAAAAAGGAAAATACAATTGCGGTGTACAGAGTCTCCGATGGCCCTGTTCGTAAGTAGAAGCCTCAGCAGCAGAGAGCAAATGAATTGAAATAATTGTCATTAAAATAACGGAAGCTATCTATGACTTGTGTCTTCATGGCAGCTGTGCCTTTGTTAATCTAGTCATTAAGAAAGTGTATGACTACTAATGCAACCTCATTGGTACTTTATATACAATAATTAGAAATCATTACGCATTTAGAAAGCTCCCAGGTGTCCCTTGACATCGTAGCGGTCAAGGTCCATGACCTTGGACCAAGCAGCAACAAAGTCAGTGGTGAACTTGGAGGCGGAGTCGGAGCCGGCGTAGACCTCGGCGATGGCACGCAGCTCAGGGTGTGAGCCGAAGATGAGATCAGCACGGCTGGCAGTCCACTGGACCTTGCCGGACTTGGGGTCGACGCTCTGGAAGCGCTCCTCGTTGGTGCCGTTGACGACGGACCAGGTGGAGTATGAGCCCAACAGGTTGACGAACCAGTCGTTGGTGAGCTGGCCGGGGCGAGAGGTGAGGATGCCGGTGGAGGAGCCGTCGAAGTTGGCATTGAGGGCACGCAGACCACCAATGAGGACGGTCAGCTCAGGAGGGCTCAGAGTCAGGAGGGCGGCCTTGTCAACGAGGAATTCCTCGGTCAGAGATCGGGTAGTGCCTTGGCCGTAGTTGCGGAAGCCATCAGCCTGGGGCTCGACTATAGTATCATAAAGTCAGTATGATGGTTCTTATATAAGCGAATGCAGACAAAGGAGCATGGGTGTAGACGCACGGAAAGCAAAGGTAGAAACATCAGTCTGGTTCTGGAGAGCATCGACACGGCCAGCGGTGAATGGCACGGTAAGAGTGACACCAGCAGCCTTGGCAGCGCTCTCGATGGCGGCATTACCACCAAGAACAATGAGATCAGCAAGAGACACCGTCTTGCCGCTTGAGGCGTACTTGGACTGGATTCCTTTGAGCTAAAGAGGGAGAAGTATTAGTAAAACGTCGATCAACGACATGGATGGCTTTACTTACAGCCTTGAGAACAGTCTGCAGACGAGTGGGGTTGTTGACGGCGAATGAGGCCTGGGGCTGGAGAGCAATGCGAGCGCCGTTGGCTCCACCACGCTTGTCAGAGATACGGAAGGTCGAGGCGGATCCCCAAGCGGTGGTGACGAGGTTGGAGATGTTGAGGCCGGGAGCTGCAAGAATCTGCTGCTTGATGGCCGAGATATCCGAGGCAGCGAGAGTGCTGTATCCGGAAGCAGAAGGGAGAGGATCCTGCCAGATCAGGGGAGCCGCCTTGGGAAGATCAGGGCCAAGGTAGCGAGAAATAGGGCCCATATCACGGTGGAGGAGCTTGTACCAGGCGAGACCAAACTTCTCAGTGAAGTAGTCAAAGTCGTTGAGGAACGTCTTGGAGATGTTGTTGTAGATGGGGTCGTCTCGGAGAGCAAGATCACTGGTCAGCAGAGTGGGCTTGCGGAACTTGCCCTTGATGAAAGGGTCGGGGTAGGAGGCATTGGCGTCCAGGGCCTCCCACTGAGGAGCACCGCCAGGGGACTGAACGAGGGTGAAGTTGTTGTTGAGCAGAGAGAACAGGAACTCTGTTGGGAAATGTTAGCATATGTTGTACTTTTCTTGATGACAGATGCAAGGGGCACTTACCGTTGGCCCACTTGGTGGGAGTTCGAGACCAGATAACCTCAAGACCACTGGTGTAGGCGTCATCAGCGTTACCTGTGCCAAAGGTGTTCTTCCATCCAAGGCCCTGCTGCTCAAGAGGAGCGGCGTTGGGCTCAGGGCCGACATCATCGCCAGACTCAGCACCGTGGGTCTTGCCAAAGGCGTGGCCACCAGCAATCAGAGCGACGGTTTCCTCATCGTCCATACCCATTCGGCCAAAGGTCTCGCGGATATCCAGAGCAGAGGCCTTGGTGTCAGGGGTGCCGTTGGGGCCGCGGGGGTCAACGTAGATGAGACCCATGCTGACGGCTCCAAGAGGGCTCTCAAGCTCAGACGCACGTGCGGTGAAGTCCGTGCTGCCGTTGTATCGGACAACGTTGTTTCCATCAGTGGGGAACATGTCCTGCTCGGCACCCCAGTAGATGCCCTCGTCGGACTGGTAGGTATCCTCACGGCCAAAGCCAAAGCCGTACGTGGGGAAGCCCATGTTCTCCATGGCAGTGTTGCCGGCGAAGACGAACAGATCAGCCCAGGAGAGAGCGCTGCCATACTTTTGCTTGATGGGCCCTGCACATGCAGCGTTAGAATGACACACTATGACTGATGCAGATCCCTGCCTGTCAAACAGCACGGAGTGACTTACAGAGCAGACGGCGAGCCTTGTCGAGGTTGGCATTGTCGGGCCAGCTGTTGAGGGGAGCAAATCGCTGCTGTCCCATGCCGGCTCCTCCACGGCCGTCGACAGAGCGGTAGGTACCGGCGTTGTGCCACGCGAGACGGACGAAGAAGGGACCATAGTTGCCAAAGTCGGCGGGCCACCAGTCTTGCGAGGTGGTCTGCACGGCGGTGATGTCCTTCTTGAGTTGAGCAACTACAAACGGCAGATGTCAGCTTGTACACGGAGAGAGATGGTAGGACACAGGTTCCACAGCTGGACTGAGGAGCAAAACGCACCATCGACCTTGGAAAAGGCCGCGCCGTAGTCAAAGCTGCCGCCAAAGGGGTTGGTCTTGTCCGAGTTCTGGCGCAGCACAGCCAGGTTCAGCTCGCACGGCCACCACTGGCTGCTTCGCGTGCCTCCACCAGCCACGGTGCTCTTGCGCGAGCATCTGCCAAAGTCGGGGCCATCAGGGCTGTATCTGGGCTCCAGAATGGACTCTGGGTGGGAGATGACAGAGCGAGCCGGGTGGTTGCCATTGCCGTGGATGACGGGGCAGCCCACGGCGGAGGCGAGTGGCAGAGCGCCAACAATGGCCAGGACGTTCTTGAGAGGCATCGTCAAGTCAAAGCCGGAGGAGTTGTCTGAAGGATGAGGAGGCCAAGACTGTTGTTCGGTGAGTGAAGCGGTGTCCTGGCGTCGATCCTGTCCACTCTATATACTCTTTTTTTGTGTGCCCATCTGCTCGCCGCCTGCTCCCTTGCCAGCTCGTTGCTCGCTACACACGACAAGGGGCCTGCTAGCTGGCCCATGGGCTCCATGCGGACTCCGTGCCTGGCAGTATAGTGCTTGTACAGATACAGAGCCCGATGTGACACCACAACCAGGCAAACCCGTAAGATTACCTAGTTCTGCAACTGTACCTACTGGAGAGCACGCACACCATGCCCCTTCAGGCCCCCCCTGGAGCGCAAAGCGACCCTCGATCTCACCTGATCTCCCTGCCTTGAACCACACTACCGGGGCCCGTCAGGCTCAGTCTTGGCTCTGAGTAAGTACCGTCCTGGGTCTCCTCTCTTACTCCGCCGTCTCCGCCAAGTGCCGAAATCTAGCATACAAGGCCTTCTTTTCCAAATGGACGGCGGACATGTCTCCATAACAGGCAAGTGGACAGGGTTCTTTCATAGCCAAGCGTGGCCCTCCCATATTATCGCGGCTTACCTGGGCCTTTTCTACCCTCCAACCCTCCGACCTTACTCCAAGCAACCTCCAACCCTCCGAGTTTGACTAGCCAGTCATGTACTCTGCACACTGGCATCGCAGCTTTTCTGACCTACCCTGCCCTGCCCTGCCCTGCGTGCTAAGCTCAATGCTACCATACTGACGATGCTGATGCTGGACATCGCGATATATTGCCAGCGTACACCAAGTTGGCCCGCGCCGGCGGGTGAACCAAGTCTCCGCAGGCCCAATAAGGGCCCGCCGATTACTATTATCGAGCTCAATCGAGCTCAATCGAGAAGCATCGTGGAAGAGCAGCCGCAAGACCTGGAGGAGGCCCTGGAGCGGATGAAGGATTTAGGCCTATTTTTAGACTCTGCGGAAGTTCCCAGCCGAAGCCATGCTGCTTGCCCACAAAACATAATTCCGTAGACTGCATGCCGCCACCTATTAAGACTCATTGATTACTGTACCACGACAGCTCTAGCTCGTGTTGCTTTGGTACGTGCGCGTTTCCTATTCGAGGTTGAGATCCAGTGCGACCCAGTTGACATGGGTCGATGCTAGTGCAGAAAGAAGAAGAGAAAAAGAAAGAGAGAAGAGGATAATAGAGGCGATAAACTGCTGAGAGACAAACTAAGTGGCGGTAAGGGACGACCCTTTGTGGCTGTAACTCCAGAATGGTGTGATCCGCGCAAAACATTGCACTGGTCGTATTAGTAGTTCGTTCAAAACCTGGGCTTTTACTGGTCAACGATTCACGGTCCCGGCATTGGGCGTATTAGCGGCCGAAGGAACCGGCAACCGCTCGGAAGCTAGACGGTTTATCAAACGATTTAGAATTTTGGAATCTGATGATGCTCCAGACGGCAGATCGCAATCGATGCACAAATCAGCGGATAATGACGAAAGCACGCAATTGAGGCCTGTCCAACTCGTTGGTTAGTGCGAAACAAAGAGACTAGTATCTCGATAGTTCCAGCTGGTTGGAATCCCGAGTTGTGCCAACTTGAAGGAGCAACGACGCCCGAGGTTTACTTGTACATACCAGTTGTTGAACAAGGAAGCACTAGTCCAATCTGGCTACTTGCAGCACGTAGATTTTATATACTAAAGTAAGAAGTACTGTCTCGTGACTTGTTGACTTGATAACTAAGACTTTTCAATGGCCATCAGTTGCTATTCTGTCATTTTAGCAAGCTCCCCTCTCCTGACGACGGAGCCTACTGCTCTGACAAAGGACACAAAGGCGCTCACTCTGTTCAATGCATGGAAGTATCTCCTCAAAGATATCAAGGTAAGGACACTTTACTATCCCGTCACAGACGTCGACCAGGTGGAAGAACTGGAATCAACACCACACAAAGCCACGCCAAAATGGATACAAGTACCAAAGGTACAAATAGCCATCGCCAACATGGCAACTGCTCGTCAAAAGCCGCCAGCAAGCATAAGCCTCCCCAACGGCCAACTAAACACCGCCCCTGCCCCCACAGCAAGTCTATTCAGCATGTCCCCCGAGTTGAAGCAAAGGCTTAGAGCCAGCTACCGAGACAATTAAATCTGGAAAAATCCAACAGAGACGTTAAACCGGAACGATCAACTAGCACCAGAAAACAGAGATGACTTACCATTCATATAGAAAGAAGGCCTCCCATGGAAAAGGACACCGGGAACGCTGGACCAGTTATGCATTCCGATGGCGTGCAAGAAAGACATCTTCAACGCCATCCACCCAGGCAATCACATTGGTTACGATAAGCTCACCGACATTATTGCACAATTTTACATGCATAAGCCCTTACAAAAGCTAAGAAATACCTGTTTTACTGTTTAGCGACTAATCAAAACAGGATGTTGTTATAAGATGCAATTACAAACCCGAGTTTTCGCAAAGAGCATGACATCAGTCGGATTCAGCAGGCTATGGGGGACTGTTTCTCCCTTGACAACTTCACAAGCCCATTCAATTTTACTCAAGGCTGGATTGATCTTGAGCGCTCTTCACCTGCTATGCAGAAATGGTGCAAAGACATGTCTATCGTCGCATCTGTTATCCCTTTTCCATTCAGCAACAGTCGGAAGTGACTCATACGCTGATTCACTCCTGTTACACTCTTAAAGATTACTACTGGTCACGACACTTTGGAATAAAATGTGAAAGACACTGGTTAATATTGTAGACAAACAGCTCTTTCATCCTCAAACTAATACCACAAATAGTACAATCTGATCTTATTTGGTCAGGTAACCCAAAAAGGTAGACGCCATTCGAATTATGGACGTCAAGAAAACTTGTAATACAGACGAAACCAAGAGAAGAAAATGGGTATCAAAAAGAAGAAAAGTACAAAGTACAGCCCAAAGTAAACAGATAACCAACCATAGTCTAATATTTAGACCCCTTTCCCATACACGTAGCAATCAAATAGAAACCGAAAAAAAAAGTAAAATCGCCCTTCGTATTGAGAGACAGCAAGACGAAAACTCCTCCGAACCCTCAGCCGCGCCAGACAGCTAGTTCGGCTCGATGCACAAGACCTTGACCAGATCTTCCAGGCCGTTTGGAATCGGCGTCGGATTCTGGCCGGCTTGGCGGTCGATCATCCAGCCAACGTTGAAGCCAACATTTATCTGGAGCTCATGGAGGAAGTGGAACGCCGTGCTGGGCTTGAGGGCGTCGTACTTGCACTCACTCAAGTCCTTGACTTCGACACAACGTGTGTCCAGTGAATGGAACTCCCTAGGCTTTGGTTCGGCCTTTTGGGGATCCTTGGCGGTATCGTCGTTGTCGTCGGAGCCAGGCATATAGGCGTTCGATGGCATTTCCCGTTGCCGGAGGGAACTGTCGACGAGCCACAACGTCATGTTGGCGGGCCCAGTACGCTCTGCCATGGCCCATAGAGACCGAATAAAGACTCCACGACGGCTGTCTTCCCTCCACAAGTCTGCCCGAGCCCGCTCTCGAGCCCCATTGGTTTGGGCCTGTACGAGGCCGTTCATCCACGCGGGGTCGTATTCCAGCGCGAGGTTCTTGACCTTGATGGGGCTGTCGTTGCGGAAAAAGGGCAAGTCTCCAAACCCAGGGGAAGTCTCCAATGGCTGAAGGCAGAGGAGATCTTGGTTGGGGAAGACTCTGGAGACATGGTCTCCCCCCAAGTCCACCAAGTGGCTCCGGCCACTGAAGGAGGAACCGGCGTCTTTCTCTTCAGTGATGGCGTCCTCGAGGTGTTGGTAATGGCGCAACATAAAGGAGCGCGACTCATAGGATGCCATCCAGAGACCGAAATCTCGATTATAGGTGGATGGATTGCCACCAACCCAGTTCCAAGTGACACCGGACGCATCCTGGATCCTTGGCGGCACGAGGGCAAGATCAATTGGGCCATCGGAATCTGCCTCGCCCATCCAATGGCCCCCGAAGATGTGTACACCCGGCCGAGCGCTTCGGGCAGCATTCTTCCAGATCGAAAGCCGAATCTCGGCAGGAAGGTTGCCGAAGAGGAGGAACTCGGCGGGCGTGGTCTCGGCGTCAGGGGTGGAGACTGGTGAGGACATGGCGGCGATATTGAGCTGGGTAACTCTGGTTACTAAGTATATGGTTAGACAACAATGTATGGACAGGATATAGACACAAGAGTAAACATTCAAATAACAATGAGAGCAATATAAAGATTCAAAAGATGATAGAAAGCAAGATGATTATACTAAAGAAAAGAGACAACACACGTAGAGTGTGGAAATACATACTGGTAGATACTGGATATCTAGGCTAATATGAAGCCGAAACTGGCAGTCGTGATGCGAATGCACTCGTTGATGATGATGTGGGCGTAGCTGAATGGTCGTCAAAGACGTATAACAGATTGGTATCGAAGGATATAATCTGTATCTGGTGAAGACCGAAAGCTGATGATGGATAAAAGAATAAGAGGAAGAGCATCTCTTGTGAACCTCCAGCAGCTTTTATTCTGGACAGTAGGACGCCACATAAAAGATTTTTCACAGAGAAAGGACACGCAATACAATGACCAAGACGTAAACCTGCTTGATAAACTACATGGGCGGTCTTACATTCTATTCCTACTGAGTGGCTTGCTCTGAAGGCACAAGGGATAAACTTTTGGTTACATTTGGCGCCATATGCTAAGTATGTATCGAGTGTGTATTACCACCGTAATGATATATTCCTTAGCTTGCAATGAGAGAAATCAAGCTTTACTCCGAATGCTAGTCGAAAGACAAAGTAAAATATCCAAAGCCACTGGACTCAGGATTCGGTGAGTGGTCACAAACGGGAGGATATTGCAGTTGGTACATGGTCCTGTCGTTACAATGTTGAAAGATCTGCAGACCTTTCAGGCCTTAAAGCGACTTAGTGACCTATAGAATCCCTTTTATGCCTCAAAGTGGTTACGCCAAAATATATATACACGTCTTCGTTGCAAATCTTTGTGTGTACGTCTTCGCAGTTATCTCACACGCTTTACTCCAAAACAGGCAAATAATACTCTTCCGATGTAAAACTTGCACGGATAATAGACTGGAACATGTACTCCTGTAGCATGAGACATCTTTTCTATGAAACGCAAGTACAGTTATCGAGAAACAGTTAATCGTTTACGTGGCAGGTCCAACTCATGAGGTTGGCAGTTGCTGTGCAAACTTCGCGAATCCCTCGGGCCGAGCCACTAGAAAAACCTTCCCGCTACATCAGGCAATTATTAGTGGATATTAAGCGCCAGTGGCGTCGATGGCTTTTGGGAATAAACGTGGCAGCCAAATTCAAAATATTTTCTATATGTGGCTTCATTATCTGTTGAAATGATCTGCGCTAGGGGCTCTGCTACTGACTTGGCCTTGAATGCTTTTGCATGAGGAACTCGTACGAAATAAAAATTGATCCATGTTCTTCATACAAGTAGATTCACTATATCATTCTGCGGCTTGGAGCTAGCAATACTGTATGAGGCTTTTCGTTGTTGGGTCAACATTGACTGTGGCTTGAGCTTGAAAAGGCTAATAGCATTCCACTTATACGTCTCTTCTACAATACCAAGTGCTTTATATTTGTAGAAGCAAAAGTGAACAATCTTTATGAGATAATCATGAGGTGTCCATGTATAAATCGTGAGCCGAAGCAAAAATTCAAGCTGCTCTTTGTGAATAATGGTTTAGTATCAAAGTTTCCTCGTTTTCGAGTTATGATCCATGATTATGAGGCTGTAGTCCCAGCAGTGCGCGAAGTTTATAATACCGAGATTTAGCAGAACCGCTTGGAAAGTAATTTGTAGAGATATCTCGTATTAGCAGCGAGAGAGTGCCTCTAGACACTGGATAAAGCTGAACTACTAATTCGAACCTCGCCTGAAGTGTAGAAAACTGCAATTTGCGCAAGCCAACTATTACAACCCGCATAAAACAGGAAAATGCGGCTAGATCCATCGTCTTTGGCTGATTGTGGCTACATGTAGACAAGCAATGCTGTTAGTAGCAAAGTTTATTTCACAGGCTGGTGGGGGCTAGATTACTCGTCCCAATCTACCAAGACGACCCGTCTAACACCATTTCCTAGGCTTCCAATTTGGAATGACAACGCTTCCATCATTTTGAAGCATATTGAGTGTACCCTCCTGTCTCCATGCATGGATAAAATATGCCGTGTTATGCTCCTTCAGAAAGGCGCAATTTGCATCCACCGTCTTCCAGAACTTGGTGTAATCCGCAACGCTCACTTCTGCAATAGCGAATCCGGTTATATAGCCGCCAGCATGGAGGACATTATAGCCTGTTGCCCACATCATCTTTTGCAATACTCGTTAGCGTCTTTGAAGTCATGGTCGGCGAGTAAAGTATATAGGTACCTACTTCGGAAATGATGAGCGGAAACTGCGGAAGGTACTTCTTATACCATAGAACTTGGTTTGCCGTATATGACCATGCGTCGTCAACCTGAATATTGTGATAATATGCCATGACATGAGCGTGAATAAAGTCCAGAACTGGCACAAGCGCCTTGCCCACTGGACCCAGTCCAACGCCCAGCCCATCCGATCCAGGCGCACCGCTCATCAAGCTGGGCCTGTCCCAGTCCTCGCTAATACCTGCCGGGATGCCAAATTTGTGCATTTCGTTGCGGAAATCACTCATTCCCATTGTGAGGTTCTTTATACTGGCTGGCTCAGATGCGTTGCCGGCGCTACCAGGCGCGCACATGTCGCAGTCTCCAACTGGCTCGTTGAGATATTCGGCGGCGTAGATGACATACGGCGCAATTTTCGAATACTTACTATTCGCAAGGGTTTCGAACAGAGTAGTTTCGAGAACCTTTTCCCACGAGAGCTGCGGATTGAGTCAGTAAACAGGAAATGCGGCGTTAACTACTAGTTAAGAGCGCAATAAACACGCACATCATTGCCGCTAATGGGAAATGCTACTTGAACCACAACGCCCATGTTGTTGAGAATAGCGGCTTCTAGCACATTTTCCCATAGCTGCGTGGTGTAGCTTTCTGGGATATACATGCGAATCATGGTTGTGCCAAACTGGCGCTTCATCTGCTGCATGTGCGAGCTAATACTCGAAACCTCAAAGTCCTCATTGGTGAACTGGAAGGGAAACGAGAAGCCGAGGAAGCCATAAAAGTCGGACTGCGGACACCACCACTCCTCTCTGGAAACGCGGGGAGGCTGTAGATTCGCATTGAGCTTTGCCTCGGCGCCAAAAGGGAAGCAGCTTGGATTGGATGCTGATCGTGTTGCTGTATGGGCCAGACCGCTTACACCAGACAGCAGGGCCGCGACAGACGTCAAAGCGATGGAATTTGGCCTCATTGTGAGGTGTTTTATTGAAACAAGTAAAGAATAATGCACGGATATCTACTTCTATGAAGATTCAGGACTTTTTCCGCCATTATATACTCCGCATGCTCATGTATACGCTGGGGTAAAATGCACAAGAGTGGAAACGATGAGGCGACCTCTTTCGAGGTGCAAGTTCAGTACGACGCCGCTAGTTTAATTCCATCACGAAGTTGGCTACAAAGTGCTATTCAAACGTCTAGCACGATCTCTATCCCCCAGACTTTTCGATCTAGAGCAAGATTTAGCTCTATGAAAGACTCGAAGAGATTCTGGGGACCCCATAGTCTGGCGCTCATAGCAATCGGCAGAACGGCATCTTGTTCGGGCCTATTCGCGTTAGCAGCCTTATCCCTGCTTTATAGCTTCATAAAAGACATGCCACTCTTGGTAAAAAAGTATTGACAATCAGCAAACAGATAATCGATATCTTGCTAATGCGTTGAAGAGCAGTTTGTTAATCAAGTCATTCGATCATCGCCATCGCAGCAAATTAGACGTTACGAACTCTCGTACTTTTTGCTGGACAAAGCGTTTCACTGGCCGTATCATACGTTAGCTCTAGGCAGTTGGATGTTGTATTACTGATATGGCTCCGTAGGCTTGTCAAAACTAGGTAGTGTCTGGGCTGCTAGTACCAGGGGTCTATGAGCTGGCGCTGAAAATATTTTCTACTTTGTTTGTTGGATTCGCAGTTTCTGCGAACGCCTCTTTGTTCAAGCTGCTAGTAGTATTCATGCGAAGAATAGAGAATTGGACGTATACATTGATATGTAGCTCGGGCGTATTTTCGGAGGGCATGACTTGGTTTTGGAACAAGGATCCTATTTCATGCCACATAGAGGTTAAGACTTCTAGAAGATCTACGCAAAGGTTTAAGCCTCCGTCTACTTCGCTTCCAGCTGCAAACTGCGAGCATAAATAGTAACGGTGTGGAAGCCAAGAGCTAAATACATATTGGGTAGTAATTTTGATGTTGTGAACAGAAGTAATTGCATTGACCATCCCTGGCTTCAATCTACGATTATGCTCGTAGAGATCTGCCAAAAACAGCGATTACCCTACACTGGGGGCACAGTATCAAAATCCGGCACTGTTGCCCCTCCTACTATCTCTCACTGCGGTACTGATAAGAAATCCTTGTCCAATCTGTATTTCACAGCATTTTTAATCTTCACCAATCTGTATTTCACAGCATCTTCAACCTGTGTTATTTCACAGCATTTTTAATCTTCCCCCTCAAGGCAATAGAGTACCATTACCTTAGTATGTAGTATTATTAGTAATTTCACCTGTCAGTAAGTAGCCATTGAGGCCTTCTCACTTGGCTGTATTTTTCTTTTACAGCATTAAGCAGGCGCATATCTCTGCAACTTTAGTATTATTCGCAATTTTTTTCCTTCTAGGTAACTCAAGGTCTGGGTATCGCTTTTAGTAGTTTTGTGAGCCATAAGTACAAAAGTTGTCCCATAATCCTCCTCACTCATAATCGCTTCAATAATGTACTCCCGGTTGAACAGGCTGAACATGCTCCGTCACGGCAATGCCCAAAGTTCTTCTCCTGCTCAAACTCTCTTGAGTATGCTGAGGTGAAACGTATTGCATCAAAAGGTCCGGGTCTTGACTTTCCACCAAGTTGTATCCATGCTTAGGCACCGCCGACTCCTGCGCAATTCCCGTCCCTACGTCGACCAGCTCTCCGTATCGCACCCTTTTGCTTCCCAAAGCATCCAGAATCTGGGGGGCTGACGTGTTGGAAGATCCATGATTCAGAAGAGGCGCGCCCATAGCCTTTGCAATCTCGAATGGGTCGCGCGAAACCTCTCTGCCGAGTTTCTCCCAGCCCCAAATGAGGAACAGAGTCATAAGCGCCTCCAAGAACATGACACCAACAGCGATGCCGAAGTACCTCCAGTTAGTAGAGTATACTATCCCGATCCTCGTCATCTTGGCATTCGTCTGCTGAAACTGGATAGGCTGGCCGGTCGAATTTGCAACGGAGAGGGCGCTGCGGAACACAATCTCCCGAACACTGTTGATTATATCCTCTCTAGGATCTGACCAGGTCATGGTGCAGTTACCATAGTCGTCAAATGCAGATGTCGAGTATGTACTGGCTGCCTGCCCAAACGCAGATACCAGGAACGGATTTTGCGTCATCACCGCCAATACAAGAGTTGCATTAGAGTTGTACTGAGATTGTAAAGCCGAAGCGATTCCTCCAAGCGATGTGATGAATCCTCCAGCTCCAAGGCTTCCAAAGCCGAGCTGCATCCAGTCGGTGAAATTGTGGATGCTTATGGTGGTGTTCTGAGAAATATCCCAGGGAGCGAGCGTAGCAGTACCGTTGGTGATAGTAACGGCGTAGTCCACAGCGGCCGCTCGAAGAACACAGTGGTGCCTGGTCAATTTTCCAGAGCACGTAGGAGACGGCTTATACAGCACCGACATGTTTATATGATTGAGGGAGTTAGGATCTTGTTTTGACTCGAAGTTGATGATGGTTTGAAACGTCGTAATCTGGTGGACTAGTGCCGCAGATGCTAATTTGCCAAAGTCGTAGTCAACGGAGCCGTCTGTACAGTCGACGTCGAAACCTGGGCCTGTCATATGAAGCTGGCAGGTGCTGTTGCCGCACCCAGATGGTATCACGATGTTGCTGCGGTTAGAATACTCCTTATAGACACTCGCAAAGGCCGGCATCAGCAACGATATTTCCGATCCACTCCCTGCCCACCCACTAAAGTTCGCCGGCAGAGTTGTATTCAAGACGGGTGCATCGATATTGGTCGGGTATGGCCCGATGGATTTGCTTATAGTTGTCGAAGATCTCTGCATGATGGCACTGGTGCCGACACTCACGACAAGGGCGATGATGGCCGAAAGAGTAACTAGGTTGAAGAGAGTCGGCCTAAAGATGCCAACCAGCAAGTTACTAGTGACTTCAAGATCGTACTGAAGCTCCTTGAGTTTTGTCCCTTTGAGCGCTTTGAGCCACCATGAGATGGCAAGCCCTTCAGAGTTTGCAACCGTTAAGAAAAGAAGGGCAATGCCAACTAGCAGTGACAGAAGCACAGGAACGGTAATGTTTCTGTTGTGCGTTGGCCAAGAGTTGGTTTCTCTGCCTTCGGATAGGACGAGAACCAGGCCCATCATCCCGCAAGTCACAGCGAATCCTATAAGTGCGCCCACGGTTCTCCATGGTGCTCGGTTCCAGAAACCTGGCACCCATGGGATGCTATCGGACATTGTATATGCTGCCATTCGGCGCAGGCTGTTGCTGAGCGTGGGATATCGTTCGTAATGGTGAGGGAGCAGCAGTCGTGACTCGTCTTGCGTGTACTCTGTAACTGTATGAATGAAAGATCGTCCTCTACCAAGGATCGAGCTTTGTCTTATATTCCCCACCGCATCTGGTATGGTAGCACTCCATAATAATGCGACATGCAAGTATATGCAGACACAACTATTATTAGAATACCTAGTAGCTTCTATCTTTCTTCAAGCGAAGAACCCTATTCGCCTGATAGGAATTAAAACCCTAGATGCCAAGAAGGCGGCTGTATGGAGCACTGCTAGTCTGGCGAAAGGGCCGTGTGCCATACCTGCTGCCATCAGCTTACATCGCGTGGTCGAGTTCCATTAATATGGAACTAGCAGAAGCCGGTTTTCCGCTCTCTTTTCCGTTCTGCCTCTCAAATGTCAATTAGGCTGTTGAAACTGAAAGGTGTCAACGCATATTTGCAAGCGATTTTTAATTTACCATTTAAACAAGTCTCTGTGAAACTTCTGGCAAACGTTTGCTGACAGGGGAGATTTGGCTGTAGCTGCCCAACGATAATCGCCTTACCGAAACCACCTCATGTTGCGGAGGGCGCCCAGACAGACAGCGGCAGCAAAAGATGGCATATGGCGCTACAGGGTTATCCATGTTGAGGACTAAACAGCTAGTGTAAATTTAGCATGAAAAATAGTAATCATAATGGTTCCAAGTTGAACTGATCTTCTACAAGGAGCTTTGTGCTCGACTATCCTCTTAATTGTACCTGATTAGTTTCTAAATTAATAAACAACAAGTCTAGGTAAAAGGGCCACTAGTTTTTTTTATTCCAGATGTCAATTACCCTTACTCACTATGCGTAGTTAATGTCATTCGTGAAATGATTAGTAGCTACCTGTATGTAGAACTGGCGTGCCCTCCTTACTAAGCATCTATTGAATAATTAACAACCCCAGTAACTTCTTACTCAAGATTCTCCAAGTTTAGGTTTTTTAGATGTGAAATTGAAGGGCTAATACAAGAGTTTCGTATCATGCGTATTTCTAAAACACGAGCTTTTGCTCGTCGCTTTTCGAAGATTACTGTCATGAAGTAATCTCGCTTAAACAACAGAGAAGCTACTAAAGGCAGGTCATGACAGGAGTACTATAAGAAGACATATCTATCTCATTGCAGACTTCTAAACTATTTAAGCATAACGCATTAGTCTGCCAAACGAGGCCCACTGCTATAGCCGGACGTCGCCGTAGCTGATATTTCGATCCGCTGTAAAATCCGACATGCGAACATGGCTGCAGGCATTAGATTATTTGTTTATGATAACCATGCCTCTTCCGTATTCGTCAGTCTAGGATATTTCGTACAAGTTAATGCCCCTTGCAGCGTAGCTAGTTCACTCAATTTTGTAATGTCAAGAACACCGTGCAATTATCGAAACATATAATATTAGTAGCGAGGCATCATCATTCTAATCAATGCGCGACGATGAGGACATTTTACTAAACTAACAATTATCGAATTACTAAACACCCATCTATATATATACTCGGACTATGAATCAAATTTTCAGCATTTACCTCTTGGCTTTGCATCCTGCACGTAGGCGATACTGAACTAGACAAAAGGATTTACAAATTAGTGCGTCTCGAGCATCTTTCAAGAGACGAAGCCCAAAAATGCAAAACTACAACTAAAAATGCCATCATCACAACTTCACCGGGTACCGAAGCCTCAGCCATTTCCCGTACTTGTATATCAGAATCGGAATGGGAGTTAGCCCAATGGCAATAAACCCAAGCAGCGAGTTCCCCCAGCCCACACCGAGGCTCTTATACAACTGCGGCCCAGCCAAAGGTAAGAAAGCAGCAACAGAGTTCCGCAGTACAGCAAACGCAGCGAGGCCACTGGCGGCATATTCCGGATACGCATCGACAATGTATGTTTGGATGGGCAGCAACACTCCGAGGATACCAACGCCAAAAGGCACGATCCCAATAATCGGCACGATCCAGTGAACGGCCTTGTCAGCGGCCCAGCCATACCAGAAAAAAGTGATGGGGAGAACAAGCGCAAACCAGACGCAATCAGGGAGACGCATCTCCGGCTCATAGACGCCTCCATTGGCAGCCGTCATACGAATAATGGTGCTGTCTGAGAGAAGAGCAAAGAAAACCAAGCTGATGATGTATCCGAAAAGCAACGCGACATATGTAATTCCGGTAATACCCAACGACCAGCCGTAGCTGCCCTCAAAGACGGTTGGAATTGTATTATACAAAAGGTAAAGGCAGCCGTATGCAAAGGAAATGTACAACGACAGGCCAAAGATGTTTGGAGAGCGAAATAGCATCTTCATTGGGCGGATCAAGCCGAAGAGCAGAATCTGTCTCTTGCTCAAGACGGGCGCATCGGGATCGACGTAGCAACTCCTTAGCTCGGGTCTGTTAAGCTCTTTCTGAAGTTTCCTCGTCTTTTGCGCAATCAACACATGAGCGTTTGTCTCACGGCTGAGAAAAATCATCGCCACCACCGTAACAGCAGCAGGGATGCAGGACAGCCACGAAGTCCAGCGCCAGCCAATCGTCTCAGACACAAAGCCGCCAATCACAGGCGCAATGGAAGGCCCAACAATGGGACCCAGCATCCAGATCGTCATGGCTTTCCCGCGGCTGGTGACAGGGAACATGTCAGCAAGGATTCCGCCGCCAATGGTTAAACTACCCGAACCGCCAATGCCCGTCATGAACCGGAAGAATATCAGCGTGTTGAGCGATGGGGCCAGCGCACAGCCGACGAGCCAGAAGCAGAACCACGCACTTGCGGTGAGGAGAATCAGATTTCGGCCATAGATTTCGGACAATGGCGATAGCAGTATCGGCCCAATCGCGTATCCCAGCAGGAAGATGCTGACAGGCATTGATCCCAATGTAACATCACTGACGCCAAAATCTTTCTGCATCGCTGCTAGGGCAGGAGCAAGGATAGATGATGCAAAAGGCGTCATGAATGTGATGACCGAAAGGAGGCTCGTGATGAGCCACTTGCGGCCGCTGGGAAAGTTGAGTGGCATATCGGGGTCATCTTGACTTTCCCAGCCGACAATGCCTTTGTCAAGATCTGTAAGAGGAATTATAACAGGTAGAATCGTTTGATCCTGGTCTTTTTTGCGTCTCGCTGAAAGTTTAGAGAAAAGGCCAGAACGCGGCGTAGATGTGCTACTGTCCGCTTTTTCGACGTCGACATCGTCCTAATAGTTGCAGATGTTAGTAGTGATTGGGAAGAAGAGTTCTGCAATTCGAAACACACTTTATCATCAGGTCTCGCGAAGACTTCAGGTTCCAGTGTTTCTTTAGGTGTTGGCGTTTGCCATTGCAACTCCTCTGATGCGGTTGACGAGTCCGACGCAGAAACGACAACCATTCTGCGATATGTACGCCGTATTGAGCTTCGGCGATAATTTACCGCTTGTGCCTGGTCTCGTTTCTACCTCAACCTAGAGGCTGTTGTTGAAAGAACGTTTCAAAGACTACGAAAGAAGGCGGCAGTGATCATGGAAAGAGGGGAAAGGAACATGGCGACTTGGGAGGAATAATATACTGCTTCTACCAATACATGCAAAGGCCAAGGAGGAGAGGGCCATTGATAAAGTCGCCATTTTGGTGCAGCACAAGGGTGCGCCCGGTATATGTCCGATATTCCTGCAGGCAACAAGGTTGCTGTTGGATGTTGCTGATCCCGGACATGTGCCGGATATATCAGTCTGATCAAAGGCCGATGTTGTTTATAAGCACGGCGAATGAAATGGGACAGTCATGCCACTGCTATGATTCACAGCTAGCCCTTCAAGTCTCGCCGAGCACAACATCGCCTGACAATCACATCTTTTACTCTCCTTTGTTATCACATAGACGCAGAAACGCGGCAGTTCGTCAGATACAATCCCGGTCAGAAATCTACTTGAAGCAGACGAGATCGGAGGGGCGCATCCCGCTCTCGATTACGCTAATAATAAGCCACGAATGAGGAGCTTATAAGGATTTGTAAACGGTCTGACTGATTGCTGAGAAGACGAATAAACGCCGTCAAATAGCCCGCCCGTAGCCGTCAGGAGCCGTCGCAGACCGAGGCTGTTGCACTTCACTCATAATATGCGATCATGGCACTTGTTAAAAGCCTTCGGATGATCACTAGATTTACCATGTTGGATGATTTGGATGATGATGATAAATTAAAGAAAGTTAAAAAAAAAAAAAACTATTCTATGAGAAAGAAAGAAAAGAACAAACGAATCTATGCTAAATTACTTTTTTGAGCCAAGAAATACCAAACATTAAAACGAACCATCGAGAGCAAGTCCCTCAAACTCCAAGAAAATACAAAACAAAACAAAAACCCTACTCTCCCGCTTCCTCCTCTTCTAAGCTGATGGGAACCCGGAGGCTCAACCATCGTTTCCAAACACTTAGCCGGTACTGAGAAGGGAGCCTTGCGGCTCAACCTCCCTTTCCCAGGCTTTGTGTTTGATGCTTGGATGGGAATCTTTCGACTCAATCGGCATCCAACTTGAATCATCCATTAATTCCTTCTCCATGTCATTTTACATTATTTTTGGACCCTCAGACCCATCATCTCTTGCACCCCTTTCTTTGCGAGTTTTCCAGGCGCCCGCAGCAGCCCCCAAGCCCGTTTGGAGAATATTATGCAAATCCCAAGTGCCAAGGCGGCAAAGATCATGATAACCTTGTTCAATGAACCCATTCTAGTTTGCAGCATCGCACAGCTTGTTTGCTTCAGTTGAGCTACAAGCGCCACAAGCCTTTTTGGAATCTCTATAAAAACTGAATGAATGGTGCTCAAGACAGTTTTGATGCTATAAAGGGTAGCAGCCCGAATGCTTGCTATGGCTTTGGCAATGGCTTGAACAATGGCTGTCATCTGTTCCAAAAGATAAGGAGCTACTATGCCAAGTTTACGAAGCATTGTCCCAATGTACAACATGATTGTCCATAGAGCATTGGGTGCGCGCTTCATGAGCTGCAAAGTCCCTTCTGGTGTCTTCGTAACGAGCCCAAGTGCCTCTTTGGCTCCGCGATCAACGAGATCTCTTCCTTTCTGAACACGAGCAGGAAAGTCTCGGATCTGCTCTTGGCACCACGACTTCACATTCTTGCGAAGTAGCCGAGTCTCTTTGGGCTTATCCACAATAACATTTGTGATTGCGGAGATGACAGTTGGCGGAGTTTTGTCAAGAATAAACTTTGGGATAGCCCAGGTGATGCAGTCTAAATTCTTTTCCTTGCGTGTCTGGAAACACTGAGCTGAAACATGTTTGACTGGTTCTTGACGATCCACTGGAGGAATATCTGGTGTGTTTGCCCGGTCATCAGGAGTTGAGCCACCTGGAGCAACACGCGGCCTGCCAATAGCACCGGCATATGCTTTCTGAATATGTTCCACGACACTTTGATGCCCATTGCCGGCGGCCAACTGAAGAGCATTGACGTCATCTGGAGCATTAAGAAAGACGTCGGCACGGTTCTCGCGCAAGATGCGAATCATATGAAGCTTGCCCTCTGCAGCTGCAACCTGGAGGGCAGTCCGCGAGTCTGGGCTACTTTGACCTTGTTGAAAGTAGTTTGCAAAGGCGTTCACTTTTGCTCCGTCCCATAAGAGATCTCTGACAATGACGGGCTTATCAGCGCGAACAGCAGCTATGAGAGGTGTCTCGCCATGCTCATTTGGCGCGTCAGAAATCTTAGGATATTGTTCGATGAAGTTTCTGACTAGGCTTTCTTGTCCGAGGGCAATGGCAGCGAAGAAGTCTGCAGTGGTGTTTGTTTGAACTGCATGGCCAAGGTCACAAGAGTAATCATCGCCGCGCTGGCCAGGTCTTTCCGCGTTGTCAGCTGTCATTTTGGTCAACAAAAAAGATGTATTGATGATATAAATTGATGAAGATGATTGCAAATGTTGAATTGCAGGAAAGGTACGAGATGCTAATGATATAGTATGTAGGTTGATGATGATTCCCAAAATTTCAGTCAGCAAAGGTCACTATATATACACAAGAAATGCCAGCATATGCCAGCAAATGCCAACAAAGTCAATTGGGCCGTTATTGAGGCTCAAAATACGGTCGAAATAAAGGCCTCCATGATGTATTCGTTTATTTCAACCTAGCCTCAGAGCCTCGGTCAAGCCTTTAGGCTGCATATGCAGCTTGTGCGGCTGAAGCAAAGTGGAGAACCAGCACGCATGTATTGAGTACTTTTTTTGGGCCAGACACCTAATTGATCTGGTACATGGAACCGTTATCAAGTGTTAGCATGTAGTAGCCGCATGTCGTTTGGCCCAGAAGTATCGCGAGTCTCCGCCGCATTCTGTCACATATCAATCATGGGGCATGCTTTGCATCGCCGCCCGGAAGCAACGACGCGCAGACGAACTATCTCCAGAATTGGACTCATTGGCCTCCCTTGCATTATCATCTCGTATCTATTACGCCTTCATACATGATAGTACCTGTCAAGCCTGGTGAGCTGCATCGGCAACACCGTGGCCCCCAAACGGTTTGTGTGTGCTTGCGCCGCTCATCCGAAGTATATTCTACACGATCAAGCAGCCAGGCTCTGTTAAAGCTGAAGAGAAAAAATTTTCGAGTGTCTGACTGATTGAGGCGTGGATCGTCAAGCTTCGTGTCAAATGCAATTCTTTGTCTGCCACGTCAATATATTCCGACCCTCTGGTGGTCTCCAACTTGCTTTGTGTGTGCATTTAATGCCCAAGGTGAACCAGAGTGAGACCTTATCACCAAGTACATGATGTATCTCAGCCATTCTGCGGGCAATGAGGCTAATTGACTGCGCCACTGTCAAGCCTTTCGCTATCAACTCCGAGGTCTCCTTGAGTGTAGATCAGTGATTTCACCAACTGCGCTGCCAACGTGTTATTGCAGACACAGGATGGATTGAAACCTGACGGTGTCGCCCAAAATGTGTCGGAATGAGCCTCATGACTGCAAAATTTTCACAGCACAGCGCATTAGGCTTGGTGTCTTACATTGTACAAAGATGCGGCGAGACACTCGGCACCTCCACTTAGCCTGCGGAAGTAAGCTACCTTGTGTTACAACTATCGGATACTTGGTGTAATACTGGCGGTTACTGCGTTACAGTATGGCATATAACGTCCATGTCAAGCATTGCTAAGCCTTGGCAGTAAGAAGATCTACACAAAGGCCAAGACACGTCACAGCCGTCAATTGATGTGCTCTATTGCTGAGCCATCTCCTTCGCCTAAACGTTATTAGTATCAATGTAATTGGTCAAAGGCTGGCGTGTGTCCCCTTTGTTTGGGCAGGATGGCGTACAATGTACCGATACATAGATGGCATCTGTACAGGCTTCATGAACAGCAAGGTCGGTGAGTGTCTAACAGGCTCTATTGACGTGTCAGTTGAGCTGGCAAGCTTGGATGTGTTATTGATACAAGATCCGATTTATTAACATTGGTTGTCTTCGAGTTGCGGATGCGGTACTTGATTCTCGAAACTTGGATATTCTGCTGCCCAGAGTGAACCGACTTTTCAGCTTCTCTCTCTCTCTTACGTCTCGTTGAGAGAATCAGGGTTAGTCAATAGGTGCATTATGCGTTTGAGCAAAGCGGATTGACGTGTTATAATCGCCGTTGGATGGAATAAAGAACTGAAGCGTTATATTTGACCGTGTGACGTTGGATCTACAGGGATGGTGCTCCTAATCATACAGCTTAGCGAGGAGGCTCTGCTCGAGTGGCCAATCAAATATTTTAGTCGCGTATGACACGGAAAACGACGTATCAGCGGTTCATACTCCTTGCCTCGAATGCGATTGTCATTTATATAAGGCCATTGGTCAGATCACTGGCCGCTTACAGGGGAATCATTCGCCACATCCAGTCAGAAGCCCCAGAGAGATTGGATGTTTGTGGAGAGTCATATGCCACAAATGGCATGGCAGAGAAGCTTTAAGATTGATGTAGGAGATGCGATCTTGACTAATAAGCTGACACTCTATAAAACCTTGGTTTGTTGACATATCTTCACCCCCTCTCTTAACTTTATATCACAATCCATAGAATAGCAAACAACTGTTAGTACTGTATGAGATGCGATTTTAATTTACTGAGGTCATCTGACACGCCATATAACCATTGTTTCTTCACATATCGCTTCACCCTGACTCAACATCACAAACCATGGCATGACAGAGCAGCTGTTGGATTAATACATGAGACGCGATCTTAGCTGCTTAACACCAATTTTATCATTTCATCATCTAAAATAGCATAGGACCATCGCTCACTCTCTCAACTCCCACATCCTCACCAGCCCCCTCATCTCAACCCCTCCATACGTCCCCTCCAACACCTCCATCACCCCCAAAGCCGTAATCTCCGGATCCCAACTATCCTTTACAACAACCGCCTCCTTATCCGCCCCTCCCTCCTCCACAAACAACCTGACAATCCCCGCCCACCGCGCAGTGCCCTGAGGATCAACATCGTAGTACTCAATCCAGTTCCTCCTGCGCGCATCCCGCAAATGTCGCAGCACCGTGATCCACGGCGTCCGAGGCTTGTGAGTCTCAAAATCGGTGTAGTCGTGATTCGGGCCCGGATTGATGCGACATTGGTTGCGGATGAGAAAGTCAACCAGCTGGATATCTGACAGTGGAAAGATTGTCTTTTTGCGAGAGCAGAGAAACTCTGTAGCGTACGCCAGCAGAGGAGTCGACTCGGAAGTCTGGAGCTCCTTCTTCTCCGCTGATATCTCATCCTCCGCGGCATTGCGAGCCGTTACTTCTTCCGCCACGTATCTGGTGAGGCTGAACCTGGTCGTCAGGCAAAGAAACGGCTGCCACAGCGGCGCAGCAGATTTAAACACCCGGTATGGCCCCAAGCCGTATCTTGCCCAGTGGTCGTAGGGATCTTCCGGCTTGGCCAACCAATACCATGAAATCGTCTTGTCCACTTCATTCACCATGGTCCGCTCAAGGTGATCCGGGTCATTCTGCACGTATCTCGCATGCGTCAAGGCGAGGGCAATGCCCGGCCACCATTCATCCAGTTGGCGATGGTGTTCAATCTCCTCGAGAGAATTCTTCATCTGCAAAACGTACGATCGCAGGAGTCGCAAATGGGGGTCAAAGTCGGCAGGCGTCTTACCTGCAATACGAGCCATCACGCCGGGCTCCTCCATGAACCAGTCGCGGACCGTACGATGGATGTAAGTCACTCGCCGCTCAGCTGCGTCGAAAGCCTCATTCACATGATCCTCCTTGCCAGAGAACCGGAGGCGAGCATTCCCAGAATTACGACGCGCATGAACGTCGAGGAGACCCGAAAACCGCTTCATGACGAGACTGATTGTCGCCAAACAGCGCTCATATGCCACCGTGGGAGATGCCTGCTTCGGCTCTTCCTTGACCGCAGCCTCATCATCGTCGCTCCCCCTGAGAGCAAATGCAAGCTCCCATACAGTAAGCGCAGTCGCCGCATCATTCGAGATGAAATCAGCCACGAGCTCTCGCGCATTCATGAGACTGAAAATGACAGCCGCTTCAGCCAGCTTGGCTTCATCCTGATTCTCAAAGAAGAACAGGTTGAACAGCTCATTGAGCTCAATCGGCAACATGTCGAGAGTTTTTGATAAACCAGCGAGCCCAGTCTCCTGTTGAAAGGTGCGAATCAATTCGTTGAGGGCGAGTCTCACCCAGAGAAACACTCCATCCGATTTTCGAACTGCTTGCTGAATCAACTCCTCTCCAGCTGCCGCATCATTCTTCAGCAAGCGTCTAATAGGAGTGTTTTCCCGCAGCCTATCCTTGGTGTACCGATACATGTCTTCATAAGTAAGGTCTTGCAGTCTCAGATTCGGCACCGCATACTCAAACGCATTCTGAAAGACAGCCCACGGGCGAGACGACAGGCATATCCTGATCGACTGCCCCTTTTCTCCCAAGCATAGATTCTTGAAAAAGTCAATAATTGCCAAATGATCGCCTTCAAACTCATCCAGCCCGTCAATGAACAAACAAATATTCATTTGAGGCATCGCCGCATCAATCGCCGCTTGAAACGCCTCCAACAAATCGGCAATGGAAAAGTCCAACTCCAGAGCAACTCGCTCTTTTGTATCGATGCTTTTGAGCTTCGTCCATAGACTTGGAAACGCTGCCGAAGTCAGTTCCGGATATGCTGAGAGAAACTGATGAAGCAAGGAACGCAGCAAGCCGGCCTGCGAACGTTGTTCACGAGATCCACTGGTCCAAAAGAAGAAGCCTGCCGTAAAGACTGGTTTGCCCTTTGCCCAGACTTTTAGTCGCTTCATTGTAGACTCATGGTCAAAGAGAAAGCGGATAAAGGTAGACTTTCCAGATCCAGGCTTTCCAGTGATCCAATAAATGGGGCCAAGTTCTTCTCCTCGGAGCCATGTCGAAAATTGGTGCTCTACTTCTTCAGAGTCCTCGGGCGATGAATGTTGAAACACCCATTCAAACGTCTTGCTATGCGCCTTTGTCACCTCCTGCTCTCTGTAATGCATGCTCTTGTAGGAGAGAACGTCGAGGATGTAGTCGTGCACAATAGAATCAGGCGTTGCTCGCTTTCTAATGGGCACCTCGATGTATACGTTGTCGCCAGGCACGATGTTGATGCGCCTCATTTTTGGCTTTTCCTTTTCTTGTTCTCGTGGCTCTTCTTGTTGCAAAGCAGCGCTATTGTCGCCCCAAACGTCTTTTTGCTCGCCAGACGCGACGAACTCGAGGAGTGGCAGCCGGCGAACCCTGGGACTCGTTAGCTTGAGCGCCTTCTATCAACGATGAATACATGCATCGACAACTTACTCATAGGTGTGATCAACATCATCGTGAAATTGCTGGCTCAAATGTTGAAGCCGATTTCCCAGTGCAGCAACGTCGCGAGCGGGCCACATGTCACGAAAGCTGGATCCAGGCTGAGATTTATGGCCTGGGCTGATGGCTCTATCAAGATGCAACACAAGGTCCTGTCCAACTTTGCAACAGGCTCCCGGCACGGTAGTCAGAGGATGAGGCACATCAGGAGCGGCAACAGGCTGAACACTTGCGAGCGCCTGGACAGAATCTCTCAGCCGAGCATGATGAGCGCTCAAGACTTCACCCGGCAAGACAGCACTGCTTTCAGCACCGGAAGTGTCACCATCGTGATAGACAGCGAGCACATCGCGGTAGAGCGCAACGGCACCCTGCAAGAACTCGCGCACGGCAGCCACAGCGTCCGGATCACGCACACGGGAAGAGGACACTGCCGCCATTTTATAGCATGTAATGGTTGCAGCGTCTATGGAATTATTCTATCTAGCGAGGAGCTCAACTATATAAGCTGCATGTAGTATTTACAGCACGAACAGAAGAAAATCTTTGGATACGAGATTTAAAAGGAGAAGAGAAGAGAAGGAGTGGAAGGATCGCGGAGTTGAGGGGCATCCCCGCTTCGTGCATAGGATCAGCCGACGTGCGGGCATTAGCCTCGGAGATGAAGCTGGTTTGATGCATAATATGAGACAACGGCGCATTATTGGTCGGGCGAGGAGCAGCCGCCGAGGCAGGTACAAGCACGTGTAACTTGGCGATGGCTTCATGTGTATACAGAGAATGGGCAAAATCAATATGGGTCATTCATGACAATCAAGAATCAAATTCATTCCATTTCGCATAAAGCATGCAGACATGTAAATAACACTCAATCATCACGCCATCGAGCTACACTGAGAGTGACAGCTTGGGCATCAACACCATCAACACCATGCCTCCTCTCATCTCCCTCTCATCCAGCCTCCTCGCAACCCTCACTCTCACTCTCACAGTCAACGCCATCCTCTCCTCTCCCCCCCTCATAGTCAACACCTGGTCCGGCCCCTTCACCTCCGCCACCGACGCCGCCTTCCTCTCCCTCGCCAACTCCTCCAACGCCCTCGACGCCGTCCAGGCCGGCTGCCAGGCATGCCAAAACAACCAATGCGACCACACCGTCGGCTTCGGCGGCTCCCCCGACGAGTCCTGCGAGACGACGCTCGACGCCCTCATCATGGACGGCGAGACGCTGAATGCCGGGGCAGTGGCCAACTTGCGCCGCGTCAAGGATGCTGTCGGGGTGGCGAGGCATGTGCTTAATTACACGCAGCACACGCTGCTGGCTGGCGAACAAGCAACGCAGTTTGCTGTCGAGAATGGCTTTGAAGAGGAGAGTCTGGCAACACAAGATTCGCTCAAGACGTGCTATGGATGGCGCAAGGGCCACTGCCAGCCAAACTACAGAGTCAACGTCCAGCCAGACCCTTTGTCCTCTTGCGGGCCGTACTCGCCACTATCACTCTCCAGTATCTCAACAACCTCATCATCAAACTCACAAGCTCGCTCTCACTCTCACTCCAACTCTCACGCTCACTCTCACGCTCAAAACTCCTCCCACGACACCCTCTCCCTCATCGCCCTCCACGCCTCCTCCATGGCCGCCTGCACAACCACAAACGGCGCCTCCCACAAAATCCCCGGCCGCGTCGGCGACGGCCCCATCCCCGGCAGCGGCTCCTACGTCGACTCCACCGTCGGCGGCTGCGGCGCCACCGGCGACGGCGACGTCATGATGCGCTTCCTCCCCTGCTACCAGGCCGTGGAGAGCCTGCGGCGCGGATATAGTCCCCAGGAAGCCGCCGAGGATGCCGTGAGGAGGATCCTGGCAAAGTATCCGGATGCGAAGACGGGGATTGTGGTGGTGGATAAAGGGGGGGAGCATGCGGCTGCGGCGAGTGGGTGGCAGTTTTCGTATTCTTATAGGGGTGGGGGGATGGAGAGGACGGAGGTGGTGATGGTGAGGCCATTGAAGGTGGATGAGCTGGACAGAGGAGAGCTGTGATGTATCATGGTGTTGACTATATGTTGGAAGATGATAAAGTTGCATTCACATTCATGGAGTCAGAGATTGAAGATGATAAAGTTGCATTCACATCCATAGACTTAGACAGTTTCTGAGATTTAAAAGAAGTAGTCATTTGCATGACAATCGTTTTGCTATGCCAGCCTCAAGTAGCCATATATATACGCAAAGAAAACAAGAGTGTACTAGATGCTCCTCGGCCGCATACCCAAACAGGCCATTCATTCTCTGGCGGCCATATTTTTTCTATAATTGATTCGAGATGAAAAAAAAAAATGAAACAAAGCCCAAACACCAAAAAACTCCCAAACGTCCGAAAAAAAGAAAGAAAAAAAAAGAAATTTGATAGTAAGCATGGCCAGTATGAAATGGCTCCTCCTCGTGCAAAACATGTTATCCCCCTGTCGGAGAATTATAATCTGTTGTTGAAAATGTCTCTTCTTAAAATCCATATATGCGTGTTTCCCCCCAAAAAATGCACTGATTGCTCGCTTGCTCATTTTGAACTCAATTCTCAGCTCAACCAAATATCATCCAAACATAAAAAAAAAAAAAAAAAAGCAACAAAATCCCAAAATAATCAGTCGTCAGTCCCCAGAGCAATTTAGGTAGCAATGCTCTGTCTGTGCCCCTTGCTCTTAAACAAGGCCTTGAGCATATTGTTATTCTTCTTCATATTCGCCTTGACAGTCATCTCCTCATTCTTGACGCTGCCCTTGACGCTGCCCTCGTCCTTCTTCTTGCCAGAGAGAGACCGCTTAAACAGACTCAAAGAGCCGCCAGAGGCGTTGGAATCATCGCTCTTTCTTCTGCCGCTGCTGCTCTTCTTGTCCGACGAATCCTTGGACTTGTGCGACGACGACTTGGGCGACGAAGACGAATGTGAAGACGAGTGCGTCTTGGACCTGTGCTGCGTCTTGGAGCTCTTCCTCGACTTTGAGCCAAAGTAGTCGTCCGGAACGCCAGAAGCCCGTCGCTCCCTCACCGCGCGATCCGCATCGGGCGTCATCAGCTCTATATCAGCAGCCTCGAATTCCGTCGTGATGCCGCGCCTCCACGTATCAATGGAGCTTATGTCCACCTCGACCGTCTCCAGCACAATGGCCTCGTCGACGCCGTTGTCAATCTGCGGCAGCGGCGCCGGCGCAGCAGCGGCCTCGTACGCCATGGACTTCTTGGCACCACCGCCTTGCGCAATCCTCTGCACAATCTTCCACCCGCCAAACATGACGACCGTGACGCCCACGGCGATGCCCGTGCCAATGAGGAATTGGGGCGACGCGAGCAGCGCGAAAATCGCAGGCGAGCTTCCCTTGAGAATCGCCGCAAAGCCCGGCGACAACTTCATGATGATGCCCGACAGCTCCGCCAGCGTCAGCGCAACCGCCGCCGCCGCATCAGGGCGCTCCTGGAGGTGCGTGATGATGGCCGTCGCCGAGTGCTGCGCGCACGACGCCTCGTCCAGCAGGTTCTCAATCTTGTGGATCAGCTGCTCGGCCTGCTCGCGCTCGCCCTCGATGTGCTGCAGCTGCTGCTCCTCGTCATACAGCGTCGGCTCATCCGAGTAGGCCGTGTGCTTGTCCAGGTCGACTCTGTCCGCCAGATCGGGGGGGATGTCGCCATACGCCAGGTGCAGGTCGCTACCCATGCTGAATCGCTTCTGGGCCTCAATCTCGGTGTCGGAGCGCGTGCGGCCGACCATGCGCGGCTGCACCTTTTGCAGGGCCATGGGCGGGTCGACGCGCGAGAAGCTGCCCTTGACAACCATGGCATTATTATTGTTGATGTTGATGTTGCCTCCGTACGCCGACGGCAGCTTTGACGGCGCAACGCTCGACACCTCGGACAGCCGCTCCAGGTTGCCCTCGGTCAGGGCGAGCTGGTTGGGCACCGGCGGCAGCTGCTTCTTGGCAATGGAGCTCCTGTACGTGCGCGCCGAGCTGGCCACGCTGAGCTCGTCATACTGCCGGCGCGGGATGCTGCGCGTGGTGTCGAATGTCTGCGCGCGCTTGACGGGGACCGGCGGTGCCTTTTCAGCCGCTCGCTCCTGAGCCCGCCCTTCGCTGAGCTCCGTCTTCTTTTCCCTATACGACGTCTGGGCCGTCTTCCATATGGAGAGCAGCTGCTTGCCCTGGAGACGGAGAGGAGGTTAGCCATGCAGTGCAACGTCGTGGTGCTACGGGAGCAGCGAGGAACAGGAAGAAGACGCAACGTACAGTGCTGATGAGCTTGCCCGAGTTGTTGACAATGGTGATGGTCGCATCCAGCGGCAGGCCGGCGGGCGAACTCATCTTTGCGTTGGTATCGTGTGTTTTGTTTTGCTGTAGGTACACAGAGCTGAATCGTATACCGCAGTACTGGAATCGAATAGTCGCTTCTTTCTCAATGTCTGAGAGAAGAAGAAAAGAACAACAAAAGAAGCAGCAGGGCCCAGACTAGATATCACTGCCTTTTCTTCCCAAAATAAAGCCCCCCCACTAACACTATCAGTCTTCCCTGCCGCTTGATGGGCAAAAAAAGGAAAAAAAAAAAAGCCTCCAGTCTCTCAATGTCGGTGAAGATCTCCCGGGCTGCGAATCCCTGAACGGCCGCCCCGCCAAGTCCTTAGTCCAACGCGCGTAGCTCAGGAGAACGGCCGTGGAAGGAAAGGAAGAAGGAAAAAAACTCTGTGAGCTGAGAGGGGTGTTTGTGATGCAAATCGATGATGCCGTCTTTGCTGGTTGGTTTTTTTTTAATCTCGCTTTGGTGGACGTCAATGCCGAGGGCTGGTCGTCTTCATGCCGTTATTGCATTGAGTTGCAGTTGTTAGTTGATGCAAGCACAGCTACGTCCAAAGTAGCAAGAGACCGGACCTAGCAGCCATTCAACATCGGGGAGGCTGGCGTTTAAAAGGAAAATCGATTCCAAAAAGAAAAAGAAGATGGAAAAAAAAAAAGCCCGGTTCACACGGAATCGTCAAACAGCATTCAAAATCCAATGATGCCCAAGATCCAGCCAGTCAGTCCATCCTTGACTGGGCGCCGTCCGCAGCGCAACCTATCGCAAGTAAACAACAAACCAAAACAAACGGAGCCTCTCTCACTCTCTAGCAGGGCCCCCTCCCCTCCGATTCCGCCTCCTCTGCTCTCCCGCTTCCCCACGCAGCCCTCGCGCAGTGAATGATGACGCTGGAATGCAGTCCCAGCACAAGGGAAAACGCCCCAGTGCATGAGCTACAGCATAGGCGCTGGTTTCCTTTGGCGCCTCTCTCTGCCCATGCTGGGGTGATTTGGAGTCTTGAGTCACACACCCCACGGATTGGCTTCATCGGCGCAGGCCAGGGGCGCCAAGGGGAACAGCACATGGGAGAGACGCGGAAAACAAGGGGGAGAAAACATGTAGCCGCCCAACAGATCGAATCAAACGGTCCCCCAGAGCTCGTCCGGGGCACGTTCTCTGCAATGCAAAGGCACCAAGCGAACCAAACAATCAAATCAAATCAATCAATCAAGCATCAATCAATCAATCAATCTCCCTCTCCAGTCTTCTCTCACAAACTCCCTGTAAAAGCAGCAGCAACTGCACACTCCGTCAGCCGCCCGGAGGCTCCGCCCCAAGCCCCCGATTCGCTCCCGCAGTCAGGCGCCATTGCATGAATACCTAGACTGACGCTCTACTCGATCCCATGTCCAGTCCTGTCCCGTCCTCCTGTACAACTACAGCACAGCACAGCACACCAGCCATCGTCTTCCCCAATTCCCATTCATTCATTATCCATTCATAATGCCTGCTAGTCTTGCAAAAAAAAACCATAAAAACCATAAAAAAAACCCACCCCCTCCAGCCCAAGTGCCTTCGCTGGCGTGACAAGTGGTAGCCGTGCCATCCTATCAATTAATATGGGGCACTGCCAGCGTGTACATACACCTCAGTCAACACGCCCCATAAACGGGCATCATATGCAATGCAAATGCAAATGCAAATGCATCATCATCATAGGCCTAGTATTGCTGCTAGTCCTGCTGCTACAGTACAAGTAGTTGGCATGCTCCATAGGGACACATGCATTTCGCCTCCTCGTCTAAGAAAAAGAAGAGCTTCATAGGTTAGAAAGCCGTGGCTAACGTGCACTTCCCTGCAGCAGCAGCACCCATTCTAAATGCAAACTCCAGTCCAGTGCATCATCTACAGACACTTGAAGAAATCCGCCTTCCAGCAAATCAAATCAAGCAAATCAAGCCCCTTCTGGTCACCCGAGACTGTGCAGCGTTAGCAGCTCCAACCGGCACAAAGGCGGAGTGCATGGACGAACAGAAACCAACAAACAAACATCAACAGGGCTGGTGTTTCAGAGTCCAAAAAGGGTAGCCCGGGCGAGTATGCGGCTTAGTCATGTCGGAGCAAACTTCCGGTTGCCATCACCGCATTCACATTCAGCTACAATCAAGGAAATGACAGCAAAGTAAAGCTTCATACGCCATGTACAGCAGCATCATTGTCTTTTCACAAGGCCATTATAAACACATGCATACATCGTCCCCCATTAAACCCGGGCCATCTCATCTCCATCTTCCCATCTCCGTGCTGACCGCAGTGTATTACCACACATGCTCTTTGAGCCCCCTCATGTACGAAGCGCCATTGAGCCACCCTCCAATCGCTCATAGAAAACAACCAGTATAATTTTCGAGAAAGAATAAAAGTCCGAAACGAGTAGAGCAACGAAAATAATAAATTGAAAGCCTAAACGCCATGCCTCACATCCTCCCTAAATTCCGTGATACCGACAAAGGGCTTGGACAGCGCGTATATACTATATAACAACAGAACGCCGAGGGCAGAGTCGTATCGCCCTTCAGATGCTGCGAGTTTCCATTTCCATACTGAATGCCTGAAATATATATGTCTCTGTGTGTATATATATTTATTTGCATTTTCTGTTTCATTCGTCTTCGTGTTTCGCAATGCTTTTCTCTTGGTTTTGAGGGATAGAAAAAAAATTAAAACCATCATCCGTAGACGCCTAAGCTTCTTCTTCAATCATGGCACGAACTTCCGGTTCGTTGAGGAGAATGCGTCGTCCGAGCTCTTGTTGAGGATGTCCATCTCGGACAGCGCCAAAGTCGAGGATCTATCAAGGAAAAATAGGTTAGTCAGTTTGTCTTGTTTCTCAAGCAATTGAGTAGTAAGGAGTAAAAAGGGTCTCTCACCTCTACATAAGTCAAGTTGTCTCTCTGGACGGCTGCAACACATCGCCTTCCATCAAACTTGACCTGCCAAACCCCACTAAGGTCTGTCAGGAGATCCTGCACGCACTCTCCCGTCCGGACATCCCACATCTTGACAGTCTTTTCGCTGCCGCTAATTACTTTTCGGCCATCGTGCTGAAAGCAGGTAATGGCACCCGTGTGCGCCATCAGGGTGTTTCGACATTTGCCAGTTTGAGGATCCCAGATACGGAGCGTCGAATCTGCAGCTGCCGAGACAAGGCGGTCATCACGTAGGTCCAGCAGACCAACCAGCAGGCTGTGACCTTCCAGCGTGTAGAGACACGCCCCCGTAGCAAGGTCCCAAATCTTGACCAGAGAGTCCATCGAGCCTGATATGCACCGATTACGCTCGTGATCAAGCACCACCGAATAAACCTTTTGGGAATGTCCGTGGAGCACATGCAAGGCATCTCCGGTGCTAATTCGCCAGACTCGGACGGTGCTGTCGTAAGATCCGCTGACCAGAATATCGCCGTGAGCTGAAATGGCACGAACCGAGTGGGTGTGGCCGGTCAGGACGCGGATGAAGTAAGGACAGTCGGATTCCTGGGCCGGCGGGCCGGTCTGGATGTATCGCCGTGATCCAACCTCGGGGAGACGCCAGACACGCAGTTGGCTATCTCTTGAACCTGTGATGATCAACGGCTTCTCGGGCTGCATGATGGGAGTGCCGTCCTTGGCCATGCCGGTCGCCGTCGGCATCAGGATTTGCAGGCAGCGGACCGTGCTAGTATGTCCGTAAAATACCTGTTGGCATAGGCCACGCTCAATGTCCCACACTCGCACCGATCTGTCCGTTGAACCAGAGACCAGAATGTTGCCCTCGTACTGGAGAGCCCAAACGCCACCTTCATGGCCCTCGAGCTTCCTGCGGAGTTTGCCAGTCTTGGTGTCGTAGATGTGGATGAGAGTATCGTCGCTGCCAGTAATAATCTTGTCATCATCAAACTGGAGGCAGGTAATAACGTGTCGAGGATGGGCTGCAAACGCTACGTGGCTCGGCTTTGTCTCGCCGTTGGTCCAGCTGTGGCGAATCATGTAGTGGCGGCGATAGAGGGACTTGAAGAGATGGAGCTGTCGTAGACTCGGCAGGCCCAGCTGAGGGTCGGGAACGGCTTGTATGGCAGCGGTGGCAGCTGAAAGGGGTCCGGCCGACTTGTGCTGCTTGGCCTCGCCTTGAGCCTTTCCGTCCCGGTTGGCAGCCACCTCCTGGGTGCTGGCTCGCCGCTTGGAACGCTCCGAGCTGCTGTAGGCATTGAGACCACGCTTGCGCTTTGAAGTCCTCACTTTTGGTGCCGCCTCTTGCTTCAGAGCCTGGGTAAGCTCTTTTTCCGACGACGTTAGCCGGCTTTGCATGCTCAAGTCCTGCTCGTAGCCATCGATGCCAACCGGATCCTGCCATCCCCACCCCTGAAGAATGGCCTTGCTGAGCTCTCCAGGGGGGAGGGTGAAGCCATCTCTATCGAACAACTCTTTCCAGCCGGTCTCGTTTTGATCTACAATATTACGCCAGTGTTTCGATACTTGGGCGGCACGGGTAAGGTCGCGAAGGTCGAGGTAGAAGAGAATATGGTAGCTCAGCTCGAGGGGCAGTTGCTGTAAAAAGTCACACTTGAGTGCGGGATTCACAGCATCGGCCACGATGCGGAGCGTCGGTCGAGGACACCGGCGGAGGAATTGGTACATCATGAATGTCTTCATCTCCGTCTTCATCGAGTCAAACGCCTCCAGCAGCATCTGCGGGTCCAGCGTGACGGGCTGGTGCTGGTCGTATCGCACCATGGCTCGCTTGCCGTGGGATGGACGTTCAAAGGGCACCAGGTCGGTAAATTCTCCATCTTCCGTTAATTGAGACTCCCCCATCCACGTGCCCGACTGTTCCGTCTTGAAAGACTGGGCAGTCTCGTCAGGGTCGGCAGAGTGCAGCTGGGCAGCGGCCAAGGTTGGGGATAATCTCGGACTAGGAAGACTGGCATCCTGGGCAGCAACGACATCGATTGCGGGCCGGTGCTGCGGACGCAGTGACGGCTCCAGGGATTCGTCGGTGTCATCTGCAAAGGATTCCGGGTCTGCATCGGTAATCGGTGGGGTGGCGACGGTGCTGCTAAAAGTGTGGGCATCACTCCCGGCGGGACTGGATGCCTCGTAGAAAGGAGACTTGGAACGGCCGCGAATGACGTCTTGGGAATTGGGTGAGTATTCAGCATGTATAGACCGGCGCTGCAATGACCGGCTCGGTAATGATCCGGCCGTCTCCGTGATATCAGGCGTTGCAAGAATACCAATCGAGGTATTTCTTGTCACTCTATCGCCGGCATCGTGACGTAGATTGCTGCTACCGCCGCCGCTGCCACTTCCAGCGCCACTTCCGCTACTTCCTTGTATGACAGACCGGCGCAGCCTGTTGGACACGGCATGCAAGGCCGACGAACGTGCTAGACGCTGTGAAGACCTCGTCGCAGTGGCTGTCGGGGACTCTGCGGCGGCTAACCGATTGCTTCGGCGAGAGTAAGGCTCGGATGGTGAGACTGACGGCATGCGGCTCAAGGCGTCTGGTGTCTGTATTTCGCCGGATATTGACTCCTGTTTGATGATGGGTGGGGCAATCCCATTACTCTGGCTTCTCTTTGTCTATTATCGCAAAAGGAAAATCTGGTTAGCAAAATAGAGACAGGTTTACCGACACTCGTTGTGTTCGCCTCCCACTCACCAGTTGGCTGTCGTCGTGGTCATCGTCATCATCCATCATTTCTGCATCGAAATCCTCTTCCTCAGCGCCATAATTGTAGGAAAAGTCGGCCAATTCAGGAGGCGTCGGCTTCGTAGCCAAGGGATACTCCTTGGTGTCGAGACTCTCCAGGGGGGCGGGGTCGCGGACGAAGACCTGGGGGAACTTCCTGGTCAGGCGAGTTGTGGTGGTGACGGTCTTAGTCTCGACACACTCGCTGACGTGGAGCTGGAACCGGCGGTTGCCGTTGGGCGGCGTGCTCTCGGCGATGTTGACGGAGACGGTCTGCGTGTGGCCGCTCCTGGGCCGCCGCGGCTCGAGGCCCTGCTGCGAGGATGGCGAGGGCGTCATGGCGTCTTGATCGGAAACGCCCTGGCGGCTGGTTTCCAGGAAGACGTCCAAGACGGCCGCGGGCTGCTGCTCTGCGAGATGCCGCTTGGGTCTGTTTCGTTTTTGTGTTTCTCTACTGTAGAGACGAGAGTGGATGATTTGGGAATCGAGGAAGGTGGAGGAAATGTTCAGTCAGGGTGATGTATGTCGTAAGAGTTTGTGTCGACCAAGGAGGGTTTTTGCGGTTAGTGCGCGTGAGCCAAGCGTGGCTTTGCTGCACTTCGGACCACGCGTGAGAGACTGAAACGGCAACGCAGGACACGCAGAGAGTCCCAAAGCCTTCACGGACTGCTGGACAAGGAAAAGAACGCGGCAAACACAAATAGAGAATCGAGAGATGCGCAGCACACGCTTTTTTTTCTTGTTGTTGTCTGCGGAAACGAAGGGCGGGATAGCGGCGTGGCCGGTGGCCGTGAGAATCCGGGCTGCGTCCCCTTTTGTGGCGGGCGATATTAGATAAGGCAGCGCCTGCTGCAAGTGCTAAATTGCTAGCGCCAAGCCTTGTAACAGGTTGGCAGTTGCCGTTCGATGGAGGGCGTTGGGCACAGATACAGAGGGGTTTAGCGGCTGTTAAGGGGGCACCTGCGGTTTGATTTTTTTTTTTTTTTTTCTCTCGGCGGTAACTGAGAATTTGGTTTCAATCGCCACTAGCAGAGGTACTCCGTACTTGCGTCCAGCGGCTGCCTTGGCTCGCTAGCGGGCAAAAAGAAAGAACTGGAGCCTGCTGGCCTTCAGCTGACGTTGTATTCGGTACCGGCCACCGCTAGAGGCGCTAGGGCGTCGGTAATGGGTACGTACCCCGGACCGCCCAGATGGATGACATCGAAGCCTTTTTGCTAGCCTCGGCCGCGACGGGTATAATGGCTGCCAAGGCCAAAATAAACATGGACGAAAAGAGTGGAAATTGCAGCTTGGAAACCGAAATCTTCAAACAAGTTTACAGAAGACGGTGGGACTGTTCAGCTCTGTCTGTGCTTGCCGTGTCGATCTCGCTCGGGCTCGGATGTATCTTTTAGTGGCCGTGGTTGCGTGCTTTGAGGTGTGATTGGGTTCGATGACAAGCCAAAGTCCATAAGGCTGCCTACTTTATTCACCCTCTATGGCATTCATCCTAATAACATGTCCTTTCACCAAGGTATCTAGGCATCATTCGACAGTCCCGTCAATTCCCTTCATGCCCAGTTCTTGTCCCCGCCGGAACCGAGAGCCATTTTCTCGGCTGCCGGTCCAGCATCTCATGGCTTCCTCCCGGCAAAGGCACCGCAACAAAAGTCCTCTCCATTGCAATCAATATCCGCGTCCATCACATCTCAATCACCAACAACGCTAGACTAGCAGAGCGGCAAGCTGACCGGGAAAACGCTCCATTTACTGGAATAGGATATCTCAACCCAACGGCCCAAAGAGTCGTCACGTTCGAATAATTGTAATTGATACTACTTACCTGCATCGCCTATTTCCCTTGCCGTTCGTGCATAATCATGTGCTTTTCCCCTCTTTCAGTTTTTTTCGTTACTACTGCACGACATCTGCATGGGCGGCGGTATCTGCGTCTCTAAAGTGGGCGGATGCGCACGTTATAGATGCATACAGGACAGGAGACCAATGAAACTGCTGAGCACTCAAATGCTTAATAAATACATGGAATAACTCCATTGTCAATAGATTATCAACAAGTCTATCATTTGGAGACAAGCAAGGTTACCCGTGAAGCATTCATGAGCAATCTCAAGAATATCAGAGTCCCTCATCCGACATGTAACCTCGTACTTGTACAATGGTGCAGGGTATGAGCATCTCGTCCATCAAAAAAAGACACATGGCCCGGCACATCTGCAGCTAAGCAAAAGGAGGAGGCACCGATGGAGCACGAATGGCTTGCGTCTGAGTATTTGCGCAGTCGTTTTTAGTTCTCTTTTCCTCGTCCCCCTGGGCTTTATTCCTGGTTTGCAGCCCGGCTCGTCGCACCGTCGCGGGCGGCAAAATGCTTGTCTTTAGTGCACTCTCCACACCTTTACAGCGGGCGTAGACGAAACCTTTTGTACGAAGAATCGATCCATCGTCGTAATATCATAGAATTCTGTATTCAGCAGTGAATTGCCAAATACTTCATCCATGCCCAGTATTATTCCGTATTCTGACATGTAGCCATGTCCAAAGCATGACCTGCCAGCCGTCCATAAACCGAATAATGCTTTCATTGGTCTAGACCGGGATATCCAACTACGCCACATCAGCTTCTGCCAGCGCAGCATGCACCAGCCGAAGAAGGAAAAATGCTACAATAGGTAAACCATGCTCGGCTAAGAAATTGTGCCGCTTCTGCTTACCTACAAAGCCCTCAGTACCACGTATATTGCTAAGCAAATGCCTTGCATTGGAGCATGAGTAAGTGGTATTTGACGGGGCACATCCTATTGTACCAAATGCGGCGTCCCGAGCTCTCCGTCAACAGTAAGCCAATAGGCAGCTCCCGAGACCAGAACCTTCGATCGACAACTTAGTCAAGCAAGGCTGATAGGCTACCCCCGGACGACTCAAGGCACAAGGTTATGAGGCGTGAAGCGTATTCGGGCTAGAAACAGTAAGACTGCGTATTTGTAGTGACGTACGGCATGATTCAACTCGTATAGGACATCTTGTCGTCAAGGCAGATTGGGCTAACTGGTGGGTGATAATGGCTACTAGTAGAAAAAGGGCAGAAAGCGACAGAGATTATTTCTTCTATTATTCAAGGACCATGATCAAGCCAAATATGCGAATGCTAAAGGACCGGCTCCCCTGTACTGTTAACGATTAAATCCAAGTGTCTATAAGATGCAACAGTTTCTATACCCAATAATTATGCAATCTCCCAATAGAGCCCTATAATTCTCCTCCAAGTGGCCACCAAAAATAAAAGGAAGATGAGAGAAGAAAAAAACCAATATCAACTGGCTATGCATGCTCGTGTAGTTTATATGCTGTCAAGATGACGTTATGTGGACAAAAACAAAGCGCTTGCTCTATGAGATGTAAACAGGCATTCGACTTCCCAGCAGCTCGCTCTTGGGCAGCTGGACGTCTTTCTTGTTGAAATTATGCAGCATCAGCCAGCAGATCATGCGGAAAACGAGTGTGCACCAAATGTCGTCATGCGAGACCTCCAAGTCTGCTAGTGAGCCTTCGTATGTGGTTTCTGGCGTCTCTTCAACCGACACAGAAATCTTTGGCTTTCCATCGGCGAACTCTACATGGTTGCCTCGTGTTGAAGGCGACCGCTCCCTGTTCTTGAAAATCGACTCACGCGCGAGGCTCTGGGGGCGAGAGTTGATGGAGAGCGGCGACTTGACAATGCTGCTTCTTCGATTTGCGTTCATAGTATTCAGCTTCACTGCAGGGCGAATATGGTCAAAATATACGTCCATGAGAATTTTCTGTCGATCGTCAGGCCCCGCCTCATCCACGTCGTCAAATGGACGAATCGGTGCCTTTACTCGAGGCCTTGGCGAAAGCGCTCGTCCGCTGGTCCGATAAGACTGCCCATCCCCATTCACATCTTCTTGTTGATTGAGCAATCGGAGTAATTCCTGGATATGATGTCTCAAGACATCTTGAACGAGGTCCCGCCGGCTGTCGTGCACCTCTGCGTCAGAAGGTTGATCGTGCGGTTTATGGTGATCACGCGACTTGTCCGAATCGCCTTCAGTATCGTGGCCGTTATGCCTCTGCATTTTTGTTCTCGCCGTGAGAACTTCATCAGTGTCATCCAGAGCGGCGTGGAGTGATTTCAACAGGAGCCATCGATCAAGAGCCTTTTCCTCGGCCTGGTAGTTTAGTATTTTGGTAATATGTCTCCTATACCGCGTGATGATTGGAGAATTATGCTCTCCGCCCCCGGGCTGTGTCTTTGCAAAAAAGGCCTCGAGCATCTTGGGCAAGGAAACCGATCTCTTGTCCCAGCTATGTGGTGTTGGATTGGGGAGGAAAGTAAAGTTGCTGCTCTCGATGTGGAATATCCGACTCAACATGCCGAGGATCTCAAACGATACTGATGGGGCGTGTTAGCTTCATTAGGTGTACGACTCAAAGGTCATGTAGAGGAGGACCAAGTCAAGTCAAGTCAACTCAAAGAGTAACTTACTGGGGAATAGGTGGGATGTCCTTCTCCCCTCTTCTAAAAAGATTCTAGTTGTATTATTGTTGCAACCGATGGCAGTCAAAGTCTCGGAAATTTCTCGCGAATTGCCCATCAAGAGGGTGGCGAGATTTTGCTGCTCATCGCTTGGCGGTTTCAATCGCCGCTGATCATCCTTTTCACGATAGACGGTGGGAACATAGCCGAAGCACAGTTCCTTGATCTCGTCGACGGGAACGACACGGTTTCGCTTAAAGGTGCATTGGCCATTGACTTGGAACGAGAACATGAGCCCGGGGTCACTAAGCCTTTCGCCCAAGATCATGAATCCGTTGCCCTCGCCCCAGTAACGATCACGCTTGCGATCAAACTCCTTCCAGTACACGCCAATGGCCGCCATCATCTCTATCAAGTGGCACATGGTAGTGGTGGCATAGGGCTTAGTAACAGAGATGGGCATGGTATCCCAGCTCTTGCGTTTTCGCTGGACAGCAATTGTTAGAGTGTGATGGTCCGCCAGTGCTGGAGGCTTGGGCGGAAAAAGGTTACTTGGAGGCCCAAAATCCTTGTATTCGTCGTCTTGCCATTCTCGCGATTCAACCTCCATGCGCTGGGCGGCAAAGAGCAGCACATACCAGGCGGCAATCTCATTGTCAGAGGTGTGAATTTGTTCTTTTCTGGACCTATCATGGTATGCTTTGCGCAGATCCAATTTTGCAGTTGTGTTTGTGTCTTTCTGGGACTGTTCGCTGCCATCCAGATAGTATATGTCAGCATCTACAACGGGCCCATGCTTATTTGTTGGCGGCGAGACGAAAATGACGGGCACGTCGAATTGAACCTCAAATCGCAGTTCATCAAAGCGAAACCGTCTCGTCTTGGTCCTGGCCCAGCCGCCCATGACCTTTTCATTGCAAAGTGAATAGCCCTGAGCGGACGCATAGTACTGCTGTAGCACTTGCATGAACGTGGCTAGCAGTGCCACGACGGACACCACCAAAGCCACGGCAGCCACGACAAAGTCGGAGTTGTTGTTGCCGCCATTGTTGTTGTTATTGCTGTCGCTGGTGGAGTTATTCATCTTGGACTAGGACTAGACGATAGAGAGATGAAAGTAGGAGGAACAGGATCAAAATGCGTTGAAATGCATATATGACCGCTGGAAGGGTTGCGGCCAGTTCCCAAGCCTCTCGCGAGGCGAGTGAGACGTAGCAAAATCAGATCGGTCGATATATGCAGCAACCCTCTATCACTCAGGCTAGGTCGAGACCAATTCGGCTTTGTCTTGGGAATGAAGGAGGCTCCGCGCGTGCTCAATGGAGAGCCGTGAGATGACCCTTCCGTTGTCCAATGCTGCCTTGTGCGAAAGAAAATCGCCTCCTATCGACTGGAGCGCCGTACCGAGTACATGCGGCTCTATGGGGCCGAGAATGCGTTGCCGCCAGCTGCCTGAGTTAGGCCGTAAAGGTGGTATCGACAGCGAATTGTGGCAGAGACTGATTGGCAGGACACTCCATGATTTGCATTTGCCTCAAGTCTGCGGCCTCTGCTGCCTCTGCTGCGGTCGACTCAGGGCTCTCCGACGGGCGGCCTTTCGAAAGTCGGCCTGAGGAGATGAGGCGCGCGGGACGGTGCGGCGCGACTTGGCTGGCGCCATTGGCCCAGCCTCCAAAAAGCCACTGCCATGAGTTTGTGTCCATACTGTAGGCCGCCAATTGCTAGTGCAGCTCAGATAATCGAGAATCCGCAGCGGACGGACACAGCATAGGCCTTGGGGCGAGGCCGGGGTTGGAGGAGCCGACCCGCATGCTGGCTATGCTAGCCTTGACGTGAGAACATGTGGTGAACACGATTTGAACAGGAGCGTTAAGAAGAGAAGATGAGTTGAAGCGAGCCGAGACAGAAAACGAAGCCAGAATATGCCTTGATTATAGAGAAATGTGGTGTTTCTTCTCTCCAGAAAGGCAAGGAAGGCGTGGAATGATCTCAATGCCAAGACAGTGGGTGGTGCTAAGCGTCTGTACCCATAAGTATCGACGGCGACCTGTAGATGCTCGCCTCACCGCCAACGCTAGTGGAGGATGGTGGAGCAGCAAGCCCTGGTACGCGCTGCAGTGCTCCGCAATCCGCTATAGCCTCATGTACACGCAAGTACATGTGGTGCCTCAGACATCAACCACACATTCTGTACTTGGATTAAGCTACGAAAACACGATGCACATGAACTAACAGCTTCAGCAAGGCATTGCCTCTCAATATATGGACGTCATTGGCAGATGTAGCCAGAGTAGTCCGACAGTGGCGCTGAAATCTGTCGATTGGACACATCTGCAAACCGCATAGGCAGCTCGACCAACAACGCCAGATACAAAGCCTTGTCTCGAGTCTTGAGACTCAGGATCTCGATCACGAATCGCATCACATGGCTCGTCATGCCGCTGCTTCGGTGATTACCGCTGATCCCCAAGGAATGAATGACTGGATGCGTGTTTCCACACCGGCTAACAGCATAGACTCAGTATAGGCGCCATCATATACCCGATGGTCTGGAATCGATAGGCGGTTACACCTCAAGCCACTCTATCCTCACCGCCTGTTTTGTCCTACGTGAGCCTTTGCCTCACCATAAATCGAGGTATGGATTATCGTGTGAGTCTCGTATATTCAGCAACCTGCCATTTGATAGCTGGTTTGGCCGACTACTCGTCAGATGCGAGAGCCTTCTGTGCGTACCATTCATCCACTTTTGTCATTTAAGCGTCGCTTTCCAACAACTCAGCTTCTAATTATATTCAAGCCTTACAGTCTACCGGCCTGCATGTGGTAGGGCCAAGCGGAAGGCTTCTCCGTTCATGGCCTGTCGCTGAATTAGACCAAGCAGCTCGGTTCGGAAAGCGGCCCGGCGGTCCAGCCGCCAGAATCGCAGGCCGTTTCCTAGTAGGTAGGGAAAATGTCTCAATCCCAGGCAAATGATATGTGGCAAGCTGGCTTACCAACAGACACTACCTGTGGAGTAGCGGAGATAAAAGACTAACTTGGATCATGTTGATCTAGAAAGCACAAACATGGTAGTTATTATGTTACCTACATGTAGCCTGGTTTCATCATCCAGTGGAATGAGGTAAGTGGCTGTGCGGTAGAATCATGTATCAGGCTATGGACTTATACTGATTGGCCATTGTAGAAAAGAAGATTAGGAGTATTGCTCCGCCCCAAACACTCTGGAAGCTGCAAGCCTATGTGCATGGAAAAGTGATCTGGCCAACAACAAATCCTCCCTCGGGTCCTTGCGGGTACGAAAACGGGGCCGATGTGCCCACACGGATGGAAAATTAGTGAAAAGATGCGACGAAGAGAGCTCATCTTTAGTAACTACTGAGTTTGAGATGGCTCTAGGCTTCGCACTCTACACTATAACACCCTTGTTTCGACACAATGGCGAATCGTTGGTCTGCGTTGGCTGGATATCACGGAGAAGCACCTTGCACCATACTGTAGGCTTTCGTCTATTGTTGCCCAGCCTTCTTGGCCACGCCCTCTCCACTAACGGCAGCCAATAATGGGATCCACTGTGATTGCGCCCAACACCAATATATGCGGTGGCAGGCTGGATGCAGAAGGCTCTCTCCTCTTGAACTGGATACGAGCTCCGCCAACTTCAAAAAGAGCCAATGATGCGGCTTTCCGCGTACCTGGAAATGTGAAATATGCAGAGTGATACACAAGGAACCGCCCGTTTTGAGTATGTGATGCGCTATAACTAACATTAGAAAGAGACGTGTTGGGCTGTTTGATGTACGGCAGAGGGTGGGTGGTTCATCTTGGTTTCTATAATTAGTCCAATACAGCCTGATATTTTTTTGCCATATACTTATCTTCTCCCTGTCCTGGAAATATCTCGTTCTATAACCCTCTAGTTATCAATCTGAAGTTAAAAATTGTTCACACACTTGCGAGACAATGGGCGGCTTGTTGACAAAGCCGGCTACAGAGTCATCTGTTGACCGATTGACAACACTATCCAGAGACATTGAAGAGAAGACGCGATATCTGACCGATGCCTTACGATCAAAGGGCCTCGAAGCCCCTTCTTACAAGGCAAACGGCCTTTCTGACTTTCCTCTTACAGAAGTTGAAGCCGTGAGGACTAGACAGGAATTGGTAGCACTGACAAAAGAACTTCATGACCTTGTTTTGGGTCCTCGAGAAAGCTTGAAGAACATGGCTTGGGAAGTGAGCTACAACCTTGATATGCTACCCACAGGTCTTGCGAACGCCCCTCAATGCTAACTGTGTGAGTTATCCAGTCAGTCAGCTACATACCTTTGCAGGCAATATGCGAGTTCAAAATTGCAGAGGCTGTACCATTGACAGGCTCAATCTGTTATGAAGAGTTGGCAATCAAGGTACATGATTTGACTGGCATCATGATAGTACCATCGGATCTGCGACGATTGATGCGCCTCGCCATTGCCAACAACATATTCCAAGAGCCCAAGATTGGTTCGGTCGCTCATAATCGGGCATCTTTGCTGCTGCTAGAGGACGAGTCCTTGGCTAGCTGGACGGCATTTTATACGATGGACCTCTTGGCCCCTATATCTCAGACTGTTGCCGCCATGAAGGCGTGGCCTGGTTCTCAGGAGACTAACCAGACGGTAAGCACAAGTTCAACAGTACTCTTAAAGATTAGGATGCTGACGAGCTACAGGGTGTAAATATTGCGTTCAATCACAATGAAAGCTTCTTCGATCACCTACAGGCGGATGAAGCTCGAGCAAGGCGATATGATCTAATGTTGCAGTCTCATGGCCAGCGAGAGGGATACAATCTATCACACACCGTGTCAGGATACCCTTGGGCGAAACTGGGCAAGGCAACTGTTGTCGATGTAAGTTGTATCTTCATTACTCTCTTGCAACTGCTGGCTAATTTCGAGGTTTAGATGGGCGGCAACGAAGGATTTGTAGCAATCGCTCTCGCAGAAGCCTTTCCCTCATTGTCCTTTATCGTGCAAGACCTGGAAGGCATGCGAACACCCGAAATGATGGATAAGATCCCCGAGCATCTCTCCAGCCAGATATCCCTCACGACGCACGACTTCTTCCAGCCTCAGACAGAGACAGGGGACGCATATCTATTTCGCCACATTTTCCACGCATTCTCAGACAAATACGCAATCAATATTCTTCGTGCGCTGATACCTGGCTTGAAACCGGGAGCTCGCATCATTATCAACGATATCGTACTTCCTGATCCTGGTGTGGTATCACGACTGGAGGAAAAGAGCATTCGAACGATGGACGTGCTGATGAAGGCGGTGTGCAATTCTAGAGAGCGAGAGATGGATGATTGGAAAAGCCTGTTTGAGCAGGCTGACAAGCGTTTTCGATGGCAGGGCGCATGGAAGACGAGCGGCAGGTTGTGGTTTATCGAGAGTACGTGGGAACCTTGATTCTGTAGTCGATGGCTTCAATGAACAGGACGAAGTTCCGAGGAGCAACATTCCTGTACTGGTGGAATCTCTCTGTGCGGCCCAATATCTCTTTTGTTTCTTGGCAATTTTGTAATAGCAGGTGCGTCATGATTGATTGATCGTCTACGAGATGACATAAGTGAGAATGGGTGTTTGGATTGAGTGACTGCACGTTACTATACATCACATTAGATGACCAAACCGATAATTATGTAGTAGAAAGATGCTTGGTATGTTGTCTAAGCTCACTATGGTCTATATCATCATTTTTTTATAATGCCAAATGTGTATGACCAAGAGCTACACGACCAAGTAGGAAATTGTTTTTTCCTTTTGAATAGGAAACACACTGTCTATTGTAGTGTTCTTAGTTGTTGTCAGATTTCCTCGAGCGTAATCTGGTCAGCGGCCATGCGGTCGATTTTCTTCTCTATACCACCAAAGTACTCTGTCTGTTCTCTCTCTAGTTGATCCATCTTGTCCATGACTAGGGATATCCGCTCAGTCGCAGTTGTAATCCTGTTTCCTTGCTCTACACATGCGTCAAAAATACTTTGTCGAATTTTGTCGAGGTGGCAATCCATGTATTCCTTCAAGCGGACTTCAAGGCTCTCAAGATCACTAGTTACGGCCGATGTGTTGGTCAGAAGGGGAGAGTCATTCGATTGGCTGAGAATGGTAGCCATTTGGACTTCTGAGGGTCGAGTCTCCTTGCGCTTCAATTCTCTGGCCTGCTTCGGACAGTAAGTGCGATATGTCCTCTCGAGGTCTTCGATTATATCGCACTTGGCGGTGCCTTGCACTTGGCGGTCAAGAGTAGGCATCTTGACATTGCAGTAGAGCGACTTGAGGAAAATATATTTGGCCCATGTCGGCGAGACATGGCACGACCCGTAGACGCTGTGGCTGCTTGGAGTGTAATTTGCAAGTCCCTGTCTAACGAACTGCTGTTGCTCAATGAGAGTTTTGTATTCGACCTGGTCCTCAATAGTCATATTGGTTGCCTGTCGCCAGTATCCCTTGACAACTCTGACAGCGTAGTGATACTGTTCGTGATAATCTTTGTACGGAATATCGGAAAGTTCGATGCGAATGGGTGGGATATTTGGATTGAGACACGGGTTGATTAGCGTCATGATCGATGACGGTAATACAAGGGTGTAACCAAAAAGCAGACGACTCGGAGTTGGTTGACGACCAAACAAAGTATGGTGATAGTGGTGAGGGCTGAGTTTGAGGTCAAGTGGGAAAGGAGAATGAAAAGACGAAACTTTAACGACTCAAACGGAATAATCACTTGCATTTTATTTTAAAAAGGCGTGTTTGGCTTATTCTTGTGTGGTGAGCTGCCATCATTAACGTTGGTTGAGCAAACGCAGTCACCAGATGCCATGGGTCTGTTGAAGTTGGGGATGACTAACAATATTCACTTTGTCTGTCAGGAAGATGATAGCCAGTAATTGCAGGAATGAGTGTATAATTTACCAGAAAATGTTATCTGATATGTAGAAGAGATAGAAGTACGTGTTGGTAGGATTAGCTAAACAATATTTCCATGTCAATTATTTCCCATGTCATTGTATAACATGCGAAAACCGCTTCTTGCAACATGCACGTAGAAGCTTTAAATTTCTGTAGGCGATGCAATTTTAATGAACACGGTGAAGTGTCACGTAGCGATATTCCTCTGCATTTGTAATAATCTCGTGGAGTCCATGGGAGTGCTAAGACGCGTATCCATTCTGTCGCTTTCATGTTCGAAAAATATCGGAGCCTCTGGTGACTGCGCAGCCAAGGCTGTTGTGACACTCATTATTCACCGCCAACTCACGACGCAAGTAACTAATGCGTGGCATTATGAACCCTGTGCCGCGTATTCCTCCCCTTGTAATCGAGGTTTTTGAATTTACCTATTGCAGAGACGCGTCATCCATTTCCACTTGCTCTCAGGGTCCTTGAGGGATACTAGCGACAGGCAACAAATATGACTATTAACAATCAGTGGGAGTACAAGGATCTTGATGAATTCCAATACTTCTTTATGAAAAGAGAGCACGGGGAGGAGATGGACTCCCCAATCAATCACCGCAGCTTCAAGGGGTAACTAATCTCACCCACTTGGGTGAAGTAAGTGTTCTTGAAATCGTTATTCGGCGAGGAATCTATATCCGCCATCGACAGCTTTGTGATCAAGACATTCAAATCGCTCAAAACTCTTGACCTTGAAAAAGACCATCGCAGTCGCCACCTAGATCTAGAGGGATTCAAAGCCGTAAAGCGCAATATTTCCTCTATCATTGTATGGCATGTAAATCGTTTCGTGTAGCATGACGCGTGCCCGCTTTCCTCTAAATAAACCGTTACTAAAGAAGGAAAAAGTACGAAGTAAAAACTAAATATAGGCAAGGATTCCTCAAACCTTGCTCTTAACAACAGTCCTGTTTGCGATATTCCTTTCGAAATTCACAATCATGGCAACATGATGTGACAGCGCAACAATATCGCCCGCTCTATCGCATATAATAATCTCGACATCAGATCGGCCGTTGAACGTCTTCTTCGCCAAACACCTTATGAAAAGCCATTTCTCGCCCTCGTCCGGCAACTTCTTCTTTACATCAAGATTCATCACCAACGTGGGATACCAAAAGGCAACCTTTTGCGTGAACTCGCCCCCTGCGGCTGGAGGCTCGTTCTCGGTACGAGGCCGCTGCACCTCCACCACAAAGGACGCCGTGACGTCGACGAGGAAGCCTAAAGCTGGGTCTTTGAATGGCTCGCCGTTCTTGGTACAAACCCACAAGTCGATGAGGGAGATTTTGCCGTTCTTTTCTAAGGCTTCGCGGTTGTGGTAGATGTTGAGCTGCTTCACAGCGTTGACTTTGCGCTGGATGACCAGGTCCAGAGGCAGCCATTCCGGATCTTGATTCGTGAGCAGTTTTGAAAAATCCTTGACGGAAGGCAGCTCCGGCTGCAGAGTCCAGCCAGTGTTGAGGCTGATGCCGCTCTCGGCCGCGATGCTCCTGTTTGTCAGATACGCGACGACAACTTTTTCTGACTTTGCTCGGCCGTTTACTGTGCCGGATGAGATCCACGGGGCTTGAGGAAGAAGACCGGTCTGGTAGAGTGAGACATGAACTACTGTCATGGAGCGGCCGGGCTTGACCTCGTCGATAACGAGAATGGCACGGCCAGAGACGGTGCGGCTGAGAAACTCCCAGTGCGCGGCGATGGTGTCGGGTTGGTTTCTGGGAGTGAGATATTCTCTTGCTGCGCGCAGAAAGATTGTGGCGACGTAGCCGCCATTGGGGACTGGAAGAAGAATGGTGTTAATGAGTCTTAATCTCAGGCTTGTTTATTATGGCACACGTCTGGTGTATATACGGGTACATGAGTATATGTGTGTAACATACCTGAGCCTACGCAGAAACTAGGCGATAGATTCGCCTCAAACGTCTTGTCATCGAGTCTCTTGATGGCGCTCTCCTGCTCTAGAGACGCAGGGATCTGGACTTCGGTGCTCATTGTGTCTGTTCTAAACTCCCTTGAAACTAGGGGCTCCCTGGCTATAAAGGGTTGTAGATCCAGAGGGGAGAGGAAGAAAGAAGGAGAGAAATAAAAACGGCAATCAGAACTGGCTATTTTGGGGAATATCTTAGTAACACCTAGACATGAGATAAGACGTAGAATTGTGCAGGCAGATAACGAGTGTTTAAAGAAGCTTGAAAATGTCTTTCCAGACAACCCCGTAGATATCCCCAGAATGTGCCCGAGCCGAGGCTGCCCCGCCGAATTAAGCAACCGATTACCCGTCGCATTTAGTTGACTTGGCGCAAAATTGACTGCTGACGGGGCGCTTTTAGCGAGCTGAGATGGTGCCAAAAGTGGAAATAAGTCGGTGCTGCGTTTGCCGTTTGTGGGGGTTGCCGCTGATGGATTGCCGCTGATGGATAGCCGGGATTTGCGGGGAGCAGAGTAGCATTTGAAAGACTGGGAAGAGCTGCATTTACAATTAACAGCAACAACAGCAGCATTCATTGCTGCAAGTATTAGAATAGCACCATATTAAGTTGGAGCTGTTGCATTGATTCTTAGCTTTATCCATGTGATTGCCCCAGCGTCGGTGTTTACTCATCGTGGGCTACCTCGGCTAAGCCGCTCTGGCAGTCGTTTATAGCGCTCCTCTCTTGCAGCGGACACGGGTTGGAAAGGCCCCAATTGATGAAATATGGAGTTTAAATCTCGCCATTGATATTGATTACTCGGAGCTTGTGTGGCTGATTTTGTACAAGGTAAAACGAGTGGCCGAATATGATGAAGTCTATGCAGACGATAGATCTAAGGCGAATAGACGCTTAAAATACGTATACAAACTCTATGAGGCCTATCAACTCTCTTTATACCATGGAATCCACTCCATCTATGCCTGACATGTATGATGTAAACAGTTGCAAGAAGATGTCTACTCAAACGTCACCTTGATGACCTGCGTATGATTATTATTCGTATACGCAATCGTCAACGTCTTGCCAGTCTCATCCAGATACGGATACGCAACTCCCGCATACACAAAGCCGCCATCAATCGGCGTCGCCTCATATACTTCTTTATCCTGACTCCACGGACCTTCTGGCTTTGGAGCCGTTCTCAATGCCACTTTAGGACCATCTAAATCTCAGTTAGTTTCTCCATCCAAACCGTGTCTCTTTCAAACTTACTCAAATGGACATATACATAGCATTTAAAATACTCGCTGTAAACGACCTGGCCCTGTCCAGCTCCCCACATGACCGCCGTCTCAGAATTGTGCTCCGTCAACACCTCTGTCCGCCATCCTTTCTCTCTCCCCCACCAGTACTCGTACGCGTCCAGGTTGAAGGCGTCTGCTGCCTTGACTCGAGCCTGGTAGATGTACTCTGTATGCGGCCACTCAGTGACCCAGTTGGGCGGATGGCCCCAGATGTAGATGTACTCGCTGTTGACATCGCGATAGGCGGCGATGTCGCCGTATTTGGCAACCTCTGAACAGTCCCACCACCAACCGCGGTCGCCGAGACGTTGAGTAATGGTAGGCACGCCTTGAATAACCTCGACTCGGGCGACGCCTGCAGAGCGGTAGTTTTCGTGATCGTTCTGTTTGTAAGTGTAAGTGAGTGTAGCTGCTCATCCAGCCTTTTCCAAGAGCACAGAGAATAGAGAGTATCAGCAAACAAAACCCACCACGAGGAAATATACCGCTCCAACCGCCTCCTCATAATCAACCTCGCAAATACTCGTCCCCCCAAAGCCAAACTGGCTCGTCTCCCCCCACTCCTCCCTAAACGGCGTAAACTGCTTCTGATGCGGCACCGGCTCGTCGTCGTTCAGATGCAAATCACGCACCACCAGCGCATCGTCCGTCAGCGCCGACACCGCGTTGCGCACCATGCCGTGGAAGCCGCCCGGGTCGGGCTCCTGGTCCGGATCCGTCACGCCGGGGCTGCACCAGAGCGTGTCGCCGTAGACGGCGTACCATTTGCCCTGGATGTGGCCCGCGAAGCCGAGATCTCGTCGGCTGGCCGAGTTGCTGGACTTTTGCTCGCCTAGGTACTCGGCTGTGAAGTTGCCAATGGGGTTTGTGCCTTGTGGCTGCGTGTTGTCGATGCCGTTGGGTGAGTGGAGCGAGCGTTTTTTATCTTTGGGGTTGTCCTCTGGCTGAGGTTGGGGGTTGGAATTCTTGCCTGTGAGGCTGTGGAGCATCTTTTTGAAGCCGCTCATGATGCTGGCGGCGGGAAGAAGGAAGCGGGGGGGAAAGAAATAGAATAATGGGGCTCTATATACAGAGCAGTATGGCACAAAAGAATAACTATATCAAAAAAAGAAGCGAAGAAACAAAAAGTTGAGACTGGCTCCCCAGAGATGGAGTCCAAAGGTGTTACCAAATCTATCGTGCTCCTGTTCTCCACACTCCCAGATCACGACGTCACTTCAGCGATCCCGCGATCCGCTGGCACCGCTCTTTACTAGCACTGCCACCTTTATATCTTCACATGCGCTTTAGACTCAGGTTCTACTCACGGCCTGACATGTGAAGTGGATGCGAGACAGTGGCTGGCCGAAAAGGCACATGGCTGCGGAAGCCGTCCGGGTCAGATTAGCGCCCATCCAACTCAATCTGGGCTGAGATTCTCCTATTCTTAGCAACACGTATTTTGGCAGATGCAGTTTCTATCCAGAACGCTCTATTCTTTTGGTGGCAGGGTATCTAATGGGGAAAAAATAGATGGCTATGGATGCACTAATAACAAATGGTCTAATGGATGATAAATAACAAAGAAGCTAATGATATTGAACGCCTTGAAAACCCAACAATTCCGTCTCTTGAAAACAGTAGCCTGCTTCAAAAGTTATACATGTCTCGTTCCATTCTCAACGAGAAAAAGAGAAAGAGTGGTAGTGAAGCTGCTACTCGCCAACACCATTCCATGCCTCACAGCCGTGCAAATACCTTGCCAAAAATCTCCCTCGCCTTGACCAGGTTGATGAGGCTCATCCTCTCATTAGCCAGATGCGCAGAGTCGCTGGCCCGCCCGCAAGGCAAGTGGGCAGCCGGCGCTCCAAACTCCTTCTCCAAAAAGCGAATGGCTGGGATAGAGCCGCCTTCGCGGATGTAGAGCGGCTTCTTAGGCTTGCTCGTCGGCAGCTCGGGCGACTCCAGCGCAAGGGCCTTGCCGTTTGTGCTCAATTCACCTGGATTTGGTCGCTTAAAATTGGCGGCGTCCTGTCGGGGCTCGAAGCAGTCGGGCCAAGCCTCCACAATGGCGTCGCAGAGAATGCGGAAGATGTCGTTGGTCGGATCGCCCAGCCACGGTTCAGACATGTTGTCAATACGGATGCTGATTCTGTTCTCAGAGTCGAGACTGTCAAATTCGCGTTGCAGGAAGCTTGTCAGGGCCGTCGCCATCGCGTCCACTTCCTGCCCTGGTACCAATCGCATGCTGATGTGTGAGTTGGCATGGCTGCTCACCAAGCTACCCTCTGGTCCCGACACGTTGTATCGATGAATCGTCAGGTTTGGCTCTCGCCATGTGGCCAGAAGCGACTTCTTGATCTCTCCTTCAGAGATGGCTTCGGCACTGCGGCGCACTAGGATAGAGGCGATATCATCGTAGCGAGCCTCTTCTTCTGGCGTTACTGGTGGGATGCCGTCGTAGAAGCCTGGGATGAGGACTCGATTGCCGCGCCCCTTTAGTCTTGACAAGACTGCCGTGAGATCTGAAAGAGGCTCGTCATGCATGTAGGAACCGTCAACGCCAGAATGTGCATCAGGACGCGCCGAGTCGACACACACAGTGGCGTGGAGGACGCCTCGCAGCCCGTAAGTCAGACACGGAACTTCATCATCCAGCCAGTAACTGTTGGCCAGCAGGATGTAGTCTACTGGACCAATGTGCTCCTTGTTTCTCTTAATCACTTGTTCAAACCCTCTGGATCCAAATTCCTCTTCTCCTTCAATCAAGAAAATGACATCGTTCTCCAGCTTTTGCGCCTGCATCAAGTCTGTGACAGCGAACAGTGCAGCCAGTATGGGCCCCTTGTTATCGCTGATACCTCGTCCATAGAGGAAACCATTGGTTCCGTGAACAGTGAACGGGTCGGTGGTCCAGTTGCTCTTCTCATTGTCAGCCGATACCACGTCGTAGTGCCCGTAGAACAGAATCCGTTTTCGCCTATCAACTGATTCCTTCTTCCCAGAGAATTTTGCCAACACCACAGGGTTGTGCGATTCGCCTGTACTCAGCATCTCAACATATCCGCCCATGCGCTTGAACAGAGCGCCGAGATAGGTGGCCCCCTTGCGGCAGTCTTCCGCAAATTCGGGTCTGGATGACACGGTTTTGTAAGAAACGAATTCACTCAGGGCAGAGAGGATGACATCGTCCTCAGTCTGGCTCATGTTCTCCGATTTCGGGTCTGCCTCATCCTTGATATTCCATACGCAGATGTCGTTGTCATTAGCCCCCGTGATGTAATATTGTTCGTTTTTGTAAGTTGCGCAGGCGGATGATAGGATTTTGCTCTTTTCTTTGCCATTATGCGCTTTCCACTGGCTGAGGCATTGATATTTTTGGGCGACAGTTCTTGAGACGTGCTGGTATTTTCCATAATGCGCCGTACTAAATTTCTGTAAAACTTGTCAGTAGATGCTGAATTAAGAGCAAGGAAAGCGAGTGCTCACATTAGCCCATCCGTCAGCAGAAGTAGTCCAGAGATAGCCCCAGCCCATCTGAAGCGACATGATGTCTTGATTCTGCGCCTTGATGACTCTCAGCCTCTGGGCTGTGTCCAAGTCCCAGAGCTCGACAATGCCATCAAGCTTTCCGGCGTACAGAAAGGATCCATCTAATGCCAGTGACAGCACAGACTCCGCGTCATCTGCACCAAGGGACATGATTTCCTTGATGCCGGCCCGCTCGGGGTCATCCGGATCAGTTCTACCTTGTGCTCCAAGACTCCAAAGCTTGATTGTGCCATCACCGCCTCCTGAAATCAGCACATCGTCCTCTGGACCAACTTCCACGGTAGGTCCCTTTGCAATCAGCATGCAGTATATGTAGCCGTAGTGGGCAAACTTGCGAATTGCACCACTGTCGATTTCCAAGACATTGTTGGCTCGGGGGATCAAACTCCACTTGTCCTCGCTACGTCGTGGAGTGCTCGTTCCGCCAATCGCTTTGGAGTCGAAAAACCGATGGCTTCGTCGATCGGGATGTCGCTGCGATTCGGGCGTCACTTTTGTGCTTGGGTCGCTCAGGCTGACCCATTGGATCGTCATATTCTGCGCGCCAATGTATAGCGTATCGTACTGCGGGCTGTACGCGGTGGAAAAGATGTCGCCGACATCGTGGTTGCCGTAGATTTCGTACAGGCGTCGAAGCGTTCGAGGGCACCACACGTTGATGATGGGATCGCAGGCACTCGAGAAGAGGTACGAGCCGTCGGGAGAGAGTGAGAGCGACATGACGCTCCTCTTGTGCGCCTGGACCTGCTGGACCTGGTGGAAGGTCGAGAGAGACCAGACGACAATCTCGCCATCTTGCGTGCCGGCATAGATGGAGTCGTGCTGCGGACTGACTGCGAGGGCGAGGACGCTGCTGCTGTGCTTGAGGCTGTGAAGCAGTTCGGGCTGGGATTGTTGGCAGTCGGGCACTTCGAGAGTCGGCAGAACGGCCGCAGCCGGGTCGACCGTGAGCGAAGGCATCGTGGCTAGAGCTGGTCAGAGATTGCTCCTGATGTGAAGCTTGGAATGTGCAGGGCTGGCGGGGCACGCGAGTCGTTGCACCAGACCATAACACGGCGGAATGCAGCTGCACAGCAAGCGAAAGAAGCAGAAGCGAGATATTGCGAGCAAGGAGATTCAGCCTCGTGCGCGCGCTGTGCGAGATTCGGGGAGGACGCGCGAGGATCGCACAATGGCATTTGCCGTCTCACAGAAAAGTCTATGTCTGGAGGACTGAGTCGAGTCACCGCTGACGTGATTGGCAGTAATGACGTGCTTAGTGCGGTTTCGGCGTCAGAGCTAGCTGTCTTACAGGGCTCACAGCGATCGCCTCAGCTGAGCAGGGCCTCTGGGCTACCAAAGCAGTAGCTGTAGGCACCGGATTCTCACTGCTACCTTGCTGCGACTCCTGTGCTGGCTTGCCATCTCTTTGTTGCGGATTGGGAACAACTTGTAGAATGCATCAACCTTCAACTCAGGCCACACATGCTCGCTTTCTCGCTTCCATAGACCTTGGTCGATGCTGTCTCGCAATCTGGTGTAATGTGCCATGTATGGTATACGATGGGAATATGCAAAGATGGACGACAAGCAGCTTGAACTCACCATTACTTCTGCGCATCATTTTCGCCCACTTTTCTCTCGCAGCCATTTGAACGCATTTTGTGCATGCCGCAGTTGCAGTGAGCTGTATTGCCGTCACCTTCTTGTTGGAGTAGGTCGTACTCGTGGTGATGGCTGCCGTGTTGGAATACATTGCAGTGTCTTATGGCTGAAAACAAATGCACTCTGAATTTTATAGAAAGACGTCACTGCAGGTAGATATTAGAGGTACATGAGCATAATATACCATTATTCATATCCACCACTCCCAAGACCCGAGAAACATGCTTGCGACACTAAAGCCAGGTACATGTAAGTCGTGTCACCAACTGGAAGTGGTGACACCCAAGCCGGGGCCCCTAGGCAAACCATCCATCTCGGCTCATCCAGTTTCAAATCTCGATGACACCCAAGTTTGCGGCGCCGTATGTATCCGATTCGATGATGTGGCCGCTGAGGTATGGATTGATCACACGAAGTGAATCAGCACGGCCGATGAACAAAGAATCTCCATTCCAGCAACCCAACAGGCGGATACTCAGCAAGGTAGGCAGGCCTTTATCGTATCCATTACTTTAGGTACAAGCAAATTAGGCACCTGTGAACTTGCAAGTAAGACATGCAGCTTAGTTGAACAGCATCAGTCATATGAGCTGATCACACTCTACTATATATGTTGTTTCATGACGAATATGAGACTTTCATACCTTTAGAAGACCATAGCGCAGGGACGCATACCTACCCTATTATAGACCGAAGATCCTAGGCACTGTAATCTGACTATGAGATGAAGGCTGTATTCTGCAACGGTATCCGAAGACTAAATGGCTATGCAAAGGGGAAAATAATACAAAATGAAGTTACTCTGCCGAGTGTAGATTGCTCTTCATTGGCTTATACAAGATGCAATTAATACCTGTTGGGTTAGTGAGATTAAGAATACAGAAGCGAAGCCGTACGCGTATATCTCAAGGCCAATGCTCCACCTCCTATTTATAAAAACAGGCTTAAGATACGACGAGCCTATCTATATATGGGTTCAGATTGCTGCATCCAAGGCAAACTATCCATCAACGATGATGCTGAAACAGTATACCGATTCAAGAGTGCCTGCCTGTCTGTCTGTTCTCATCCCCTGTCGCCTGCCTCCGCCACAAACGCCACACGGTTCCTTGCGCTTAAAAAGTAACGCAAACTTTGAGCTGCAGATGCGCCTAGAGCTGAGCCCCACACCCCACACTCTGTGGCGGGGCAGCGCTTTCTCTTTTGCAGCCTTTCTGTCGCATACTTTGAGGCTGGGCGTCTTGTTTTGAAATCGTGGTTTCTTTGCCTTCTGGCACTGCGCGGCTTTTACATCGTCACCTTGCTTTCATTATTTGCTTCAATACTCTTGCTAATACTCTTTTTTTCTTTCTTTTGGAAATACAATACACTTATCCCTAATTCTTCAGCGCCATGGACGACCAGTTTGGAGGCCGGACGGACGACGATCTGTTCTACGACGACTTCGAGCCCGTCGACTCTGAGGCCGTCTTGATCACCGAAGAGCCGTACATCGCGCCTTACACGCAGCCCGCGCCAGCTGCCGAACCAGCTCCAGAGCCGGCTCCTACACCAGATCCAGCTCCTGTCCAGGCTCCAACTCCCGCTGCTGCACCATCCCAGCAGAGTCAAACTCCTCCATCCTCCAAGCCGTCGCCAGCTCCCGCGCCCGCTGCGGGCAGAGGCAAAAAGGCCAACAAGGGTCTTTCATCTTCTAGGTTCGCCGAAGCACCCTCTTCAAAGCCGTCTCCTGCGCCAGTCGAAGCTCCTACACAAGCACCGAAGCAAAGGCCGAAGCAGACGCCGAAGCAAGCGCCAAAGCAAGCGCCAAAGCAAGCGCCAAAGCAAGCGCCAAAGCCAGCGCCGCAAGAGAGTCCTCAGCAAGATCCCCAGCAAGATCCTCAGCAAGGTCCCAAGAAAGGTCCCAAGAAAAGTCCCCAGAGAGGCCCTCAGAAACCTCCCCAGAAAGGTCCTGCAAATGGTCCTGCACCAGCTCCCGAACAGGCTCCCTCACCCGAAGCTCCGGCCGAAGCTGTAGCTGAGGCTTCCACTCAGGCCCAGTCACAGTCGCCTCCTCCCAATGCAAGCACTTCCTCCAAGGAGAGACCGCAGCGAATATCGCCGCCGCAAAACACTGCCGTCAGCGCCGACGTACGTGCCAAGTCTGGCTCTAACCCGCGCCAAAAACTTACCGACAATGAGCTGGCTGCCAAGATGGAGAAGATGAAGCTGCTGTCAGCAGAGAAGGCGCGCAAGTTTGAGATGGCAGAACAAGACGAGAAGCAACACGCTGAGGCATACGCGCGAGGAATGGAAGAGGCGCGCAAGAGAAGAGCTGAGGAGGCAGAGAGGAGGAAACGCGGTGAAGAAGACAGACGCAAATTGGAAGACGAGCGGGCTAAGAATCGAGAGAGGAAACTCAAGGCTATGAACATTAAGGATGGCAGCTGGGACGAAGGGAAAGAGGCCTTGGCTGAGGAGGAGGCTAGAAGAGGATTCCGCGGCGCCAATGGTGGCATCAGGGGAACTAAGAGTCGAGGCCTAGGTGGAAGCCGATTTGCTCAGGGCGAGGAAGTTCGGGGCGAGGATGCTTGGGGCGAAGAAGCTCCGGATGTCGACCGCTTCCTGGATGACCGCTACCGTGGCCGTGGACGGGGAGGCCGTGGGAGAGGCGGCAATGGCCGAGGCAGGGGTCGTGGCCGAGGCGGTTATGATGGACCAGTCAACGACTTTCGTCCAGCGGAACCAGAAGTCCCCGCTGTGGACAAATTTAACAAAGCAGCCCCTGTTGTTGACGATTTTCCTGCCCTTCCTGTTGGAAAGAACAGCGACAACAGTGGCAACACAAAAACGGACACAGAACAGAACAGCAGTGCAGAGCCAAAACCCACCATGGCACAGGCGGCGAAGTTGGCGATGGCCCCTGCTCCCCCGCCTCTACCGCCTATTGAGCCTGGCGGTGCGTGGGATGACGAGATGGAAGCTCTTGATGCTATGAAACAGTCTAAACCATAGCAAAGGAGATTGGTATTCAAGCAGCGTGACGAGCCGGAATTTAAAGGAGCAGACGAAGAAAAGAAAGAAGAAAAGAAAGAAGAAAATGAAGAAGAAAAAGAAAACGAAGGCAGAGGAAGCGGGAGGAGAGGCAGAGGAAGAAGGAGAATAAGAAGAAGGGATGGCCAGTATGGGATTAAGCAGGATCTTTGGATTTTGCTACTAATCGTCATCCCTCTCTTGGAATTTACCGGCGGCCATTGCGAGTTTTTATTTTTTTGCTTTTGGTCGAATTCGGTATACGATTATACGATTCCAGGAAAGGAAGGGGTCAAAAGAAGAAGAGAAAAAATCATATATATTACTGAGGCACTGATACCACCTTTCGGGATATCATTAGTCCTATTCTTAACTGCTCTCAGCGTAATACATTGGTAGATAGAGCGAAAATTGAAGCGCATTTGGCCGATTGCTCAGAGGGGTATATGACTTTGTTTTCCGAATTCTATTTACGATTTTCTCTCGTCCTACCAATGATAAAACACTAAACACTAAGAGGTACCCTGATTATCGTCCGTTTGTAGTTGATTATGACAGTTTCAAAAACCTTCCCAGACGCCGAGCTACAATGCAAATTAAGTATCGTCATCCCGTAACAAGACATTTCACCACCCTCCGCGATACCCTCTTCCTCCTCTCCCGCTTCTGTATCCTCCAGGCCCTCTAGGCCCCCTAGGACCGCCGGGCCCATCATCGTCCATGGCCGGCCGTGACCGGCCCTTCATCTCCTTGGGGAACGCATCGTACGTCTTACGCATCTGCGCATACCCCAGGTGCATCTTTCCGTAAAAGTGGTCTGCCAGCCGGCGGTCATTGTCCAGTCTGCTGAGATAGGCGCCGCAGACGTCGCAGACCTGCAGCTTCTGGTGGCCTGAGGGGCCGGAGGTGTCTGAGAGGGCCTTGAGCTCCTTCTCGCGCTCGGCTTTTTGCTGGGCGGCCTGGCGGACGCGGAAGAGCTCGTCTTGGGCGCGGGAGACTTCGCCGAGGGAGCCGAGGATTTCGACTTCGAGGAGGCCGCTGTTGATGGAGGATGTGAGGTCGGATATGGTTTTGAGCTGTGCAGAGTAAAAAGAAGTGGTTAGCTGAAGTGCGCCTTTCAAAAACTTCTATATGCCAATTGAGGCCAGAGACAAAGGTACTCACCAGAGCATTAGTCTGCCGAATCTCGTCAGGCGTCTTCTCCAGGCGTCTCTGCGCCGCATCTATCCTGCGATTGCACTCGTCGATGTACTTTTGCAGGTCGCGCATGTAGTCGTACTCGAAGCCGTACTTGTGCTTCTCCCGCTCCGACAGCCCCTCGTACTCGGTCTTGAGGGCCTCGGCATGCACCTTGGGGCATTGCCCGAGGTCCTGCTTGGTGTTGGTGAAGAGGTCATGCGGACACGTGCCGGCGATGTAGGACCGGCAGACTTTGGGGTCGTTGAGCGAGAGCTGCTGGGCGCGCGACGAGGCGGACGCGCCCATGAGCTGCTCGAGCAGCTTGCGTTGTTCGGCGGCCATGATGGCGGTGCGCTGGCTGGGGGGAGAGGGGATTTGCGACGGCGAGGTGGCTCGAGAAGGTGTTGGAGCGAATTGGGTTGATGGGTTGGAGTTTTGGTATCAATGCAGACGGTAGAAGTGTATTTTTCCGACTTCGAGATGACGGATCGTCTGTGGCTGGTGGTTTGCAGATGCGGCGGGTGGAGACGTTTTTAAGCCTAAGCTGCCCCTGGCGCGGCTATCGTTTGCGCGGGGATGGCCTGCGAACCGCTAAAGCTGCTGTGGCGCATGCATTCAGCGACATGATGGCGGGCGGCGTGTGGCTTAGAGCTCGACTCCTGGTACGTACCCGCTACTCTAATCTGGCAATATCAAGACTTTGTTTGAGAGATGTGAATCTCGCCCGAATCGCGCCAGCGACTCGAGTATCCTCTCCTTTTTCTTTGCATTGTCTGTGCTCTTACTACACAATGCGCTCTCTGTTATCGTTTCTCCCGCTGCTCATCCCCAGCGCGCTGGTATCCGCGACCGAGTACCATGAGCAGCTGAATCTACGGCCGCTGCCTCTATCGGCGCTCCTCGCGAGCTTCAACTTCCGAGCCAACACCTCCATCGCAGACTTTGAGGCGCAGAACTTCCGTCTCTTCCCGAGATCACTAGGCCAGATCCTCCAATATGCAGGCACACGAGAGCTTCACTTGCGGTTCACGCTGGGCAGATGGGATGCAGAGAGCTGGGGAACTCGACCGTGGGACGGCACAAGAGAGGGCGGCACCGGGGTGGAATTGTGGGCGTGGCTGGATGCCGAGACGGACGAGGAGGCCGACGAGAAGTGGCTGACCCTGACCAATGCGCTTTCTGGCCTGTTCTGCGCCAGTCTCAACTTCATTGACGGGACGAGGACGATCCGGCCTGTGGTGTCGTTCCAGCCCGAGGGAGACCATCCCAACACGACGCTGGCGAATACGAGACTGCTGCATGGTGTGTTGCCGCATGAAGTGGTTTGCACGGAGAACTTGACGCCGTTTTTGAAGATGCTGCCGTGCAAGGGCAAGGCTGGAATTGCGAGCCTGTTGGATGGACATAAGCTCTTTGATGCGTCGTTCCAGAGCATGGCCATCGATGTGCGGCCCATCTGCCCGTCTGAGGGCGAGTGCGTGCTCCAATTGGAACAGACGGTTGACATGGTATTGGACGTTGATCGATCCAAGCGACCTCACGGTATGTATTTTCCCCCATTTCTATGAACCAAGTTTGTCTAACGTTCAATTGTCTAGATAACCCCATTCCACGACCACCTCCCGGCCACGACTTGATCTGCGATACCACGAAGCCGTACCATAAACCAGACGATGCTTGTTACCCGATTGACCATCTCCGTGGCCAAGACTGGACATTATCTCAGATCTTTGGACGAACGATGAAGGGAACATGTCCCCTAACCGACGCTGAAGTCCCCCCCGTCTGTGTTCACCTTCCGTCAACTCGGGACTTGTTCGCTTCACAAGGCGCCCATGAGATAAGATATCCCAACAACGATTCTCTGCGATGCTATCACATCGACCAAGACAGTGAATTTACCCTTGTATTGACAAAGTCTGAGTTTCCTACTGAAGGAGGTCCCCTGGGCATTGTCAAGCCGGAAACGCCTGTGCTCTACGCTGAGCGAAGTTTTACTGGCCACGGACAGGAGCACGGCGGTGTACAGGCCATTCTCACCAACCCAGGCGATGACTCGGTTGAATTTGTCTACATGGAGTCCCTCCCCTGGTTTATGCGCGTCTACCTACATACTCTTTCTGCTCGCATCTCAGCCTCATCGCCCAACACGAATTCCTCCGCTGATCTAATCAAGGAGATTTACTACCGCCCTGCCCTGGATCGCGCTCGTGGCACGCAGCTTGAACTCCTCCTCAGCATTCCTCCTCGCTGCACCGTCTTCCTCACCTACGACTTTGAACGATCTATTCTCCGATACACAGAGTACCCCCCCGATGCTAACCGTGGCTTCGATGTCGCCGCTGCGGTCATCACCACCCTGGAGCCCAAAGCCATGAACATCCGCACCACGAGTCTGCTGCTCTATCTGCCTACTCCTGATTTTAGCATGCCGTACAATGTCATCATCTTCACGTCGACTACTGTTGCGCTTGCGTTTGGGGGCATATACAACATCATTGTCAGGCGCATGGTCGGCGCGAATGAGGTGCCCCGCACGGCGATGAAGGATAAGGTGCTGGCTTTTATTCAGAAACTGAAGAAGAAGAAGTCAGCGGTGGTAGCGGCGGCGGCGGCGGGTGGAAAGGCCAGTATAGAGCCTGTTTCTGGGACATCAGAAGCGAAGTGATGGGATGTGTTTTGGGTCTTTTTACATGTTAGAATGTTGCATAATGCGGTAATTTTGCTAGATCTTGTAAGGCTCTTTTAGCTGGCGATCGTATATATTGAACAATTTTATACCCTCGTCTCATGGCCCGTGTCAGGTACTTTGACGTCCGAGAACAAGCGGCTGTTGGCGGCGCTAATTCGCCCTCAAAAACCAGATGTTTCTTTTCCAGCCGGCATAACAGGCGCCATTGTGAAGATAAATATCCAGCTTGGACTGAAAGTAGTATATAACTGAAGTATTTTACAGACATTGTTAGTAAAGATACTCGGTGTACATGTCATGAGATGAGAAATGCCATGGCAGCAACAGTGACCCAAGATAGATGCCAAACGTGTTTTATTGTAGACAAGTATACGCCTTAAAGCTTGATTCAAAAGTAAATAAACACACAGCTTCTCCGCCAGAATAGGTATTATTTGCTACTGACGGCTCTAAGAGGCATTTCGCTCAGCAAGAAGCTTCTCCATCTTCTCTATCACAGCATTCTTTAGATCTTCTTCAGAAGTCACAATCTTGGTCGCATATATCCCACGAACCGCATTCAAGTAACCCCCCTTGGGGTATCCATCCTGAGCATACACAATAGCCTGCCCAGTTTGAGCAGTCAAACCAAACTGTAAAAGGCTTATTAGCGACAGAGTGCCTCGGGGAAAGAAGGTAACCACGATATCTGCCTTGTGCAGCATCTGGAACTCTCATTTGACTTGCTCGGCCCGGCGGCTCGAAAAGTCTTCTTCCCTGGTAGAATCCCAATTAATGCGATCGGGATAGTATATCACAATGGGGAGGTTGATTAATGCTGCTGTAAGAATTCTTCTCTAATCGGCTTCGCCCGTAGGGTTTGTTGATCCGGAGAGGAATACGCTTCCTTGGCCGTCGGATTCTGCTTTCGGGTAGCCCGGAGTAAAAATTACGGTTGCACCCATGGATGGAGAGTTGAAATGAGTTGATGGAACTGGTTTCAAGAGGTTGTAGAGGCGTGAAAGCAGATGCAGGGGCATGGCTTGGGCATGCAGGGTCTTGTAGGTATATATACTCTAGCAGCATATAGGTACGTAAATATCGCCGCTCTCACGATAGTTATTTATTATGCTTTAAGCTTCTTCTATTTTAAAGCACAGCGTACTTCCGTCTCTATGAAAAACAGTGTCATGCCGTGGCCAAAAGCTAGATGGGTACCTCTCCACGCCTTGCTGTAGTCCACCCTTTGTCTGTAGAAATGTTTGTTCACCCCTTTACCAGCTCCCACATGATTTCCATCCCAACTTTCCTTTGATGCTATCAGCTGTTCTCAGTCCAGAGTGAACTGTTCATATCCAACGCATTCACGTTTCGTTTGCAAACGCCGCGCCACAATTTGTTCACGATGCCAAGCACAGACGTTCAAGTCATTCAAAAGTGAATCACAACCTGTTCACTAGTATCAACAGCGGAAACGCCTCACAACTCTGCCAGGGACATTCATTTTCTCTTTTCCTTTTGTCACACAATAATTCATTTGCTTCTTTGCATCCTCCACCGCTGTCATAGGCAATTATCATCCTGTTTTTTTCTTCCCAATGTCCGATACGACGGCGCATGGATTCTAGCAGACGTGACAACATGCAGAAGGCGGCGTCCTCCGACACTACGCCTGAGAGGTTTATGATGGCTTGGGAATTGAAGGCTATCGCCGCTGGAAGAAAACCGCTACCTACTGCGAGACGGAAGCGAAAATTAGATGAGGTGGAGAGCTCCGAGTCTGGCGATAACCCGGACAGCTCAACCTTGGAGCAAGATGGCCAGAGTGCTAAGTGTGTCGGTGGCTCTCATAGCGAAGACGATAAAAAGAATACGACGGCCAGCCATGTTGTAAGTATCATGGGTGTTGATATCAGCATTACACCAGGACGGATGCTGACTTCACACAGGCTAAGAAAACAAAATTGAGCAACGCCAAAGCCCCAAGGAGGCAATGGAGTCAAGATGAGATCCGCTCTGTGGTTACCATGCGCAGAAATCAAAACTCTTGGGAACAGATACATGTAAGTTGTCTGTGTTCTCTCAAAATTTCAGAATCGCGTTTCTAATGCCCTCGAAAATAGCAGCGGTTTCCAACTCGAACAATCGTAGGCATTCGACAAATATTCTGGAAATACAACGCGAGTCTACACCTTCCCTTGGGCTAAGCTGTAGAAGAAGCGCAGAATTTGGATTGCATTTGTCGTATACGATGAGAGGATTGTTTTAGAGGAGAGCTGTCGTTCGGTTGTGTTTTTGATAAGTATATATTCAGACATTGCGCACATTTTCATCACAATTGTTTGAGATGGGTTGAATGCAACTGCATACCGCGCCTCGCAATTTGACTATACCATACTTGCATATCGGTATGAATTGTGTAATATTGTACCCAAAACGTATGAACACCAGAAAGATAAGAGTCTCTCTCACGTGTATTTCCAATGTCTAGACGGATTTACTAATAGTGGAGAAGGGTGCCGGCAAATTGTTTATATTGACGTTGTTGCTCCCAAAACATGACTGACGATTGGATGGATCATCTACGGTGCGAATCGAGACGAGTCTTTTGGAGCTCTTTCGCGAGTATTTCTGCTGACTGTTTTGCTTGCATCTCGTAATTAGAGTCCTTCTTTTTGGTGGCGACGTAGAGTTAGCATAAGGATTCTTTGTGCGTATGCAGTCTTCCAATGAAGCGGTTGCACGTAAAAGAGGGAAGCTTCGAGCGCGATGGAGGCTGCGGGCTCGGTTTGTATCGTGGGTTGAATGGTTGATGTGGGAGGTTCTAATGAGTTCTTTGTCTTTAGTAAAATGAGAAAGAGCATGTTCAGGATTGGATGCTAGTGCTGTGTATTGCTTTGATGGTATTCGCCCCTGATGCAGCTGTGCAATGCTTTGGTCTAGACCGATTGTTTGTCCCCATCACCAGGTCTACCGCGTCAAAGTATATACCATCTGTCTAGTTTTGTGCGTGGCCATGTGATCATTATTGTAAACAGACTGGAATTTCAACGGCGTAGCGCATTTTGAACATGAAAGAATACATGAAAATTGAAACTCATCTTGCGGACAACAATTGATGCGGTCGCTTAGACCTTCTTCTATAAGTATGAAGCATATATGCACCCGTTTGCTCGAGCAGCTTCCCACTGAACAAACATACTTGCACAGAGACGACAATTCTTCAGATTCATCAGTCATTAGAGCAGATTACGAGACATCTGTGCATCAGTACCACGGATCAACTTGACACGAAATCGATTTCAACGGCGTGTGGAACATTTAACGAAAAATCTACGATTGCAGCAATTACGGCTCCATTCTCTTCAATGTCGACTGAAGCTTCTACTGGGCTAGAAAGCACTGTATTGCTACTCCAAGGCTTGAAGATGGAGAAACTTCAAGGTCAGGATGATTGGGAAGCTTGGTATCAAGCCCTGGCCATATATGCAGAAATGTTCGAATTGCGGAATGTGATCGAAAATGGTCAACATTACAGAGAAAGAGTAGGTACTAGAAGGAGTTTAGCCGACGAATGGTGTCAGAAGGACAAAAATGCGAAGGGGCTCATTATAAGCCTTATCTCGCTAGAAATACGTATCAAACTGGTAAACGAAGGGTTTGACCCAAGGACTATGAATTCCAACATGCTCCTACAAATGACGAAAAAAATAGTGTTTCCAAAGCCTCAAGAAGAGATTCGCAAGACAGACAGTGCAACGTCGAACCCGGGTCAAGGCGAAATATCCCAATGCCTCTGACGAGATGCTCATCGCGGCGACTCTAGCTTACCATAAGTCAGTCAGCAAGTAATAGCCATAGCCTTCACTGTTCTGCTATAGGAGAAGGAGAAGGACAACATTCAAATGAAAGATACAGAGATAAAGGACCTATAAACGATAATTTGTTCAAACAAGGAGAAAGAAAGGATCAACTAGGAACGATATCATGAAGGAATGGTGAACAATATAATGGGAATATTGCCATAGACCGGTTGGAATGTAATTTGTTTTAGCTTCGATTAGTTGGATTTCGGAGAGATGTTAAGTAGATAAGTTTATTTATCCTTTTTTACGAAATTTCTTCATTTATTTAACCAGTTTTCATAGAATAAACACATAAGCAATACAAATTATCAGATGCACTAGTTTCATGAATAGTAGCAAATTGCTTTAGATGCTATGTGAGATTACACAGAGTAGACACATGCTTTAACCTTTACTTTATTTGAAAGGGTAGGGCTACATACCACTGTCTTCTTTCATGTGACTTTATCTAATGGGACTTGATTTGTTATTAGAGAACAAAGAACAAGTTCAGGCTTGGGGGCGAGTGCCACGTGCCGCTTTGCTGGCATTCGCCCCTGATGCAAATTTGTATTCCTCTGGTATCAGCCGATTGTTTTCATTGTCACCAGGTCCACCGTGTGAAAGTATCACCCAGGTCCAGTTTTGTATATTGCCATGTGTTCGAAATTGCAAAGAAAACTCGACGGGTTTGGATCGCACAGAAAATAGAGTATATAGCGCATTTGAACACATGAAAGAACATTGAATATTGAATACGTTGAAACGCATCTCACGGACAACAATCTTTGCGGTCACATGAGCTTCCTCCTACATGTAGGGAGATAGGTATGTGCATGTAGTTATAAAATACATTCGCATCCGTTTGCTGAGCCGCTTTCCGTACTTGAAGGAATACACACACAAACATAACGAACACACCATAAAGCATCAAATTCACCAAATTTCTTGGAAAAGGTACGAAATCTGTGTGGTTGCTGCACTATAGATATCCTAAAATTTGGAAATTTGGATTACAAGTTAATATTGAATCGCGTCTCCAGATAAAATAAACCCACCGAAAAGCTTGACAAGAGACCAAATCCAATGGCATCTGAAAAGTCCAAGGAAAGATTGAACGAGGAATTGAACAAAGAAGTCACCACTATACCAAATGCGGCCACCGTCTCTCCGATGTCGACTGCAGCCCGGATTGGCCAAATAAACAATCAACTGCCACCCAAGCAGCCCCGAATGGTGAAGCTTCAAGGCCGTGAGAATAGGAAAGCTTGGCTTGACGCCTTGACCGTGAGGGCAACTGATCTCAGATTTTGGAACGTTATTACTGGCAAAGAGGTGAAACCGAAGGACGCAACTAAGCTTCCAAATTGGAAGCAGAAGAACTTAGGTGCGATGGAGCTCCTTTTGAACTCCCTCTCGCAGGAGATGCATGTCAAGCTCAAACAGTTGAATCTAAGTACTACGACTTCAGAGGACCTCATGGAACAGATACTTGGCATTACATTCAATGAAACCGAAATAGAACGCTTCAAGCTAGTAGAAGACTTTATTTGGCGGTTCAATCCGACTGACAGAGACTCGTTTCCTTCCACTGAGGCCTTTCTTACCCAATTAGTGGAAGAATGGACCAAGATAAAGGCAAAGTGCCCGGATGCCCCTGACGAGTGGCTGAACATGGTGGCAAGCACTGGTATTGAGTCATTGCACAAACCAGTCGATGAGCTTCTAGTGTTTTGGGTAATGTCTGACTAGAAAAGAAAGAAGTGTTAGAAACAAAGGATGGCCTTGTCATAAAGGATGTAGAGATAAAAAGATACCGGAAAGGTATCTTGATTGAAAAATTAGAAGAAGTATAAGCTAGGAAGGATATTCTGTTGAGCAATGGAGGAAGGCAAAGTGGGACTTCTGCGATATGTCGGTTGGAAAGTAATATGGTAGCTTCATCGATTTATTGGACTTTGGAGAGATGCTAACTGGTTACGTCTGTCTATGCCTATTTACGAAACCCATTCATTTGTTTGAGCAGTTTTCCTATAAAACAAACACATACAGCATAAATAGTCATTAAATGCATTATAGATTTATGGAGCAGGCCTCGACAGCGAGTTCATCACAAATTCGCAGCGATCCAAGCAAGGGATTTCTTGGATGAGGCGATGAAAGTGCGTTTTATACAATTTTCGCTGTTTTCGTTAATATTATATTAGCAAGCGACTCTAGATGCCCTGGGAAATCACAGCAAGTATACGCATAGTTCAATTTTACTTTATTTGCAATGGTAAGGCTACCTATACATCACTGTCTGCCTACATGTGAGTTTCCCTGTACTCTTTTCTAGCTAACGCTCTTTTCCAGCATCTATTCTCAAGGCCTTATATATCCCCTTTCACTCAGGTGGCATTTAACAGACGCCAGACGGAATAGTGTAGCTCTCAGTTCGCGATGTTGACGCATATTTGGCGCCGGATCCAAGACCTCGTTTGGCGAATCCCGTCCACAATTCGCAGAGGTTTTCGCCGCCAGTCAAAGCACGATCAGCATCCAAGATGGCATCGCGGGCAGAGACAAAAGTCGGCGTGCAGGGCTGCAGAGCCAATCCGTTGAGGACGAGCTTCAGGGCAAGATACTTGCCATCGGTGGGAACGCCCTGGCTGTCAAAGGTAGGGAAGTCGGCGTCGTTCTTGCCGTACTTGTCAATGAGGTTCCAGAGGACTTCGTACAGAATCGTGGCCCATGTGGTGCCGGCGGCGTGGACTTCGTTTTGGGCGTTGACGGACTTGTAGGTGAGCGGGTTGGTGGTGAGGCTGGTGGAGTAGGGATACTGGCGGATGCCCTTGACGTTGTTATCGGCCCAGACTCCCATGGGGTAGTCCGTGTTGCGGGTGTCACCGGCCTTTAAGCGGATGGCGGTGGCATAGAAATCACCCCAGCCTTCGCCCATGCCGCCGGCCTCGACACCGTTAAGGCATCCGGAGTTGGCAGGGCCGCCGGTGAGACGGGTAGACACTGTTGAAAGGCTTAAGTCAGAGAGAAGGGATGTAAAGGCAGAATGGAAGATACTTACATCCGTGAGTGTATTCATGGATAACGATGCCTGCTTCGAGGTCACCGTCTCGCTTGGGGTTGGCGGTAGTCCAGATGTACATTCTCATACGGCCACTGCTTCCGTCGACCGGGGTGGCAAAGTTGGCGTTGTTTGTGCCTAGGATTCGTTAGTACTCGAACTTGAATTTTGCCTGGACACATCTGTCCAGCGTATCAGATCATGGAAGCGTACCAGAGCCGTCCTGGGCGTTTACAATCACGAGATCATTTCCCTTTCCGCCCTTTCCGTTGTTGTTGGTTTGGAAATTTCCTGCAACCTCGTTGAAGCCAAGGACATATAGCAAGTCGTGGTACTTGTTGACAGTGTAAAAGAGCTGTGTGATGGCAGCGTCCCTATAGTCAGTGGGGTTGGTCTGAGTGAGAGTAAAGGGATATTGGAAGTCCCGAGTCGAGCTGGACGGGCGGTGGTTATTAAGATAACTGTCTCCGCCGGAAGGGTTATCCTGCGCAATGGCATTGTTTCCGCGAGTTACGGTGTAGTTTGTGGTTCCATCTCCGACCCAAGTGAAGGGGGAGGCATCGGTTCGCCACGGATCAGTCAGAACTTTACGATCTCCCTCGGTGGGGTCATTAAGGCCCCAGGGGTAGACCTGAAAGGTGGCAAAGTCCGAGACGTAATCAACAACACCGTGGATCTCTTCGTTGGTCGTTGCGTCAACGTAGGTGAGAAGCCAGTTGTCCATGATATCGGTCTCAACTCGCCAAGTCAGAGCCAAAGTGCCATCTCCTTTGACGAGATAGACGAGGTGAGCCTTGGGATCGCTGACGGCTCCCGATGTACCCTTCAATGTGTACTTCTCAGTGCCTTCCTCAGCCTGCGCGGTGGCGCCATCAGCTTGAACCGGAAGACCCAAGATGTCAATAGCACCCTTGAGAGCGTTGGTGGGGTCAGAGAAGTCACGCTTCCCAAGGGGGCTCTCTTGTGGCAGCTTGCCAGAGAAGAAGCTGTTTCCGTGAGAAAAGACTCTGCCGTCTTTGCCAATCTACGTTTGTAAGTATATAGTCTCTAAGATGAGTTTATCTTGCCTCTACTTACGTTAACCTTGAAGTCAGCGTTGTCAATGTCAATTCCGTGCACAGTCTGCTTGAAGTGAACGTGACCAATGCCGTCAACGTCGATATAGTGGTCATCCACAACGCGGAATTCAGCCTTGGGGGCGACCTTCTTGACAGCTCGGGTAGCAGTATCCACGTAGTTGCGCTTGTAAGCCAGAGCTTGCAGAGAAGCCTCTTCTTCAATGTTCGGTGAAGGTGTGTACTGAGAAAGACTCGGCAAGTGATACTTGCTGATATCAACGCCGCGCTTAGCCAGGCTGTTGCCGTTCTCTGGCTGCTTGGTTGGATGGGCGTTCACATGGGCAGCAAGGCCAGTGAGGCCAAGAAGAATGGCTGACTTCATGATGGGCAATAGATAGGGAGCCAAGAGGGAAGCAAATTTGAGAAGTACCACAACAGGAACCAAAGAATTGACCTGGTTGAGCAACCTGCTGGAAGAGTTTTTGGAATTTGAGATTCTATACGGCCATTATATACTCATGAAGCTCGAAAACGACATCGTGTTCCTCATTTGAGATATTTGTTACCAGCTTCCCTTTCAGACTACAATTCCCGATGTTGCGCTCAATAGGACGAATAGATTCGATTGCGTTTGTGCAAACCGTCTTGGCGACTCCATTACGCGCAATAGTACAGACGAAAAGGAAGGTGCCTTTCCAGTAATACTATCTATGTTGAGAGCTTTGAGAAGAACTTTTGTCGCTATCGAAATCCACATGCCAAGCCAATTAGGTCGACAAAAGTCCATGGTAACAGGCCGGAAGCGAATAAGAGAGCAGCAATGAGGGTTGACAGCTTCTCAAAAATCGAACCCCGTGAACATATCAAGACGAAATGGTTGTATTATCAAGCATTTTGTGCAAATGCAGTAATTCTGATAATATGAGCCTTGGGCGATGTAACAGCGAATGCCATCTGTATGAGTACGCGGACAGCAAAAGTTCATCCGTACCCCGCTACAAATTACCCTGCCCTTTAGTCACTGTATCGACTTCGAGATGAAGATAAGAAGACTATAGTCGCTAATTCGCGGCATTTCATCCAAGCGGCTGTACGCAACTGCTTTCTCGGGCCTAGGCGGTTCGGAATCCTTTCTAGGGCCGGCACGTCTCTATCACAATGCCTTCACATCACCACGGAGCGGGGAATACTTGAGTCTAATTGTAACTATACATGTAAGCTTAATGTGTAACGCATAAACCGTCGCCGGAATCCTCATACCAAAGTTCGCCTAGACGCCCGCAATATCGGGAAGCTAAGGAGCGGATGGCTATCATGGAGATGAACGACCTGCCGAATCGGGATGGAGTCCCGGGGTTGCGCTCCGATCGAGTCTGATGATACCATTTGTATGTTAATTGGTAGTACTACTGTTGACAAAGACCCTGTTTGTGATTGCCGATGAGTTGGTTACTTTTCCCGAACCGAAACAGCCGTGCTCGATCCAGCAATAGCAGGGGGAATGTGGCGTAATTGCCGCAACCAGTTGTCGAAGACCATCTATGCCTACAGGGAGAAGTTTATAGGCCTTTTTTTCACTGATAGTATCCACTCATTAGTAAGAAGAAAGGACTTTTACAATGATGCCAGTATAGGAAAAGATATACACATATCGTATATCGTACATGGAGTCTGCCTCATTGCTGGCAGGCTTGGAGGTGTACCTGATGAACGAGTCGCGGTGATATAAATTGATCCGATCCCATTTATTTCCGATACAACGGTTTCATTTTCCATATCAAGCATCTATTAAAGCTGTTAGCCTTATCAGTGGTTGTAGATCCGGTAACGTGACACCTACTTCTATATTTATGACGAGTGGGTGGTATTGCATTGTCTTGGCGCAAATGGTCAACGATAACAAGGCTGATATCACGCGGAAACATTGCGGTTGAAAGTTGGAAGCCTTTCAATTAGATGCATTGTTCCAACGACTATGACGTGTGAAAACAAAAATGCGTCTAACAAAGGTTATCGTCGGATTACCTGGATTGGGCCGCAATCAGTGGATGGCTCTGCTATAATGAACCGATGGGGTGCTTTGTTTGCAGTCAAGTCAGATAGTTAAATTGAGGTAAAAGTAAATCAAGGAAATTGTATTAAAGGCATCGGATAATAGATAAGAGCTTTTGCTTCTGGGTATGGACAGGCAAGTTACCTATTACAGTGACTTATCGTCATTTATTATTTGCTGTTTTCTTCCTACATTGCTAATTCAGTATGGTTACGCTGCTGATTGCAGTCATGCTCTTCACTAACTCATTGAAGTTGTATCCGCCACCTCCTCAATGTTCTTGGGCAAATGAGGTGCTCTCGTATGGAGCAAAACTGCGAAGCATATTTGCAAAGTGGTCAGCCAAAGCTGAGTCCCTTCTAGCTTGGCTTTTATTAATGCCTGCCCGCCTTAGTGGCCTAAGTGGCATCGAATAACTCTGTAGGCCTCGATCAAACCGAGTGGCTTCGTTCTTAGGTGACCTTGATACAGCAGCTTGGCTCCTCACTATGGACGCTTTCAGCGGACATCACAGATTCTAGCTCCCTTTTGCCTTTTACGTATTAAACTTAGTATCTTCAACTTTACTTTGGTTGTTGGCTTCTTTCCGCAACAAGTCGACTAAAAAAATCATTACAGACTCTTTGAGATCCTGCTTGGTTATTGTCATTTAGTACTACAGTTAGATGCGATATTGTTCTAAGCTACTGCTAGGCTGCCATGCTGTTTTAAAAGAAACACCTTTGCCAATATCAACACCATTGGGCAATCTGCTATTGGCAATGACTTGAAGACCGGACGGCTATGTACGACGGACATGAACCTGACAAGGCTGTGATGTAGAGTGGGTTGACGACATCCTATGCGCGCTTGTTGATGGTAGGCACTGTTGGTGGCATGATATTGCTCGACCTTGGTAATGAAATACAAAGCTACATAGAACTTGAACCATCAAGGTCAACGGGCACATTCGTTAACAAGGTGATTAAGTTTATACCAAGTCTTAGGAAAAGCTAATATACATGTTGGCTCAGCAACGGATGTCACTCAACTAAGTGAACTTTATCCAGAATTGGTACCTAGTAGTTCTATCTATCTTGAGTGCTTTTCTATTCGGCATAGAGCCTTGTATATTGAACCGTTGCTTTTGGTTTCGATAAGTGGGAGTTGTTCTGTGAAGCAGGATCTCAATCCATCTTCCAAAACGGGATCATTGATGCTCTATATGACTCTAGCTTCTTTATTGTCTGTCAAGCTCTCTACTATTTTCCTAGCATTGTTGAATCGCCTGCGAAGAACTTAATCTCGGGCATGAAACTTGACTCTGAAACTATTTTCTGAAGTGATCTAGATGATCTGGCTTTGTGGTCCTGATGTGGCCGAGCGGACTGAACTTTAAAACTCTGTAGATAAGAGCTTAATCGCAGGGAAATCCGAATTTTTATGAGTATCATGACAGGCTACTAATACTACTCAGCAAATAAAATCGCGCAGTAGACAAGATTAATTCATATATCGAAGCTGAAACATTACAAGGCTAGTGAAGACATTACAATTGGGCTGGGGAATTGGACACCGATTCTGAGCAACCTGAGTGACCGAAGTAATCTAGACATGGGTTTCCTCATATTATTCTTTTTGCCTTTATATCTTTGCAAACTAGTTTGAACCTCGTGCCTGTAATGTGCTCACATACCTAAACTTTCATAAATGGCTGCTTCTACTTGTTTTAAAGATACCGACTATACCTATGGCGGTTCTGCCGAGTTAAATACGCCACTCAAACTTTGGCTGCTGTATCATGAACCTACTGCAATTTGTGGCTCACTTGATGGGGCTCCACCTCTATTTTCTTCTCCTTATTTAAAAGCCTCCTATCGCCTCTCATTTTCATTTTATTTCTCTCTTTTACATAACATTGGCACTACTTGCAAGTTCGAACGACAGTTTTACCAACCAGCCAATACTATCTCGCTTCGCTAAGAGACAAAATACTCTAGTCTCAAGCTTACAATCAGATCACCACTTGCAACTACACACATCGCAGCATATACACACAACTCTGACTTGAATCAGTTGTCCGGGTTACCTCGGCTACCAACCTTTACCTTCTCAAAACCACCCTAGTTGTTACCTCGGCTACCAAGCTTTGCCTTATCAAAGCCACACGAGTTGTCATTACCACCGCTCTTCAGCGCCTATTCCACACACAAACACAATGGATTCCATCTTCAATGCCCTCAGCAGGCCTGACCCGCTCAGAAGTGATTCTGAGAATAGCCCAGCCAAAATATGGGCCATGAAAACGGAGGAAAAGTTTGTTTCGGGGGGTAAAAGGTTTTTTCGGGAATTGCTAAGAGACAAGAGATATCACGACACGGTGATCAGTCGTCAAACAGAGATTATTGTCTTGGTAATTCTCAAGTCGTGGGAAGAGGAGACAGATGAGCTGGACCCTAACAATGAGGACGACTTGGAAGAATTGTCTCAGTTGGCTGAGCAGATGAGGCGATGCTTATCCCTGGTAAAGGGCCAAATCGCCAAGGATAGTATGTCCGAACAGCAACCTCGCGTCTGACGCCATCTGTGCAATTACCTTGGAATCAGATAATAATTTTGGCGTGTAACTATTCCTACTGCTGCTGCTGCTTTCCGGCAATATTCGTTGATAATTTTCTATGCTATCGACTGTTCATACGTATTGTAATATTAGTCCCTCATATGTGCTCGCCTCTCCATTTAATTTTGCTTTGTGAACCACGAATGAATAGAATATATAGATGCCAAGCATCCCAAGCGGACAAACATTCACGGTGCTCTTCTTCCAGTTCTAAATGTAATATGTAGGCGCCGGTTGCCTTTAGAGCTTCTGTATTCATCTTGGTTCTATTGTGATATTGACTGGTTGAGTTTCGCGACCGTCATTCTCATACCAGTCCCCGTTCACCGTCTATCCGAATCCTCTCCTTGTTCGAACATAATGGAAGCAATGAGTGCGTCTCTGACGTGTTTCTTCGCTGGTTCCCACGTCAGTTAATTCTCCATCCGGTGTATGTCTCGATGCGGTCCGCCCGAGTGAACTACTTACCATCTTGTGCCGGTTTGCCTGGTTCCAATCCCTTACTTGCGATCCTGGTTGCTAAAAGCCTCTTCATGCGTGCGTTTTGTAGCGCCTTTCTGGGTGCTTTTCCGTATTTTTTCCGTTTCCTTCACAACAAAATCGGTGGTACGCAGAATGCGGCTCATGATTCTTGTGACGCCGGCCGTAGACATGATTTGATACCCATTCATTTGATCTTGCAAAGCAATCTTGATGGTTTCCTGAATGTGGTCTATATTATTCCTGGCGGCGAGTTTGGCAACAGTTTGATACTCTTCCATGTCTTGTTTCATAGCAAGCATGGCGCTCTGAACGACATTCATTCTGTCCATGGGCTTTATTCTATCCATCCACAGCTGCCTTTCTTCCATGTTGCGAATCTTGTGGCGAAGCGCTGCAATCGTTGCCTGCATGTCCCGCTTCACTTCGTTATTGAACTCTGGGTACTCCGATAGTTCGAATAGATCATCTAGTAGTATTTCAGATGGTAACGCGAATTTGTCCATAGAGCCAGAGCCTTTTTGGAGGTGTTGGAGAATGATCGGCTTATCTGCCTGGGTCGCCCACGTAATGAGCCAAATCTTGGTTGAAGGAGATAGCACCGCAACCGTCTCTTCTGTCAACTTGGATGCGAGCTCGTCATTCAACGCCTCTTGCCATTTCTCTTGTTTGATGCGCTGCATTATCGGCTCAACAAGTGCCATCGCTTGCGTTCTTGTGAATCTGTGCGTCATTTTGGTGATTATTTCAGGAGGAGACTGTGGTTGATGTGGCCTTGCGTAGGAGGCTGTTGGTATGATGAAGGAAAGAATCAGGCGAATTCGTGAACACGATGAAGGAGCAATCTTGCTAGTTTCTTAGGATAGGTTCACGGAATCGAAAGGAAGAACACGTCTGTCACTTTCGCCTCGGGTTGGCAGGTGGCGGTCGTCAGTCATTCTCTGACAGCTGTTTCCAGGTGCTGCTTTCCAGATGGAAGAATTCGAACACGCATCTCTAGATAGGGTTGCAATTTTATAGATTTTCGCTGTTTTGACCAAGTCGGGGTGTAAAATCCATTATCACAGTCAGCATCTGTGTATCGCAGTTTAGTTATTTTATTCATGGTGTACGTTGATCTAGCGGGAATCGCTCGTGTATATTTCGTTTCTTTGACTGCCAGCTTATGCAATATGCGCCGAATATTCACTTGGTATAGTCCCAATGTCAACCCACGCTGCGAAATGGCCAGTAGCCGCATATGAGCGCGAACTATGTCAAATCATAAGCATATATGTATACTGTGCAGGTTAATCTAGGGTTCTACATAACATAAGGAATTACCATTTAATACCCCAGTTTCGCTATTCAACCAACTCAGTATTAATATAATAGAGCAGCTAGGCTGCACAATCAGCCATCAAATAACCAAAAATAAAGCAAGGGAAGGGAAATTAAGAAAGACAGAAAATAAAAAACCATTTCCCCGGTGCTATATCGTCATGGCGCGTTCATTGTGCAATCCCGGCGACTTTACAGGGCGCTTGCCAGCACGAGTAATGCCCCCACGCTTCACTGAGTGGAGTGCCGGACTGCTGTGGGAGCTACCAATAGCGGACCCGCTGATGAGCTGAAATGCGGGCATTCACAGCAACGGTCTTCCTCTTTCTCTTCGATGAGCCAAACGTCAACAGATCAAGCCATTGATGCACCTCTTGGAGGAGAGGGCCGGTGGATCAAGAAGCGACCATTGGCGTGGCAAATCGAAGAACTCATTGGTCATTTTCAATTGGTATGGATCAATCGAGTATCAAGAGCTCTCGCAAACTTGACCTACTCCATGTCCCAAGATCGCCGTAATGCTCTTAGCTGATACCACGGTTCTAATGTCTTTTTGTATGAATAAATCTTTTTTTATTGTATATATTCAAGTATATTCATGGCAGTGATTGTAAATTCTGTTGCGTTTCGACTCGTTCAAGTCCACTCACGCATGTAGTATCTCTCGACTAATAGCTGTCCAAGCCCTCAAAGTCCAGTTCCGCCAAATGTACTTCAATGTCTGAACTCGACATCAGTATACATGTATTCGAAAGGCGGCAAGAACCTAAGGAGGACCAGCTGGCAGCACTGGTGAAGACAGATCCGCTTCCATTGACAGCCGCTAGCAACGCGCGGAACACAACGCGTTCACCAACTAAAAGCTACACCTTTGCTTTCTTAAATACAATCTTCCTCTTCCTTCTGTTAATTTCCACATCTCTTTCTTCGACTTCTTTCAACGTACGCGCGCTTACGACATGATGGTAGCAAGAAGAAGAGCAAATTCAGCCTTCGACATCCTCGATGAGTTATACGAACTTGCGGAGAACGAAAGACATGACGCAGACGAGGCCGTCCGCCGAAAGATCAAGTCATGCGCACGGGATTTGGAGTTGCACATTCGGGCAACGGGCAGGCTATTTATCGAAGAGGGAAGTAACCAAGTCATGAGCCGCGATAAGGAAATCGCAAGCACTCTGAAAGCCGAGATGGAACGACACAAGACTGAAGTTCTGTCTGCATTGTCAACGAAGCTTGGTAATTTTTTGGCACAGGTCAAACAAGAAGTTCAAAAACTTTCAAACTCGACGCGGATCCAACAAAGCCGACTATTTGCAGAGATGTTGAGCGAAATCAGAGACGAGTTTCACCTCGAGCAACCGATGGCACAACCCGCCCGAGTTTCCAAGCGAAAGAGGCAAGAAACAGATACACAAGCTGCCACTAGAGATGCGCCAGAAGTAGCCATGAAGGAGGAGCCTCTCTGAATGGATGAATAAATGACCCCAGAGTCAGAGCAGCTTGGGTACTTGGGCACTTGAGTGTATTTGAAAGGAGGCACTATGAAACGACAGCGTGACGAAGCTTTCATTACGAATGCAGACGTCAAGAAAGGTAACAAAGGCAAAGCCCAGTAATCGAAACAAGTGGAAAGGCATGAGACTAATTAAAAATTCCACAGTTTGAAGAAAACAGGGACATGAACGAAGCACTCTAGTTCTAGCCGGGAAGCGGCATGACACGGACGAACTCGAGTTGATTGCGAAGCAAGGTTGAGATATTCGGCTGAAAGACTTGAACGGAATGCAAGAACAATCGAGATGAGAAAATGAGAGAGCAAAAAAGATTATACCGCCGGAGGAGATAGGGCGTCGACGAGCTGAACTCGAACATGAATCGAGACAGTACACGAAGAGCATGAGGATTGAATAGAGTGAGAAATAAAAATGGTCGATGAAGAACCAGATTTGATTCACATTCTGGCACAGAGAGTGATGTATAGCAGTAAATGGTTACTCTACTTGACAAGAAGGAATACTTTTCAGGTCATAAAGCTCTTCGCCTGGCAAGGCTTTGCTTCTGGTTGGGTGGTAGCACATGCGAGCTGCAATATCATCCATATAATCCACTTGCATGTTACTCTACCATCTCACCATCTTCACCCCAATCGACAACAACAAAGCAGCCATATCATCATCTATCTATGATGAAACTAATTCAGCATACTCGGCCCACTCAACAAAAGAAGATCTTCTTACCCAAATGTGGGTAAAGGGTGGGGTGAGACATTACAATTCAGCCCGTGATCCCAGCCCATTCGCAGAAACGCGTATACGCTTCAAGACAATCCGCCGAATAATTGCAAGCTTCACTAGCAGTTTCGTAAGAGGCTATGAAAGATTTTCGTGATGCTCATTGTTGTGAGTAGAATTGTTGTTTTTGTATACAAAATGCTCGGCTGAGGCCTCCAGAGTCCACAGTTATGCGCCTCGTCGCGTATTAGAGTTTTATGCGTAACGATCGCATCGATTTATTCACCTTGATGGACAGATGAAACCAGTTTTTAAATCACTCACAATGGGGCATAGCCATAAGTTTACATCATGTGCCTTTGATCTGCCCGCGTTCAATGGATCATTGTTCGCTCCTGACTTTCGCCAATGGCGTGTAGTATACCGCGGCTTGCTGTTGAGATGTTGTTAAATTAGAGGATCGCCGATGATGGCATATGGAATTGGCAATTGGCGCCAAAAATGGTTGCACATTATGTATAAGTAGAAGTGTCTTGCTCCCCTTTCTTACCATCCCCTGCTCTCCCTGTATAAGTCGCGTTCCATGAATGTCCAAGTGTGGCTTATTCTTCACGTCTCATTCCATCTATTGTATACCTACAAAAGGGATATCACGACTATCATTTACGCGCTTAAACAGCCACTATCCCCCTTAGTGAGACACACACTTGCAAACTGGTGGATTAAGTACGTGATATATAAGCCCGCCATATCCGCTCCTACAACGCCGTTGTAGACGTTTTGCTAACAAGGGCGTGGATAGTCATGATGAACTGGATTCAATTTGCAGCTTTTATTATCACGGCTTCTGCCGAAGTTCTTGCTGGCCACGTCCCTCCTGTTGACGGCGCCGTCTCAACCTGCCACGAGTCTTACGATGGTAGATTCGAGGTTACTATCAACAAGCTCAGCAAGCGAGATGTCGAGGTTGGTAAACAATTTCACAGCCTTTATCGGGCTACTATTTGAGCTGTGCTGATACAAACAGAAACGATCTTGCGGTGGTTCCGACGCCCTGCTACTGACACTCCACGATGGAATTCTAAAGGACGCCAAGGACCGTACTGGATACATTGCTTCCAACTATCAGTTCCAATTCGATGATCCGCCTCAGGTAGATGCCATCTACACGAGGGGTTTCTCTGCCTGCGATGGCACTCTGGCTCTGCGTGGCTCAACCACCTTCTACCAATGTCGCTCCGGGGACTTTTATAACCTGTACGACCGTAACTGGGCGTCGCAGTGCGAACCAATCGAGCTCCGTATACTGCCTTGCGACGGACACACTGAAGGTGGAGGTTACGGCCGAGAAGAGACCACTATCGGCTCCAAGGTGGTCAAGACTGCCATTGTGACGGCTATCGGAGATGGTCAGGCACAAGCACACACGACTACCATTGCTATTCCCATCTGCCAAATTGGAGACGGACAAGTCCAAGGACACACAACTCCTTGCGGTGGCCAGCCTCCAGCCTCTCCCATCAGCCAAATCAGCGATGGCCAGGCAGTCCACGAGCCCCCTCTCACGAATCCTCCTGTGGCCATTCCCACGGCCACCGGTGCTCCTAAACCTCCTAGCCATCCAGTTACGCAGCTTCCAGACGGCCAGCCGCAGGGATTAGAGCCTAAGGAACCTCCTTCTGGCACTGGTTCGCTTCCGAAACCGCCTCCTGCTGCTTCTTCCGAGGTTCCAGTCAATGATGCCGCACAGCTCTTTAGCAATGTCAAGATGACGATTGGCATTCTGATGTTTTGCAATATGCTTATTGGTGTATAGAATGGAGGAGGAGAATATGAGAGAGGATTGTTTTGGAATTTGAAATGGATTCAATGAATCACTAATTACTCTGGATAGATTGTATATGCTTCAAGGCTGATTTCATCCGGTTTGAGTACGCTACGATTTTGTGCCTTGATATTTGTGAAAATGAGTAAGACAATGAAATAAAATAATCGTAAGAGGTCGGGTTCGCCCGAAAGTGGTAATGTGATAGAGTTACACGATAGTCATAAATATTCTCCGTTACATCCAAGGACATAAATTGTAGCTCATGTGAAGTGTAATTGAACGTTAAAAGACTGAAGCCAAGAGTGGCGGCTACAGTGCAAGTTCCGTTCTAGGCAAAACTTACTAAGCACATGCATGGCTGCTGTAGAGCTGGCGCGCCGCTGGAACTTTTTTACGCGACGACTTGAATCATCATTCCTCCAACCATATACCACCACGACTAGCAAAAATGTCGGAATACTGGAAATCGACACCAAAATACTGGTGCAAGCACTGCTCAGTCTACGTGCGCGACACAAAACTCGAGCGAGCGAATCACGAAGCTACGGGGAAGCACCAGGGCGCCTTGAAGCGATCACTACGAGACATCCACCGCAACCACGAAAGAGAAGAGCGCGAGAAGGAGAGGGCCCGACGGGAGATTGACAGACTCAATGGCGTTGTTGGATCATCGTCGGGCGATCCCTCGGGATCAAGAGCGCCAGCGAAAGAGGCGACAGATTCTCAGTTAAAGTCCCAGCGGGAGCAGCTGGCTGCCTTGGGAGTGTCCATGCCAAGCGACTTCCGACCAGAGATGGCCATGCCTGGAGAATGGACAGTTACGAAGACGACTGTTGTAGAAGAAAAACAAGAGGCGGACGGCGACGTCAAGATTGAGGCCAAAGCAACAGGAGTGAGGAAGCGCGAAGAGACAGAAGATCAGAAAGAAGAGGAGGAAGCGATGCGAAGTCTTTTCAAGAAGCCGAGGAGATGGGGCCGCGACTCCAAGACAATGCCAGATGATGAAGACGAAGACTTGGATGCGCTGCTAAGTACGACAGTGCCGCTGAAAGCCGAACCAGCTGAGCAAGGGGACGCAGTGAAGAAGGAAGAGGATGTCGATGACGGTGGTGCTGCTGACACAAAGCTACCGAAAGAGGAAGATATCCCAGTCAAGGCTGACCCCGATGCCGAGGCGCAAGACCTGAAGCAAGCCGTCAAGCAAGAAGCGCTTGTAAAAGCCGAGGAAGAAGAAGAGTCGAGTGGCATAACTCCGGTGGTGTTCAAGAAACGAAAACCCAAGGGCATCCGAACGAAGTAGGCGAACTTGAAAGTTCAGCTACGGCTGAGCAGCAATGAATATACCATGCTACAGCTGATTCAGCAATTCCAAAGCGCAACACTATACCATGCTATTCTTGTCAAATCTTTCCATTTTAAGGATCGGATAGCAAGAAATGATATTTCAGCGCTGGTCGATATGCCAGCTGATTAATTGCAACGGCTAGAATAACGCCGTGGATAGAATCCAAGAGGCTATCCAGCTCCACTGCCGCGGGCTGACGTGCCGAGATGGGTAGGATCTGGGCCTGGATCTAGACTAGGTAGAACAACTCTCCCATCCTCGGAATTCGGATTTAGAAAGCGTGGGGTGAATTGCGATTTTCTGTTGACGAGCCCGGATTTACTCGAGAGTTGGCCGGGACACGAGGCAGAGTCGAGCAGTTTCAGAGGCAATATAGGATATTTTAGGATTGCTGGAAATGCGCATGTCTAAGCAGTAGTCATGTCGCTAACCCAGTGCTAGCCCGTCTCTGCACTTGGAGATTCGGACCACGTTTCCTTGCATGTTGCAGACGCTCACTCTTTCCTAAACCAGCATGACAAATGGACGTCGTAAATTGCGTCACGGAGTCTGTACCTGGACTTAATTGTTTTGCTCCGCTGCTACCCCACCAGCGAAAAGTGACGCTCAGAAACGGGCTCTCGAGATTGAAATAGTCGAGGGAAGCGCGCGCTCTTCTACCCCTCACTGCTATCTCTATCTCTCTATCTATTCACTGCTTTTACACTCGGACAACAAACTCCTCTTGTCTTCTAAACAAAGTCAATTGTACACATCTCGAAAATGGCCTCTCACCCACCTGCAAGCTGCTGCGTTGTTGGAACCCTCCACGAGTGAGTTTTTCTACTCTCGTCTTCTCTTTTCCTCTCTGTTCCTTTGTCTTCTATATGCCAGATCTCATATCTGGCGGCGGTTGCATCAGCATCTCGGCCCGCGTCTCCTCTTTTTTTTTTTTCTGCGACGGGATGAGTTGCCCCGCCAAGTGCAAATGAATGAGCAAAGAAGCAGTTGATGCCGTTGTTTAATCACTTGATTCATAGCGCATTTAATTAATCAATTGTCTCCAGGGGCGAAACCACCGGCAAGGACATCAAGGTCGACGGCACCATTGACGCCTACCTGGCCACGCCTCCTCCCGACAAGGTCCGCGATGGCCAGGGCATTCTCTTCATCCCCGACGTCATTGGCATCTGGCAGAACAGCAAGCTGCTGGCCGACAACTTTGCCTCTCAGGGATACACCGTCCTGCTGCCGGACATCTTCAACGGCGATGCGCTGCCGCTGAACCGCAAGGGCGACTTTGACTTTGTCAAATGGGCCACCGAGGGCACGGGTGGCAACAACCCTCACACTCCCCCGGCCGTGGACCCCATCATCGTCAAGAGCATCAAGGCTCTCCAGGACTTGGGCATCAAGAAGATTGGCGCTGTCGGCTACTGCTTCGGCGCCAAGGTGAGCAGAAGTCACCATATGCCACACATATCTATGCTAATCGGTCCTATAGTACGTTGTCCGTCACTACAAGAGCGGCATCGAGGTCGGCTTCGTCGCTCACCCCAGCTTCGTCGAGGAGGACGAGCTCGCTGCCATCACCGGCCCTCTGTCCATTGCCGCAGCCCAGACTGACGCCATCTTCCCTACTGAGAAGCGCCACAAGTCCGAGGAGATCCTCATCAAGACCGGCCTGCCCTTCCAGATCAACCTGTACTCGGGCGTTTCGCACGGCTTCGCTGTCCGCTGCGACACCAGCGTCAAGATTGAGAAGTTTTCCAAGGAGCAGGCCTTTCTCCAGGCTGTGACTTGGTTTGGCGAGCACTTGTAAGGGGGGAAAGTAGTGGGGAAAAGTTTCAAAAAGATGTATTTATGATGGCGTGTGTGCATGAATGAATTCAATAAAGATTGCGTTGCTCCGGACTTGGACTGCGTTTACACCGTCTTGGAATCCATATCCAGCTATAACATTTGACTGATAAATTACCCGGTGTTTGTGGTAGCAATAGTTGCGAGATAGCTTGAAGCGGTCACCAAATCTATTTACTTGTTGAACAGACCACTCTGGCAAACGTTGAAGTGACCACTTCACTCTGTATAGTGATGTGCCAATACATAAGGTATCCTAGTTCTTCCAACAATACTAGTAGACTATATCGAGTCAGAGTATACTAACGAGGAAGAATATTAAAGTCTAGATTAATGTTGAAAATATAGTATTATGACCTTTTAATCCGAGTCTGAATCCGAATCCGTAAAATAAAAATCGTAGCCTGACGTATTAGATATTGTTTCTTGCTGCTTTGGCAAAGGAGCGGCTTGCTCCAATCTTTTCGTAGACTCGTTCAACGTTCTTTCGTCATTAAATGGACCTTTAAACATGAACTCATCGTTGCCGTTCGGACCACCTTTCCAAAACCTAGCTGTGAATTTGCATCCACCCATTGCTACATCAACACTAATTGCTGGATATAGTTTGCCGCGGATATTGCAAAATGCTTGGCCTATTTAGCCTGGTCATTAGTGCTGTGAACATCTTTAGAAGGGAAGGAGGGGCTGTTGATATACTTGCCGATTATTTCTCCATTCAAAGTATAAAAGGCAATATCTTTGTCGAAATTGACGCCGCATCCAATGACATCGCCTTCGCCGTAAACCTCTCCAAAGGGAGTAGGAGTCTGGACGCCACACTGGTACGTTTCACCACTGTCACCATTGTAACCCCAAGATACCTTCTCCCGTCCAAGCTGAGGGCCGCCCAGAGGCGTATGTTCGCCACAAAAGCCAATAGCGAATCGTCTAAATAGAGACATCAGTATATGCTACTGCATATTCCAACTAGAAGAAGAATAAGAAGAAGGTTTGACTCACCCAGAACCGTCGCCCTCATGTTCAATCTTGATCTCAAAATAATACACTCCATCTTGCTGTGGCCACATGGGGTGGTCAGTTCGCGCTATGCCGTTTGTATCAACAAGCTTGTCTGGCGGTCGAACTAGTTGCATGATGATTAGTTTGTCTTGAATCTTCTATAATCGAATGAGCATCTATGAATGAGGTCAAGTTTCACATACAATCCTCGGAAACAGTAAGCGAGGTTCCGTCTGGCGAGGCTTTCAGTGCCGGCGATAGATCCAAAGGATGCCATTTGGTAGGGATTTTAACAGGTTTCAGCCGCCTTCCCAAGGAAGTCTGTTTGATTCTGACAACTACCTCTCCAATCAGCTTTGTCACGTCATGATTTTCGTACCTCGTTGCAGTATCATCAAATGTCCATCCGTTATAATCAATCTGACAAGGATTCGGAAAAATAAGACTCAAAAGCTGTTTAGCAAGGGCTTGCGCATTGAGTGCAATTGTGGCGTTGAAAACGTGCTGAAGGCTTCGATAATGAATATCTCGATCCTTAATCTTCTGTAACATTTCATTGAAAAGGTAGGGTTGCTCAGCAGCCCAGTATAAAGCATTACGACCGCGTATATCTCTCAAGCCCAACGTTGCACCACTCTTGACGAGCTTCGCGACCATGGAGTCGTCGCCGCGAATAATGGCGTATATGAGAGCCGTTTTCTCTCAAGCCCAACGTTGCACCACTCTTGACGAGCTTCGCGACCATGGAGTCGTCGCCGCGAATAATGGCGTATATGAGAGCCGTTTTCCCCCACTTGTCTTGAGCATCAATATCAGCTCCGTGGTCTTGTAGGCCTTTGATCACGTAAACGCCATTGCGAATTGCCAACATCAGCGGAGTTCGACCCACGGCATCTCGCTCATTAACGTCCACGTCCGGATGTTGCAATAGATGTGGCAGCAAATCAGGGACTCTCTTTACCATGGCGGTGGACAGTGGTCCTCGTCCCCACTGATCTTTAAAGGCAAGCTGAGCGCCCTTCTCAAGGAGCAGAAGAAATATATCCTCTTTGCCTTTGCAAATAGTGGCTTGGACTGGTTTCCCTCCTTTAGGTGAGCTTAGATTGGCGTCTGCTCCGTGCTCCAGCAATATCTTGACAATGTCAATGTTATTCTTGAGTATTGCCTGCATTAGCAGATTGTCACGTTTCCTTTTGCTTGGAATATCTACGTCAGCTTTGTGCTCCAATAACAACGTTATCAAGTCAGAATTTCCGCAAGCAATTGCACATTCAAGCGCCGTGCCCTTTGGCCCTTCGTAGTCAATGTCAGCACCAGCTTCAAGCAGCCGGCGTGCGATTTCAACATTCCCAGCTTGAACCGAGCCGCAAAGACAACTGCCATACACTCCGCCAAAGATATTCGGATCGGCTTTAGCTTCCAGAAACATTTGGACCATGCATTCTGCACCGTTTGCAGCGGCAGCTTGCAGCGCAGAGGGGAAAATACTCTCGTCGTTTGCCAAGTTGACCTCTGCACCATTGTCTAGTAGGAACCTGGCAGCATCAACTCCGTTCACCGCTGCTGCAGACATGAGCGGCGTGCCCATTGAGTTGGAGTTGGAATTGATATCCAGCCCTTTTTTGATAAGATATTCAATGACGTCTAGTTTCCCAGACAGCGCGGCATAATGAAGAGCCGTCGCGCCCTGATTTGTCCTAGCGGTGATGCTGCTGTGGCTGGAACATAAGAGCTTTACGGTATCGAGTGTTCCGCTCGTCGCCGCGATATGCAACGCCGTTTTGCCTTGTTTATCTTGAACATTAAAATCGCACTCAACATCATGATCGATGTAATGCTGTATGACTAGATGCCCGTTCTCTTCATCTGCTGCCAACATAAAGGGCGTTTTGCCAGAATTGCAAAGCGCCATTGGATTTGCCCCGGCATCAAGCAAGAGCTTAGTCAACAAGGGATTGTCGGAAGCCGCATGCAGTGCTGTCTGGCCATTGTCATTCTTGACTTCGAGATCTGGAGATAGTTTGAGAAGCTGCTCAACTGCTGTCTGGTTGCCAGCCCTCGATGCTTGCCAAATTGCCGTACATCCTGCCTCGCCTTGTAAATCAATATTTATTTTCACTCTTTCTCTGTCTTCAAGCAGCGTTTCGAGAGCCTGCGGGTACCTTTGAGCTGCCATGTGGATCGGACTTTGAGACTCGCAATCCAAGACATTGGGGTTTGCTCCTTGGCTTAGGAGCATATCAATCATTTCATGATCCACGGCTCTGACGGCGCAATGAAGAGCCGTTGTCGGTTTATTCTCATTGATATCCCAATCATAATACAGGAGCAAACTGACAAGATTGACATGTCGCATCTTAACAGCCTCAATGAGGGCGTTTTCCTGTCCCTGGTAAAACGAGAATTCGCACCTATCTAATGGAATTGTGTCCAAGATATATTTCGTGACGTCCAAGTGGCCATTTCGCACAGCCAAGATAAATGGAGTATCGCCATTACTCTTTGGCGCCGAGATGAGGCAACGGTCTTCCTCTCTAAGCTCTGGTCTGTTTAAAATCTCACATAGAATCCATATGTGGCCATGGGAAGCCGCAATATGAAAAACTGTCTGGTCGAATTTGTCCCAGCCGCTCAATTCTGCACCATGATCAAGCAGTATCCGTAGTGTCACTAGACGGCCAGATTTAGCTGCAAAATGCAATGGCGTCCAACCGAAAGAATTGCGTGCTCCGGTATCAAACATTTCCGAGTTATAACCCACAAGCCGCTCGACAATGTCAGAATAATCTCCCTTAGCTGCGAGATGGAGCGCGGTATTTTCATCTTCGTCATAAGCATGTGCCGTGATGGAGGAATTTAGTAGCATTTCGACAATTTCGACAAATCCTTCCTTGGCGGCGAGCAGCAGCGAAGCCGCACGATCTTGGTCTAGACTATACTGCTTCTGTTGAAGTAACTCACGAACGACCTCGCCATGCCCATATTGGGCTGCTAGCTGAAGTGGCGAATTCGTAGGAGCCATTGAATCTTTTGGAGACTTCTCCGGGACTGGTCCTCTCTGCCTTTGGATCAACTCTCTCAAGATGGACAAAAAGCCTCCTTTTGCCGCAATATGAATTGGCGAATAACCATCACTCGTAATAGCGTCAAGCTCTGCTCCTGCGTTCAAGAGAATGTTGATTGTAGAAGACTGTCCGTGCTTCGCAGCGAAGTGAAGTGCCGTCATGCCGTTGACGTCTTTCTGGTTTATCGGCACTCCCGCACTTATCAAGATTGTTGATATGTCGTCAAATCCTCCAGCAGCAGAAAAGTGAAGTGCGTTGAGGCCCGTTGCGGACAAAGTATGTATATCAGCATTCTTTTGTAGAAGCAAATTAACAATCCCTACATGTCCCAAGCTAGCTGCCAACTGTAGCGGCCTTGTATCGTTTCGAATCATGATGTCGCACTTTGTGCCGCGTTCTATCAGATAAGACGACACATGTTCGTCTCCGTTCAAAATAGCCATCATGAGCGGCGATCTCTCAAATAGATACTCGGCATGGATCATATTTGGATCAATCTCAGACAGCTTTTGAGCCATACTCGTGAAGCCGCCATCAACCGCCAAATTCATGGCGTCCTTGGATCGGGCACCAGCGTCTAATAGTAGAGCAACGATGTCTTCTTGGCCTCTTTCGGCTGCCGTATCAAGCGATGCTGACAGCTCCATCTCGTAGTCGTCCTTTTTTAGTACTTCTTGGATCAGGTGTTTGGTAAGGTCAGCAAACCCAAACCAGCAGGCTATTTTCAAAAGGCTATCCAACTGTGAAATTGTGCCAGCTGAAGAAGCTGTGTACAGTTTGTACAAACTGAACCATGCTTTAATACAGCCTTCATTATTGAACAGCTCCTTCACTCGATCTTGCTTACAGTCTTTGTTGGTCCTTGCATAGTGCTGTGGCCACTCAACAACTGCATATTCCACAAAACCGTATTCCGGGCCATAGAATATCTCACGAAAATTCTCTACTTCGCCTTGCTGAAGTTTGGCGATATCAAGAATCATCTTGAGATAATCTATGCATTTGCCAAGGATGATGAAGTTGTATTCATTTTTGGCCTCTTCTGTAGTGCGATCCAACTTTGTAAAAGTTGGTACAACTTGCAAGTCGGATATCTTTATGAGAGCCCCATTGAGACACTGTAGGTAGCGTGCAATTGGACGGGGTATCTCTAGCTCGAGGTCTTCGAGACTCATATCTTGTGAAGAGCTAATTGCAATAGCAACGGCTAATTCTCCAAGTGTCAACGGCCTCACTGAATTCAGAATCCACATCCATAGTGAATCAAAAGGCATTTTGCACTTTCTTTTGCAATGCTCCAGTATTGCTGAATATAAACTGTCGGGACTTGTCGGTAAGTTTTGGAGTGCATTAGCTGTCGCTCTTTTGGTGGATGGAATACTTTCAGATTCTAGCGCTATGAACTTGGTAGTAAGAGCAATGCGATTGAAGTCGTACGGCTGGCTAAATAGAATGTTAAAGATTGCATCGCGATGATCGCTGAATTGAAGGTTGTTTTCCACGACTTCATTCGTTTCTTCTCGCACAAAAGTCTCCAAAAAAGGCATGTACCGATCTTGTTTGCCCAGATCAATACAATAGCTATGCGAGTACTGAGAAACGCGTTTGTTCGATTCTTCATCCAGCATAACGAGTTTCAGAGTGCCTGTTGCTGACCGCCTAGACTCATCAACTAGGGATTTTAAATCTTCCACGAGGCTTGAAGAACAATTTTGAGCTCCATGAATCATGATGATGACTGGTCGAGGCATGCACGTCTTAATAATCGTAAGCAGAACATTGCGAATAGTCTTATGACGGAAACGCTGATTTGGCCAAAGTGTTTCAGCAATAAATGACACTGGTAGATATAATTTAGGATCATGAAGTAGCAGCTGGCGGCATAATGAGGCATAAAAAGTCGATATGCTTTGAGTCCTAATGTCTCTTTCGCTAAACGCGAATGTAGCGATAATCGGCTTCGGTGAGTATTTTTGGAAGTGAAAGAATAGGGTCGACGCAGATCTAGCATTTATGTCACCATGAAGTCCATATATGTAGAGAATGCTGGATGATTCTGGACCAAAGTCACTCCAAGCAACATAAGATGCATGTTCCGTCATTTTCTGCAACAAGGTAGCGGAAGGTTCAACAAGCTGCAATTGGTAGTTGTTGGTATCCACTCTAGACAGTGTCGTGACAAAGTTCAAGAACTCTTCTGAAAGGGCTAGATAAGGTCATTAATAAAATTACCAAACACCATGAATAAACAAGAGTATTGACTGACAACGCAATTTGAAATCCACAGCTAAACTTATTTTAACTGCCATTCGTTCCGTGGTCTCGTGCTCCACAGACGGCATCCACAGATCTTCATCTGATGCTTCATCGCCCAGGACAATGATTCTGGTGGTCACCCACGCATCCTCGTCTAAAACTTCATCGTCTGAGTCAGTGATTATGTTGTAGTGTGCATCAATACCAGAAAATCTTCTTGAGACATCTTCTAACACAATCGGAAGCTCGTGCAGCAGTTTCGACGGCTGGCAAGAGCCAAAGTCGGAATCCAATAGCAGCCTAAGCGCGTCGTTCTGCCATAATAAGATGTTTCCTCTTGGATTAGGACACTCGTAGAGAACCTAGGCGTCTTCCATTAGTCCTAAAAAATTCTGGAGCCTTTAATCATAGCAAACATACCACGAGCGCGGTATCAAATGCTAGATGTCCGTATTTTTTATCGTTTTGTGCAAGTAGCAAGGCCTCGTGTTCAATTAGTTCTCTATTCCAGGATAGGTATGCCTTGATTGTCCAACAATACCTGTTTCACAAGCAGTCCCCCGAGTCCATGGCAAAGGAATACATATGGGACGATGCTATTGACTCCAAATCTAGCCTAATCATATTCAAATTAACGAAAGAGCATGAGAATCAGCTGGGACGACTCACTTTAGACCTTCGGTCTTTCTCAACCTCTCTCAATAGTTCCAATGCCCTTTCGGACAGCCCGGTATTTCCCCATGCAGGAGTTTCCGTCAGAAAGGGAATATTTGTAATAAATGCTACAGGAAAGCGTGCAGACCAAAAGTCGTAGACTGCACCTCGCTTCTCAGGGCCGTCATTCGCGCCGTGTACAATGACGAGTCTAAGTAATGTATTAGATCTCAAAAAAAAAAGACTTTTCTCTTTTACGAGAAGTCAGAAACTCACTGAAATTGACGCTGCCGTTTACCATTCATAACTTTGATGATTCGTAATAGGAGACATACGTTAAAACTTTGAATTTGAAACTTGATTTAGGCAATTTAGTTACTAATGAACTCTCAAATGGAAAAATAAGTTAAGTCCAAGTGGCCTCTTTATAAAGGCACGAATCAAGCTGAAATTTAGGACCGAGGGACCTTCCTTCAAGTTTCTTTCACACCCAGTCAAACAAAGCTCCCAACCGCAGCTAGGTGACGCATGACGACAATTCTTTCAAACAGATTTTGAAAAGCTATCTAATGATGTGGAGTGAATACAACACAAAGGAAGATAGTTGGTTGATAGCCAAGATTGCATTCTTAAAAGTGGCTGGTCTTATTGCTACGTCTGCGCCCAATCGTTCGACAAGACAGCATGGATATTTATGAGTGCATCTATGCGATTCATGCATTCTTATTTGTCTTCAATAATACATAGAAAAGGCGTTAAGCTAATCTAATAGTGCTTCATAATATCTACCTAGGTAGGTAGTTCTCGCATGGTACAAGACAAAATACATCGTTTCCGCGCAGCAAAAGCAAGACAAAGGAAGACATACAACGGACTAGATAGTTCTGTGGCCGCTGTCACCGCATCTGGACTTACTAGTCTACTCATTCTCGTAAGTGAGCTGTTAAACAAAGAAGATAAATCGTACAAAGAATGTAGAATAATGAATCAAGCATTCCAGTATATGACGAAAGGAAAACTTACACTTATCAGTGGCTGAGCATTTGGAGAAGCAAATGCAAATGCTAGAAAAGCGGCTAAAACTCGAGAACCAAGACCTTGATACGCTGTAAATAGAGATGCGTTCGATGACCTAATAGCGCATGCCATGGATGTTTTAGCGGCTCGCATTAGTGCTTGGCTTGGCGACCGCCTAAAGCGGCAGCACCTGTGGCAGCGTCTCCACAGCGCCTAAGCCGCAAGCCACTTTTGGCCACATGCACCTTTAATCGACTGCCAGCGAACGACCATCGTCCATCTACACCTCCATCGTCGGATTTCCAGGCCTGCTGTTTCTCGCCTTTTATGCCTGCGAGGCCAGCTGCCACGCTCGACAAGCTACAGCAAAGCGGCGACTTCATCAGCAGCATGTTTCAGTAGAAACCTCGCCGGAATGGCAGCGACCGCAGACCCCATCAGTCCCGTGCCCTCGACGGCCATTTCAAGCTCTTCCTCTGCGCATCCGACCCGGAAGAACTCGTCCACCAGCCTGGCCGAGCTGACGGAAGATGAAGTGGTTCATAACGGCAACAGGCATGGATATGGAAATACGAATGGGAACAGGCATGGATACATGAATGGCAGCAAGAATGGGCACGACAAAGAGAATGAATATGGGCACGAGACCGCAAATGGAAGCCCTGCCATCAGCAGGAGATCGAGCAACAACAACTTCAGGCAGAGAGACTCTGGCAGCGACATGCAGAGGCAGCGCAGCAGCAGCGGCACCATGAAGAGGGACCCAAGCCACGACAACGTCCAGAAGCTGAGCGCCGCCGAGATGCAGCAGCTGACTAGCGAGCCCAAATCGCTTCCCATTGCGCCCGCGCCAGACTTTGTCCAGGAGCGAGAGGCCATTCGACAGTCTCTGATGAGGCCACCGGAGCAGCCCCATGCCGACGGATTCCAGCGGCCGAATGGCCTGGCGGCAGAGACCCGGACAGTCAGCGGATGGCTGCCCAGAGAAGCCCGAGCTCCAATGCGTCGCTCTGCGTCAGCGAATAGGACCGTATCGACGCCGCCGACGACCCGAGATGTTCAAGGCCTTGGTATCCAGGCGCCTGCGTCACCGCCGCGACGACTGTCATTTGTTCCTGGGACACGCCCTCAGGGGCTGAACCTCAACCTGGACGGAGCCGCAAACGCAGGCACAACCGGAAGCGTGGTATCACCGCCCATCAAGACCGGGCCACCAACTTTTGCGTCACAGCAGCCCGGACCTATCCAACCTGCAAGCTCCGGCATCCGGCCGCCGTCTCCCATCCCGCCCATGATTCCGCTCCCGCCAATGTCGATCCCTACGCATCTTCAACTTGAACTGTCCCAACAGCGCCCAAGCCCTCTTTATATCCACCAGTCCTATACCAACGATATTCCGTACGAGTCTCACGCCGTCAAGTTCGAACGTCTGAAGAACGTCCTCCTGATACCCCCATTTCTGGAGCGAACGCTGTATTTTGGTGCGCTGGCCTGCTTGGATGCCTGGCTGCACACCTTTACCATTCTCCCCATCAGGTTTACCATGGCCCTCGCCGTCTTGGTGCAATGGTGGATGTATGTCATCTTTAAGGAAGTCAAGTGGCTGGTTGGCTTTGTCTGGTATGGCCTCGGGCGAGTATGGCGCCGGGCTCGAGCAGTGCGCGGTCGAAGAATTAGTGATGCGTCCGACAGCGCCAGATCGCGCAGCTGTAGTAGAGCCAGCGAGGTCTCCGTGGACGGCGCATCGCCTGGCATTCGGCACCGCTCCAATGGAAGGATGCGAACCGATTCACGCGCTCGCGGTGCAAGTGATGCTGCCGGGACCAAGACACCGTCGCTCCCAGCTCGCAGCAATCCGGGACCGAAGTCGGGCATCTTTCGGCACCGACGGACAAAGTCGACGCCGTCCAACCTCTCGTCCTTCCACAAGGCCGATTTGCTCCAGGGCGCAGTCATCATATGTAGCTCTCTCGTGCTGATGAAACTGGACGCCAGCCGAATGTATCACCTTATCCGCGCGCAGTCGGCCATCAAGCTGTACGTCGTGTACAATATCCTCGAGGTTGGAGATAAACTACTCTCAGCCCTGGGCCAAGACATCCTCGAGTGTCTGTTTAGCTCAGAGACCCTATCCCGTAATGCGTCTGGCCGGTCCAAGATTCTCCTGCCGCTGGGCATGTTTGTGCTTGCTTTGATATACTGCGTACTCCATTCCGTGGCCCTGTATTACCAAGTCATTACCCTCAACGTGGCCGTCAACTCCTATTCCAATGCCCTCCTTACGTTACTCCTATCCAACCAATTTGTCGAGATCAAAAGCACGGTTTTCAAGCGCTTCGAGAAAGATAGTCTGTTCCAGCTTACCTGCGCGGATATAGTAGAGCGCTTCCATCTCTGGGTCATGCTGCTCATCATCGGCATGCGAAATATTGTCGAAGTGGGCGGCCTCTCTATCCCGGGAGCCAGTATGAGCGATGACGCTCCCACCAAAGCGGCGCCTCTCCACTCGGCAAGCATCCTCCCTCACAGCTTTACCGTGCTTCCATCCTGGGTCATGTCGGGAGAGGTTCTCTCACCGTTTCTCATTGTCGTAGGCAGCGAGATGCTGGTAGACACCATCAAACACGCTTATGTGACAAAGTTTAACAACATCAAACCAAAGTTCTACAACAGGATCCTCGACATCCTATGCAAAGACTACTATACCAATGTAAGTAGCTGCCCTCAGTATATAGTTCACAAGATTGGAATACTAATTCTTCACCTCATGCAAGGCCTTCACAGCTCCCGCTCTCACGAGAAGACTCGGTCTCGCCGTCATCCCTCTATCCTGCCTCTTCATCCGCGCCTCCATCCAAACATACCACATGCTCCTATCCGCCCATGTTCCTATGCCTCTCCATATATCGACCCAGACGTCTCTAACAGAAGCATCCGCAACGCCCTCCTCTCCCGCCATGATTGCAGCCCTCAACCGCTTCGACACTCTTATCCGCGACTCTCTAGGCCGCGCCACTTACGGATATCCTTATGACCATCCGCTCAACTCGCGCCCCTGGTACAGATGGACCTCGGATGATGCCATTGCAGCCATCACCATGGTAGTCGTCTTCTTCATCATCTTCCTCGTGCTCCTTATTCTCAAACTCCTCCTCGGAATGATCCTCCTCAAGTACGCCCGCAACCGCTACGCCAAGATGAAGCAGAAGGAAGCTCTCGTTGCCGCTGGACAAGCGGAATGGGACAACTACAAGGCTAATGGGATACGAGTGGGTGGCTTTGGACAGGTAGAAGTCACAGAAGACAAGCGTCGCTGGATAAACGCCGATCCCACGGAAGGGCTGAAGAAGAAGAAGAAGGAAAGGGACGATAGGAAGCCGACAAATGTGGAAGGGGATTATCAGGGCGTGTTTCGATATGACATGGTGGAAAAGAGGATTTGGTGAGGTGTTATGTACAGTACTGGATTAAAGAGTAACTCCATGGGTGGCGCAATTCGTTCCGTTGTTTATTCATCTATTAGCGTTGGTACCAAGCATATCATACTCTGCATAATAGTAAACCACTTTTTTTCCCTTCACTATTGCTATATGAACATTACTTTTGCTCAAGACTCGAGTTGAAATGCATTTCATCCGCCAAAAAGATGACAATCAATCTGTCCAATGGTACCATTAGATCCTTCGCAATTTTAGAGCAAGAAATTAATCTTCACACTCGAGAATTTTTCGTGCTTCCTTTCCTTTCATGTCCAAACACTGGCACATCTTGATACTTGTCAATTTCGCCTGTAAGTTTCTTCTATTGCTAATTCAAAACGAGTGCTTTAAGCGCACAACCCACACACCTTCAAATCCAACCTCTTTTAACTTTATATACGCTTCCCCCATAACCCGCATACTCGAGCATATACACTCTATGCTATTTTCCCAATCCAGCCTTTTTCTAATTAAACACACTGTGATATTTTCTTTATATGTGTTTTCCCTTGTATACCCTCGGCCCATTTCCATTTTTCTCTTTTTTTCCTAACTCATCATAAAGGGGTATAGTTCATGTCTTCATGTCTTCATCGTCTAAGATACCAGTTCGCTCTCAAAAAAATATACCAAATAACTCTTTTTTTCTTTTATCCCTTACTGGACGAGGCTCAGCAAGTTGGGGTTATTGGCAAACAGGTCCGGCTTGGCTCCGTAGAGTGCCTTCACAGTCTGAGAGATGATCTGGCGGGTCTCGGGCTCGAGCTGCTCCTGGGGAGGAGACAGGACCTTTTCGAAAATGCCAATCAGCTGGGGAGTCAGCTGCTGGACAGTTTCGTTGGACTGATCGTAGAGAGTGTGAATGGCCTGGTAAATGGGCTCGTTCTCCTCGTACTCCTCCTGGAGAGGCAGGGCAGCCACAATGGCGGGGAGGGCCTGGGCAACAAACCCAGCATCAGCGTGCTTGAGAATCATTCGAGACAGGGCTCCGGCGACGTTGTCCGTAATGTGCATGTCGCGCATGGCCAGCATTGGCTCAAACTTCTCCCAAAGCTGAGGGTAGATAGGGACCGTCTTGGCGGTATCGGTGGAGTTGAAGATCAACAGACCGATAGCGTAGGCGGAGTTGGACTTGGTCAAGGCATCAGGATCAGACAGTCGGCGGATCAAGGCCTGTCCAATAGACTCGGTGTATGGGGTAATTGCCTCGCCGGTGTACTTAACAAGCTCGGCAATAGTGCCAACAGCAGTCGATCGCTGGAGGTCCTCAGTAGAGCTGGCCATCTTGTAGATGGGCTTCTCGAAAATCTTCCAGAGCTCGCCGAAAGCGGGGCCCAGAGCAGCGGCGAGGCCAACAACGACATCCAGGGCGGTGTCAATGGCAAGCCAGTCGTACTCTGAAGATCCAGCGTCCTCGACCTCCTGCTCCTCGTCCTCATCGCCAAGATCCAGCTGGCAAGGGTGAGAGCGAGTGATCAGAAGAGTGACGACGGAGATGACCTCTTGCAGCATGCCATCCTTGGCAGTCAGGACTGCAGGACCACAAGCCTTGAGAGTGGCGGCAACGTTGCGGTTGATGTCGGTGACGACGGATCTATTTGCTTGGTTAGCAAGAATGCCAATTTTCATTGTCAAGAGAGAGATGTGGAAAATAGAGGAGCAGATCAGAAGTAGATTAGACGCTTTCTCAGCAATTGCAAATTTGCATCTGAGTGAGCTGGGTATAACGCAATGTTGTCATCATGCAAGTGGAATGTGAAGATGTAAAGAAAAACGTTCGAAAAGACAAAATACGTACCGGTCGCTGTCGTTGGCCCAGATAGTCATGGTAGCCTCGTGAAGAGTCTCACCAATCTTGGCGATTGATGCAGGAGGAGTGGGCTTGGGGGGCATGCCAGGCTCCCACTTGACGCCAGAGCCCTCTTCCCAGACCTGGAAGACGCGGGCATAGATGCGCCACAGGGTAGAAATGGCAGTCTTGCGGCAGCCTTCGTAGTCGTGGTCGGTAAAGGGCAGAACCTTCTCAATGGTCTTCTCGACGTAGGTCTCGAGGTTGTTCATGTTGCAAGAGTTGGAAATGACATCTCCAAGGACATCAAGGGCAATCTCCTGCTCCATGGCAACGGCAGTGGTGCCGCCAGCGAGATCTGCAAGATCTTCAATATCATCCCACTCATCCTCAGCTTCGCCTCCAGTGGCAATAGTAAGATCCTCTTCGCTCTGAGGGGTCTTAACCTTGATGCGCTTGCCGCCAATGACAATGTGGCCATCGTCAAGCTGGCTGGGATCAATGCCAGGAATGTCGAGCTCCTCCTCTTCAAGCTCCAGAGAGGCAAAGATGCCCTGGAAGACGCCGCCAAGGAAGTGCTCGAACTGCTCGTGGTAGACCTTGGACAGGTTGGACCATAGGATGAAGCTGGTCTCCTTGAGTCTGGGGTTGTCGAGGCTAAGAGCCTCCTCGCTGGCCTTCATGAGATCCATAACGTAAGGCTGGAAGGCCTCAGGGCCAACAGCCAGAGCAATGCGGCCCAAGCTGTCGCAAGTGGAGCTTCGCAGGTTCATGGCATCCTCACTATCCTTGATCATGACGAAGTTACCGAGAGACTTCATGACATTCTCGAAGTAGGGCTGGAACTCCTTCTCCATAGATGCAGCAATAGCACCCAGAGCGGAGGCAGCAGCAGCCTTGACACCATAGTCGTTGTGGTCAAGCAGCTTAACCATAGGGCCAATCAGGGCAGGGCCGTACTGAGCCATGATCTTGGTGTCGATACCATCACCAAAGGTATCGAGAGCACCACAGGCGCATCGGATGATGCTGATGTTGGTCTTGTCAGAAGGACCCTGGGAGGCAGACTCAAGGTTCTTCAAGACAGCCTCAATGATTTGCTGGTGGTGTGAAACCATCTCGTCGGCCATTTCCTCAGCAAGGTGGATAAGACCGACCAGAGCAGCATGTCGGACCTTGGTCTCAGAGTCGCAGAGCAGGTTGATGATGGAAGGCAGAAGAGGCTGGAGCTGGGTTGAGATGAAATCAGGAGCGCCCTCAGCGGCATTGCCCAAAGCCAGCATAGCGGCCATACGGTAGCGCGGGTCTTGGTTGGTGGCAAAGACGGGGAACTGCTCCAGAAGGGGCACAATGACCTGGCGAGGAGGGAGCTCGTTGGCCAGCTGGTCAATCAGGCTGATGGCCACTCTAGCAGGCGACATGTCCTCTTCGTCTTCAGAGTCCAGATCAATGACGATGTGCATGGCCTTGACCATGAGCTCGGCACCGAGATCCTTCATGGCCTGGATCTTCATGCGGCGGAAAGAGACGGTCTGGATGAGGAAGCCAAGGGCCTGAGAACGAGGGTCATCCTCAGCGTTGGTGTTGCCAGCAAGCTCAATCATGAACATGAGCAGGTCGCGCAGGTGGAGGTTGAGAAGCGCAGAGTCGTAGGCGATGAAGGAGTGGAAGACGTCAAAGACGGCGCCGTAGCTCTCCTCGTCACCGGCCTCGACGGTGGCCTTGAGGATGTTGACCAAGCTGGGGACGAATCCCTGCATGATGGTGAGGGCCTTGGGGTCCTCCTCGGGGTCAACGAGCATGAGGATGGCGCCAATAGCACGCACAATGTTCATGCGCACCTCCTTGCTTTCGTCGTTGATGCGAGCCTGGAAGAGCTGCAGCAGCTGGTCGGTGTGGTCGCTGAAGTGGGCGGGATCGTCCTCGAGCATGGCATACAGGACGAACGAGCCGACCTCGCGGTGCACGACGTTGTCGCTGGTGTTGAGGGGCAGCAGCTGGGCCAGGAAGTCCTCGCCGTCGCCCTGCTCCATGTCCTCGCCAACGATGCCGGCGACCAGACGCGCCAGAGAGTGGCGGTTGGCCGCCGACGTCTCCTTCAGAGTGCCCTCCAGCAGGTGGGAGCGGACAAGAGGCTTCTGGTCTTGGGCCGTCTTCTTCCAGAACTTGTTCACCAGGCGCAGGGCCTGGACAGAGGCCAGCTGTCGCACAGCATTGTCTGCGTTTGTAAGAGCGATCTCGATGAGCGCCAGAAGAGACTCGGGCTTGGAGTAGTAGTTCTTCTGGAGGTCGGCCGTGACAGCCTTGACCTGTTCCGTGTTGGCTGAAGAAAGAAGAGTTAGTAAGAAAGGGTTTTCACACGAGAAAGACGTTCACGTCTCTCTTTTGCATCTTCTCGGTGCGCGCGAGAAGCAGATAACAAAGGAAAGCAATGGACAAACAGTAGAGAAGAGACTTACGAACTTGGCTGGCCTGCAGCAACTGGGCGAGCTTTTCCCTGTCCATCCTGACTATTCGCTTGGAAGCTCGGCGACCAAGAGAAATGCAAAAGATGAAGAAAAAGAAAAAGGAAAAGACAAGGTGGTGTGGAAAAGATTTTATGTATCCCGCCTAGAGGGGAAAAAAAAAATTAATATCGATTCTCCAACCAGGCAGGGACTTTTTTTCGCCCCGCTTGACCGAGGGGTCGTCTCCAGTTTCAAGATTAACGGCGGCTTGGGATTGGCGCCGGATTATGATTGGTGGGAGCGCGTTATCGTTATCTGAAGCTAGAGCTGCGATAAAAAGGTCGGGGTCTAGGTTATTCGAGAAGAAATCTGAACGAGTAAATGCCGAGATAGTAAGTGAAATTCGTTTGAAGGCATGACATTTAAGAATGTTGGAACATTTGAGGAAGAAGTTGTTCTACTGTGCATACCTACTAGATGGGCGGTGGGTATAAAGCTATTCTTGCAATATTATTGCGATGCTGGATATTGAGTCACTTTCGTCAGGTATTTATGTATAGACAGACAAACATACGTGCGTACTAACAACTAAAGACATATTCCAATAAGCAAATCTAGTTCTAGTGTACATTTATAAATATCACATTAAATCTTACACTCAGCCATAAATTGTCTAATCCGTCGGTTGCCCTGACCTTCTGGTACTGCCATATAACTACTGCAACACGCCTTGTTGTTCCCTCCTCCCCATCTCGTGACTACATGTATAATTCTTCTTCATTCTCATTATACTGCCCAGTCAGTCTTTTTTTTTTTTTTTTTTTTTTGGGGGGGGGGGGGGTTTGAGCCTAGTGACTCTGGTCTTTGAGATTGTTCTCTTTGTTTTTTTGCTTTCGTTCGTGATCATCCTCCTTGTGATCCTTCACAGGTAACGGTTGAATCCTTTTAGGAGTCTGCCTGTTGACCCCCAGCCGCTTCGTAATTTTGGAGGCTTTCTTGATCTTAGCCTTAACAAATTTGATCACTTCTTCATCTCGGGGCGATGGAAATAGATCATCCCAAGTTAGTATCGGTATGAGAGACCCCAAATCGCTGCCCTGTTCCCACTTCTCAACTGTTTCTCTCACGAGACGGTTTGCATTCCCTTCAAACCACATCCCTTGGTCTTCCTCTTCCTCAGACGGCATGGGTGGTTCCTTTTTCCATACTTTCGTCCCTAGTCCCTGGTTCAGGCAGATCCATATATATTCGTAAAAACGCTGAGCCTGAAAAGAATAGTAATCACCGTTTGGAAACCTCCCCATTAAATTTAATCCTTTCGTATGACATGTTTGAAGATACGTTAGAGCGTGGCTAGTGACGATGACGCAATGAAGCCATTGCGCTTGCTCAGTTGTCTTGAAGCTTGGCCACGTCCTCCACAGTACTGCCTTAGCATTAAATGCTTCGTCGTTCTCTTCTTTATCCTGGATAGGTTCACCGCGGTCATCTTCCCATGAAGATAAATGTTTAGTTGGATCTGGCCACTGCCATCGAATTTCATCCTTGAGAATTGAATCCATCGCTGTCCTGGTCGCATTTGCTTCTTTAAGGCTCACCATTGAATCATAAATTTTCATATAAGGTCCATCGTAATTCAATGACAAAAGCTTAACAGCGACGTTTTGTTCGTGACTCATGTTGTAAGGTGTAGGTTTATGACTTGGTCGTTGATGAATAGATGGCTAGTTTAGTGGCTGTGTGGTGGAGGAGCAGCAATATGAATGCTTTGCTGCAAAGCACGGAAGGAAAGTAGTATTATAGGGGAAAAGAGATTTACCAGAAAGTCATCGTACATTGGCGCATGTGCCCAATATATCCCTACCTAGCTACATGTGGAACGCGCGTTCAATACGTGGACCAGAGCGACAGCTGTTCTCGTCGAGATCACTCCCTGTGTTGCCCCCAGTAATCCATGTTCAGCGCCTGTGCTTGGAGCTGTTCAATTGATACTGAACATGAAACGATACTATTCTAACATATTGTTCATATTGCTAATAAAGACTGTTCAGGCTATGTAAGTGTCAGCTGATGCGCGTAGCAGACATTCAACACTTTAAAAACCCTGGAAAATCTTCTATTATTTTTTTCAACATCTGCTGACAGTAAAACAGTGAAACATTCTACAATTAGGCTAACAGTGGCTGTTCTAAGTGTTGTTGAGAATATCATCGCCTTTTTTTTTAGCACCTCAGTGTAAGTCTTTCACGGTACAGACCTCTTATCTCGTCGTTGATACACTATTGCTGACAAAAACCTTAGCCAAGATGGTTTCCGGAAGCGTACTCTCACCCTTCAAATATGCCAAAAGACTAGAGATATGGCTCAAGTCAATCGAGCGCAGAATTAGCATCCTTCAAAGCCCAAGCAACGTTGTGCACATCCAGGCTTCACAATACAGTAAGCTAGCATAACCCATGTGCTTGAATATTACCTTCCTTCAAAGTCTCCTAGAATACTAAAAATATCAAAGTTTTTGATAACGCGGTGCTTTGCCTGATAGATGAACATCTCAGAATCCAAAAAGGTGAGTGATGCTTGATCTCTCTAGGGCGAGATGGGACAGCACAGTAGGGAGTTAACGCTGCTAATACTCATGTTTATCTTTTCAGGAGCAAGGGAAGATGAAAAACGGCAAAGATGTATGCTTTCATACACGTTGTGCATCAAGTTCATGGCTGATAATGTCGACATAGCTGAATTGTCACAAATTTCCAACGAGAATCTTCCTGCCCAAATGGAGAATGATAGACTGAGTTCCAGTTCGAACAACCTTTCTCTGGGTCAGCAGCGGGTTGAAAAACAAAGCACACACCACTCTGAACACGGCTTACCACGTTTTCTTAATTCCGAATACCAAAAGGTTGATATGTCGTTCATTGCTAAAAATAGGCGGCTGTTTTCTGTTTGGGAGTTATGGAATCTTGAAAAATTCGTTAGCGATACCATTTTTTGCAACTGGATGACATCGTCTGAATCAAAAGCGCACATCCTCAATTATGGTTGGATTCACCCAAGTCCCATTTCGGGCATCCTCTCTCCCGTATCTATAGCCTCTGCCTCGCTGGCGTCCTTACTCAACAACCGCGACCAATTTATCTGCGGTGTATGGTTCTGTAGCCGTCACGTCAAATTAGGGAACGATGGCGTCGGTGTGATGCTTGCGAGCTTCATCGATCAAATATGCCATCAGTACTCGTTCGATTTTGATCATTTGCAGCACAATGGGGCCAATGAAGCATGTTTGGAAAATCGCGGCAACGAAGAGCTTTTCAACTTCTTGTACGCGCTTATAAAAAAGTTGCCATCGGACATAACCCTTGTGCTTCTAATGGATGAAATCAACATCTTTTATCGCAACAAAAAGTTCAAGGACGGGCCATATATCGGTGACAAGCTAGTAAAGTTAGTAACTGATGAGAGCCTCTCAACCACCGTCAAACTGTTTTTCACGAGCACGAATAACATCAGAGGATGATAATAAAAATCTCAAGCAGAGAATCGAATTTTCAACGTTGAGAAGGCATTGTGTGAGGGGAGGATACAATCGGAAGAACATATGAAGAGACAGGAGATGCAGAATTTTCGGGCATAATTTCACTCTTTTTGCATGCTTATTTGGTCCATAGTTGTCTGCTTTTTGATAATAATTTGCCTTTGTGTCTAATCAAGCTTATGATTTAATTGTATTTTGGTTCACAAAGAATTGCAACTTCAGCAGAATCCATAGTTATGAACATCAACTTTCATGAATATTTCTATTGTTGATCCAATAAGGTCTATCACCCATATCAATGAATTGACGTGGCCATGTTTATCCAACTCAAATTTAAACCAAAAAATTTCCAAGCTCGTGTCAGGATATCTTCCCCTTCTTTTCGCCTCATCATGAGTGAGCACCCAATCAAAGACATGATGATATAGGTGTCGCAGTGCATAAGTCCGGTCCTTCAGCCCCTGAAATTGCAACACAAGTTCTGAATTGTTTTCCTCTGGCAACATAATAACGATGTGAAAGGGCTTACTTGGGTTGTTGTATCTGCCGACATAAGCTTCTAACCTGGATATTTGCTGACCGCCATCATGCTTCTCCCTCAACTCATCCCCTGCGTTGATCCTATCTTGATAACTCTTGATGACTCTTTTGTTTCCTTCCTCTGCCAATTTGACGTAGTCATTGTTATCTCGAAGATCAAACAAGGCTCGAATGAAGATTCGGTCAATCCAATCTGCTGCGTCACTAACAGCGATAGAGTTGGTGAGAACAGCTATAGCCGATTTGCTACCAGGAAACAGAGCTATAAACGTGTAGTAGCCGACCGTGCTTCCTTGATGGTAAATCATCAAGAGTAGCTGGTCCGGCGTGCCAAGAACTGGGCTGTCTTTCATGTCCCATAGTCCGGCATTGTCTCTCACCAAGCCAACAACGCCAGGGAGCTGAGTTCGAATCCAGCCGTAACCATAGGACCGCTCTCTCAAAGAGGGACTCTTAATCGCAATATGACTGCTCAAGATTCCTGGTACTTGTTTCAATACCGAATAGTCGAGTCCTGGTGTAGCTTGGGCTGCGTCCAACATTGCCTTGGACTATTTCAGCATATCATCAAGGTTCGAGTATATTCCTCGATGCCTCAAAGAATGTGCCTTCGAATACCTGATCTTTCGTAAATGAAATGGGGTGCCATCTTCCAGTCCAGCGTATGGCTCAGCAAACTCAACTGGATCCACAAATTAGGGTCAAAAGTCGTATCATTTAGACCTAGAGACTCAAATATCGCTTTGGACATGAAGGTGTTGATGCTTTGATTGGTGACTCTCTCAATAATGGCTCCTGCCAAGGCGCAGCCCCAGACAAAGTAGCTCCAGTTTGTGCGAATAGGGAACAATTGCTTGAACTGCCTTACAAGAAAGAATAGGCTTTCTTTCTGTAACAACATATCACTGTCACCTTGATCATATCTCCAGATCCCGCCAGTCCGCTTCGGTGCGACAGTATATCTGCGATGGCGAGTGTCTCAGCTATGTTGGCATTTTGTTCAAATTCGAGAAGAATATCTCGTACGGGAGTATTCCAGGTAAGCTTTTTATCTTCAACGAGCCTGGCAATTCCAACAACAATGAAAGATTTCGTAACTGAACCAATGCCGTACACAGTATCGGAAGTGGTGCGCAGCTGATTGTCCACGTCTCTGTAGCCGAAATTATAAGTATGGATCACCTCGCTATTATGGATGACTCCGATAGAGGGCTAGGACACGCCGGATGAATTGCAAATCTCGTCAACCGCAATGTTGGCATATGCTAGTCGCTCGTTTACAGTGAGATTCTCGGTATGCTTTACTGAGGATGTGTCGGTAGTCTTCGTCAGGTTTTTCGGTAGGCTTTATTGAAATCGCGATGAAAGGCAGCTTTATCAGCCATTTGGAAAGGTATATGAGCTTCATCGCGAATAATTGTGTCCAAATAGTGAAGAGTTGTGAGCTATGTTGGATCGTAAAGCATTTTAGCTGGCCTGGCTGCAAGTCTGATGGTGCCAGAGTTTTATCTTGGGTCGATGAGCCTAAAAAGAGCTTTGATAACAAGAAGACAATTATGCAGAGCGAAATTGCATATTGAAGCCATGTGTAGGAACCAACAAAGCAAGTAAAACGCGAGATGATTGGGTCGTTGGCAGCAGCATGAAGACAATTCATTTATTGGCATGTGACGCTTGGTAACCTGCATTTATACGACCTATATGTCTTCTGTAGCACTGTACAATGAGATAAAAATCCAAGTTCAAACCTAGACACGACGCAGAGCTATAAAAAAAACCATTCTAGTTTCAACATATAACATCAATCGCCTTTCAGCAGTATAGCTCTCACCTGATCTAACAGAGAGTTTCATTCACACAACCTCATCTCCGCACGCCAATCGAACCCATCCCAGAGTTTATGCCGTTTCATCCATTGTTTAGAAACGCAGATTCAAGAGCACAAGTAACAGCTGTTGTAAGTCAAGCCACATCACTCCACCGCCTCCTTCACATCCCCCCTCTTCAAACAAATCGTATGCCCAATCACAAGCTTCCCACAATCCAACCCCGTATTCATCCCCAAAATCTCATCAACACTCATCCCCGCCGCCTGCGCAATATCCCAACAATTATCATTCTCCTGAATCGTCACGCTATGCTCGCACGTAACAACCTCCAGCTTCTCCTCCGCCGGCTTGCGCCCAATGAACCAAAAGAGCACAAGCAGCGACAGTCCGACCAAGACTCCGAAATTCAGCAGCGGCATCATGTCGTGCCGCCACGAAACTTTCGGTTGCGCTGCGGCCTGGCCCGCGAGGAACGGATCCGAATCGCTGTCGTCGTCGCCATGGTCGGCTGGGCCGGATCCGACTCTCGTCAGGCGTCCGTACTGAGAGCCCGGCGCGGATTCCCAGTAGCTCCCGTCGGCGTCCTGAAAAGTGTAGACCTGAGTGTCGGCATCGTATCCGACGCGGGTCATGCCCTCGGGGAGGCGCTCTTCGTCGGTGTCGTAGCGGGAGAATCGAGACATGGCGTTATCTCCGTGACGTCGTAATCGCGGTAGAGCTCGGTTTCTGTATAGGTACTTTGGTGTTCTGTAGGTGTGTAGGTATAGATTCAAACAAGTCACTGTCGCTAAAACGATAATCAAAATTTCATTTGGGCTTCATGATGATGCAAGAAGCAGCACGAGACGGTCAGGCAACAGACGTCACCCCAAGAGCATGCGAGGCGAAGCAAAGCTGAAACAGTTTACATCAGCTTACGATCTGCAGATGGAGGGACGTACAGTGGGGAGACATGTACAAGTACATGTACCTTGTGGCTGGGGCTGGTTGCCGCTTCGAGCTCCGTATTGCCAAAAACGGAAATCTTGATTAAGGAGACATGGAATCAGCAAAAAACATCATCACTACTGTATATGATATCCGGTCTTTGACTGAGTTTATGGTATAAGTAGTTTCATTCTGATTCAAAGAGTCGCCTAGCTAACAAATTGCAACTTTGCTAAAAATAATAACATTCAAATTGGCATCGCTATTAATACCAAATTTCATACCCACTCCTCATCCTCCTCCGTCTCAGCCCCCCAATCAAGCCCTCCATGCTCCTCTTCCATATGCTCATAGATATCCCCTTCTGAACTCTCAACACCACACGCATAACACCAGTGCACGCCGCAAGGACAAGTAATGTGATCGCACCCATACGTCTTCTCCGTCGCCACGCCACACCCAGGACAGTGTCGAATACGGATCTTCTCCACCACCAAATCAGGCTTACACTCAGGCTTACACTCTTCGCATGTCCAGTCCACCAACTGGGCTGGCATCCCAGCAGCACATACTCTCTCGGCGTACTGTTTCGCAAAGCCGCACGTCTTACACCAGACGTAGATCCACGAGCCAGCATCGTCCATGGCAGCGCGGAGACTGCCAATCTGGTGCAGGCGGTACTTGCTGATGGCCTTGGGGGCGGGACGCCTGCGACAAAAGGGACAGTGAAGGGCGGGCATGTTGAGGATACTGCCAGGAGTGTTGATGCCATACCAGCTATCGCGACAGCTACCACAGATGAGTTGATGGCAGCCCGAACGTCCACAAGCAGGGAGGGCATCGCTCTTTCGAATGCTGGAGAAGCAGAGGCTGCAAGTGGCTGCTTCAGTTCGCCGTGAGCTCACCCAGCTCAAGAGAGACGCTTTGATTTCGTCAGGATTGCGCACTTGCTTTCCACGAATGGTGAAACCATCCTGGTTAGCAGAAGGAAGAATCTCTACCTTGGTATCCAGGTCGTCAAGATTGCTGTGGGAGGCGATATAAAAGACAGTCCGACCATTGAAAGGATCCCTGATCGTCTTATCCTCGTTCTTGAGAAGCCAGTCCCAGCTGTTCTCACTGCTCAGCTTTCGTGCAGTCGTCTCCTCTCCAACAACAGTCTTTTTGCCGGCAACACATGCAGGACACTGGTAGGCCGCCATGTCGAGGTCATCAGGTCGATATTCTTTAGGCCAGATTATTCGACCCAAACATTTGAAGCACTCAACCGTTGGCGCCTGTCCGAGATCCTGTCGGACACTTTCCTTTTCTTTCTTATAGCTCGGACTAGTATGTCGACAATAATAGCATTTGGGGCGCACGCGCAGGTCATTTTGGTTGTAGACTACGTACTGGGCTCTGCAGGAGGTCTGCCCACATTCAACCCAGTATGCCTCCGATTGCTCGGTCTGGCCCTTGGAAACGTTAACCTTCTTGCGCTCTTCATGGCCTTCTACAACGGCGCATGCATGGCAAGAACAGCCATTGCTTTCGATATCGCACAAGCCGCAAACACCTCGAGCGGCCATGATGGTAACAGAGCGAGGAAACTTGCACTTTTTGCAAATGACGAGCGGACCCAGAGCTACCTTGGTCTTCTCTGGGGTCCAGGTGATTTGAGCCTCGAGAGCAGTATCCAAGTTTAGCTCCAGCATCTTGTAGTCCACCAGCGCCCTGAAAGTATCGCGGTCCTTGGCTGAAAGAATTCTAGCCTCTTCCGAAGACCTGACCGTAACACCTTGAGCAACTCTCTTCTCATAGTCCTTGTCGGCGTCCAACAAAAGATTGAGACATCCCAAATTCCACGTCTCCGGCACGTCCAACTTATTCCAGTTGGCACCAAAGGCGATAAGTGCCTCGTCAGCCACACCGCGCAGAGGAACAATACCCATGCGAAGAGCAAGGGCAGCAAGCAGCGAGGCAGGGCGAGCACCCAGCTTTGTGCCGGGGAGAACAGCATGCAGGAGTATCTTCCAAAACTCTCGGCCATATTGTTCCTTTGCAAGAGCGAGAGGCACACACGGCACAGATACCTTGGGGTCCTTTGTTTTAATGTGATGGGGGAGCTCCTTCTTGGAGGCGACAAAAGTCAGACGGGCCAGCACCTTGCCCAAACGCCGGAGAATCTTGTAGTCGCATGATCTTCCAATTTCAAGCAGTTCAGCTCGAGTAAAGTCCTGCAATCGTCTTCCATCACCATCAGCATCTTCCACGAACCCAAAGTCTGCTGTAGGATCCAAGAAGAGCATTGGGAAGCGATCTTCAGGAGCAACAGCCTTGATAACATCTCTAATCTCATCGGCGTAATTGTAAGACTCGGCAAGCCACGCCTTCATACGCGCCTTTTCAGTGTCATCCGAGATTTTGTCCACATGAAAGCTAAACAGGTTCAGAAGCTCGTCTCTGCCGGGGTTTAGTCTGTCATTGCAGGCTGCTCGCCATAGGCTCCCGAAAACAGGGTTTAGAGATATAGCCGACACATTGCTCTCAATAATAAGTCGGAGTTGACTAAACGCCATGGACTTGTAACCTGGATCGTTGTTGTACTTGTCGGCGAAGCTCTCAACTCTTGGGCCGCGTGCCTTGACCAAGCCAGGCACTTGACCAAGAGTCACAGCCTCGGTTTTGACGTTGTTGAGACATTCAAGAACAAATGGAGTCCGCGAAAAGTGGCCCTTTCCGATATACTTCCGCAGTACGGGGTCCTCCTCGGTGTTGGCCGTCAGTATATCCGCATGGGATTCGTACCGCGTCAGGTATCCCAGTTTGGCCTCTGCATTGCTAGTCGTCTTGCCCAATCTCATCCATGTAAGCAAGATACCAATCGTCAACTGAGAGATCTTGTCGGGAGCCATATCCTGAATCTCAAACAGATTTCCTCCTGTGACTGTAGATAGATATAGAAAGGCCGAGTGTGTATTGACGTTGGCCATTTGGATGACACTGAAAACGACGGCCTTTTTGGGTCCAGCAGCAAAGGTTTTTGCGGCCGATGTCCAGTCCACAAAGAGCTTTCCATCTTCTCCAAACATGTCGTTGCCGGTGAGTGCCGCCTTCTCCAAACGGTAGTTGGTTTCATCTGTCTCTTTGAAATGAGGGGGGGCATCTGCGTATAGCAAGACGATTGTCGTTGCCTCTGGTCTCATGACGGTGTATGCCTTTGCCAGGCCTGTCTTTGCAGCCTCGGGCCAATCGCCACCTCCAGTTGGCTGTATCTTGCGTGCCATTTCCAGCACATCATCCTGTGATACAATGTCCGGGCCCTGATAGTTGCCCGCGGGCGAGCACCAGCCTGAGAATTCGATGAGTGGAGAGTCGCAATAGTCGCGATATGCTAAGACTCCCATGCGTTCGAAGCATCCTGTGAGCGCAGATACGGACAGAATCTCGGGCAAGGATTTGTTCAGCGCCGTAAGAAAGTGGCCCATTGATGCAGTGGCATCTGTGAGTAGTAGGAGATCGAAGGACCCGCGGGCCGCTTCGTTTGATGCCACCTGCGCCATTGTGAAGAGGATCTGTGACCAAGGTGTGATGTTGGAAGAGAGATGAGATGCTTCAACTGCTTCATTGCGACTGATCACAAGTATATATACCAATATCAGTCATCATATATATCGGTGAGTAAACGAAAAAGAAAGTTTAATACATAGCGGGAAGTGACTCTCCACTGAGTCACGCCGCTCCGATACAGAAACCGGTATTGATTGACTCAGTACAAAATTTCCTATTCGAGAAAAAGACGTCCATTCCGAATATGAATCCGCAATAGCCTGAGGCTCTTCCGCAGGCGCACAGCGTCTGGTGCTGAATGAGGCGGTGCTGAAGCCCAGCCGCAAGCTAGCGGGACGCTGCCTAGCCGCGATGGTTTATCGCGAATAGGGGATGCCATGGGCGTACTTGTAATTTTTCGTATCGATTATGCTTGTTGGAATTCTGATATTGATTCAAACCTGTAGTAAACGATTTGCAATGGACAACGCATTCCGCCTTGGTGGATCAAACTTGTTCTTGCCGCCGCACATGGCGCAGGCAATAGTTTCAGGGTTGACAAGCGCCACTCATTATGAGAAAAAGACTTGATATAGCTAATTGTTTTACCAGATTAATACTCATGATATAAATTGGATGAAAAGATGCTTTGCACCTAGCACCATCCTTGCAGCCAACATCAGCCCACCACTGCTCCAGCAGGAAGTCTGCTGTTGACTACCATCCTCCCCTCTCCAAGAGTCTAAGCCTGCTTCAACCGTGCCTCGGTAAGACGCTTCTTCAGATTGGAAATTCCAAAAAAGACGCCAAACGTCCACTCTGCAAACTTGCTGGGCACCAAAGTCGTCAGCCACACCTTTGTCGACAGTCCTCCCGCCCAGAACCAGTCCGGCGTCCCCCCAATCAATCCTCCGAACCAGCCCTCTCCCCTCAGTGCAGCAGACACCAGCTTCTTTGCAAAGACCTCAGTCGGCATGGTGGCATTGTTCTGGCTAAACACCAGGCGCCTCTGGAAGTAGTCGTCGACGGGCCTGTACAGCGACGTGGTCGGCAGCGAGCGGTGGCCGTGGCTGGTGATTTGCGACTTGATGGTGCCGGCCATGGCGACCATGACGCGGACATTAAAGGGCTGCAGCTCGAGGCGCAGGATGCGCGACCAGCTGTTGATGGCGGCCTTTGACGAGGCATAGACGGAGCCGAAGATGTAGGAGCTGACGGAGCTGGTGGAGGAGATGTTGACGACGAGGCCGCGCGCGGCAATGAGCTGCTCGGCAAAGGCCTGGACGGTGAACATGGGGCCAAAGACGTTTGTCTCGTACGTCTGGCGGACGTCGTCGATTTCGATGTCGAGGGCCGGGATGGTGTGGGTGCGGCCGCTGTCATTTGCTGGTCAGCACATGAAGATGTGTACATGTAGTCAACAGGTGAATATCCACGCACGCATTGTTGACGAGAACGTCCAGTCGGCCTCCGGTAATCTGCGCAACGTCGTGCTTGGCCCGGTTGAGGCTGTCTTGGTTGGTGACATCCAGCTGGACGGCGCTCATGCCCAAGGACTCCAGCTCCTTGAGCACCTCTGGATTGCGGGCCGTAGCAATGACATGAAGCCCTGCAACGCATTAGCAAGGGATCAATCTCAAGCGAGTGGTGATTATGAGCTGCATTCGGTACATGGATCGACTCACCTCTGCGGTGGAACTCTCGCGCCAGCGCATTGCCAATGCCTCCCGGCGAACAGCTATCACAAGCTTTTAGACATGATCGTAAATCAATTAGAGTGAGACACGCACCCTGTAATGAGGACGTATTTCTGTTCTGAAGCCATCTCGTTCAACTACTCAATGGAATAAGATAGGTAAAAAAAAGAGATGAGATATATGCAGGAAAGAAATCAAATGCGGGGATCCATCGCATGCAGAGCTCCGGAGCTGGCCACGCCATAAATCGACCCGACGGCAGCACATGCTAAAATACCGAATTAGAGCCCGGTATGGGCCCTTTGATAGCGTGAACCACTTTGGGTATCAAATTAGAGGCGACATGTTTGGTTTGGATTATCTAGAGTATACCGTATTTACAGCTTGCTTTAAGAAATACTACGATCAAAAGATGAAGTCATCAATTGCTTGCTCAAGGTGCCTGGCTGCAATCTAGCATAGAAAGCATATAAACTCGGCAGCCAAGATTGACTTTTGCCGATAAGATTCTTAAATATCTCATTGCCATGCTCTTTTCCAACCACTTAATCCCATCCTACGAAAACGATTACTATACAAGACAAGACTTCCAACCTCGGCTCCATACAAGGTTCTCTGACAAACCTTGCCCGCATCAGCCCCGCGGCATCCGCAGCCCTACGGATAAGGCTGCCAAGAATTACCATGACAGATATGTAGCAAGGATATTCTCATTCAATTGTTTTATACATTTTCTTTTGCTTCTATCAAACCATCGAAATGAAGACCCAGCCAGGCTAATCCCATGCCATGCAATGCTCAACCATTGGATCATCCAAAAGAAAGAATAAACGCACAAATACATGAAAGACACAACGCCTCCGGCCCTTTTTTTTGCATCGGCCGGTATTCCATTCCCCAAGAATAAAATGGTAAAAAGACCCCTCCGCGAATTAAACAACCTGAAAGCTATCCCATCCAAATCTAGCAATCATGACTCCCGGCTAAGAATGGACATGAAATGGCAAAAATACAAATCAGAAAAGAATAGCATTAAATTGAAAGCAAAGCTCACATCTCACTGCCATCACCTCCCCTCCGGCCGTGGCACAGACGGCACATCGCCCGGCACCTCTGCCGGCATCGCATGATGCTGATGCTGCGCGCCATCCATCTCAAACACCATGCCCCCCGTATTAGCATTAGGATTAGGATTACTATCCGGCGGCAGCTCGACAATCGTGCCCCCCGGCGGCGCATACGGCCCCTGGTACACGCCCTGGCTCGCATCGTACGCCGCCGCCGAGTAGCGGTACGGGTCCGGGCTCTGCAGCGACGACACCCACGACGCGTGCTTGACCTCGGCCGGGAAGCTGCCTGTTGACCCGGGCGAGGGCGTCGGCTGCAGCATCGGGTCGTTTGCCGAGATGGCCAGCGGCATGCTCTGGCGGCCGTCCTCGCCGTGGGGCAGCATCGGGTGATGCTCCTCGCTTTGCTGCTTGGATCTGCGCAGCAAAAAGTAGACGAGGCCGGCGATGGCGCCGACGCCGCCAAAGGACGCGCCGAGGGCGATGCCGATGGTGGCGCCCGTGGAGAGGGAGCCGACGGGCGCGGCAGAGGCGGTGCTCGAGCTGGTGCTGGTGGTTGTGCTCGTCGTTGTGGCATCAGACGTTGTTGTCGCTGCCGTCGTCGAAGTTGAGGCTGCCGTCGTCGTCGTCGTCCAGGGCTTGCCACTCGCCGCCGCGTAAAACTGGTTGGGCGCAATCACCAGCGGCGTGTTGGACGTCGCACAGGCAGACACCAGCGTCTGATAGACGGGCACCGTATCGCTCGAGTCATTCTTGCCAATGCACTGGGCGGCCAGGATGATGAAGTTGTTCTCGTTGCCGCACAGACACTCGTTGAGGTCCGCGACGGTGGCGCCGCTGCACTTGGACGAGTCGCCGGCCTGGCTGAGGCATGACTGCGCGCCCGCCGGATAGAAGGAGAAGTCGGGGAAGACTGTGGCGACGGCGGGAGTGAGGAGGGCGAGGAGGAGCGGCGCGGGAGTCCACCAGCGTCGGCGAGCCATTGCTGCGGCTTGGCGTCTTTTTTTATATCGTTTCTTTTTTTGTTAAAGATTCCCTCTCTTTGCTTTTTCTTGTCAAGTTTGCGCAGTCTTTTCTTGCGCTGTTGTGTCGAGTCTGCGTTGCGTCTTGTTTTGACCTGCTTGCCAATTTTGCTCCACCCCTGTCGTGTCTATTCGCCGTCTGTACGCAACGAGAATGTTGTCGTTGGTTTGGCGTAGTATCAATGCCTGCTGCGAAGGCCCTGTAATTTCCCTTTTCTGCATACACCCTTTTACGGTTCGTAACGGCCCAACAAGGAGAATAATGCGCGCAAGAGAGAAAAAAGGAAAGGAGAAAGAGGAGAAAGGAGGAGGAATCGTCTGGGTTATCAGATTGGGCGTTGGTCGTGTTGTTCCCCTGCCCAGGCACCGCGCATGCAAGAGGCGGTCGCACAAGTCGGCTAGATGCAGATTGAGAGTCGTATTATTATTCCCAAGGACGTGTAGAGAGGGTGGTATCGCAGATGGAGCCACAGAAATTGAGCGTTGGGCGAGAGTAGGTGAGAATGAGTTGAAGATGAGAGAGGAGAGTGAGTGAGTGAAGTAGCGGCACGGCGAGAGGAACAAGCAAGAAAAACGTCCGAAACGACAGCAGAGCCGCAGCAGGGGCCGGCAAAGAATCAATGCAAAACGAAAAAAGAGACAGCAGCGGATTTGCTCGTGCTTTGGGCCCTCTGGCAGCATTAGCCATTGCTATTATTATGTACGAGCATGCAGGCATCCCCAGCACCAGCACTAGGGCCGCTCCCAACGCCCAAAAGTCCGATTCCATCTAATTCGTTCCTCCACGCCATGTATGACGGAGTGGTTCCCACCAGCACGCATGTCCAAGAATGTGGCTGGGCCTTTGGAGAGAATCCGCGATGGGCTTCTTCGCCTTGCCCTGTTGCCAATCACGCGCCGCGGCTGCATCGAGCTCCGAGGAGGCTAAAGCAAATGAGCATTAACTCTTCGTTCTAGAGACTAAGGATAAGCACATTTGCACTTGTAAGAAACAGAAACATAAACAGCCCAGGCGCAGGGATCATCAGCCGCAGCCCCGACAGGGCGCAGGCTCACAAAGTACCGCTTGCCTCGAGCTAAAGTCTGAGAGATACAAGAGGCACTCGAAAAAGATAGAACGCGGAGGAGGCGCACTAAGAAGAAAAGGGGAGTGTCCAAATATAGCAATCCACAGCAGTTTTTTTGTGGCACTTGAAAGTTGCTGCCAACCAACAGCAGGAAACACGAGATGGAAAAACAAGTTTCGGCAGCGTTTCTCTCCTCTTTTCCTCGATCCTTCGACTGAATCAACATTTTTTTTTTGTTTCTCTCTTCTTTTTCTTCAGTCTATCCATCCATTAATTTTGGTTAAAATCGCTGGTTCTAGACCGCACCACTTGGATTACTGATGGAGCCCCGAAAAAGGCACCACGACAGCTTTTTTCCAACTCTTCAACCCCTCCAAGCTCCACGCAGTCTATAAATACATCTTGGTAATACAGAGTGGTTCCTTGCGGAAGCCAAGCATCCCGCCCAGCAACCAACCCAGCAGCCAGTCAACGCAGATGATCGGCTTCTCCTCCGGTCCTCCCACGCGACTAGCCTCCCAACTTTCCATAGCTTGTTCCGAACAAAGTAAGCATTCTGATGTGATCCGGGATTTTGGGGCGTCCAAGCCCAGCCACTCGCCAATTTCCATCTTTAGCTACAGATGAAAATTGTGCAGGATGAATAATAGACGTGCCGCTAGCATTTAAGCAGACTCTTTTTGCAAACTTACTTCTTCACTAGGCTGAGGCGATTGAAACACGGCATGTCGACTTTCACAAGCAGCCAGATTCACACTTCAAGAGCACGTGGAGTCCCAAATTACAGGAGCACGGTTGCTTTCCAAGCTTACCTTACTTGCAAGGGTTTCGGAGCCTGGCACCTCGTCCGTAGCTGGATACATGAACCCTTGCCACGTTATAGTGGGACTGTTTCTAGGGCATCATTCGATATGGAAAAGTGCCTAAAATCACAAGCAATTATCGCACAAGAATGACTTCATATTCATAGATACAGACGCAAGTTTCATACAACATAACTCATATTCAGCTATCGACCGCCTCACCACTAACCACCGGTCATGTCGCGGTAGTAAAAGTGCTTCTGGTTGTTCAACTTCTTGCCATATGCGTACTCCGTCTTCCTCGCCCGGTACATGTTCAGGTCTCGGTTGCGCTGCTCATCCTTGCGGGCCACGCGCTTCTTCTCATCCGAGACACCAGCCATGCCAATAGCACCGCGAGGCGCCATCTCACGTCTTCGGTTCTTGATGACGGCCACCTGGTTCTCGCTGTTTGGCTCGACGCCGTCGTCGTTGCGCGCCGCCTCAATGAGCAGCTGCTCTGCTCGCTCCTCCTCTGACGGGCGGTTGTACAGGTTCTGGCGGTAGTACTTGTTGAGCGAACGGTGACCCACGGCTCTACCTGACGGCAGATGAAGCTCGTACTCGTCAAAGTAAGCTGGGGAAGTATGCTTATGCGTTTTGGTTGACCGCTTGTGAGTGGGGCCGTCTGCGGATTCCTCCTCGTCCAGATCGGAGCCTGAGCTGTCAGTCTCCCACCCATCGGCGTCATCGCCGTCTTCCAGCTCTTCACCGTCAGGGCCGACAGCCTTGGCCTCCCGGCGTGCGCCCAGCTTGGCTCCACCATTGCCATCCTCGGTTGTTTCTGACTCATCGTCATCCTCTTCATCTGAATAGGTACTCCTAAAGTCGTAGTAGTCACCAATAGCGAGTTGATCATATTCCGTAGAGAAAGGGATCTTGCAGTGGCCCTTGTCTCTCATATGTGTTTGCACAGCAAAAATGTTGCTCCTGAACTTGCCGCAGCTGAGACATTCGTGGTCCTCGCCAACCCTCTTCTGAAGGTATTCAATGAGACCCTCCAGATTCACCAGATATGGCCGTTCGGGAATAAACATTCCGTGTGAGCGTTCCATGTGAGTGGCATTTAGCTCAGGCGATGAAGACTCGTGGTTGCAGAATACGCATGTGTTCAGGGTCCACACTCGATCAGTTGAGGACTGTACGGGAGTGGAAGAGGAGTCGGTGCCAGTGGTGGTTTCGCTCTCAGGAGCAGTGTGAGGGTTGAGGGGTCTCTTGACGGGCGATGGTCGCTGCTCAGAAACCTTTGCCTGCTGCAGACCCGCAATCACCTTGTTGAATTCATGCTCTGCGTCAGAGTCGACAACTTCACCAGCGTCAGGAGCAGGCTCTCCAAGGGAAAAGGTCGAGCTGATGACAGAGGTTGTTTCGTCATCGTGCTTCTTGGGTGGGTTGGCTTCGTTTTGCTTGTGCTTCTGGCTCAGCAGGTGATTTCGGTAGGCGTTTTCGCTGTAGTACGTCTTGCCGCATGGCTCGCAGGCACGTTCAAACAGGGCCTTGTCAGCTTCGGCAGAGGTCTCAGCACGAGCCTGGAGAACCTTTTCGGTGAAGACTTCAGCGGCGATGGGGGGCAGAGAGGCAACTCGTCGCTTCAGGTTGTATCGGCTAGGATATCAAGTTAGAGACAAGCCGTGAAAAACAAAGCAGACACAAGGATGGATCTCCAGGGCTGGGTTCGCACTTACTGCCAGTCGCTCTTCATGTGAGTCTTCTGGAGATCGATATTGCGGTAGGCGACCTGGCAAGAGTTGCACGTGTAAGGATGCGTACTCGGGGCCGCTTGCGCCGCGGGCAGGGCGGACTGGACGCTCGCCATGATGGACGGCGCAAAGAAGAAAAAATGCGGCGAGTTTAGAAAAGGAACAGTCGTAGTGGCCTGGTGGCAAGAAGAGTTGGTTGATCCGTATTTTATACTGGGATATCAAGCCCTGTATAAAGATTTAGCAAGGGCTTTGAGCCAAACGCAGCCGTGCAGATCTGAAGAGTGCGTGACTCTTCTCGATTCTGGCAATGCGACGAAGAATTAATAATTCCGGTGGAAGTTTTTGAGTGGCGGGGTGTTTCTGACGTATTATCGAGCAGCACGCCGCAGGTGGGTCGAGCCCTGCATCTTTTTGCGCTGCTAGCGAGAGTGACTTGCGGAACATGCCATGCGGGCGCCACCTCGGAGGTACCATCCGCTTGAACGCCGCCTGCGTATCTGCCGAGCCAGCCAGGCAGATGGCGCTGTTGAGTCACTATGAGCTCTAGGGGGCTCTAGCATCTAGCATATTGTTCATGTTCTCTTCAGCTGCCGGCCGCCAAGAGTCAGTGGCGAGCAAAGCTGAAGGTGCCAGCCCAACGCTGCACACGGGCACATGTACTGATACGCGGCACTCCCGGCGGCAACAAACGAGCCTAACGCGCTGCAGCTCCAGCTCGTAACGGCGTGAGACGCTCTGCTAGGCGAGTACCTGCACGGCCTCCTGTTTTCGTACCAGTGAGCACTGGCCCGCAGGTAGCCGGTACACGTCGCCCGTAGCAGAGTCCACCGACGGCAGCAGTACCAGTACTCGGATGCCTCCGGGACCGTGCTAGCACTCGCTGTACGGCCCAGCACCCACCCGTGCCGTCGTCACTTTCAGCCTTGCTCCAGTCATCTCCAGGCGTTTCCACCACCGCCGCCACCACCGGCCGAACCCTCGCCATCTCATACCAGCGCGCATCCTCGTATTCCATCACCGTCGCAGCCGCCGTCTCCATCGCCAGACTGCTCGACCTCGTCCTCGTCCTCGTCCTCTTCTCAAAAGCATGGGCTGCTGAGTTGACGACGCCCCTCCCAGCGACAGCGGCTACATCGTCCCAGCCATGAGCGCGCCGGCGCACAAGACGTCCTCGGCCAGGGGCCTCGAGCCCGGCCATGCCGCCGAAGCCCACCGCCTCCGAAGCCCCTCCGATGCCATCGGGGAGCTGGACCTGCTGGCCGGGCTCTGGCAGGTGGCTCCATTCGCTCGTCTGCCCCCCGACGCACCGGCCGAGCTGAGCGACTATGTCCAAGATGTCGAGAATCCCCGTCGCGTCTATGCCATCCATCGGGCCAGTCGCCGCCACGACTTTCAGACTCTTGTCGACAAGTATGTGATGATACCCCGTCAAGTGTCTTGCGTCTAATATAAAACCACTCACTAACATGTCGTCTTCCTGCCATCATTAGATACATCTTCCAGCTGAGATGTGGCTGCGGTTCGCCGAATTGCTCGACTGCCACCTGCTTCACATGTCGAAAGCGCCTCGCAGGCAAGGCGCCCATCCGCAGATATAATCCAACAAGCGCTAGGACGCTGGCTGTGTATCTTGCCAGCCAAGATAGCCCCGAGGCCGGCCTGTGTCCATATCTTGGCTCGTCCTCGAGAGACGAGCATCCCGTAGCCAACAGCCTCATCTTTGCCCACCGACCGTCGCCGCCTCAGCATGGCGCCCGCAGGTCATCGGATATCCAGACAGCATCGCGAAGGAAACCAAGTGTAGGTGTTGCTGCTAAGCCGCCTTTGTCTCCTACGACGAGATCTCGCTCATCATCGCTCGATAAGCAACGCTCGAATAACGAAACTAAGAATGACGACGCTACCACACGCCGCGGTCCCTTACCGGCTTCGAGCATCAGTGTCTCGGAGAAGGTGGTTCCAAAGGACTACAGGTCATTTGCAGTGGCTACATTTGGTACTGTTGCTTACAAGATGCTTGAATGGCTCACACCACAGGCTATTGACGCCATGACGAAGAAGATATCCGAGCTGGGCGGTGCTCAACAGGCTGGAGATACTGCTGCCCCTACTGCCCCTGCTGCCCCTGCATCTAATCCAACCAACGAACCGCCTTCAAATCCTAAAGCAGACAACTCCCGTGTCCACCAGGCCAGACGCTCATCAAATACATCACCTAAACAGAACAAGACCTCAAAACCCTCGAGAACGTCCAGCCAAGATGTAGTCGAGCCGTTCCCCCCAGCGAAAGATGTATCGTCCAAGCCAAAGAGAAATTCTAAAAAGACATTTCGCTCCTCTCCAACCAAGTCGAACAACAGAAAAAGCTTGGAACCCCTTGCCATCTCAGCTGGGACCGAAGAGGTCAAGACAAACTCACGACCTCCGAGCTTGAACGGCTTCTATCCCGAGAAGCTGGCCCGTGCCGGCAAGACCTCACCTGCTATAGTTACCCGCGGCGTTCCTGAAATGCCATCCAAGCCTGCCTTCTTTGAGAATGTATCTACTCCCACTCATACCACTACCAGCACTACCAACCAAATACACGACGTTGAGTCAGGCTCTTCAGATACGGAAACGATTGGGGAAAGGGAAATGCCCAGCAACACCGCACCTGCCATGAAACAGGAGCATGTCAACCCACAGTCTAAACCGAGGCCTGTATCACCGATTCTAGAGGTCGAATTATCATCCGCCAAATTTCTGCTACCTCAATCCTTAACCACCTTGAATGTTGAGCTGGTCGACTTCATCTGCGATATTTTCCAAGAAGATGGAACCACCGAAAGCCACTTTTTTGGACCTCTAGAGTCCCATGCCTCGTATCCCAAACCACAGAATCCATCAAAGAAGCTGGCAAGGCGACAGTCTACATCTCATGCCACTTCTCCAAGCCAGTGGAAGGCTTTCAACGAACAGGCACTGTTTACTGTTTTGAGCGATCCTCACTCCCTTGTTCAGTCATTCTCCAAGGACGGAAAACTCTTCGATTCGCATACACTATTCTACTGCATGCTGCGGATGACTCGGGCTGCGCCAAGCCTTGTTCTTCACAGCCTTTGGATGGCGGCGGAATCTCTGTTTACGGCACCAAAATCACTTCAAATTTCGCAACCCCGGTCCGGAAGGGCATTACCTAGGAGCCGGAAGCCTCTGACTGACTTTGAAGCCGGCTGTGTAATGTCAGTCTGCCTACATGCTCTCGTTGCTGTTGCACCCTTTGTTGCGGATTCCAAAATTCTATACGACATGTCGCGCATACGATCTACCGGTTTGGTTTTGGGCGGCAACGGTCTTTCTACCAGGCAGCCACAGTCCATATGCCTAGAATATGAAGACGTCTTCTCAAATGACATTGCTGTCAGACTAGCACGTCGTGTGTTCTCGGCTGTGTCTGCTCGTCGATCTCTAGCAAATCTGATGCGGATGGACGGCAGAAATAAGGCTGGTCAGCTGGACATCCTCCAGCCATTACTCAACCAGCTCGACCTTCTCAGTTCAGGGCCGCTCCGGATACTAGAATTCACACAAGCCGAACGTCTGCTGCATGAGACTCGCGTTCCCACCCTCCTCCTCGATTGGGCCAGGACCGTTCTGCACCAAGAATGGGATGGGAATCCAGAGATTGTGAACAACGGCGCCTTTTATGGGGCGCTGTCTCTGATTTCTACAATGTGTAAGTCGACTCCCGAGTAACACTCGTACAGAATTATATATATATATGCTAACAGTATGTAGACCAAAACAGAACTAGACTTTTACTGGGCGATATCCAATTCCGTGCCGACTACTTCTCCGAGCGCTTAGACTCTATGGAAATGCCAGTTGCTTGGTCGGAATCGACTTCGAAGCGAAATAGGGGTCACATACTTGATTATCCCTACCTCTTCAGCCCGGAGTGCCTTGTTACTTTTTTCCGGTCCATCAACTTCGCCAAGATGAGTCGTATGTTTGAAGAAAGTAGCTCACTCAAGACACGTATGAGCGCCATTGTCGACCCAGGGAGTCTGGTTGCAAACCCGCACCATAAAATTGTGCTGCAAGACATGTTGAAAGTGGCGTCGTCCAAGTATCTTATTCTGGATATCAGCCGAGAGAATGTGCTGAGAGATGCTTTCGACCAGCTCTGGAGACGACAACGACGCGAGCTTCTGCGCCCTCTCAAAGTTCATCTTGGTGAGCTGAGTGGAGAGGAAGGATTCGACTCGGGTGGCGTGCAGCAGGAGTTCTTCCGAATGGCAATCGCCGAGTGCATGGACCCCAAGTACGGCGCTTTCACAATTGATGACCGGACACGCATGGCATGGTTCGTCCCTGGCTCTGTTGTGGAAGAATGGAAGTTTGAACTCATGGGCGTCCTTGTGTCCCTGGCAGTGTACAACGGCCTCACGCTTCCCGTCACATTTCCCAAGGCACTGTACCGAAAACTCTTGGGCGAGCCCGTCGAAGAGCTTTACCACATTGCAGACGGATGGCCTGCCCTAGCCAGCGGGCTGATGAGTCTTTTGGAATGGAACGAAGCAGATGGCGCAGTTGAGGACGTTTTCGCGCGCACCTACGAGTTCTCGGTACCCAACATAGGGGGTAATGTAACCCGAGAAATGACCAAGGACATGGTCCAGTGGCCACAGAATCTCGATTGGAAGATGCGAATTGTTCTGCCGGAAGACTCGATTGACGATACAGAGGCACCCCTGGTGACCAATGACAACCGCGACCAGTATGTGAGTGACTACATTCGCTATCTGACGGATATGTCAGTCAGACCTCAGTACGAGGCATTCGAGCGGGGGTTCAAGAGTTGCCTGTCAGACAAATCGCTCTCCCTACTAAGCCCCCAGATCTTGCAATCTGTCGTCGAAGGTGTGCAGGAAATTGACATCTCTGAGCTTCGACGATATACCCGCTACGTCGGATGGGATGCCTCTCACCACACTATTAGAGACTTTTGGTCGATTGTTAAGCGATATGACGACAAGATGAAGCGCAAGCTCCTCGAGTTTGTGACTGCGTCGGACCGTGTTCCCGTCGGAGGCATGCGCAATCTGCAGTTTGTAGTTCAGCGGAACGGTGAGGGCGAGGGCAGTGGAAGTCGTCTGCCGACAGCGTATACGTGTTATGGGACGTTACTTTTGCCGGAGTACAGAGACAAGGACTTACTGAGGCAGCGGTTGGCGATGGCGCTGGAGAACGCGCAGGGATTTGGCTTTGCTTGAGCAGTCTTATATTCATGGCTCTCTGTGAACTTTTTTTCATTCCTTTCTATCTTTTCCCACAGAGGAGATTATTGGTTCCAAGTGTTACTTGAGCGTTTTTCAGTCATTGCGTCTTTGGGATTGGAAGCGATTGCTCTTGGTTTTTCACCTTTTAGAATTGCGCTGGGAGCGATTTTTGGCGTTTGGCATATTCTGAAGCTTTAGCATACAGTTTTTAACAATATCTATATACAATATATGTTTCAAATAAACAATGATTTAGGACTAAATCTTGATCTACTCCCTCATTTGTCTGACATTCAGATTGATTCTCTTGTTCTGCATCCACCCCTTCCACTCGTCAAACTCGCCATTCTCGCCACTTGCAGGCCAGTCTGCCAGATAGTCCGGACATGTACCCTTCATGACTTTGGGGACGCCGTGCCATGCGTAGCGGGATTCGTTGGTCATGTAGATGGCGTCGCCGGAGCGCAGTCTCAGCAAAAGGTACTTTTTCTTGTCCTTGTCTTGGCCGTCTGCTTCTTCGTCTTCGTGAGCGCCGCGGCTGGGGGCAATCATGAAGAGACACTCGCAGCCGAAGCTGAGACTGACGAGGCCCTTGTCTATCTCTTCGCTGACGTCTCGGTGCATCATCATTGTGTCCCCGGGAGTGTAGAAGTTGACAATGGCAGCCTGGGCGAGGGTTTCGGGGAATAAGGTGGTAAGGAAGTTGGATAGGTCGGCGGGGAAGGAGGGCGGTGGTGCTTCGGGGTAGATGCGGTTGGTCCAGTCGTATTGGCCGCCGAGGGTGACCCAGTGGAGGCGGCGCTGGAGGGCTTGTTTGATGGTGAGGGGTTTGTGGATGGAGGGGTCTTTGGGGATGAATGAGGGGGGGGATTCGGGGGAGAGGGAGAAGAAGGATTTGGGGGATGAGGATGAGGAGGATGAAGGATAGGGGAGGTCGTAGTGGAGGTGGAGGTTTGTTTGGTGGATGGGGTTGCTGAGATCGCGGTGGATCATGGTGTTGAGGAGGTGAGTTTGGATGGAGGGGGGGATGAGTGAGGGGAGGATGAGGAGGCCTGGAGAAGAGTGAGTGAGTTGATATAGATGAGGAATAGGGTGAGAGAGTGTATATACCAGGAAGCAGAGGGTGATGTAAAATAGGGGCATCAGCGCCATCCGCATCCACAGCCGCATATTCAGGCCCCAGGTAGGAATACGCCTGTGAGATGGTGGACCGTGGGATGCTGCCAGTTTGAATGAAGCCGCTTTCTGAAAGAGGTAGACGGGGGTCGTCGAGGGTTTCTTGGAGGAGGATGGACTGGTCGAGGCGGGAGAAGTGTTTCCATTCGGCCTTCATTTGGTCCGAGGGCTGTTCGTGGGCGTCGAGGTCGAGGGCCATGGTGGGTGGATGGGATGATGTGTGGTGGTGGTTTGAGGTTATGTTGAGAATGGTGTATGAGAGAGTGAGTAAGGAGTTGTTGATGTGAGGTAAGTGGGAGTATGATATGATTCATGGGCCATTTTGAGAATTTTGATGGAGTTGGGTTAATGCACTGTGCTTGTGTTTGGGACACTGTACACGGTAGATATCCATTTTCTGCGTAGGTGGACAGCGGCTCGGATTTAAAAATCATTTGGATATTCTCATTTTGAGTTTCATAGCCTTTCTTTTCTATTGCTTTGTTCATTACCTGCCAGAAGAGGCTGCCGGGTAAGATCTACAAATCTTATATATGAGTGCAGCTATTCCGTGACCACTGTGGCAGACGTGATGTACCCTGTATCAAACGGTTTAAGCATTGTATATTAAGATGTAACCGTTATTTAACCTATATTAATATTTTATAATAAGATAAAATCTGTTTTATCATCTTAAAAAGAATCTCATCTGTGTTTTTAAACATAGTACTTGTGTTGTTGTATCTGTCCCGTAGTTGAATCATCTGTTGAATCCAACTTTAGATCCGCTGCCGTTTTAACAGTGGGGTCACAGCACGTTTACATCAACGCTAAACTCATGGTTCAAATTCAACTCCAACAAGCAAAATCTCATATACAAAATTTTGTTCATTATGCCTCCATCAAGGCCACAAGCCATTAAAGGCCTTTCAAACCCCCAAATATATAAAGCCTACTTCAGCACATCCCTCCCACGATGGCCTCGTCTGCGCCCAACCGCAAAGCCTCGCAGCTCAGTCATACCCAGCAAAGATGAGATTTACAGCAACTCTATTAAACATGATCCGCCAGCACCACCTCCTCAACAAACTCCCAAAAAGACCACCCCAGCCTCAAATACATCAAAACCAACCACAAATCCCATCCAAATAAACACCACTCCCGCCCCCAAACGCTCCGCGCCCCCCAACACAAAACCCCACAAAGAAGCCCTCTTCACCAGCACCCTCATCCGCCAAACCGCAAACTCATCCTCCCTCACAACAACAACCACAAGACCTCAAGACGCCCAAATCGCCGCCGCAGCATCCTTCTTCCAGCAAAACTTCCAGTTCCTCTACTCCGCCGAATCTCTCCGCCACCACCCCAAAAACGAGCACATCCCCGAGATCCTCATCCTCGGCGCCTCCAACGTCGGCAAGTCCTCCTTTCTCAACGCCCTCGTCGGCAAAATCGACGCCGCAAGGGTTAGTGCCCGTCCTGGCAAGACCACACTCATGAATGCCTTTGCCGTAGGCCCCCTTCCGAAGATACCAAAGGGCCATGTGAAGCAGGGCGAGAAGCTGCCGCGGTATAGCCTCGTCTTGGTGGACACGCCCGGGTATGGATTCAAGAGCCAGGCGAGCTGGGGAGATGCCGTGTGGAAGTACATCAAGGCGAGGAAGATGCTGCGTGGAGCGGTGGTGCTCATTTCATCGGAGAAGAAGCTGATGGAGCAGGATAAGTGGCTGTTGAGGACGCTGGCCGAGGCGAATACTCGGACGCTGGTGGTCTTGACAAAGGCTGATAAGGGAGGTGGCTCGTGGACTGACAGATGTAGTGAGATGGCCGAATTGCTACGAGGGGAGCTTAGAAAGATATCAAGATCGGCTGGGAATGGATGGAAAGAAGGTTCGGGCTGGAATCCGGATATATACATCACAGCCGCTGGAATGGATCGTATGCCCAAGTTAGCGAGCGGAGGGGGTGTAGGAGGAGTCCGGACGAGCATCCTCGAAATGGCAGGCTTCGATCTTCAGGATAAAGAAGTGAAGAAGAAGGACGAGACGATTACGTATGGCGGTCCGGTGGTTTCATTTGATGACATTAAATGGAAGCCATGATTGTGATACACAACAGGGTGTTGGGGGTATTAATATCTTTGTACAATTGACTATATGTAACTGTGAACAGGAGGCATGGCTGTGTAGAGAGGATAAGGTATGATGTACTAAAGTAGGATAATTTGAAAGGACCAAAACAGAAGAAAAGAAAATCCCGCTTAACAATAACATTGGATACCATAGCCGCAAATAGACTCAAATAGCCAAAACAAACGAAACCCAGGCTGATTAGCCCCCCTTGATAGACCTGTTGGATTTGATGGATGCCGTCGTATCTGGACGGCTGCTCACAGACCTTCTCAGCTTGTTATCGAGCAAGCTCTTGACCTTGCGCAACTTGGCCCATCTCTCCTTGTCCTTGGCATCACGCGCAGCTTCATCCTCCTCCCCGTCAACACTCAAATCAACAGAGATTTGCGGAGTGTGGCCGCCGCCAGCTGGTCGGGTTGGCGTTTTGTGAGGCGTGGACGCGCCTTTGGCAGCCAGCTTAGATGGCGACCTGGCCCGGCCCTCGTACACCCTCCGAAGATCTGACTCGTTTTTTATGGACTGCAGCAGCATCTTCCATGCCGGCATATCGACGGATTCGCTGCTGCTGTGAGTGACGTGTCCCCTGCTCTGTGCGGTCGCATTCTTCCAGGGGCAGAAAAAGCGATGTTCCCGCTCGGGGTCGAGATAGTCCATTGGCGCGGGGACGACAATCTTGCCGTTTTCATCCACCTCTTTACTTTTGAACATCCACAGGCCCAATCTTCGCTGGCAGGTGTGACACGATGCAGTGTTTGCAACAGCGCCAATGCGGGTATTGGTCAAGCCTTGCCAGCCAAACAGTGCAAGAGCAAGCGCCGGTCGATTGGGCGTATTTGTCCCAGACTTTTCATTAGTAAAGAAATCTGGCGAGAGCTGGTCAACCACCTCATCCAAGGCCATGTCCTCTGGGAGGTGGAGGTTGAATTCATATGGGATAAATGGCTCTCGTGCGCAAAGCTCCACATATCGCTGTTTCAGAGCTTCGATGGCAGCCTTTGAGCTCATGAATGAGAGCCGAAGTAGTGAGTCTAGGAAGGAGTCAGTAAATGCGACTAGGATATCAAGCTACACAATAATCTTACCATCACAGCCTCGTCTCTTCCAGAGGCAGTCTGACTGATGCGCGCTCACAATCAGCTCGGCATACTTGTCAACCAATGCAGCTTCTAAATAACCAGATCAGCGTCATTCATTGAAGTTTAAGAATCCTCCAATACATACCAACTTCGGCAGCCGTCAGTGCATCCGTCTCTTTGTCTCCAGCCTCCTTCTTCAGCTTGACAACCAACTCTTTGTGGCACAGCAAGCACCGCACCCTTTCCTTCCCCTGGCATGCCCACCCCCTCTTGGCCCACTCCACTTCATTGACTCTGTCCGGCTTGGGCGTCCAGTCGGTGATTTCTTGAAACGTCGCCAGTCGCTTGAGCAGCTCCTCCCTGTCACCGGGAGAATACCTCGCAGAGCCATCTCTCCGAACTTTCGGAGTCGTGGCGTCCGACACTGTTCGCCTGATGGAGGTGGCCAGACTTGTGAGACCTGAGGAGACAGTGTTGTCTAAGCGTGGAGCAGTCGACTCGGGAAAGCCCAGGCGGCGACGCTTCTGCAGCAGCGCCTCATAGTCCACAGCCTTGGTGCTCGCTGCTCGGTTTCCAAACATGGTTGCTGGCGACTCTTGATCGGTGCTGGCGCGTGGGCTACTGAGTCCCTGGAGCAAGGCGTTGAACTTGCGTTTGGTAGAGTTCATGATAGACAAAGGAAATGGAGGCTGATGAGCCCGATGAGACTGAGAGGTGGATCGCTCTGCGCGTTCGGGTTGAGTAAGCTCAGCAGGCGTATTGGCCAGGACGCATGGATGAGTAAAAAAGGGTTATGAAGACCCCTTGGCCGAGAACAATAGAGACCTGAGCTTGGACAGGTGCTGCGCAGACCCAATATCAGTCCGTTGTCGAGGCTTAGCGAAATCACCGTCTCCTTTCAGCAAATCGTGGATATGAGTTCTTGGACCCGGCTGCGATCAAAACAAAGGGCTCCAGTTCCAAAAAGAAAACAAGGAAATTCAAAAAGAGAAGAAAGCGAAAGCTGGTCGCGACAGCAGAATTAAACGTCAGCGGGGAAGGCTTTGTTGCCGTTGAAACTGAATATCAAAGAACAGGCCAATTGCATCACCGGATCCTGCAGGCCGTTGCCAACGCCAACGTCGTCGCATCCCTGTCGCGCGCTAAAAGCCGGAGCCCGGTGCTTAGTTAATCCCGCCTCAGCCACCAGCGATAAGCGATAAGCCCTTCTCACCGCCCTGCTTGTACCTTACCCTTTTGTCTTGGCGCCTGTTCCTGGCGCGTGGCAGAAATAATTTTTTTCTTGTTCGTTTGGCTGCCGTAAACCCAAGTTGTGAATTTGGTGAACGGCTAATGCGCTGCTGAATATTTTTTTTGGGCAATCGAGTCTCGCATCTGAGCAGCGGTTCAGATTTCAGCGAATGCGATTGGAATAGCATTGGGGCTTTTTCTCTTTTCGCCTTGCACTCAATTCTTTCTCAATTGGGGCCCACTGTTAGGCTTGAAAGTTTGAAGAGCTAATTTTTCCCTCTTTATATCCATCCGCCTCTCACATGTCCAACGCCTCTAAACCACCCTCTTGGCTCTTTTCCAACAACACCAACAACAACCTTTCTCAAAGCAAAGACCAAAAGAGCAATTCTTCCCGCTCGACCAATTCCTCCAACGACGACATGGCCAAGTCGAAACCTGCCGCCGCCGACAAGGGCGCAGAGTCTGTGCAGCCTCCTGCCCAGCTCCTCGACCTCGTGGAGCAGTTCCTCTCCGACAACTCCTTCAGCAGCGCCCTCAGCGCCTTCAAGAAGCAGCGGTCAAAGAAGGGCTGGGGCGAGGCTTCTGACAACACCAGCGGAAGCACTCTCGTCGCCGTCTTCAAGGCCTGGGACAACTCGGCCAAGGCCCCTGCGGACCGGGATGTCGAGATGGACGACTCGAGCAGCTCCAGCTCCAGCTCAGACAGCTCCAGCTCAAGCGAGAGCAGCAGTAGCGAGAGTGAAAGCGAGGACGAGAAGCCTGCCCTGGGCAAGAAGAATCTGAAGCGCAAGGCGCCTCCCAGCTCGAGCTCCGACTCCAGCTCGGACTCGGACTCAAGTTCTGATTCGGACTCTGACGACGACAAGAAGCCTCAGGCCAAGAAGCCTCAAGCAAAGAAGCAAAAAGTCGAGGCCAAGCCGACCCCAAGCTCTGATTCCGACTCGGACTCGGACTCTGACTCTGAGAGCGAGTCTTCCAGCTCGGAGGAGAGCTCCTCAGACGAGAGCTCCAGCTCAGAAGAGTCCAGCTCCGACGAAAGCTCCGACAGCGAGTCCGAAGTCGACGCCAAAGAAGCCGCCAAAGTCCCCCTTCCCGACTCCGACTCCGACTCATCATCCTCATCCTCAGACTCTGATTCAGATTCCGACTCGGACTCGGACAAGAAGCCCAAGGTCAATGGCGTAGCCAAGACTAAGTCCGAGGCCAAGGAATCGTCCGACTCCTCATCCTCCGCCACCATGGACTCCGTGCCCAACCCGCCCCTGCCGCCCAACCCATACGACCTCAAAAAGGAGAAGAAGAAGAACGAGCCCTTTTCCCGCATCGACAAGAACATCAAGGTGGACCCCAAGTTCGCCTCCAACGAGTACGTGTCCATTAGCTACTCCCAGCGGGCACACGAGGACCTCATTGTCACAAAGGGCAAGGGCTTCACCAAGGAGAAGAACAAGAAGAAGAGGGGCAATTTCCGCGCTGGCGTGATTGACATTACGGAGAAGAAGGCCGTTTACTTTGACGACTAAGCAAGGATTGAGAGAGGAAATGACTGAAAAAGAGAACGAAAGAAAGATGTAGAGAGAGAATACAGTACGTGGTGCGTAAAATATCCTAGGTGGACAGGTTAGCGTCTGGGGTTGCATCAACAGCCGGTGTTTAGGGCGGCCTTTTGTCATGTTTTGTCATGTTTTGTTTTATAAAAGTCGTTTTCTTGTTTCCCTAGACTTTTGAAAATGGTTCTTTTCGTTCATCTCACGTTTTATATAAAGTATATATGTACTTGCTCTTATAATCTAGAAAAAGTGCCTGCTTAGAAACGACTTTTAATTGTGATAATGTGTAATATTATAAAACGCCTTTAACTCTGCCAAGTTTGTTCGCTTGCTTAGTCTGAATCTATCTATGCAAATCACATTATCTTCCATCCATGCCTAAAACTTCAAATCATTGCCAATGATAAGGTGGTATCTATCAAGTCATCATATATCCCATAAAAGTATAAAACCATTTGTTTCGTAATTCCGCGCGCTTACGTATTCCACCGCTATGCCAAACTCAAACACGAAAGGAGATGCGAGGTGATGGTAAAAGGGCTCGGCTTCAAATGAACAATGACAGCGAGAGCAGAAAGACGGTCAAACTGATCAAAAAGCGTCACATCGACTTCATCGTCGTTTATAAAATCACTCCTCTTCAAAAGGTAGAGCCATTGGGCCCCGGCTTTGAATGCGGAGGAGGCTGCACCTCATCCAATGGCGCTTTCTGCTCCGCCGGGTCAGTCACTCCAGACATGATCTCGTTCTTTCTCTTCACGGCTGGCCAGTCACGAACTCCGTCCTGTGCATTCTTGAGCGCCTCGCTCAGCCACTGCTTCCACTGCGGCGTTCCGGGCGCGGCACCGCTTCGCTCGACCCATCCTATCGACTTTGTCTCGCGTATGGCGTACCACAGGGTGCGTGTGAAGCTGGGGTGTCCTTCACGCTCATCATTGGAATTGGTGACGCCGTGTGCGTTTTTGCTGTCCTTTTGTGTGATGTCTTTGCAGTTATAGCGTGAAAGATCCCAGAAGTACTTGAGGGGCAGCATGCCCAGTCCCCAGTACAGGCCGTTGAGAACAATGTACGAGCCTCCGATGAAGATTTGCGAGTTCCAGGTGCAGTTGCCGAGGAGCACAACTCCAAACATGAGGAGGATTGTGCCGAGCGCCATGCATAGCCTGTAAATCTTCTCGCCGACATAGTATTCGCATTCTTCCGTGCCGGAGTAGAGCTCGCGAGCCACGTCTTCTGAGCAGCGAACCAGGACAAAGGCGCCCTCGCGCGTGCGGATCATGACGTCGCCGCTGGGCACCTTGTTAGTGTGGCGACGCTGCATCAGAATCGGCCGCCAGGAAGAAGCATAGCCGATGACGGTGGAGACAAAGGAGACGAGGACGATGGAGAGGATGGCCGTGCCGTCTTGCCAAAAGACGGCGGCGATGAGGATGCCGATGCTGAGAAGGCATGAAAAGGCAGACAGGATGTGGAGAGGGGAGAAGAGTTTTGGTGGAACAATGGGCCGTCTGCCCTTGATGGCGATGGTTCTGGCTGAGAGCAGGTCTTGCACCACCTCGGTGTTGGTTCGTCGGCGTATGATTCCGGGATGGACATCGTGAGGGTCGTTTCCACTGGCAACGCTGGGGTCAAAGTGGACTTTTGGGTCTGTTGAGTGCCTTGCGGAAGGGTGGCGAGCTTCCTCGATGTCTCGGTCTGTGGACGAAGTCATTCCCCGATGCTCCGCGTCCTGCTTTTCTTCACTTGGGGACATGCCCTCGGAAAAGGGCTCGGCCTTGCGAACCAACGACATGGCCCTGGCGATGAAGCCACGGCCTTGATGTGGCTGATTTAGCTCCTCCAACGGCTGTGCATCCGCCGCATGTCTGATGTCCAGCTCGACGAAATCGTAGGGGACCAGCTCCTCCAGGGGCAGGATGATGTTGGCAAAGAAGCCCACCGAGTCCAGGACCGTGCCGCTCTCGACTCCAGCCATCTTGGCGTGCGTTTCTGGCAAACGCGTAGGGCGTGATGGCTTCAGAAGAGCTTGAGGTGCAGGCAGGAGACGAGGCAGCATGCAGAGCATCGAGGCCGTGATGGTTTGTGCATGTTCACCGATGGCGGACTCGCCAATGACTGCGAGAAGGGAGACGACGTCGAGGCGCCACGAGTCTTTGTCGTTGGGGAACCATTTCCAGCCGGGATCGCCTGGGTTGGACATTTTGTTGATTTATATTGCTGTTGTTATTGCTCTTGCAGTTGATGACGATGGCGATGACGATGCTGTGGAAGAGGGAGAATAAAAGTATACGCAGCAAACTGAACAAGACGAGAGCAACTCAAGCAAGGCTAGACGACAATTAGATGGAACGGGATGAAGACGGCAATGGAAACAGGCTTCGCTCTACTGTTGTGCTTGAATGCAAGAAGAAAAGATGGAAGAGGAAAAAGAAGCAATGAAAAGAAGAGAAGAAAAAGATTAGAAACAAGAAACCCGGACGAGGTGAGATGAGTGTAGCATCCGCCTGTATTTCTGGCGGCTCTGCACTCGACAGCGGTCCATCGATGCGCTTTAGAGGGGCCTGCAGCAGGGCTATGCTAGTGGGCTTAGTTGGGCGAGCGTGAGCCACACTTTGATCGGTCGGACAATTCTTCCTGCCTGGTAGCAGTGATGTTTGCCTGTAAATGCCGCCGGGAGTCTTAAGCTAGAAATTAAGATTAACATGCCGGTAACAACACCAACACCATCACAAGTAAAAAAAGAAGGACACTAGATAAATGAAATCGCTATATTGATACGCCTCAACTTGAGTAGAGCTACCAGTCCATATTGATTAGTAGTTTCTCCCCTATTCTTAGACTACCCGCGTCAATCAGTCCCTTTTGGTGCCTAGTTGCCTTCCTCCACACCACTACATTGTCATTTTCAGCTCCCAAACGCTGCCAATAACCTCTGGAGCTCTGCTGAATCGCCAAGCCACCTTGTCTCTGTCGGGTTTCTGCATGCGGGTGGCGATTTTAGTACGTAGAGCTGCTGCTTCCGCGGAGGGGCTGTAACTGCTCTCGTCCATTCAAAATGGCTTCAAGGTCTCATTACTGCTGACAACCGTTCGTGCAACCCACTCTTGTGCAGCTCTCGCTTCTGCCCATCGCCCTAGGCCAAGCCACAGCGATTTCAAATCATAGACGTAGTCTGCCGTTTTCTGCAGTTTCTTAGCTGGATATTTGCGTAGCATCTCTGAGAGGTATACGCAAGCTAGGCATATTTTGTCCTTGTTCAAAGCCTAACGTGCTGTAGATCTTACAACTCAGAGAGAGGACTTGTCGGTATATGCAGTTCCACATGCAATACTACCCCACTGGCTCACCGAAATGCCTGGATTGCCCCATATTGTCAGTGCTCAGCCAGACTCATACGCGTACAGTGCATTGGGCATCACGGCTTCTGTGGTGATAAAAGAAGAGCATCAACCCAACAACTCGCATCTTGTGTATGCTCATCAACGAATGTTTCTTCACCGCAAGACTGCAGAGTTACTCTGTGGATAGTAATCAGCAAAAAGATTTCATACCATCAACTTGAACGTTTCGACGAGTTTTAGCCTACATACCCACCTGTCAGCACCTTACCCGCCCTGCCAACATGCCGCATGACTCCTGAGTTACAAGTTCGTCTCAACAGATTCCCTGCCAGTAAGCCGCTTGTACAAAATGTAACCTTTGGAAACTGGCATCTTGTTTTGTCTTTCTTGAATTCAGATATATCAGTCTCCTATTCTCCCTGGAGTTTTCTTCTTTCAGTCCATCTTGAACTATTTTCTCATCAGAGTCGAACCACATGGCCAGTTCCTGGTTCCAACCCTGCTCCGAAAATGTAATCAGCGACAGCCCGAACATCGAACAGACAAGGTATCCGCTAACGTTGAGTTGTCTCAGCGGTCAATTCTCCTGCCCTATCAAATGCTATAGCGCCAACATTTATTAGCACAGATAGGTACAGGCGCTTAATGCTATTACTGATACAAACCACAGCACTCTTCTCTTGCTTTCCACCCTAAATCCTCAATCCTTTGACCGCTATTTACGATACTATAGATAGGTACGCAGCGCACTAATCAAATTCTTCAGCCGGCCCGACTTCCACTTATAACTTCAGCTCACAAACGAATCACAGATTCTCCAAGCTAGCCCTCGTCAACCCACATCCCGGCATTTATCGGCAGTTGCTCAATCATCAATCCTGGTAACATCTATAAAAACAGGACAGGTAAATCTCTAAATGTATCCACGTAATATAGAGCGTACATGTATGTATATAAAACGGCATCGCTACCACCATCTCTTCGTAACCAGCGTTCATCCGTCTAATCAGCTGGGTATCGAGCAAACGCCCCTCTTTCTTAAGCCTCTTTGAAGGCAAGACGGCCACACCAGCCAAAACGCCGCATTCATGGAATGCAAAATCCGCAAAAAGTAAAGATACGCCAGAAACAGACAAACAAAAAAGCAAACGAGTGAACGAATGCAAGAGATGCAGTCACATCTTGGACTTCTCTCCAACGGCACTAGCCACTTCCTCTCCTCTCTCCCTATCCCAATCGATCACTTTCATCAGGAATTCTCTCCATAGGACTTCCCAGTGATCCATTATTTCTTTTCTCTCATCATCACCTAAGCATGCATGTTCGATGCTCCACATAACGAGCTGCTTCCATCCATATAGCCCCATGCTTTTCTTACCGACCATGACTTGGTAAAAATCATGCGATAAAGTAGATCTTTGCGTGCGTTAGACTAAAATACTCTCCAGACTTCGAATACACAAATAATGTATAACCATACAATAACTTACCTGAAAAATGCTCCATTATCAGAGTTGACTGTACAATGCACATTATTCGCTAGCAGCTGGTACATTGTATGTCCATTAACCCGTGGTGTAAGCCCCAATATCTCATTTGAAATGGGGCACAGCTCTAGGCATATACCCTTTGCTTTCATCTGCTGCATGATATACGGATGGTTCGCCAACGCAAATCCGTGCCCTATCCGCTTTGACCCGAGCAAAAGAGCGTCGACTAAATTTCCATCTGTCTCGGTGCCCAAATCTAGCGTCTCGCCACAGTGGAAGAGAAAAGGAATGTCGAGCTGTTCTTCGGCACATGTCTTTCTAAACTCGAGTAACTGGGGAATGAAAGCCTTGATTGGGGAGCCTTGTGCCTCTTCGCCAACGAGATCATACCCTAGGAGAGAGTAAATTAATGCCATTTCCAAAACAAGATGAGAGAGAGTGTCAGTGTCAGATGCTTACCTGCAATCCACTTCGGCCACATCTTCTTGAACCTTATGCACTCGTCAAGACCCTCCTTGACCTGCTCGGGTGAGAATGATCTTGGTGTGCAATATATAACTTTGAGACCTTTAAAGAACTTGTTTTCTTTTTGGAAATCCTTTACTTCTTCAATGATGATCTTCATGATGCCCTCGTTATCAATCCTATCATTCCCATCATCGCTGGTAATGTAATTGCTCTCCATCATAGTCGGCCGTATCTCGGCGTACTGAATGTTATCTCGGGCAAAGTCTTCAAGGCATTGGCGGGTATACGATCGGTATGCAGTTTCATAGTTGAAAAGGCCTTTCATCATCTGCGTTCTCCCGTTGAATTTTTTCCAGGCACTGCATATTTAAAAGAAAGAGATATTAGTCCGGAATGTTCTGGGGGGGAGGAACGAAGGGTCTATAGTAAAGGCTCACCCAGATGCTGTTTGCAAAGGATCGTAAGCCTCTTGTTCGTGAAAAGTGAGCTTATTGAGCAACCACGTGTCGGCTGTGGTTTTGTTATTACTACCAACATCCGCTCTGGTATAATACGTTGAAAAGCGATTCAAAAACTCTTTAAACTTCATTGTTTTCCCGGCCTGATAACTAGACGAGAATATGTCGCCAGGGTCCTCCGGATCGGATTTCTTGATAGAGAACTGTATCTTGCACTTGTCAAAGTTTTCAAACTTGTTCTCACCCTCCTTCTCTTTGCAGACTAGGGCGTGGCTACTCATGATAAACATGCGATCCATTCCTTTTGCAATGTCAAGCAGCACACGTGGCGGTAGGCATGCATTGAAGTGGTTATGCAGATGAGCGCCTTTGGGCAACATGGAAGCGATTTTGAATAAGCCTGTTTCGCCAATCAAATCAACATTGGATAAGAAATGATCGCCTGCAAACCGCGGGTGCTCCTGGCCGTGATACCCTGTCCGAGACTTTTGCTCAGAGAAAAAACACTCATCTTCTTGTCGCACTTTTCGAATGATGTCGTCAACACGCCGCTCCAGTGCATCTGCCTCGTGCCGAAACCGAGCATCAAATGACAGCTCATCTTCTTGAGACACGACCTTTGCCCGCAATTCGTTGTAGCCGTCTGCATTCGTTATGGAATCGACAGTATTAGAGTTTAGGGGTAAGCTATAACTGCCGTCTCTAGCCTGGTCCCATTTTTCAATTCTCTGCCGCCGACGTCGATCGATCTCGGAATCGTGCGCCTTGATGAGCTCACGCGCAGCGGCCTTGTCACAGTCACTGTTGCTGTGCTGAGAGCAGTTTTCATTCTCACTGCCAGTGGAATTCATGGTTTGTCGTCGTTTTTGTGGTACTCCTCTCTTCCACTGACGAAAAAGTCTGAAGCGCCTATACGAAGAAGGTGAGTTCTGCATAGGCGGAGAATGGCCGAAACAAGAGCAATATAGAGACGAAGGCGGGGGAGGGTTTGCGGCGAGGCTTGAAGCAAGGCTGAGCTGACCCATAGAGGAGTCTATTGGATTAGGCCGAGGGTAGCGTGTGCGTTAAATATGTATTGATCCTCTTTGACGGGGTGTATGAGCGATGCCGAGGTGGGCAGAGGCAGGCAGGCAGGTGATGAGACAAGCGCATGAGCCTCTACCTTGGAATGTGAGCCTTTCTTTGGTACTGCCGCCGCTCCGCTTGTGACTTTTATTATCGCTGAAAACGGTGCGAAGCATCAAGGCTCTTTGTCTGTACAGTGAGATGTATATATATTCTGAGGGTCGGTCAGCTTGGTCATCCACGGCTAAAAAAAGCTAAAAGCATCTTCCAATCATGCAGCCAACAGTGAAAGCTTCTTCCAGTAGGCAGCCCAGCGTCAGATCGTTGTCTTGAGAATTAGACAAAGTAGAAAAAAAAAGATACGAGATGGCGCCGCCAACTAAGCAAGTCACAACAAAGGAGGCGCTTAGCCGTTCGTCGATAGCGACCTTCTAGACCAGCCCCTAAATTTGAGTCTTTCGGCCAGCGCATGCGAAGCCACAACAGCCCCGCATCAGCTTGAACACTGAAAGAGCAGGCATACCGACGGATCAAATGCTGTGAAAGATACAACCGCAAGCACCGACTTACCAGAGTCTTCCAGCACGAGCCTCGAGTCCTGGCGCAAAACGGTAGCGCAACGAAGCCGCGGTCCTTGGTAGTGCTGAAATGAGGGCGCAAGCCACGGGAGGGCTTCGCTTATGCTCAGGTGAGGTTGTTTCTCGGTCACCGCTCTCTGCCAGGGCGACAAGAGTCAGTCGGGGACAAGGACTGTCGTGTCACTGCGCTGGAGGCTTCAGCGATTAGCTTGCCGCGGGCTGCATCTGCTTGCGGGAGATCGAAGCGTGCGAGCAAGGGTCGCTGCCACGATGCCGGCAGGGGTTGACACGGGCGAGGAGAAGCAGCGGCAGGAGCTGGCGATCATCAGGCGCTCTGGCGAGGGCGATGGCGGGCCTGGGGAGGCTGTGTATGGGACGGACGAGACTTTGATCGGTGGTGTTGGTGTTGTCGCAAAGTCGATGCAGGCGCCCAGTCGCGAAGAGCACGAGCCGGCCAATGCCGTCTTCGTCGTGTGACGTCTTCAGCTTCTTGGTACTCGGTACTTCAGCGAAAGAGCGCATTGGCGCTGTATCCACTCCACGTGCTCAGCGCTAGGCCCTGTTCGGGGCTCTAGATCGCTAACCCCCAGGCCTCCAGCGCCAAAGTCCCCTGGTGCCTTGCAGCTCCTTGGGCGCAAGACGGGCGTCTACGGGTCTCCAGTACTTCGGCCGTCTTTCTAGAGCCCATCAGCCTTGCAAAGAGCCTTGACCAAAACGGTAAGCCGCGTGCCATCATAGCCACTTACATGTCCACAAGGGGCATCTTTGTGCATCGTTTTCTACTATTTCTTGGCTCTTTAACTCGAATTGTTAATCGCCGACACAGGGCCTCAAATTAGGTGAATCTTTAGGCAGCTTTTTGCTAGTGTTTGGGCTCTTATTTGGATCCAGAGCACCAAGGAGAAGGGATTGATATACCAAAAGATGGGAACTAGGCCACAGGTTTAGTATTTCCATCTATACAGAGTCATAAGCTTTGCAGACACATGTACAAATAGTCACTTTGTGTTATTTTATTCTTCTGAGAATTTCGCATAAAGGAGGCGACCCTATAGGTAACCCCCTTTACGTTGCCGCTCTTAGCCAACTATGGAACTGTTACAAAAGACCTGTTTTACACTTGAATCCTGCTCCAACTGCCCTAGATCCCTGTCTTTTGGCCCCATCACATACCTAATTTGACTACATGTTGGCTGTGAATGGACATCTCATAGGCAGCCGTGGATACTGATACAACCCCCTATTGGGCTCGAGCATGTTTAGGGCGTCCAATACGGAATATCCATGCCAATACCGGCTTTTTGGAACAGCCACTCAACTTGGGCGATGTCTCTCCGCCACAACTCTAATTTGATGCAGTAGGAAATCAATTTGGCCACTCCTTAGCCCCATCTTCACCGCCCTGCTCACCGTCATTCAACTCCTTACTAAAAGGGATCTAGCCATCCTTCGCCGGTGAAGTCTACACAGCTATCGTATCATTGTCCTACGAGGCAGAATCGCCCATGGCTTCAACCGGTTGATGTATTGATGTGTTGTCATTTACACTTCATCACCCCACATCATGTTGCATGATGGTTCGTTCTGTAAACCGGAGGGGATGGCGATGCCTTCACGAGACCCCATCTTATGATTGATACGTGGCACTTGATTCACCAAATGTTGGTCAAATAGTCCCTTCGTTGAGCAAAGCCACTCTGTAAAAGGCATCTTAGCCTCATGGCACTTTGAATTTGCTGGCTAGTGATATCTGCCTTGCCCCTTACTTGGGCCTTGTTACAACATGCATTAAGCTTGCCAACGCATATTCTCTTGCCCAACTATTTACTCACCACTCATCATTCATCACTCACTAACATCATGATAATCTACTCCACCGCGCTGCTGCATTCCTTCGCGCAACTCACTCTCGAACTGCTAGTACTTATCCAGTTAATATCCTACAAGAAGCTCCATATCTGCCTAACTTACGCCCTTGACAGCGAATCATCAGCTGCCATCTCATTATTCACTCACATCTAACATGCCTAAGAAAAAGAATATCAACATGGGTTATTTGATATCGGGTCTAAAAAAAAAAAGGCATTATCAGAGCTTAAATGTGAAAAAAGAAGCGCCCGAGGGGGGGGTCGAACCCCCAACCTTGCGGTTAAAAGCCGCACGCTCTAGCCAATTGAGCTACCCGGGCAGGCTATTGGGATGGAGGCTCAACCAAGATATTCCCACTATATTGGCTTCACTTAGCAGCTCTGTAATAAGAGGACCGTTCTTGCTGCTGGAGAAGAATACTAATTCCTTGTTATAATCTCTCTGAGTTACATAACTTTCTCTCTCTATTTTTTTTTCTTTTTCTTTTCTTTTTTTTTTTTTTTTTTTAAATAACTCTGCACTTGCAAGTGGTTGGAGATCATGTTAATTTATGGGTATTTTGCGAGCGTGCGAAACGAACTCTCTGGCATCTTCTAGAGATGTTACAACTTATAAGTTGACTCGCAAGAGAGTCGAGACTGCCAATCGGGTCCGCTACACCTGGCGCAATAATCCCTAGCCTCGTCGCTAGGCCATTTGGACACTGGACCGACACGCCGATGGGTGGGATTCTGCCGTTGGTACTTTGAAGGAGGCAGATCCCATGGGGGGCACCGCCCCTCAGCCAGAATTCCCAGCCGTCGGCTGCGTAACAGGCGCAGCAGCACGCCATGTCAGGCGAGATTACATGTATGCTGGCTCCGTCAAGGCACGGGTCAAGGCATTGGCCGTTAAAGCATATAGGTCCTCCAGTACATTTAAATGAGTGAGTCACCAAGGTAGCCATGAAATGGATCTTCAAAGATAAATAACATACCTCGTGTCCACACTTGCCACCGTTGTGACTATCAGTAAATATATTCGTACAGGACGCAAAGCAATTTTCTAGCTTCTCAGGAGGGCACAGGCATTAGCTATCAGGGCATGAAGTTCATGCGTACACTTCAAGTCGATCAGTCACCAAGGTAGCCCCTAGAGGATAATGTCGTCAATTTGGACATGGCTTACTTTATTGCCGCATGTACTGTAAATGTTATTTTCTATAGGAACGCACTCTTCATCGCATAGTAGCCGAGTGGGAGGTTATGGAGCCGCAGGGACACGGCTCGTAAGTATCATAAGAGGCATCTAGACGTACCGGCGTTGTTGAGGACCGTGCTGCCACTGAAACACTTGCCTCAGCAGCTTCTTGCCTCTCAGCGTGTTCCAAAGCAGCGTAGGCTTTGTTTGCTGAATTTACACACTGTAACAATCGGTAATGCAGTATAATATTTAACCAGTTTAGTTTCTGTGAGAAATTAGGAATTAACACTAAGGCCGTCTTTATATACTCGGGGTTAGATTAAAACTCCATAAGAATATTTTCCTTTTTTCATATAGGTATATATTATATACATGTACACTATTTTTCCCCCTTTATCGCTGAAATATTTTAAAGCTGCATAGACGTTGCGTCCTACTGGCTTAAGACAATCCTTTACCTTCCTCTATTCTCAAGGCCATGGACAGCGGCAGGATCCTTTCTTGGGTTTGCAGCCTTCTGGAAGAGGCTGTAAAGAATGATAACTTTCTACGTTCAGACGTGACTCTGAAGCCTACGATTGCGCCAACAAAACGCAAGATCGCATCTTGTAGTTGCCTTGCCAGCCCTTCATTTACCTCTAACACTATGGCATCAGCTCAAAAAGACCTCGACCTCGAGTAGAGAGCGTGGATGTGCCGGTCGATCTCGAAACAACACCTCAGCAGGCGGCACATAGCTTGACAGGCCCTTCGGCTTCTTCAGCTGTTCCTGAATCTCTCAAGCGAGGGACTTTCAAGACGGGCTCTACATCAAAATCATCGTTTAAGAAACAAATAATGGGCTCGAGTCTAAATAATGCAGTTGTTTATTCTGAACTCGTGCTATGCACAGCGCCTATTGCTGCAAACAAGTTGTATCAAATTCTGCAAAAGCTCTCAGAATCGAAAATACCTTGCCACATAGTTTTCAACAAGCTATCACTCAACAATGGGCGGTTGCTCAAATGGAAAACTATCAATCCAGGATCGAAGAGTATGAAGAGTTGAAAGACTGTAGGCTAGAAGCTGTACCTGACGATAATTTACCTGGCCGGATTCCATCTCCAGATGAGATAGATGAAGTAGCAAGGAAAGCTTTAAATTAAAAAAACAATCAAGTACACTGCTTGCGAGATTAGCTTTGCAAGAGACAAGTATAAAGTTCTAAGCGTTTCTAACGTACCCAAGGGTCACCCATTGGGCAATCGTCGGCATTAGTAGAACTTGGTGCCATCTTGTTATAGTGCCTGCACGGTGCCTGTATAGTACTAAAGGTGCCTGTACGGTACCAAAGGTGCCTGAATGGTGCCACCTGATTGGACGGTACCGACTGGGTTCTATTACCTGGAACAGTTTCAGCATAGTTCTAATAGCTAGCTTAGTACTAACGCGGTACCAGCTTCTAGCTATTAAGGTTCTAATGCAGTTCCAGCAAGGTGCTATAAGGTTTTAAGCAGTACTAGGTTCTAGATTATAATAGCATTTAAGAGACCTATATTAATAAGATAACCGCTTACTTTTATAAAATATAATAAAATATTATAATAGTTAAGTAAATAAATAATATAAGCTCTTATTTAATTTTTATAAGCGCTTAATAGTAAAAGAAAAAGAAAACTAGGTAAAAGATACTTTATTATAAGTAAAATATATAAAAAAAAAGTATTTCCTTTTTATATTATTCTATAAAGAATAGCACCACTTAAAGCCTAGTTAATACCTACTTGGAACTATACTAGAACTACCTATGCAGGCACTATATAGGTACCGCTTTAGCACTGTTCCAGCTGCTGGAACTGTGCCGTGTGATGGGACAGTACCGAAGAGGTTGTGAGAATTTGGAACGTGCCAGTGGTTACAGGGGGTTCCAGGCGGTACCATAATGCCACTAAATTCCACTACTGGGGCCAAAAGTGACTATCAAAAGCACTGGCAGCGCTGGTGCTGGTGCTGGTGCTGGTGCTGGTGCTGGTACTGGTACTGGTGGTGGGTGACGGGTGCCACCAACACTGCTCGTGGGGTTAGCATGTACGCAAGCATAGCAAGGATAAAATCACGAGGATTTCTGACATACGCCAACAAAATAAGGCCAAGGGCAGCGGCGTTCACCGTTCTGAGGCGCGCTGGTGCTGGTACTGACACTAGTACTGACACTGGTACTGGCGGTGGATGAAGCCGTAACAGTAACAGTGACTGTGCTAGGTATGCACTACTCATAGTTTTAGTTCCATTGAACATGTGTTGTGGGATTGGAATGTTAGAGGTGTTGACTCACGACACCCGTACCGTTCTGGGCCAGCGGGATGGCCGCGGCCAAGGGGAGAAGTGCGAAAAGCATTGGAAGCTGCATCTTGGGCACTTGTTGTAATCGCTTGAGGACGCAAGATCGTGAGTGACAAGAAACAGAATGGGGAAAATGGTCAACTTTATAGAAGAGGCGAGGCTGGAGACTTCGAGATGGATAAGTCTTTGGTGTTTGTACTAGGCAAGTAAATGCCGATGTTTGTTTATAGCACATGTGCATATAGGGCCTGTGTTTGTTTTGTATGGATCGGTGTTGAATCTAAGATCGGTAAACAGCTCCTGAGGGACTGTATGGCGGCCTGGGCGTTTGTAGCGCACTCGTGTTAGTTAGCCGTGCTTCTATTCAATTGCTGTTGAGGTTACCTTTGGGTTCCACTTAGTGGTCATAAAGAAGGACTTATTTATAGGTTCAAAATGACCGCATTCATTGTATTGTTGCAGCTGTTGCCATTGCGATGGCTGGTTTATTCTCATTGGCAGCTTATGATGGAGTTATGCACGCTAAATCTCGCTCACTGGTGAAACTACTAGCCTTATTCATGGGGTTGCGTGAAGAAAGAGTAAATATAAGCGAAAAGACGAGGTCAAAGCATATTCAATTTGATTATTACCTGCATGTATACATTCTATTCTTGATTGTGATGATGACGACGACGACGAGTTGAGATAATTTACCTGTCTAACTATCCTGACTTTGTTGTCACTTAACTTTGCTTTTTGGTTCCCATCACGTAGGAATACACTCATTTCCATCATCTCCAGCCTCTGCAGTATTGTCAACTTTATCCCGTCTCTTCCTTTCTTCTCATTTTTTTCTTCTAAGACTATCCTTTAACAAACCGATGAGAGCAAGAGGGTTCTTCTATAAGTAATTTTGCCAACTTGTCTTTGTGCTCGAATTGGCCATAAAGCTCTCGAATACTGTCTTATCTTTGGGCTTGGCCACTTGACCGTTGCAAAGACTTTATATTTTCTTCATATTTGGTGGAAACTCTGTTCACTGTTTCTTTTCCTATCCAGATACAATTAATACTAAAAACAGTGCTCTTCAGCTCAAACTTTTGAAACATATAGTTTAGAGTGGCAGTGCTACACGCATCTTTATCGCAAATAGATATAAGAGACAACATTTAAACTTAGAGAGATCCCACAGTAACCCTAGTAACCCCCAATTTCTACTTTGGGGGCTGCTGGCAAGCCTGCTAAGCGTACCGGTTTAGAAATCTCATGTTAAGCTACTCTTTACCCAATGATCTTGTCCTTAAAAATCCAGCTATCAGATTCCAAGTAAGAGACAACAGATAGAAACTAGCCTAACGTCTCAATGACTGCGTTGGCGTGTGTATCTATTGAATTATCTTTGAACGAAAAATTGACCCGTGCTAGCCTGCTGCTAAACCCCCCTTACTGAAATCCATACCTACACGTCCCAAACCCTGACCGTCCTGTCTCCCCCCGTGAGTATCCATGAAGACTGTCGACAACAAGCTACTGCGATGACTTGGTCATCATGGCTGGGCGTCGACAAACACTTGCCTGACGCCGCGTCCCATATCTCGGCTGTTTTGTCCGACGACGCCGACACGAGTTCTGTTTGATCCGAGGACCAATCCACGCAAAAGACCCAGTCAGTATGTCTCTCTAGGTCTAAAAGACATTAGGTTAATCCCGAGTCCCAGATTCGGACATTATTATCGTGTCTCGCTGAGGCTATGCGTCTTTCATCAGGTGACCAGCGCGCCCAGCGAGGATCGCTCTTGTCACCTTTAAGTTTTTCTTTTGTCTCGAATGCGGACGAATTCCAGATCTTGAAGGTATCGTTGGCTGACAAGACCTACTTAGAAGGATCATTTGACTAGGCTACTGAGGTGACTGCACCGGCCTCATGACGGTCAAGTGTAAAAATCGACGTTACACACTGGGCTGTTTGGGTATCCCAAATCCTGACGATGTTGCCATACAACCCAGACGCAAGCATCAGTCAGTGTATTGTTCTGGAGGTTGAAGAGAGCAATGGAGAATCATAAAAGGCTTGACTGATATATCACTTTATTTTGTGAGAGCAGTAGCATTAATTTCCTCAAGCTCTATGCGTCAGCGAGAAGTTGTGTGCCAACTTCTCCAAGGCCTAATCATAAAAATGTGTAATTTTCTACAAGTGTAGTTGGTTGTCCCAAATATAACCCTATAATGCAGGTCAAAGTTCCACCATTTTTTATTTAAAATCGTCTCAATTAGGGACAAGGCGGTCTTTCCTTCCTAGTCTTTTTGAAATACCCCTGGACCACCCCCCATTTCCACCCACTCAAAGCCTGTTATACGGTCCATGTCGTTAGTCTGAAAGACAAACTTGTAAGCCCCAATCGCTTGAACATAGCGAGCTCTTTCTGCTTCCTCGTCATCTGTCATGAGATAGGTGAATGTGTTGTAGTGGTAATGCTCCAAGCAATATATCTGATCAGATCGCCCCATGACTTGGAATTTCAGCTTGTCGTCTTCGACGAAAACATCAACAAAAAAAGACTTGGATTTCCAAGAGTATCTTCCTCGGTACTCGCCCAGTGGCTTAGGAGACGTATTTGGAACTCTCGAAGATTCCAGTTCCGCGTTCTGCTCCGAATATCGACGAGATGCTTTGTCCATAGCCTCTCTGGTCAATTCTGCGAAGTCGTGGCCCCCACAACCTCCAAGAAGTCTTTCTAATATCATATTAGCAATGAAATCAGAGCTGTCGCAGGCAGGCTTGGTGTTGACAAGAACAACAACTGCAATACGCGTCTCTGGAAGCAAAATAACGGTCGAAAGAGACCCTGCCACTGAGCCGGTGTGCGCGAAAAAGACCTGAGAGCTTGTGCCTTTTCCGATGACAGGCACATTGCGCAGCAAACCATTGTTTGGCGATTGCACGCCAGGATAACCTGGGAGGAAGCCTTTGACCCAGCCAAGGGCGTATTGGGTGCTCGTTTCTATTCTCTGTTGTCCCATGGTTGTGTGACCTTTGAAAATAGTTCCTATTTGTTTGAAGATGGGGTTCTCGGGTCGTTTTCCATCAATTTCGTCCTTGATGGCGCTTAAGATAGCGTTGTAGTAGACGAGAAGGTCTTTTATCGTGCTACATACGCCGCCGCCAGGCGCCATGATGGTACTGTAATCCATCACTTGTGTTTTGATGGGTATCAGAGACGCATCGTTGCGCCCTATGAACCCCTGTGCGGCATTCCCATCTTCTACCCATTGGGGATCCAGTCTGGTACGGGTCATACCAAGCGGCTGAAAGAAGGCCTTTTGCAATTGTTTGTGAAATTCGACACCTGTCTTCCGCTCAGCCAGGGCGCCCGCGATTGCATACCCCCAATTTGTGTACCTCCAGTCCGTACGCAAAGTAAAACTTGGTGTCATGCCGTTAACCATAGACAACAGATCTGATCTGTTAACCAGAGGCTCTGAGTTGCCTTGATACCACAAAATATTGAAAGTCGGTAGGCCCGACCTCATCGACAGAAGATCCAGTACGGTGCAATTGTTGCCGAGATCCTTGCTTTGAGTTCGAAATTCTGGAATGATGCTTTGAACCGTCTCATTCCAGGACACAATCTTGTCATCCACAAGGGATCCAAATAGTAAAGCCAGCATGGACTTTGACAAAGATCCAATACTATACAGTGTGTCTGCGTTTGCTGTCTTGGTCTGCTCATGATCCATGAAGCCAAAATGAGCATCGTAGAATTCTCCATCTTGGATACACCCAATGGAAGCTCCAGCTGTCCCGGAGATCTTGAGAATTTCTTCAATGGCAGGCCGCAGGGCAGCAATATGCTCGCGAATGGCACTCATTGTCACGTCTGAACAGCCGAACGGTAGCTTTGAAATTGTGCATTACCAGGAAGAAGCAACAAAATTTTGAAAGAGAATCAAGAGGATGGGCATTGCTGAAACCTTACAAAATGCAAATTTTCAGGCGAGCGGGGTTGTCGTCGTTTGATGTCCGTGCAATTCCAGTCTGTAGCCAACTTGGGGTGGTGTGGATGTATGCAGCTGCTTGCAGGTTGGTGAGGTCATTCGGCAGCCAACCCTATACAATGAGCCATCAATGTGAACGATTTGAAAGTTGCTGGGATTAGATAGTGGAACTAAGCCTCAGTAGGCTTGGAAATAAAAAACGCTTGGTGGAGAAGGACCTCGATTTCCAGACGTTTGATCTTTGCTTGAAAGCTCTGTTGGACCATGGGAATACATCCACTGTGCCCAGTGTCGTTTCATCACTTGAGCCTCTGATATCTGTTACAGCAGTTTACTGGAGCAGGGAGTGTAATGGCGCAAGCTGACAAAACAGTACCGCTTGTTTGGTGTTGGAGGTTTGGCTAATGTTTCCTACCATATCTTCCTGCCAAAAGTCCACAAACAGTTTGAAGCAGGAAAACTTGACGTTCAGCGACATACTGAGAATTTCACTGCAGCAGTGTTGCTAGTGCAAGATAAATTATGTAATGTAGTTAGAGTCAGTTCTTTTATACATGAGTTTTCGTTATTCTTGGCCTCGTCTGCAGGATGTATCCATCTGCTGTCGACTAATGTACTTGGCAGGTACTTACTCGTGGGGTCCAGAGATTTCAACCCAAATATTATAGCTAAGGAATGACACACTCCCTGCAAACCCTTATTGAAACTACACGTATGATTGAAGTCTTTCACAGGCCCACAGCCATCATGTCCAATTAGAGCGGCTCCATGACACACTCTCGACATTCCGAAAAAGTTGGCTTCGATCTTTCATTTTCTGAACTAGCATTAACTCGGATCACTATTTACGGCCACCGTAGCATAGGACATGTTAACCAGAACAGGTCTACTCAAGTGTAGGTAATACGCTCTCTGAAGCCGATGTAATAGGTCTCTCGACGATTAGTATATAGCAACCTAGTGAATGCTGTATCAGTATGCCGTCTCTGATTCCAAGATTCCCCTTAATGCTACGGGAGATGACCTGTTAATGCAATTTTTAGCTACGGCTGTATCAGTACAGTTAAAATCGCCCAAAGCCTATAAATTGAACGAAATGTTTACCACCTTCCTAGCCTGTATTCTACCCGTAGACGCTACAATTTTTACATTCGATTTACTCAAGTACCAATAGCGTCGAACTATTTCTCCCAGAAAGCCGCGTCGTATTCATTCATCCAATTCACAAATTCGCTTCCCGCAGTAGCCCATCCCTTAATACCTTCGAACAGAACTAAGCTTTCCATCTCGTTATCGCCACGTTTATCGATATAGTCCCTGAACCAGCCGGCAGCTCGTGAGCCTCGCCCTCGGGATGAAGCTGCAATATCGGGTGGTTAGCAGCAGCCCCTCTTCTTGCATTAAAACTTGATATTATAAGGTGGTCATTTGCGAGAGCCAACTTACAGCAGTACCAGATGATCTTATGGAGTCCAGACGCTTTAAAAAGGCTGTATAGCGTCGGTATCGTTGGGTACAAGCTTTGTGCAGGCAAATTGATAGATCCGCGTATTGAACCTCCCTAAAGAACAACATTACAATTTATTTAATCAGTAACGCAAACTTCAATATCTAACTGCATGATTCTAGATCGGTGGAGTAATATTGCAGGCTGCAGAAGAAAAACGAACCTCGTAATCTGTGCGACGAAGGTCAATAAGAAGAAAGTCTTTGGCAGCGACACTCTCGCTATCTTTCATCATTTGCAACACTGCATCGCGTGTTATAGACTTCAGTTCCACGTCACGAGGAGGCGGGTATACAGAGTGCCAAGGAGCTATGGCGACCAGGTTACCAGAAGCCATTTTCTGAGATAAGCTGCGGATGCCGAGGATTTTGTGAGTTATGAAACCTCTGTTGACGAAAGCTTCAAGTTGGAGTGGCATTAGCAGTAGTTTCATCCTTTTAATCCAAAAGTTAACCGGTGCTCAACCTGAAAAGGTCAGTCAGAGTTGATATTTGTTTGGGCCGAGATGGTGGGAGGAGTGTGTCATACCTTTAATGTGATTGGAGGAACCCACAGTACCTAGCTGAGCCATGCGTAACCAGGTACGGAGTAAAGAAATAGTATTAGAGTATATCCACAGGTTATGTTAGAATATTCTGCTCTTTCCAAGGCATTTATCGCTAGTCTCGTATTATTCATACTATTTGGTGATGAGCGAGTATCTTATAGTCGGAGCATTGCATATGCATATGCAGTCGGCAAAAACCAAAACTTGATCCTTGGGAAGACAAAATACGAAGTTATGCTTTGTAACTTCTTGCCTGCCAACCTTCAACCAACAATTCCAGGATGTCAGGCAAATAGTCAACTCTTACAAGTCCATTTAATATGCATGTATATATATGATAGCGAAATATTAATTGGCTTCATGGGCGAAAGAGTGAGAATCCAGCATCTCCGTAGGCGGGAAGACAACCTGCAGTGGCGCCTCAAAATCTACCATCTCGACGTAGACGCCAGTAATATGGATCCGAAATAACAACGAGTAACTCCGAGCAACATGTTTGGTGCAGAAGGTGGCCTGTAGCCTATACTTTGGGCTGATAGAAAAGCGCAACGATGAGATCCATGCCGCCACTTTGTCAGACTGTGATTTGTCTGAGGGCCCATTTCCGTTCTGATATCCAAGAGTGGGCACGTAAGTCCATTCGAGATTCTCTAATTTCCACTTTCCAGCCTTACGGACGTCGTTGTAGAGCCTCAGGAGCTCACTATCAGTGAGATGAGTCTGGTTACGGAAGCAAGGGATGTCCTTCGCCGAGTAGAATGTTTTAGATCGCAGTACGCGCCCAACCTTGAGAGATATATTGTGCAAATACTGAGCATCGATCGATGCGCGTGTCAAATTCACATGCACTCTGCAGCTAGTCGAGGGAGCGAGAAATGCCGAAGTATAAGCAAGCGTATTTGGTTCTTCAGTGATAACATTCAGTTTTCCTAGGTGGCGCCGCAGAAATGCTTCCATATGGGCCTCCGGAGAGGTTAGCACATAAGTAACACCTTCAAAAAAGCGGAAGCAAAGGCCTTCAATTCTTCTACTCTGATCATCCAAACAAGGTAGACTTTAATCATCATAGAAGATCATGGCCGTACGTAAGCAGGCAAACTCTCCGAGGAGGAGCTCGATGTCTAGGCCGGTTTCTTAATGTACTATAAAGAAAGCTACATGTATGCATTACAGATAATAAAAGCTTAAAAATGGGCTAAAGGAACAAGGCAATTATAAAGGCTAAGAGCTGTTTTATAAGGGCTAACATGCATTATTTTTCCCATCTAATTTATTGCTATTTTATTATAATCTTTTATTAAAGAGTTTGCATCCTTTCGCTGATCTAGGCACTTTTGTAACAGCGATCAGAGACTGCCGGCATACTGGATGGCACACCGTGTTTGACAGCACCAGATTGCCCAACATCTGACTGGTGGTACGAATGGTTGGTTGGCCGTCAACGTAGCAAACCGTGAGGAGCCGTGGCTGAGCTCTACCGGTGCTCAACTCTGAACGATATTGATCCGAGCCCTTAAACAAGAGAACTTTTGCGATAATGGATTCCTACATACGGCACAGATTTACGAGAAGGAGGCAGGAGGCAGGAGGCAGGAATAGGATCAGGAATGCTTGTACTACCTAACAGTCCGTACGACGTCTGAGGTGAGGGAGACTACGAGTGTCTCTTAAATAGGAAGAAGAAAGTCACAACTTTACGTCAAACACTAATCTTGGCCAATGGAGACTATGCTGGCTGGATCCCGAGTAAAAATACAGACGGCTGCAACGGGGGAAATATAAATAGAAGAGGAGCTGGTGAATTATAAGTAGCGTCCTACTTCTGCAGGAATAATTGCTAACCAACCACTTTACTCTCGAAAACATCACGTGAACTCAAGTTGCCCTTTATCTGCGGCCAACTACATCTACTATGCTCTTCACTCTCTTTCAAGCTCTAACGCTCTTGGTCATCAGCGCCATGGCACTATCCCCACGAGACGCCATTCACACAAACGATATCGATCGATATGACACGTTTATCAAAGATTTGGAATTGATGGACGACCATTTCCTCGACATGTACTTGAACAACGGCACGGTCACTATCGACGTCTATCAACACCCTTCGAACGATCTTACCAGAACCGAGCTTTTTGCTCCAAGCTCCAATGCACAGCAATACTTTGACCAAGAAAAGGCCGCTGCCGATGAGATCCTTGGATCGGGATCAGACTCCCAAGGCGACAAATCTTTGGCAGAGCGAGGCCCATGCGGCGCTGGCCCAGGACCGCATCCCGACGCGAGATCCGAGGATTCTGTCGGCTTGGAGAAGCGGCGCTCAAACTGTTTTCAATTCTGCGGCACAATTGCCAACTGCCGCGGAAATAATGGGTGTCCACACTGCTACGCGGTTCGACAAGGCTGTCTTTGGCAGAAATGGTGTCGCTGAGCACAGGCTTGTTTCCTCCTTTCCTCACGGTGGACCAATGTGCGTTGGTTAGGTTTCCGCCGTCTTTTATTTAGCAAAGCAACAAATAAAAGCCCTTCGCAGCCTAACATGTTATAAACTGCATACTACATAGTATCTGTATCTGCGAATACAAATGACGTCAATTTTAATGGCTGTGTTCTTCCTTATGCCTGTAGTACTTTAACTGCTAGTAAACAATTGTGTTGTAATTTACGCACAGCTGTTTCAAGCTTAGTTTTAATACGTTATATACATTTATAATTAATATTGTTATATTGTCATAATACTCTAGTATCCTAAAGTTAATTAAAATTTTATTAATGTTTTAGACGGGCTGTTAGATGTACCAGTATTCACTTCAGTAGGACAAAGTGGTCACTTCACTTTTGCTAAGTGGTCTGTTCACCATAGGCATTACCTCGTCTACTTGCATGTACTGAGACGTCCATTTAACTCCGCATCTGCGGAAAAACCGACGTGCCAACTCAGTCGCCCCCCCAGTTGTAGCCCAACGCGATTCCAACTTGCCATGGCGGTACACGCCGTGCAAGTCTTCAAGCTGGGAATCGAGGCCCAGTTTGAGCGCCTGACAGACACAGAGAAGCGATATTCGCATCACATGGCTCGGTGAGCACCAAGACCTGCAACACATTGAAGCAAAGTGACATGCTCAACGTCCAATCTAGCGCTGCATGGCTTGGAACAAGAATCATTCTCCGACAAGTTTCTCCAGAAGCCTCCTCGATTTTCGACTTCATCATTGAGCTCCATCGCAGCTGCTCCGGTAACTGGAATTTGCTCATTGGGAATGAACTCGACAGCGTTGAACTCCAAGCCTTGTTAACATACATGGCGACGTTTCTGTCCAACGTTGGGAATTACTATGTACGTCTAAAGTGGTCAGATCACTGCGGCCACGTATATTTCTGACCCCTATAGGGCTCCGGTGACCAAAAGTTTATCCCCAATGTGGATAAGTCTCTTCTGCACAAGCTGGCAGCAAGATCCACGGTATTAGAGAAATTGTATCAGAACATGTCCAGGGATGTAGACGCCCTGCCGCCTTTTCACCTCGGTTTCCCAAGCGACACTGCTCAGAGCAGCTACTATCCTGGGGATACCGTTAGTGAATCCGATGCAAACACCGTGTCCAAGATTCTAGAGCAGAATGCCATCTTTGCTGAAAACACAAGACTTCAAAAGACCAAAGATGGATTTGATGTCCTTATTGCATCGGTTGAAAGTGGTGTCGCTGCTCAATTTCCTCTGCCGAATGGCCAGAAAGGGCATGTGAGGCTTGTCAAGGGAGACCATTCGTCTGACCTTCAACGCATCTGCGCTGAGTTGAAAGAAGCATCTACATATGCGGCCAACGAGTTACAGAGAAATGTCATTAGTGCGTATATCGAAAGCTTTGAAACAGGCAGTCTCGATGCGTACCGCAAATCGCAACGCCTTTGGGTCGGGGATAAAGCACCGAGGGTGGAGAATATCTTTGGGTTTGTTGAGCCGTATCGTGATCCGCAGGGCATTCGGGCAGAATTTGAGGCCTTGGTTGCTATTTCAGATGATATGGAGACTTTGCTTCTTACCAAACTAGTTGACAATTCGGCAAGATTTATTCGCCGGCTTCCTTGGGCAACGCCCGAAAATGATGGTAAAGGACCGTTTGAGAAGAGTCTATTTGAGCCGCCAGACTTTTCGAGCATTCATGGTGAGTGGTAACATGTCAAGTTGTAAAGCTGACCACTAAAACCCTATAGCTCTGGCGTACTGTTCGAGCATCATCTTCCCAGGAATCAATTTACCCAATGTCAGTTCAAATGCCTAACCCGTTGATCTTGTCATCGTAGCGTTCTTTCACCGAAGCTAACCCTTGACTATAGTATAACGACATTCGCCAAGAAGACGGGTTCAAGAATGTCATCATCTCGAATCGCATGATCGCTGAGAGCCAAGCAATGCAGTATCCCTTCATAGAAGAGTCCGAGGCTGAACAATTCAAGAAGCATAGATTTCAAGCCTACTACTGGTGGGTTGTGCTCCATGAGCTGCTGGGCCATGGCACAGGGCAGATGATGGTTGAGAGCGCCGATGGTGTGTTCAATTTTGATGCAGAGAACCCGCCTATTAATCCTCTTGATGGAAAACCCATTTCAACCTGGTACAAGCCAGGCCAGACTTGGACCGGTCAGTTTGGCGATTTAGCAACTACAGTTGATGAATGCAGGGCTGAACTCGTTGGTGCCTATCTGATGGATGATCCAGAGCTTCTCGCCCTGTTTGGCTTCACGGATAGTTCTGACATTTGCGCTGAGGATTGTACGTCGGTATAATGTGGGATTCTGAGAATTTAGCAGCACTAACGCGGCATTTATAGTAACGTACAACCTTTATTTGCAGCTAGGCGTTGACGGGCTACGGGGATTATCGAATTATAATGTGCAAAGCAATGTGAGTTGTCATTGGGACTTGATTGAGCGCAGAGGCATTTTGTTGACACATCTACCCGGCAGAACTGGGGCCAATCTCATAGTCGGGTAAGTATCAGTCGTAGGATATAAAATCCTGTGTTGTTGGCTAATACTTGCACAGGCACACTTTGCCATATTGAAGTGCTTGCTTCAAGATGGCGGTGGCGTCATAACTGTCACCCACAACAAGCTCGAGCAAAGCTTGAAAGTGCGAGTGGACCGATCCAAGATTCGGACTCACGGGAAACCTGCGTTAGGCAACATGCTTTTGCATCTGCACATGTTTCGATGCACAGCCGATGCCCAAGGCTGTCGAACATACTACGAGAAGCTATCGAGGGTTGATGGCGAGTATATTGAGTGGAGGGAGACTGTGCTCGCGACTAAACCTCCTCCACTTATTTTTACACAGGCAAATACCTTTCTTGACGGTGACACTGTCACCTTGAAGGAGTACGAACCTACCGTAGAAGGCGTGATTGCAAGCTGGGCAGAAAGGCAGGTTTGAACAATGAAGCGCGGTCTATCATCATGAGTTCAGCGGGATAAAGAAGGGCTTTCCGAGGGGTGTGGGACAGAAACCATTATCGCATTCTAGACCACTCTTTTGCACATGATTATCTCAAGTTTCTCCTAGTTCTAAGTTGCAACATTCCCCGAGGTATTGCGTGCAGTAATATGACAATGTCAGCTACTTACTAGGCTCTTCTTTCATCCCCTGGACAAATTGCAAAATCTGAAAGACTGTCTGCAACACACCCAAGAGAATACTTGCCGACCCGAAAATCAATACACTCCAGAACGCGATCCAAGCCGTAGAGTCACGCTTATCTTGCCAGAGCTGCAAGATTGAGCGAGGCCGCTTGCTGGATGCATAGCTGTTGAGCAGCACCATTCTACTCCGCAAATGCGGAAAGTCTCCAGCCATATCGTATTCCTCCCGCTCAACGAGTGTAATTGGGCACCTTGTTTTGCCACAAATTGATGACAGGAACTGGTCGTGTCCTTGGCTCGGTATACCTGCGAATGGCTGCAGCTGGCGGAACAAATGTCTTGACTGCCTGCTCTGACCAAAGAGCAGGCGGTACGAAAGCAGTATCTCTTCAAGTAGCTCCATTATATCTTTTTCGCTTGCCCACGGAATAGTACCTGTTTCCTGGAGGCCGCAGCGACGAATAACGTCATCCAGCTGTTGTTGTGTACTTGATTGCCTTCGACGTTGAAGTGTCGATACACAGAACGAGGGGTATCGGTAGAGAAAAAGAGTACCAGAATGCCTATCCAACTCTAGGTGGCAAGAAAGAGAGTCGACCCATTGAATTCGGACACCGCAGACTTTGGTCAAGACGTGAGCATTGAGGTCTTCGGGGGTGATTGCTTTGGTTTCTTGGAAAAGCTTCTTATCATCTGGGGTATCGAAGGAACAATAATCTCGAGGTGGGAGCATGAGGCCAAAACCGAGGAGAAAGCTTGGTAGGTCTTGTTTGCACGAGTGCGGCAGTTGAACGAGGCAGACTTGTGCTTCGCCGCAGTATCCGTCCGTTTCGTCGAGAATAGCGAAATCTCCGGTTGTGCAGGATGACAGATTGGGCTTGTAGAGCATTGTTTGCCATCCTATAATCGCAAAAACGAGCTGCTTGGCTGACTGGTAGGCTTCGTGATTGTCGTTGACGGAGAGCATACCGAGTCCAACAAGCGCATCCGTGATGCCATCAATGGTTGCTGGTTTTTGTGCTACTACAAGATCCTTAACGCTCTCTAATAACGGTAAGAATTCTGAATCCCAGTTTGAGTCGTCATCTCTGTTCATGTTTGGCAAAGCCAACAACAGGCGCTGCGGCTGGTCGCGGATTTGCTGGTAGAGCCACCATCGGTACCACGGAAGTTCAATGAGAGAAGCGTCTGAAGAGGTTTCAGCAGATACTGCGCTCCTTTTCCAAACAAAAAAATCCATCTCGGGAAGGTACACAAAAAATTCCAATTGGCAGAATCCGGACAAGTCGACAAGACATATATGCTACCGATGCTGACCAGTTGCATGGATTGCACTGAAGGACGACAAGAGATGGCAGAGGTAGCTCAATGGAAAGAAAGGATAGGGCGGATGCATTCTAGGCCATGTTGCACAATGGATATGTGGGTAGGTGTTTTGTGCTGTACACCCGATATTCGAATTGTTTCTCTGAATAGTGTCTGTTACCGGGGAGCGCTTCCAACCTCGTCGGTGCGTTTGGCTGAGGGAAGCGCTGGTGGCTTGGACCAACACAGCCTGGGATCTTATCCGTGATATTCCATTGGAGCACGTATCCTTTGTGCGACCTTGAGAGATCACCAGGCGGGTTTCCAGGTTTCCCCGCTTTGCCCGCGTTTCAAGGCAACATTCAATGGTGAGTGTTAAAGAGTCATTTCTTCTTACACTTCACTGTGGCGGCCACCGAACAAGCCATCATACAAGCAGCAATGGCCGAACAGTGAGTTTTGCCCCCCTAAAAACTCTCGAGTTGCACTGGACGTTGAATGCTGACACATGTTGATTCAGGCGGACCTCGAGCCCATTGTGGCACAGAGCATTGGAAAAGTACCGTGAGGAATTGCAGGCAGCAGCCGACTACCAGGACGTACAAAAAGTGCACACCCTGGATCAGCTGATAGCGTCGGTTTCTGCAATCCAAGACTCTGCCCCAAACATCTACACCGGAGTTCTCTCTCTTAAGAGACTTGCGCCAAGGCTCAAGTTTGTTGATGACTTCTCTGCAGTCCTGGCCCTCTGCTTCGGTGCTGATGCAGCCTTGACCGCGGCTGTCTGGGGCAGCATCAGGCTGATTCTTTCGCACGCGGCGTCGGCCGCGGATACCTTCCAGGATGTACTTGATATGCTGGAAGAGCTCAGCTTAACACTCCCGCGGCTCCACGTCTACGAGCAGACATTGCCAATGAATCGCCGATTCCAACAAGCCTTGTTGGATGTCTACAGCGACATCATCTGCTTCTACGCCAGAACCATTCACTTCCTGCGCAGCAACCCTCATCCAGTCTTAAGAAGGAATGCATGGCAAACGTTTCACAATGACTTTTCACGGACAAATATGCGTATCAAACGCATGTCATCCATCGTCGAGGGTGAAGCTGAATCCGCCAGAATGCGGAAAGATGAGACTCATTATAAAGAAGTGCTGACGCTCTTGAGCTCCATGACAATTAAGAATACCAGCGACTCTAGACGAGACAAGTACAACAATCTTCCATTCAGTGCCAATGCGAAGTTTAGCGGCCGCGAGGACATATTAGCGGCTATACGCTCGGCCCTGAACCCAGAAAGCCAAGCGTCACTTCCAAAGTCCATAGCCTTGTTTGGGATGGGCGGTGTTGGAAAAACACAGATTGCCACTCAATATGCATATCTCGAGCTGGAATCATTCGATGTTATCTTGTGGATATCAGCTGATAATGCGATATCCATTGGACAAAGCTTTCGCACAATTGCTGATGGACTGGGCTTGCTTGAAAGCGATGATGAAAGGAAAGACGTCGCGGTAGCCATGTACAAGGTCAAGAAATGGCTTGCTACAACGAGTTTGTTCTCACACGCCAGCACTTAATCGATATTTTGGCTTTTATCTAACTCTCGGCTGTAGCCTCGGCGTTTCTTCTGGTGTTCGACAATGCGGATGATCTTGCTGCTGTGAAGACGGCTTGGCCAACCTCTACCCGTGGCTCAATACTGGTAACAACACGAGATCTCATAATCGCCACGTCTCTGGTGACAACTTACGCCTCTATTGAGACTCTTGACGACGATGATGGCAGTCGGCTGCTTCTGAAGGCGGTTGACCTCGACAATAATTCCCTTACCGAGCAACAGCAGACTGCCGCCATCGCCATCGCCAAAACTTTTGACGGACTGCCTTTAGCTCTTACACAGATTGGTGGGTTTATTAAACAGCGAAGATTGTCCTTGACTGAGTTCTTGCCGCTTTATGAACGTAATTCCCCTAAAATCAATGCTCGCAGAGCCCCTGGGAGTGATTACGAGCACACTTTGAGTTCGGTGTGGAATGTTTCCTTTGAGAGATTGACGGAGAATTCCACTCATTTGTTAAATTTGCTATCCTTATTCCACCCTGATGGTGTCTTCGAAGACATTCTATTGCAAGGGTCTGAGAATATAGGTGAAGAATTTGCCTTTCTGTCCGACGAAATGGAGTAAGGTCTCCTTCTGTTGCACCAACGAAATCTGAAACTATACTTACATCACATATTTAAAGCGTTGGTGATGCCTCCGAGGAGCTTCTTCGCGGAGCTCTCATCAATAGATCAGGCGCCCCCGCAATTCTATCAATGCATCGTCTAGTGCAGTCAGCGGCTCGGAATAGGGTCGATGCCAAACGAACCGCGAAATACTTTGATGCCGTGGTTCACATGCTATGCTGGGGATTTCCAGATCACTCAAGCACAGATATATGCCACCAGATTTCAGCCTGGGCGCGTTGCGAGAAATGTCTTCCACACGTGTACAACTTGGTGCTGCTTGCAAAGCACCAAGGGAAACATCCTGATGACGGACAGCAATATGCTAAACTCTTACTCAGATGTAGCTGGTAAGCGCATATAGTTAATCTGGTATCATTTTTGCTGACGATTCGTTTATGTAGGTATCTATACGAACGGGAAATGTACATTGTTGCCAGGGGAATGATAGAACAAGCCATCTCTATTTTCGAGGACACTAATAGTCTGGAGTATGCCAGCGCCATTGATCTAGGAGGTCTCATCGATTTGGACTTGGCTCAGCCTTCCAAAGCCTTGGTGCCCTTCACACGGGCATTAGAGATACGCAAGGCCAAACTTGGCTTAGAAGACCCATTCATTGCCTACAGTCTGAACAATATTGCCCTAGCGTATACTGAGATGGGTGAATTGGATCACGCTTTTGCAGCCCACCAAGAAGCAATTCGTATCCGCTTTCAAGCTAATAGCGACAGAATCGGCAACTCCTACAGCAACCTGGCTAGTCTGTTTCTACGCATGGGTCGCCCCGAAGAGGCAGAAGAGACTCTTGCCAAATGTCCATCTTTGAAAGACTTTACAGATGACACTTTTCTCAGCACTGGCAATCCTCGTTTCTCGGGCGATATGGTCTTGTTATCTCGCATTCGCCTAGCGCAGGGACGATCAACTGATGCTTTGAGACTAGCATCGAAGGCTCTTGACTTTCGTCGAAGGTTGCTTGGCAACCGACTTAAAACATGCGATTCTGAATACGATGTGGCATCCATCTTGTTGAATGAGGGTCATGTAAGCTCAGCGATGTAAGTGGTCTGATGTTTGTGGTGGAGTGGGTGAATTCTTGGACTAACCGATTAGGCAATTGCTCCAAGAAATTGTCGACATATCTGAGACATTTGCCGAGGGAGATGGTCAACGGGCTCGCGCCCTATACAAACTTTCGGAAATCTATGCAAACCGGGATATGTTGGCAGAATCAACAAGTTGTAGAGAAAAGGCAGTAGCTTTACGGTCTGCGCTACGACCGGATCTTGTGGACTCTCCGTTTGAGGAAACAGAGTTTTCGAGGCTGTGCTTATGGATGTTGTGGTAATACCTGAACGAGAGCCTCTGTAGTAAAGTAGTACTAATTAAATAAGAATGTTGAATTTTATTAAAACCTTTCCGAAGTCTTGAACTAGCAACAACCGGTAACTTCTTATCAAGGTCTATTACCTCTTCTGTTTTGCCTCTCTACAATCTAGAATTTTCTGTCTTGAACAATTAATACTTGGAAAAATATTCATGAATACTTATATATTCTTGCTTTCATAAAGAAATGCAGTCATGCCAACTAGTTCTTTTAGACTAGTGTGATTGTCTTCTCCGGTGATAAAATCCCAGGCCAAACCGTCTTGAACCACTCTTCTTTCTTTGCCTGTGTATCGTGCGTGATGGTCACTAGGCCGAGTCTTTCAAAAGTCTCGGGCTGTCCCTTGACTTCCGTCAGCGCCAGAAAGGCATCTGCATTGACCCTCCACGCGCCCGTACCTGTTCTTTGCTTTCTCTGTGCTTCAAAACGAGGTATGTGTAGTAGATGGCACGGAGCCAGCTTGCACATTCCTTTGCCAATGCATGAGAAGAACCCGTATCGTGCCGTATCATCGACCAAGGCATCGGCAGAGAAGCCAATGCTTGCGCCCATCAGGTCCAGCCGTGGCTCTGAGAATTCGCAAGGCAGCCAGTCTTGTTGCGGAGCAGGATTACTTCCGTTCGTGTATAATGTATAGTCTGAGCGTGGAAGGCCTCCTCCGCGGCTCCTCCGGGCCGGTGTGGTACATCCTCGACAGCGAATACGCCAGAACGTGCGCCCCAGAGAGGCTTTGAGACGGATAAAGCCAGAGGCTACCCGGCCAAAGTCATCTTGCCCAGCGAGGACGCACACTGCAGCTTCGATTTTTCCCTCAAAGGAGCTTGATAACTTCATCCTGGGGTTGACAAAGACCAGCCCAGATGGCGAATCAATGCTAGCCCACGACCAAGAAGGCGCTCTCCAGGCATCACCTCGCGGCCGAGGCTTTGAGAGTGGCGCCCTCACATACCATAGCAATCCCTCCATCAATGTGCTCCGCCAAATACCTGCCAAGTAATCGCCGCCCAGGTTCTTGGCAAGAATCCTTGCAGTTGCGGAAAGCGCGGGAAGCTTGTCGGATCCCTTGGTCAGATTGAGCTTCGCATACGTCTCGACGACTTCGGTCCAGTTACGATAGGCAATGTTTGCAATGTCCTGGTCGACAAGGCCGCCGCCATGCCCGTACGGCGTCAACTCTGCCGGCCCCTTTAGCCTCCCAACATTCAGGCCTCTTGGGGCTGGAACGAAATGCGGTGCCACTCGGCTGGAGCCACACTCGCATTGGAGATTCTGCTCACATCCAACTTGTAACTCTGACTTATTGCAGTAGAGAATCCGTCGGGACAGCATCCGTTCTTGATAGACCCATGCACGGCTGAATAAAGGGAAATGGTTGAGGAAGACTTGCTCATTCGTGCTTGTATTATTCTTTCCAGCGCCGTGACAATCCCGAATACCGATATATACATCTCGCTGCGTCGCCTCCTTTATCGCTATACAGTGATCCGGGGTCGTCTTAGAGAAGCATCCGCCAAAAGACCCAGGAGATGCCGATGCCGCTATGGTGATGTAACTGTTGCGGTAAATATCCCCCATCTTGGTGGATTCCACTTCCCAATCGCTGAGAGAATCTTGGATAATGCAAAGCGAGTCGATCCAAAGATATTCTATACACAGATTTCGACATAGAGTCACTGCGTCTTGAAATGTCCTGGGCAATTTCCCCCACGAGATCGAGTCGCGGTATTCATCAATGGTTGATGTCAATGTTTTCGACTGTATCAACGTTGGATCGCCCCAGCAGTGGGACAGGCAGGCATATGTTCCCGTCATACCTTCAGTCGTTACTAGTTTGATTCCGGAACCAGCAGTAGAGTGATTGTTGTTGATTTCAGGTATATGGAGGAGTCTTTTAGGAAGGGCCACGTTCCGCCCAGAGCCACACTTATGGTGACTAGATTCACATTGCTGTATAAGCTTGTATGCTCGATTGAAAGACGTGGAGGAAGATGTATCTCCGGTTATAATGCCTGATGGAGGCATGCCGACAACTCTCATCTTTGCGCCTATCCATACGTTAGCCAGCCAGCAAGCCCAGCTTACACTCATTACGTCTCTTAAAATACGCGAGTTGTGCATCAGAAATCTTCGGCGCAAACCTCTAGGATAAAAAAATTGAATCCGTCGGAGATTCTCGTTTTTCAGCATCACCTCGAACGTGAATTGTGCTCCGGCCCATCTGAGATACGCCTCAGCCGGGCCTGGTTCCGGGTAGGCCTCGAACATTGCTGACAATAGAAGGACCAGGAATTTGCACCCTCTGCACCCATGGCCTGCCGAAGCAGCAACGTCTTTTAGTTGAAAAGAGCTGCTCGGAAACGGAGACGCTTTGCGCTGTCTGGTGAGAAGTTGTTAGCCAAGGGGTTGTAATGCTTCAATGTATTCAAAAATATTTCTATGCCGGGATTTTGTGGGTAACTTGCGCAAAATCCGAAGGCTTGTGGCAGTTTATCTTGCAGTCTGATGCATTCGATGCCGAATAGTCAATATCGTATTGATCGGCCGTCTTATAACTTGCCATATTGATGACATCTTGAATGGATAGTGTAATGGCTTCCATCCCCATCACAAATCTGAGAGGATGGGCTTATAACTGGACTGAAGATCAGAAGAGGCGGGGATCAGGACAAAGGAATAAATGTCCCGCAGATGGCTAATATGACCCTGTAACACGTAATTAGTAATAGAATTGAATATAAACATAACAAAAAAGAGGAGTTATATATATATTGAGGTTGTAATTGTATTGCTTTAATAAAGAGTATTTAATAGTAATATTTTTTTATTAAAAAGAAAGCATTTATTTTATATGGTAATACGCTAGAAGATGCACATCTATAGTCCCAATCTTCACTATCTACCCATTTGATTTAGACATTTATGCCATTAATTTAGAGGAGTGTCTTTTCTTCCACCATGCGAACGTTTGGCCAAGTATTACCGCCTTGATAAAGTGATGAGTCGGAGTCTAAGCAAATAGTATTGACCGTGTTAACATAGAATCTAGCGGTATGATGAACTAGTCCGGGAGCCAAGAAGACATGCCGCAGGGTCTCTGTTATTAATGGTGTAGAACACAGGCGCAAAGAATATCTAACCGCCCTCAACTTGTCATATATAGTATACTAAGACGCACCACAACTGACTGAGAACAAATCCCTTTTGTAGACCACTATTAGCGAGCTCTTATTTTAAGCATGAATGAGGAAAACTATTAAAGTGCCCGAGGTAATCATTTAGGTGAGTCTAAACGGTTCGCAAAACCCAGCGCTGCTGCGACTGTCCGTTCCTGCTCCACTGAATCAAGGTAGCACCATTAGTTGAGTTGGAGGCTCCATCTAGGTATTTTCCACTGGCTGCATTCTGGATCAAGTAGCTACCATCCGTCTGCTTCTCCATGACCCAGCGCTGGTTCTGGTCTCGGTTACGCGACCATTGGACCATGGCAAGGTTGTCATCAGCTTGTCCGTTGGGACAGTCAATGGCCTTGAAGCTTGTCATGCTGAGGATGTTCCAGGTACCATCTGAGTTCTGTGAGAACTGCCATCGCTGGTTCTGGTTGCCGTTGTAGCCCCATTGCTTGACCGTAGCACCCTCGGTGGCCCCAGTGTTCCCGTTATCGATCAGCAGGCCCGTCTTTTGATTTGCAATGTAATGCAGACCTCCAATCTCTGATGGCATGGTGGATGGTGTGTATTGGAGCCAGGCAACCGCACTGGCAAATTTGTTGGCAACATATGAGTTATTCACTGCAGTGGCTTGGTCCCAGGCGTTGGCCGTGAGGCCGATGTCAGGCCGCCGGTTCTTCATGATGGCATCCGCGTTCTGCATAAACCAGGGGTAGTACTTGTCCCATAGCTGATGGTTTTGAACAAATCGTCCCGCCCCCCGTGCAACCTCGTCGGCCCAGGTGTTGAGGTTTGGGTCGGGGTTGCTGAATATTCCGTTGGAGGTCAAATGGTTCTTTGCATAGTCGATGGCTTTCTGCGCGATGGCCTTGACGCTGTCATCGCCTGTACACTCATAGACGATGGCAGCGAAGTCAAGAAATGTGCCCTGGTTATACGCCGCTGACGCCTTATCTAATGTGTTGTCCGGACGAATGCCCCTATAAATTTGCCCGGTCCCGACGTCGTAGATGTGGCTTTGAACCCAGTCAAATATCTGGAGGCATTTGGACAGATACGCCTGATCGTGGGTAGCTTGGTAGATGAGACAGGCTACTTTTCCTAGACTGTCGTTGGCCAGAGCCTCCTTTAGGAGCTCTTTGGGGTTGCCCTCGGGATTCTGCTCCCAGATGCCGCCTCCATTGTATTGGGTATCCCAGCCGCGCGAGTAGGCAAGGTCGAAGCCATACTTGGCATTGGTCAGGAAGTTGGCGTAGCCGGTGATGAGATGACCGCGTATGAGAGCCAAAGTAAACCATCCGATGTCATCGTTCCACCAATCCCACGTCCATGGCGGCGGGACCTTTGCCAGCCAGGTGTTGAGTAGGTCGTAGACGAGGCCTCTCAGATTGGGGTCGCCAGTGCGTTCATAAGCATCTTCTGCGACAAGGATATCCAAGCTTCCTGTCCAAGTATCATCAAAACTGTTATCATTCAGTGCCGCCCTATAATATACATCACCCCCAGATCGAATCAGAAGCGCGTTGTTCCATGAAGTGAACAACGCATCAGCATCCCCTGATTGGATGGCTGTGGTGGGCTGGGCATTAAACAAGGCGAAAGCCCAGAGCAGGGACCGTACGGACAAAATCGCCATTTCAGATCAAAGGGTTGATTTGAGTAAACTAAACTTTGGCGATTTGATCAAGACTAGACCACACTCACCCTGAAAGATCCCCCTATCCCCTTTATAAACATCTTCCATAAAAAGGTGATGCCTATATCTAGTCGTGTAAGTGACATTTTAGTGCCTTACAGTAGGGCTAAATTCCGAAGGATGGCCCCGATGCTACCTGCCATTGCATGCAAAAGCAGGGGTAGCTACAAAAGTCAATTCCTTTTCATCTTCTTGTAGGTATTGCTCCAGGCAACAGCCTTCCATATTTAGAAGGCGATACAGCCGTCGAAGGCCGCCTTAGGCCACGCGATTGACTTACATTTAGATAAAGCGCCGACGCCAAGCATTCGAGAGGCTCTAGCCGAATCATTTGCCGGGCACAACGAGACCATTGGGTAAGAAAATGTCATTCTCTTGAATATAAAGTCACTTACCCTGTGTAGATAATTTAGAGGAGGATTCCTCGCACATGCTGATGTGCGCCTTGAACTCCCCGCATGTCAATTGAATAAACATCCATCGTGCTGACAGGATCAATTGGTAACATCAATATCAAGCCAATGATGTGATCACCTTCCTCGCAGACTAGTATTGCAAGGAGTAACAGCCTACCCAGGGATCCTGTCTGCCTTCCCACCACCGTTTGTGCTCCTCTTCACCACCACGCCGAAGCTGCCTGAGACTAGTAACCCATGTCCCTCTGGATGGACATGTTTGTCATCCGACACGTTTACTCAAAGACTCAAAGGGCGTGCGGACCCCACTGCCGCTACTGCAGTCCAAGCCCCTGACTTACAGCAGTGCCGCCGGACTTGCTCCACGAGGCTCTCGAGTCTGGACCGCCTAAAGAAGCAGGGTTGGATGTGACCCATGCGGTGGTACATCTAGCGCACAGTTTGTAACCACTACTACTTCCATTGTCTCGCTGGTGCCGCGGCAAACCGACAGAAATGGCTGTAGGCCTCGCTCTTCATCATTCTTCTCGTCGATACAGATAGCATCAATCCAAAGTGAGGGTTGGTCTTGTGCTTCACGCAGCTGCGCTAAAGTTTCGTAAAAATTCTGGCCGACGGCAATGCGCTCACCGTCGGAAGATATAAAGTATTTCAACATATCATATTGACTATCAGAAGGATGTTACCCATCTACTGGGCTACATAGAACCTGTTTCCTGCAATAGAAGATTACGAAAGCCGGGGGTTATTTTATGAGGGTCAACATATATTATCTTTTCCTCCTTATACGTAGCTCCTGTGGATCGCTATAGAATGGTCACGCTGCAAAAAGAAACCTCATTAGATCAATGCATCGAGTGAAGTACAGCCTAGTCTATATCATGCTCATTATAGTAGGTACAGTGTACTTCCAGGCAAGGTCTTTTTTTCTCTCATTTTGCCTGTTTTCCGGCAGGTTCTATACCTAGCAGATTTCACTTTAGTTTGATATACTCGTGAGTCGATCTGGGCGGCTTCGAGGCTGGAGGTGCTTGCTCGGGTGTCACTCGCCTTGCGGGCACGCTGCGGTATCGGGTACAAGTAGTATGTTTGTTCGCATTGAAAGATGTGGCCCCAGTTTTTGAGTGAGCCATCCGCAAGTTGGATTGTTATCGTGTTGGAAACGACTGTGGTTGGCCTGGAAGCGATGCTACGTCTTATACACCTGATTCAGGTATCTTTGCCGTATCTCTGCCGTGCATTCAAATTGCTGCGAGTTGCAGCCCTGCCTAACCCCGCTCAATCCAGCCCAATGAGGCCCAATGCACAGCAGCATCAAGATAGCTAGCCTTCTTGATATGTTCTCTCCCAAGTCTTTCAACATCACGCTTTCTCGACGTCTTGAGGGATCCATTTTCTCCATAAGCGTGCAAACTTTAACCTTGGTATTACCCAGGTGTATAAGATCTATACGAACCTTGGACATCTTAAATTACCCCATCCAATCTATCCGTGCAAGGTTCCAGCCTACAATTAGAACATGTCGAACCCTGAAGACTATACGGTTGGATGGATCTGCGCTATAGCTACCGAGTATGTTGCTGCGCGGGCCTTTCTCGATGAGAAACACGATGGACCGGAATACGTTTCTCTGAATGATAATAACGATTACACACTGGGCCGGGTTGGAAAGCACAACGTTGTTATTGCTGTATTGCCCGACGGCGAGTACGGCACAGCTTCTGCAGCAATTACTGCAAGGGATATGCTGCATAGTTTCCCTAATGTCAGAATCGGTCTCATGGTTGGCATTGGCGGCGGCGCGCCAAGCAGAAAGCATGATATTCGTCTTGGAGATATTGTTGTTAGTTCTCCCCGCAATAGGGAGAGCGGCGTATTCCAATACGACTTTGGTAAAACGATACAGGACCAAAGCTTTCAACATACCAGATTCCTCAACCAGCCACCAATAGTTTTGCGAACAGCGATAAACGGATTAAAAACTGAATACAAGGAAGACGGCCATCAACTTGATGAAGCTATAACTAGTCTTCTTGAAAATAAGCCAAGATTGCAAAAAGAGTTTAAGCGGCCCGACGCAAGTAGCGACAGGCTTTATAAAAGCGACGTTATCCACGTGCACTCAGCGGATGAAATAGGCTGTGCAGCTGTTTGCGGAAATGAGCCATTGAACTTTGTACCCCGGACTGAACGGGTAGAAAGCGATGATAATCCTGCTATTCATTACGGCACAATTGCTTCAGCAGATCAGTTAATGAAGGATGCAATAATAAGAGACAGACTCGCAGCGGAGAAGAATGTTTTATGCTTTGAAATGGAAGCGGCAGGGTTGATGAATCACTTTCCCTGTCTAGTCATCCGTGGTATTTGCGACTACTCAGACTCACACAAGAATAAGGATTGGCAAGGATATGCGGCTATGACGGCAGCTGCATATGCAAAAGCTCTTCTTTATCGAATAGCTCCAAATAAGGTCGAAGCTGAAAAGAAGATCAGCGTTCTGTCCGGTAATTCCAAGGCTTTGAAATTTATACTTTAGCATATATTAATATTATATATAGGTCTTTATGAAGTTGCTCGAGAGCACCGGGATATTGCAAAAGAACAACTTAGATCCCAGAAAGCTTTAGCCGAAGAAAGGCTATCTGAAAAAGAGCAAAAATGTCACCAACTATTCCGTCTCACAGCCAGTGGCAAGGATGACGCCACATATGAGTGGTACAAGGGCCGAGTGGAAGAAAGGGTTGAAGGCACATGCCTTTGGTTTCTCAAGCACGAGTACTTCCAAACGTGGTTGAAACAGGAGTCAGGTCCACTGCTAGTTACAGCAGATCCTGGTTGTGGAAAGTCGGTGTTGGCAAAGTACTTGATCGACCACGAGCTGCCACAGCAAGGATCAAAAATCATCTGCTACTTCTTCTTCAAAGATCAAGACCAGAATACTTCCCGTCAAGCACTATGCGCACTGCTCCACCAGCTCTTCTCCCAGAAGCCCCATTTAATTAAGCACGCTATGCCGCAGTTTTATAAAAATGGGCAAAATTTAATTAACTCTACAGACTCGCTCTGGAAGATTATACAGGGCGCCATAAAAGATCCTGAGGCTGGACCTATAATTATAGTCCTTGATGCCTTAGATGAGTGCGCTGAATCCGAGTTCGAAGACTTGATGCGGAATATAAAGAGTCAATTCCATAGCGACTCTTTAAGTCCTGGGAAGTTGAAATATCTTTTATTATGCCGCCCCTACGAGCAGATTATATGCAACTTCCGCAGCCTGTTAGATGCCTTTCCAAAAATCCATATACCAGGAGAGGAACAGTCTGAGACAATCAGCCATGAGGTGAATTCGGTTATTGAGCACCGTGTCATTCAACTATCAAAGTCAAAGGATCTTTCGCCGTTAATTACAAACCACTTGGAGAAAAAACTAAAGGAGACTCCTCATCGCACTTACCTCTGGTTATACCTTATATTTGATTATTTGGAGAATAAAATCTTCAAGAAGACACGACGGGCAGTTGAAGAACTTATTAAAACACTCCCAAAAAGCGTTAATGAAGCATATGATCAAGTTCTTAACAAGTCTGGGCAACGTCTACTGGCTAAGAAGGCCTTAAGCATTATTTTAGCGGCCAGCCGACCACTTACATTATCGGAAATGAATGTTGCTATGAATATAGATGAAGCGGTACAAACTATTTACGATCTTGATTTGGAAGACGATGCTGCCTTCAAGTTACGGCTTAGGTCTTTATGTGGATTATTCATCTCAATATATCATGGCAAGATTTATTTTCTTCATCAAACCGCTCGAGAGTTTCTCCTCGCAGATTTACAATTGCCTACAACTGTTTATCACCCATCAGAGCTGAAGTGGCACCAATCTATCACCACTCAATACGCGCAGACAGTTCTTGCAGAGCTTTGTGTAATCTATCTTGACCTGTTGAACTCTGATACTAGGCTTTCAACACATGCAGAGAGACGATTGAGATACTCTGCTAACAGTGCCTTTTTGGATTATTCAGCTACAAATTGGGGCGCTCATTTCCGTCAAGCTTGCATTACATATGATGCTGCTATTTTGCCTTCTGCATTAAGAGTTTGCAATCCAGATTCAATAATCTTCTCAGTATGGTATGGCATTTATCGAAAATCTACAGATCAAAGCCCCCTCGGGAATATTACAGATCTCATGATAGCATCGCATTATGGCCATACTGCCGTTGTGAAGCTGCTACTCGATAAAGGAGCTAAGACTAAGGCAGGGGAGAAATATGGTGACACGCCGCTAATGTGGGCCGCTTGTGGCGGGCATGAAGCTGTGGTTAAGCTGCTGCTTGATAATGGAGCAGAGATTGAGGCAAAGGATGGACTTGGTGCGACGGCGCTATTGATAGCCGCTACCGGCGGTCTAATGACGCCATCGACAACCAGCAGCAGCGATACTCAGCAAGACTATCAGATGCAGCTGATGCTGATTGAGCTGCACAAGAAAGGCCTGATCATGACTCGCCAGCAGCAGATCGACATGGGTGGAGTACTCTGGATTGGGCAGGCAGAAGTAACCGCTGAGCGCGGGCGTGAAGCTATTGTCAAGCTGCTGCTTGATAAAGGAGCAGATGTTGAGGCAAAGAGTATCAGTGGCCAGACACCGCTATCATATGCCACCAGGCTCGGGAACCAAACTATAGTCAAGCTGCTGCTTGATAAAGGAGCAGTGAAACCTAGATATTTATGAATCATCGCACATCATAGACAATAGTGTTTGTGGCCTGCTACAAGCAACAAGAACCTTCTCTATCTTTATTCTGGCTTGTAAATAAAGGTTACTCATTATTGTCTTGTTTCTAATACTATATCAGCCATAAGCCTCATGGTATTTGTGATCCATGTAGAAAGGGATTCAACATGAATGGCGCTAGACACTGTTTCAGCTAGAATACTGTGAAACAGCTCTGTTTACTATAGCCAATAGACCGGGAGAGGTTGGCGTCGTGGGCAACATCTTCCAAAAGACGGAGGTAAGTGCCTTAATGCTTTGTTGGTAGTCATCTAAATATTGATGGCAGACTTTGCTCATCCTAAAAGATCTTACCCGAGCATTCCTGATCACGAAAGAAGGCGACCTGGCGACTTCTCTTGGGAGGAGGAGCTCGATGTCGGGACTTGCTTCCTACTTTCTTATAAACTTAATGTGACCAACAGATAGAGTAGCTCTACAGCCGGCGAGGGCAATCACATTACCAGAACACGTCAAGAACCATTCAATGTAACTATGGGAATTCTGTTCCGGTAATATCAAGAGCAAAGTTTTGTAAGAGACTACCTTAGCCTACAATTATTCATCAGACTCAATCTTCCGTTTCTGAAGCAAATAGTAGTATTGCTGCAGATCCATAACTTTCGTAGGCACTCTCTCACCCTCGAAAGTGCCTTTACCATAGCCATCGAAATGGACTTTCCAGGCTATTAAAAAATTAAAATCTCAGAATCAAGGTGTTTTTTTTTGTAAGGAAAGGGGAAGCTTACTGCTAGCATCGAAGCCAAGATAGGACCAGCTTTCATTAAGATAAGCCTTTTCAGTGCCAACACGGATAGTCTTGACCTGGCCCATTTGCCCTGGCGCCGGACGCAGTTGTTTAAGGCCGGCCGCGAGCGTGACAAGTCCACTAATGAAGGTGATCGCCATATGCCTTCCGAAACAATCATGCTGACCATAGCTGAAAGCGCTGACAGCATTTGGCTTTCGCGTTGCGTCAAATTTGTCCGCGTTGGGGACCTCGGCTGGATTGCGTCCAGCCTCGCCCTGATGAAAGTGATTAGAAGACCTTCTGTCCGTCTACAAGTTTGCGGGAGAAGGGAGGCCAAGAAAAAGGTGCAGAAAAAGATGCTTAGAAGAAATCGAGACTTACTAGCATTAATACAACATAGTTCCCAGGCTGGATTGTCTTCCCCTCGAGCTCAATGGGCTGCTTTGCGACGCGCATGCAACGCTGTGAGCTTGTAAGTCGCTGGGCTTCCATGACATAGGCCTGGATCTTTTGGGTATCGCCCTCTTGAGCAAAAGTCTGAACTTCATTCCAGATGGAAGCATTTTCAGGCTTGAGGAAGAATTCCATGACTTCATAAACCTAAAGAGCCGTTAGCACTCAATTCATTAACATATTGCCAAGTCACAGTAGGTGTCTGTACTCACCACAGTGACGAGAACGCCAACGGCGCCAAATGCCGTCAGCCACATATTGTCAACAACTTGCTCAGGCGAGGTTCCCTGTTCCAGAAACTTTTCAACAATTTTGAGGCCACAGGCACGCAAGGTGCCTGGTTTGGGGTCATTCACAGAAGGAATCGTGTGGTGACCGAAGAAATTACTGCTGCGGCTTTTGACCTCGTCAACAAGCTTGCGAGTTGTGTCAATGATGACCTTGGCGCTTTCCTGAGCGTGGCGACGGCGATTCCAGGCTTGTCCGGGGTCATTGTTGTTGACTCCCCAGAGACGAATGTTGAGCAGATGTCGGTATAGCTCTACGTTGTTGAGGACACCAGTTTTGTTATCCTCGGATTTCAAGTCAAAGTAGAAGAGGTCTCCGAGGAACCGGGCGTTTAGTGGGATAGCGACATCGCGGATCAGGTCTATTTGGTCAAGGCCTTGCTGAAGATTAAATGCCGCGGATTGAATTAGCTTCTTACCCTCATGCGCGATGAGGTCAGTCATAGCTTTCTGCAGATCTGGCAATTCGCTCATCACTTTGGTCCATTTGGCGCGGTGTTCAAAGTTGCGAGCGCTGTCTCCAGCGAGCATGTACCAACTCACGTCTTTTGTACCAGGAAACATGGAGTTGAGTGCCGGGAGCCAGGGCACGACAAATTTATCGGTGGCGCCGAGGATTTGTTTGACACTTTCCCCAGTGAAGAGAACAACTGGTTTGGCCGGAGGCTTTGGGTCGTCTGTTGTGAACTGATCCAAGGTTTTCAGTTTCTTGGCAATCTCTATGTTGGCCTTCTTTGTGTACATGGGTTGCATGACGGCCACAGAGTTAAAGGGAAACCAGCCAGGAACGCCCCTCTGGATGAGCTTGTACAGCATAGATCCGCCGAGTGTCTTGGGATCATACTGGACCTCGTTATAGCCCCAGTTTGTGAGGTTTGCCGGCGTGTAGTCAATTGTGTTGAACCTGTCAGATCGCACAAGTGTGACGGCATCCGAGAGGACAGCCCGGCCAACCGTGTAAGTTGGACATATACCGCAGCCTGTGTTGCGAGCAGGCTTGATGTCTTCAGCCATGAGGCCTGGATAAAGCTCCACCATGTCAGGGGATGTGTACAGATTCTCGAGAATATTGGCAATATCGACATTTGGGTTAATATCGGTAAACTTCTCGTACTTCTTAAGGCCAAAAAACTCGCGGAACTCATTCAGCGAGGCCACCTGCCATTTGCGCGCTTGATTGATGCTAAGAACCTCGACAACCTTGAGCGCTTTTGGCACCATTCGGGCACCAAAGACGCCTGCCGGATCATCCATTGCCTCCTTCAGAATGCGCACAAGGTCCTCGTCTTTGAACCTGCCGTCGGCTTGACGCTCTAGGCCATCAAATGTCCGAAGACTGGGATCCTTCGGGGTGCTCTGTTCAAACGTCATCAAAGCCTGACCAAGATCGGCCCAGCTTACGTTTGCCAAATCGTCCGCGTTGCGGCCCGGAAAGAGCTTAAGGAAGAAATTGTTGATCCAACGTTCATCTTTCAGAGAGATACAAGCGTGGAATCTGTATAGCAAGTTGAACTCAACGCTGACTTGATTGCCGATGCCACGAGGCAATTCTTCTTCATCCTTGGGGTCCTTAATTGGAACCCTTGGATCTAGAGTCCAGTCACTTGCTGAGTGGTGGGTGTTGGTGATGGCACGGAGGTAATCGTGTAAAGATATGTTGACATACAAACCCCCCACAACCAGACGAGCAGTGTTGAAAAGATCATGGTCTTGTTTGGCCATAGCCTTGGCTTTTTCCTCGGCGCTCGCGTTCTCTGAACAGATTAGAGAAAAGCGTCCATTCTCATTTATCTTGAGCAAAATATCGGCAACATAGTTATGAAAGCGACTGTAGAGGACCAGCATGACATTAACGCCAGGCGGCTGCCCGAGCAAACGTTTCTCGGAGAAGGTGTCTGGCTTCAACTTGCCCTCTTTCATCGTACGGATCTCCAGCTGGTCACTGAGAGATGAGCCGTATAGAGGCGCTAAATCAAGATAGGAGGATACATCATTTTTGTTCCCGTCCGTGCGACTTGTACGAAAGATGTCGTGGATGATGATGGCAGCGTGATAGAAGAGCATGGCCGAGATGCCAGCTGGGTTTTCTTTGAAGGTATCGTCATTGCGAGCCAACAAGAGGTCAAAGAGCAGACCTGGATCCGGTTTAACGCCATGAAGCAATGTCTCAGGCCTCACCGATTTGGCATAAGCCGTGCCGGCCTTGCCCAGATTGGGCTGGAGAATATTGTTGAAACTCCCATCAGGCATTCGGTACTGATGCAGGCCATCTGCCTCGCGTGATGTATCTTCACGTAGCATCACATGGCTGTCTGGGGCCTGGAAAGCGACGCTCTCAGACCCCTTCTTGCGCTTGTGGCTCGGCTCACTGGAGTTGACGACTTCATACTCAATATTACCACCTATGTAGCTCAGCGGTGGATGCTGAAGGTTGTTCCAGAGCTTAGTGATGAGCAAGTTTGTGACTTGAGTTCTTTGCTCTGACGCGGGCAGAGAAATAAGAATGCCAATGAGGATCTCAGTGGAGCTGGTTATCGTCAGAACTACACGTTCTTAACAACCAATTTATGCATGTACTTACGCCTTTCTATCGTCCAAAGGAACTCCTTTTTGAGTAAGTTCTTGGATCAGATTTGCGATTTCTGGCAAGGATGCTTGGCTCCTTGCGTCGACGTACGCGTCGATCAATCCGAGAGGTGACTTTTTTCCAGCCTCTTGGTAAGACTCACCGTCCTCGAAGTGATCATTGTTTGCCATGACTCTTTTTGAAATGAGAAGCCACGAGGTAAACAATAGAAGTAAGGAAGGTTGATTCAATTTTCATTTTGCTGAAAATGCTTGCTTATATATTGCCATTGTCTAGTAGCAAACATGGAGATAAGCCCCGCGCCGTATACAGTTCCACAGACTATCTGTTTTCAGGTTGTGTATCGAGTCATCACGCCAGTCCTCCACAAACATCGAGTTGGGCTCCAATGCAGGAGCCAATGAAAACTCAATCACAAAATTGATTGGCAGGATTACATTCCTTGATATGGTGTGCATGAGGAGATGCTGGGCCACTCGGGATTATTCAAGGACATCTGCGGGAAGAGGTTGAACCAAGATGTACATTTTATATGATGCTTGACTCAAAAGCGATGAACTGTATTTTAGCACTGTAAAAGGACAATGATTAGCTTCAAAGTTTGCTCTAGCGATCTTTTTCCATATTATTTCTTTATAAATATATTCATTCTCACTTTGCCTAGTTTCCCTTACCTATGCCACTGCCTGCTCACAATGGCTAGGCATCGATGCTAGCACAGAATGCATAATATTCCTGACACAGATAACTTTGCATTTTCCTCTGCATGTATCTATTTCACTCATACCCCCCTGTCTTCGGAAGTATTACTAGCCGGGTGGAGGAAACGGCGTATGGCAATATCAAAAGATATGTTAGATGTGGTCACGAGGGTCTTGCGGGTGTAACGTCAAGTGCTGTAATACTAGGAGATGTCTTGCACTACGCTCTTATCACGCATGTAATCCAATCTTTTACATTTTTTTGTTACGAAAGATAAATTTGCGATTGGTTTCTGAACAATCTAAATGGCGGCCACTGACTCGAGGTTTTGCTATCGGCCACAATCTAGTAATACTATCATGTGTACAAGCGACCAAAGAGGCGGGATAAGAGTAAGCATTTTAGGTGCGCTGATAGCCCCAGTAAAGGACGAATATGTAGAGTCCCATGGCGCATGAAAGGGAACCAATACGCAGTTTCACTTACGTCTCTTAAGAATTGGGTTTTGGGCATTAATGCAGCTCATAAAGCCTATTGGTCTGTCTAGAATGAATGGTATCAGTATGCACACGTTAATTGGGCCTACGATATAGAGCAAATTTTGACGTAATTTATATGCAGTCTTGGCTACCTTGTTTCCTATAAATTAATTTTTGGTGATCCTGTACAACACTTACTTGCAGTTCTGTGTGTCTACAGCCTGACAAATAGACTGCATAAGATAGGCCGAGCCTATAAACTACAATTTCAGTGATACTGTACAGCGCACACTTGCAGTTATATGTGGTTACAGTTATATATATCAAGTTTATAGATCAACTTTGAGTCATACAATACCGTCCATACTTAGGACGAGAGGGGTAATTTTGCGCTTGTGCGACCGTCTTCTGTGAGAGGTCAAGGGCCAACTTGACATTGTCTATGGCGTACAGTGCTTGAGAACAGGTCTTGGATGCGGGGATTTAAGAATGCCCCATCGGACATACCCATTACTGTTGTTGTTTAAAGTTGTTTTTTGTTGTTATTTCTATTGTTAAAGAATAGTGTAAAGATCTCTTATAATGAAACAGGATTCTATAATCAACTAGAGAAAAAAAAAAAAAGTCATATCTTCTCTTTTGCGTTGCCTAGCATTTTGAAGAACTTCAACCACTGTTGTAGGAAGAACTTGAACACTGTACCCCAAATACTGGCAGAGTCTTTATTAAAGATGGGATCATCAGCGAGACCGGAGATGTAAGCCACAGTGATATCCCGAGCAAGCTCGATTGCCTTCGAATCGTGGGCTTGAGGCAAATGTTGAAATACGACGCGACCCTTCTTGTCTTCAAGCTCTTTGCACAACAAAGGCTCAGCGAGCGATGAATAAAGACGGAATTCACAGAAGTAGAGCCCTGCATTGTCCGAGACGCATGAAGTGACATTCTCATAAACGTTAGTGTTTTATAGTATCAAGGGTTTTGAGAAAAAGATGTTGGATAAAATCAGATTGAAGTACTCACTGGATAAAGCTGTTGTACCTTACGCCACGCAGCCTCGACATTCAATGATGTTGACAGCTCCTCTGGCAAGCCAAGGCGCTTAAGCTGGTCCGAGTCGACTTTCTTGCTATCGTCGCCAGGGAGTTTGTATCCATCTCTGCGCGCTTTCGTCTCGAATCGGAATTGCTTGTGGTCCCATCCCAAAGCAATCATGCCCAAATGTAGAATAAAGTCGACATTGACGTATTCCTCCTCATCATTTGGCTCAGGCTTTGGCAGAAATAGCGAACGTTTGCCACTCCATATGTCCCGAGAGACATAGCGGACATCGTCGTACGTATCCCAGGTGTCGCGGAAGTACTTGAATATGCGGATCTCCTTTTGGTTCGACATTGGTATGCTATCTGGAAGAGCATCTCTGACTAGCTGAGATGTATTGTAATCGTACTCCATGAATGGCTGAGCATAAAGTGAGTGTAATGTCCACAGTCTACTAGTTGATCTAATGACTTACCCGATTGCCAGTCACAACCACATTAATTATGCCTGACGATGCCATCCTAAGGATTTCGGATTTCCTTTAGGTCTGGGGGTCGGAACTATCAAATGATAGTTCTCAATGCCACTTTCGGTAAGACTTGAATCGCGCGATTGTAGAATGCTAGGTTTTGGTTTTTATTCGTTTTGAAGTAACGGAATGCCGGCGCTCATTGTTACTCTTCTGTCAGCAAGGCTGTTGCGACGCAGTCGCTGATAAATAGTTGAGGATAATCGTCTCCCCACCTCTTTACGTCAGTCATGCATTATGCTGTTGGGTTGCGATATATTGATTCAAATTACAAAGTAAGTATTCTACGCGCATTGGCCACGTCACTATATAGCTGCTCATGCATGTGTGTCATTCGCCTCAAGGGGGACGAGGCGCTGGACAGTCTGTGAGTTAGCATCTTCCATTTCACCATCTCCCAGACCAACTTCCGACCCCAACAAAAAGGAACGCTGGCCGCGGGTGTGTCTGAGTAAAAGATCTCGCTGGGAGCGTCAGATCTAACATCAATATCAAGGGGTAGATTGAAGAGTCTGATTTAGGCTTGGTAGCTTAGTAAACTTCTACTTAGTATCAGAGATTCAATTATCAGGTGGATGTTGAATTGAGAGTCCAAGTAGGAGAGTTGAGAGTCGAGGTCTCTCATCATGCATCATTTCAAAGGCCATGAGGATAGGCACCCGAAATATGATCTCGACAATTCTTGTCCGTGAACGCAGCTTTCATGAACAGTCTCGTTCAGGCTGCCAAGACTACCCCGCACATATCATCAATTTGTTGGCGGTCAGGTATTTTGAAGCTCAAAGCAAGGCGTGCATTTATTTCTATCCTACATGGCTCACCAACTTCGTCCACGACACAAGAGCCCGCGTAAATCCTACAAAGTCACTCCAGGTTACTTTGACCAGCTGTTACTTTCTCTTTTACTGCTTCATTTGAGCTGGCCAGCTTGATAGAAAAAACACGGCGGTCCTAGATGCCTCCAAATCTGCGGCTCCGCGCTCGGACTTGGATAGATGCAATTAGCGCCAACCTTCCACGCAGTCATCGCTTCCTCCGGCAACAGAAAGGCGACTTGCGTCTCCTCCATACATCCAAGCCCTTTCAATCATTTCGCTTAGTACTAAGGGTGGGTATCCCGCTTTTGACTCTCCGTGATGGCAACTAGGTACCGATGGTGAGCTCTATGTAGACAGAACACCAGCGTATCGTTAACACTAACGACCATCTGCAGCTTGCCTTGGGTACTGGAACGGCCTGGTTCAAGGAAAAAGGAGACACGAGTTTTGACCAGCGTCTTGTGGAACTAATAAAAAAAGCCATTGAGAAGGGATTCTACCATCTCGACTGCTCTGAAATGTATGGGACCGAAGAGGAAGTCGGTCGCGCCATTCAAGAATCAGGCGTTCCCCGCGAAAAGCTTTTCATCACCAATAAGGTCGCTCAAGGCATCGACGATATCCATGCAGCAGTTCAGACGAGTCTCGAGAAATTGCAGACCCACTATTTCGACCTGTGTGTTTCCCTATCGGATAGCCAAAATGATCTTGTAATAGAAGAATTAACGTCATGGAAGTTATTTGATTCATACCCCATTCTTTGCCAAGTCAGATGCGGACTTGCAGAGTGCATGGAAGTCAATGGAAGAAATCAAAAAGACTGGCAAAGCCAGGTCGATAGGTGTAAGCAACTACTTGCGCCATGAGGTCAAGGCTACGATGTTAAAGGCGACCATTCCTCCTGCTTTTAACCAGATTGAGTTCCACCCCTATCTGCAGCGCGGAGACAATTACATGTCGTGGCTGCAGGAAAATGGCTTGGAAGTGGGCTCGTTCAATGGCCTGACTCCCGTATTCAGGGCTCCTGATGGACCACTGCGTGAGCCCTTGGCTCGCATTGCCCAAAAGCATGATACCACTGAGGCAGCTGTCCTGATCAACTGGATTATACAGAACAAAGTTGTGGCTGCGACCACTACCACAAAGCCTGAGAGGTTGGACGAGTATGTCCAGGCTTTAAAGATCACACTGACTCAGGACGAACTACAAGAGATCACGGATGTAGGCTCCATGTACCACTTCCGCACATCTTGGCCGGAGCGTTTTGAAGCAGTTGATCGATCATGAAAGATCGTTACCATGTCGATATGGAGGCTCATGCAAGAGGAGCAATCGTCATGGTTAGTGTATTTCGTGACTCGCAGCCGGCCTCAGTCTTTTGTTGTAGACCAATAGATAGACAGCTAAAAAGAAATGGGACTTCAACGCCAAAGCCGTAATCACAGCTTCCATAACCAAGGGTCCTTTTCAGAAGTATGCCAAGTCCAGGGTCCCATGAGTCTTGCACTACGCCATCAGATCAAGTTTCTACGCATAGCCTTGACAGATATTTTACCTAATGCGATGTCGGTGATTCCTTGCAGTTCCAATGTCTAGTTCTACGTACATAGATGACCAAGATGAAGCATTCTCGCAGAGCTAGCAACTATTGTGATAAAAGCTTTGTATCGTGGTTACACATTAAAGGAGAGTCAGTCGATGGTATATACGTGGTGGATATTTATTATGAATATAGAACTCAGAGCAAAGTCTCCTCAGGTGCCGGCTAGTCATATCAAGAGTAGACAAAACCTTTAGATAGATCGTGAATCTCTTCGCTTTTCTTCTCCATCTCCACGTTCCAAAATTTCCTATATCTCTCAACGGCCCCTCGCCCTTCTTCTTTGAGAACCGTCTGAAGCCACTCTTCATCAGGTTCTTCTTCCAAGTCGCAGTCAGGCGTCGCGCCAGCTTCAAGAAGAACCTCGACGATGTCCCAATGGTCGCCGATAATAGCTCCGTTCAATGCACTCCTATACTTTCCCCCGCGTACGTTGACGCTGGCTTTTCTGTCCAACAACATCTTCACTGACAAGGCCTGGCCTGAATACGCGGCTGCTTGGAGGGGTGAGCCAAATATCCCGCCTCGTACATTTACATCGATGTCAGGGACTTGTTCGAGGAGGTATTTCGTTTTGCGAGATGTGCAATTAATATTCGCACAGCCCCGATGCCAATGGCTCGAATTTTTGTGTACCCCGTCGAGCTTCGTCTCACATGCCACGTATAGCGCGGAGCCCAGCCTCTCGCTCACGATGCTGGTGTCCATACCATGCTTGATCAAGATGTCAAAGCTTCTGCGCCAATTTTCGCCCTCAGCAGCACTTTTATCATACCTACCGTGCTTATAGAATGCCCCACAATATTCATGTATAGTAGTGCCTTCAGGTGCAAACTCATATTCCCCCATGATGGCATGAAGAGCTGTGCCGTAGTCTTGGTTTACATGGTTGACATGCATGCCGTGATTCAGGAGAGCCAGAAGAGCCATATCGCCACCACAGCGAAAGACCGCGCAACGTGCGGCCTCGTGCCAGGCAGCACAATCCTGGAGATGGATATCTGCCCCGTGTTCAAGCAGCAGTTGCACCAGCTCAGAGTGGCTCCAGCTACAAGCAGCCGAGAGCGCTGTCCCATGTATTCCTCCTAGAGCATTCACATCAGCGCCGCGATCAAGCAGCAATTGCGCCACAGGCACTGAGCCTTGGGAGTAGAAATCAATACATCTACCATCCTCTCCACGATAAAGAGCTGTCCGTAGCTGGCCGTATCTGTCCTCTCCACGACAAGCAGCTGTCCGTTGCTGGTCGTATCTGTCCTCGCCCTCTTGACAGGCAGCCATGAGCGCTGTCCCGTATTTACCACATTGGGCATTCACGTCGGCGCCGTGGCTCAACAGCAACTGCACGCGCTCCACGTCTCTCAAGTAAACGCCACAGGCAGCCGCCAGTGCAGTTCCATTCTCTTCACTCTGCGCGTTTACATGAGCGCCACAACCCAGAAGCAGCTGAATACACTCTCTGCTACGCGCCATCCCCTCGAATTCATTGACACTGCATGCAATCGTGAGCGCCGGTCCATTCATGCCACCGCTCGCATTGACGTCGGCACCGTGGTCGAGGAGTAAGCGTAGCACTTCCACATTTGGATGCCGGCAAGCAGCCTGCAGAGCCGATCCCCATTCTCCGCCCTGTTGATTCACCCTGGCACCTTTGCTTAAAAGCAATTCCAGGATCTGGATTTTGTTCTGCAGTGTAAAATTATTACTGATTTTTTCCTCCAGTGAAGACTGGCAATAGATTTCCCACGATACCCCATTTTCTCTCCATGCAGCAGCTTGGAGTGGTGTACCGAACCGACTGCCGCCTTGAGCATTGACATCGGCCCCGTGATCGAGGAGAAATCGCACCGCCTCCATCGTTCCTTCGCTACAGGCAAGTTGCAGCGCAGTTCCCCAGATGTCGCCGCCCGGCTGATCAACTTTGGCGCCATTATCAAGGAGCAGCCGCATCACGCAATCTGCGTGTTTAGAATACAGCGATGCTGCCGCTGCCGCGTGTAGTGCCGTCCCGTACTTGCCCCCTTGAGCACTCACATCAGCCCCGTGCTTGATCAATAGCGGTATCAGTATTGTCTCTATTTCTTTGTGTTCGATGTAGTCATTGCTCAGCCCAGTGTAGCACAAAGCCTGTATCGCCGTGGCATACTCCCCAGCCCGGATATTGGGGTCTGCGCCGTGGTGCAACAGCATTTGGATGTAGCCAATACTCGGTGAGAGGTGCAAATCATCGTACCGTAAGGTGCATGCTGCATGGAGCGGCGTGCCGACTGTTCCACTCAAAACATTGACGTTAGCTCCCTTTTGTAGCAGTAGACTAATTCTCTTGGAATCTCCGTTTCTTATTGCCGAGTGAAGCGCTGTCCGTTGGTGTCCATCCTGTGCATCGATGTTGACTCCATGGTCGAGGAGAAAATTGACGCTTTTCGTGTCGCGGCGGCTGACCAATGGTAGCAAGGACGTGTAAGCGTTGAAATCAGCTCCCCCATGTGCTATCAAAAACTCAAGGATGTTAGGATGGCTGCCACTCGCAGCGGCATGCAGTGCTGAATACCATTTAGATTTGCCATAGTACACACTGACTTTGGCACCTGCTTCGAGAAAGAGCTGCGCCATGTCTGTGTTCCCCCCATAAGCTGCATGCTGGAGCCCAAAGTCCAGGTCTTCTTGAGTCAAATACTTATTTGCACCAAGCTCTTGGGAGAGTAACGTCTCGGTTAGCTGAAGAAAGCCATGCTGAGCTGTGTAGCAATATGGCTTCATCAACATGTACATATTATTCGAAGAGCTATATTTCATAACCAGTTGAGTGAATAGGCTTTGGCTGCCTGTTGCAAGCGCAAGTCTCGCCTCACGTAAGACCTTGGCCGACCATGATGCACGTGGTATCTCCTCAAGGTGGAGCGCCCAGTTATCTGCCACATACTGTATCAAGGGATACGCCCTTTCCACGCCCATTTTATTGAATTCAGTGTATTTTTCAATTATGGTGTCCAAATATGTGAGGTAGGCGAGACATGAACGCACAATGTGTTCATGAGCGTTGATTTCAGTGAAGGAGAAGGCTGAGGTAGGCCGGTTCTCTATTCTGCTGGAAGTCAAATACTCTTTGGCGGAAAAATGGACTAGGCGAACTTTTGCAGGGCCGTACTGTACTCGTGAAAATATAACTAAGCCGGAGAAATATTTCAATACATCCATAGGGGAAGAAAGGCGCATTTGCTCATCAAAGGCGATATTGTCGTTGGGATTGATAATGAATATTTCCGTAAGCTGTTCAATGTTAAGGACTTCTCTTGAGAATGCTAGCCACTTTAACGAGTTTATAACTCGGCCTCGGAATTTAGCATTAATATTTTCAAGAATTCGATCATACGTTGCATCAAGGCCGACAGGAAGGTCTAAGAGAGCCTCGCGAATTTCAGCTGGCGATGAAATTTCTTGGAGTATTTCAAGCTGAAATCGGACATATTGAAACCTTGACGCGAATTGTCAATCAAATCGCTCCATTAATTGTTTCAAAGATTTGACAACTTACATGCTGTCCGCCTTTTTAATAAGTGCCTGTCGTACCTCTTCCTTTACGTCATCTTTCCAAGACATGAAATCATCAGTCGCTAGAGTTGAGTTGATATATTGGCAGATATCATTATCCAGAGTGTCCTGTCGGGCCAATAGATCAATCTCCTGTCTCGCCGGTAGAGATAAAAGAGCGCGTATTTTGAGGTCAATATCCTGTTCTTTGCGGCTTGTCATGAAAACATGAAGATTTTTTGGTGCATTTGCCTCTGAAAAAATGCTGGATAATGTCCTTAATAGGGTTTGCCTTTGATTGCCAAGTAGTGGGCATTCGTCTAAACCATCAATAACAATAAAGACGTCAGAGAGCCCTGAGAAAGAAGCTAAAAGAGTTGCTTCGAGAGTTTTAGTATCAGGACGCTCGCCTCTTATTTTATAATCTTCGAGATGCTTGATTAACCGGAGGTCGGTCTGTCGAGAATATATCTGTTTAATAAGTGAAGCCAGCATTACATTTGTTGTTTGCTTATTAATGTCGCTGAAGCTATAATAGAAGTAAGCGAGAACTGTTGAGCGCTTTGATGTATATTTTTCTTTGAGATAGCCGATAACCGAAGAGCTTAGAACGGATTTCCCAGAGCCGGCTATAGCCGGGTTAGTTTCGCCTCTGAGTAGATGGAGGTTGTATGCAGAAGCAGAATTGTTCGCTTACCTTTCCCATGAAGCCAAAGTAAGGAGCAAGCAGTTCTTTCCCACCTCCTAAACTCTTCACTATGCTTGACAAGCCATTCATTGGTGCCAGCTTCATACCTTTCGCGTGCAGTGTTGTACAATGACGAGTGATCAATATTACAGAGCCACGCCAATAGTTCCTCGCGCTCTTTTTTTGATTCTGCACTCTCAGTTGCCAAACGTTCCTCGAGATTCTGCATATCACGCCAAAGCCCTTCGATTGCGGTAAAGCTTTTCTCTCGTTCGCGAACGTCGTTAACTAATTGATCCCAGCCATTCCAGTTGACAGCATCAAGGGTGTGGCGAAGGGCTGACGTATTTGAGTAGTAACAGCAGCTTTTAGCCTGAAATTTCAAGATTTGCCTATAGAGTCGCTCCAAGGCAGCTTTATATTCGTGATGCGATTGCTGAAAGTCCTCGTGGTTCCCAATTTGTAACTCATAGCGCTTGTTGTAAAGTTCCTCTCTCATCTGACTCTGCGCGATAAGAGACGAGATGTATGCTAACCCTTCTGCCAAGGCAATACTTTGAGCTGAAATGTTCATAAATAACTTGTACAATAAATTAGTAATGGCCCCTGTTCGATCTCGCATGACAGTAACTCACCGGTAGCAAAAAGCTAACACCGGCCCAAGCTATTGAAGCAGGCGGGCTGGCGCTCACAGCTTGGCTGATGAAGCTATTGGCGGAGTTGACAACATTCAAAAGAAGCTTTGAAACATCTTCAACTGTGACTTTGGAGCTGCCGAACTTGAGCTTGTTTTTATTGACGTTGTCCATTTTGCTCTGAAGTATCGCCCACATCCGTTCTTGTATATTCACTTTCGATTGAAGGTTATCGCTTAAACCGGCGACGACGCTGCCTTGTAACTTATTCTCATATTCCTCAATAAGTGCGGCGTCTTCCTGTCGCAGTGTTTCGTATGCCACATTCCAGAGCTGTCGGATAGGAACATTTTCCAATTTGGGCGATATAACCTGGACTTGGGGGTCCTCGGAACGTTTGAGGGGGGCGCTGATGCTTGTTTGATCGATGATCGAGTCATTGGTGTTATGAGATGTGCTGGAATGTGCTCCTTCTTGGTTACTTTGACTTGTTTGGGCATCAGCATAAATCACCACGCCAGGCTGTTTTGTCGGCAGAGGACGCGACTGCCTTTTTTTCCGTTTTCCGAAACAGTTTTTGATCCCCATTGCTGTCTTTGTTGTTGGGTGTGAAGATGCTCCTAAAAGCCTCCGAATTGTTGATTGTTGATTGAGAAGAGGAGGAGTAGGACGGTTGGAGCCTGATGATGTCTGAGATCAGGCACCTATTTCACCGCGGCAGACGGACGATAGGGGCCACAACCGCAATGCTCATTAGATGCCTTCTGAGGCTGTGCAAATTGTATCACCAACTTACGTGTAACCAGTCGGCGGAAACAGGGAATTATCAACCAATAAACACACATTTCTAAACTTTACATGCTACCTATAGTAGCACTACATATAGTATCCTATCTAGCTGTTGCAATGAATAACGGGCCCCGATCTAGTGAACGAGGTAGGACTGCTTATACGGGATTTTACTTGATTCCGACAATAGCTGGTGTAAGTATAGCATAAATAAATCCGAATGGTTGCTTTTCTTACACGTTAATATTAGCTCTCTGTAAGTGTATTTTGTTTCGTCGCTTTTTCTAGATTATATGTAAAGTACATGTATCGCAGTGATATTTTATAACTTGCCTTTTGGTTGTGGTTTATATTGTAAAGGAGTCTAACTGCCTTTGCAGTTAGTGCATTTTTGTTGGTGCGAGTCAGGATGAAGTCGGACAAGGTCTTATCTTGTACTTCCATACTACCAGCCGAGCCACAATTTTCTGCTCATCTTATCACTATTGAATTCATATGGGACGCCTCAGCCGTGGATGTTTGCGCTGCCGGCAGCGTCGCGTCCGCTGCGATGAGGGGCGGCCGTCTTGCCAGCGCTGCATCCGCCGCAACGAGGTTTGTGAGGGATACCGCGATGAATCGTCGCTCATATTCCGCCACGAGACGGACAAAGTGATTGAAGTCTCGCGCGCAATGCAAATCGTGGGTCCACCAAACTACACGGATTCCTCGCATTCTTCCTCGCGGAAGCGAAGCCTGTCTGTCAATGCGAGCTCGGCTTCTCGACAGTCGTCTTCCTTCTCATCGTCACTGGCCCCGGAGGAGGCTTCGGGCATCACGATGCGCAATCCCCAGCCGTGGCTGAAAGGGCCGCCGGCAAAATTTCAGCCGCCTCTGGAAGAACAGGCCGTAGATCAGTTCATAGATAGATATGTGCTGTACCCCTGCAATCAGACGTCTTCTCCCGGCTTCCTAGAGCATTTGCCTTCCATGTTCAAAGAAGTCAACGTCGAGGGTCGCTACGCGCTTCGCTGGGCTGTGCAGGCGGCAGCATATGCAGACGCCGTCTCATCAAACCAAAAAAGTAAAGCGCTTGCAAGCAAGGCTCTGCAATGCTATGGCATGGCACTCAAGGCTCTGGGGGAGTCGCTCTCTACGCCAGGCAAAGAGCCGGATGATTATGATCTAATGGCCGTGGTCGTGCTGGATATTTTCGAGGTAGACATATGCACATGTTGTGAGATACACATGTAGTTCCAGTCTTTGCTGATGTTTTCAGACATTATATACTCCCAACGAGGTCAGTAAAGGATCTCACGTCCAGGGAATGGCGCAACTGCTTCGTTTACGCGGCAGAGATTTGGTCTACGACCCCCGCGGCTGGAGCCTATTTCGACTTGCACACCACCGAATTGTAAGGACTCAATATGCATTTTCCATTGACCTTTGCCCACTAACAGCGCGAAGCAAAAACATCGATTAGCGTATCCTATCTCGCAAGTCTCCGAAACATCAAACTTGCTCAACGAGTTGAATAACAACGAGCCCTCGGTCCGCCTCGAGAAGAATACCAATAACATCCTTGAGACATGCAAGCGGGCGCGGACCTTGCTAGACCTTGTCACTGCAGGTGGGATACCGGCATCGACCATTGTCGACATGATCAAAGAGCTGCATTCGTCGGACCTAGAAGCAGTCAGTTGGCGTCAGACGTCACAGTGGTCTTTTACCAGCATAGCCGTCTCGGAACGACCAGATCTCTCTTCAGCAGCACATGGCATCACGGAGACTATTCAGCTGCATCCAGATGTATGGATGGCCTACGAGTGGAACTACCACAGGACAGCGCGCATAATCTTTCTACAGCAACTGCTGCAATGCTCCAAAGCCGCCCTGGAAGCCCCAGATCTCAAAGAGGTCGATAGGCAGATGCTGAATAATACCATCGCAGAGTGCATCTCAACGATTCAATGGCTAGCCGACGAGTTCCTCGCTACCGTCCCTCAGTCCCTCGGGGATGTTAATCATATGGGTTGGCTCCATGACAGCAACGACGGCCCGCCTCGCTGCCGCGCCATCGGCGGATATCTGCTTCTATGGCCAACCCGCACCGTCAAGGCGCAAACGTCTGCGACGAGCGTAGATCAAAAAGCGCGAGCACAGAGGGTGTATGAAAAGATTCGTGAATGTACTGGAATGAAGGATCTTCTAGGTGACAAGAGTATCATCTGATGTACCAAGCTCAACTCTATCTAAATATGAAAGTGCGCATGCCCAGCTAGGTACAAAGGATAAGATCAACATCAATGTGTGGCCCGATATGCAACGATCCTTGACGTCTCATCTCTTGACGGCAACTTCATCCAGCTCTGTCCCATCCACCAACTTGATCTTCTCTGCACTCAGCGTTACAAAGCAAATCCGGCATATCTCATCTGTCCTGTTTATCCACTGGTGATTTACACCCCCTTGAATGAGAAACTCTCCCGCTTTGACAGTTCTCTCCTCCCCGCTTTCGAGCTTCATGACGATCTCGCCGCTAATCACGACGCCATAGTCCAGACTCAGCGTCCGGTGCATCGGCACGGTGAAGTGAGGCGCGATGTTGCTGATGCAGAATATGGCGCCGTTGGGCGGGCAGCGTGGGATCGTGTTTGGGTGGTTTTGTGCAGGCTCCGTGTTGTTGACGGGCACGGCGTTGCGCACGTCAAAGACGGCAAAGGACGAACCCGCCGGTCCCATGGGGTGAAATAAGGGGACTTCACTATCGGAACCAAAAATGGCGGTTCCTGCTGCGTCGTGTGTCGTGGTAACTATGCGAGGGTTGGAGCTGGGAGATGACATGGCGAAGATGGTGGAAGTGCTTGAAGGGGTTTACAATGAGGGCACTTGGATCAACTCTGGCTACGTTGGCCTGTGGTTGGGCAGACTTGAGATATGAGAGAGCAACAAGCTTAGATATTTCAGCAGTTGACTTTCTTAGCGTTCCTTGAGCTGAAAGTAGAAATATAATATGTAGAGACCAATAGTATCGCAGGAATCAAGACTGAGAGTGAGTAGCGGCTGGTTTGCTGGATTGGCAGAGGGAACTGGGGCTGAGCCAAAATCATCTTTTCCTGTCGGAAATTCAGCTCACTTATATAGACGAGATATGTCTCCATCACGCAAATCCAACATTTTTTCCAATCTACCAAAAGGAATAAACCTCAAAAGCAAAGCGCGCCATCATGTTCGCAGTACTCTCTGGATACGGAAACTTGGGCGAGGAGCTCGCGCCGCTAACCGCAGACGGAAAGTTGGACGATGGATGGGTCAAGGATGCATCGCGTGTCAGATGACGTTGACAGATTGTGCCGCTTTTCGTAGGCTACTTAGCATAGCCCTACATATCAGAGGCATAATTTACAATGAAAAGAAGAGTTTAAAACTAGTGATCTTCCTATAAGCTACGAAGATGGTTCAAACACCACGGCAGGGCATTAAACACAAGGACACATTATCAAGCATCTTTTTTGGTGTAGCAAGCATCCAATAAAGCAAGTCTTCTGAAAACGATTCTCATTCTTTTGGAGAACTTTACTGGCAATCTTTAAATAATGGTAAGTCATTTGAAAGGCCTAGTGAGAAAATCTACTGTTCTTGAGCCGTCTTTGTTGAAATTTCCCAGACCGAGACACGAGGCCAAGTCTCAAAGGTGCAACCGATGTTAGCATTTACTTCACTTTAGACTCTACACTCGCTCTTGGAGCTGGAAGCCCAAATCTCACTCTGACATCAATTGATACATTGACCTGCCATGCCACAATGCCTTAATGGGGCGCTCGAGACCATTTCTTGTCAATGACATAGAGGATTTAGAGAATTTGATTAGATGTCTTGGTCAGTATTCGGGCTTTCTAGTTTAGTTGGTATACGTATCATCTTATACCAAGGCATAATGTCACGACTGCTTTGTAATAATACGGACACATAGGTTTGAAACGCAAGTGCTCTATAGCGTGTCAAAGGCGAGAAACATAGAACATATGAGCTCAAGCAGCTAACCATCTACACGGACAAAACATTGGTCATACCACTGTACTTCTCTTGAACATAGTTAGGTGTTGAGTTCTGATGAGCTTCCGCCAACAGATGTACTGTCCTTAAGTGTAGCCTTACAAAGTCATTAGATATTTCATTATATAAATTCTCATCATAATGGACGACTATAAATATAATTATTGTCACACACTTACTTTTACTTCTTTGCGTCAGTTTCAATTACTCTCATCTGCTGTAGTAGCTACTCTTGCTTGCTTCATGTTACGTTGAAGCTCATTGCGGCTAAAAAAATGTAATTCTCAATTATCTCGTAAGATATCTCAAGTCCCAGTTCGCTTTAGTTGTCTCAGGATGATATTCCTTCCCTGCCCATGGATTTCCGCAAACGTGCAAATGCGCATAAGGCGTCCCGTCAAACATGACCCAAGCCCCTTCATCGCGGACCGTGTTTGGCAACCCATCCCGCTTCGAGTCAAATGGCCAAATGATCATGTAATGTGGTCCAATTGGAATTGCCGGGCTTGTGACATCCGATACACTAACACTGCTATGTTGATTTGCACCACACAGCATGTAGATCAGTCCTGGTGCCGTATTGGTTGGCTTTTCTTTGCCTGCATAGGCGTCTTTGATCCATTGGAGACCTTGAGCGTCACAGCACATGGGCACGTTTCCAATGTGGTTTTCGTTGCCCGGAAAACACGTCCAACCATTTGTTCCTTCGCGTATGACTGTTATCTTGCGATCATGAGTCCATTCCGCTACAGTGGCGTCTTTGGTAACCTGGATAGGACCAGATGCGAGAGCCCTGTTGATTTTGCAGGAAATAGCTTCCTCTTCCTCGCTTACAGGAGCATTGGGCTTTGCCGGGTCTGGTACACAGCACTGGAAAGCACTGGCATATACAAATGATGCCATATTGAACGGTGGCGTGAAGTTCAATGTCTGAGAGAAAGTTTTGTGAATAGATATATAATATAATATACAGAAGTCGGCTATAAAGAGTTGTGTGCGTGTGTGTTTGTTTATATATGTGTATACATTTGCTATTTTGACAATGATTGAGACACCCAACACAACAACACCAAGACAGTACGCAAAAAATCCCCAAAAAGGTTAAGTATTATCGCTGCTTCGTCTCCTCATCGGGTCGGTCGGGTCGGTCGGCTTATCGTTCCAAATCAAACGCAAAATCCATGACGCAAGAAAAGTAGCTCTTAGTTTCAGAAATTTGCCTTCTTCAGAATTAAGACGCTTGGTGGTTCGATCTACGATCGCATTCGAATCATGGCGTCATTTTACCTCGGCTTCAAGATTTCATTGAGATCTAGGTATAAGCTTGAGTTCTGAAAATCTGAATGACATTTACTTTGAATCTTTGGACAAGTAAAATTCATAGCACAGTTGCCAATAATGCAGATAGATGATCTAATCCTCAATTGAGCCGCTGTTGATATAGACAAGCTACATAATAACAAACATTCAACGATACAGAAATAAGTTAAATCACGGCACATGCTATGCACCGCGCATCTCGTTATATCTAGATGATTACCAATCATGCCGAAATTGGTAACATCAGTGGTAAAAGATCGCTCGTTTGATTAGTTTCAGTCTTCAGTGTGCTAGCACTGTTGGGTCGAAATCAGCCATGCTACCGAGGTATAGCACGGTAAGGGCATGCATCCGACCGAAAGTTAAACACGATAGTGACCGCTACCTTAGGTATCTCCCATCACGTCCACTGATTTGTTGAACCAAATCGGTGATTACAAACAGTAATGGCTCAAACCTGCACTAGCCCTGGGAACTAACGTGTGGTATGAATACACATACCCTACAAGAAAGCTTGGCTGTATCAACAACCGTAGAAGCAAAAACTTATCAATATCTTGGACTATTTTCCGAATTCTTGTACTCGTTGATCAACGGTGATCAACGGCCGCCTTAGTGTTAGCTGCATAGGCTCAAGATGGTCGTTGGCAAACCACGCGATACGCTCAAGTGACGGGAACATCTCTTGGATCCAGAAATGAGTCGTGTAACTACCGACAGGCGCGGGAAGACTTACTAGTTGAAGAGGTAGAGCTACATTTGTTGACGGAATTCGTCGCTGCCCAACGCCGAGCGTTGCCTCCAAGCGGTCTTGTCAAAGATGACTACCTTTTTGAATCGGCAACAGACGGTGGCAAAGTGCGAATGTCGGTTGTTTTCGAAGGAGATAAGAAGTCGCTCGTCGTCTTTAAAATGAAGTTCACAAGCTAGGCTAGAGACGAGCGAGCGATAGGAGATATCGCATCTTGACTTTCCACTCCTCCATTTCAGCAACTTTGCTCTCCAGGTCGGTCTTATGCTTTCCAGCAGCAGGCTGAGCCTTATCCATTTTAGATTGTAGGTCTTGAATGATATTGTTCTTCAAGGCGATGTCTTTGTTTGAAGAATTCACCTGGTATTCTAGAGCCTTGTACTGTGCAGCAGTGAAAGAAGACTGGTGATGAGTTAAAGCGGCAACCTATTCAAACAGCTGGCCTTGTGTACTCCATGACAAGCATAACGTTCTCCGTAACCTTTTGATCAACGATTCCCGATAATAGCGACTGGGCCACTATGAATGTTTGTCTGGAAACTGGCAGAAGACATCACCAGGTGGTAAAACTAGGTTCATTGTACTGTAATCTAAATATTCTATTAAAACTAGCAGTCTATGTCATCTAAACGAGCGTAAGAAGTGAACTTATATCCAGCTGGGCTGAACGCGATCAAAAAAATGTCCTTCAACCCCCCCAAGAATCGATCCACTGTTCATCGATCTTGTGTTGAATCGGCAAGCTAATACTCAAACCATTTCTGTTAGAGTACGACCATGATATTTGTCCAGGTTTTTATACTTGGCATAGATAGGTTCCAACTTCCTTGAGGCCCTCATTACCAACGCAAGTATGGCACCAAAATACATTTTCAGGATCAATAGCCTTTTTGATCTCGCTCAATCTCTCATAATTGGAGCCCCAGAAAGCTTTCTGGAAATTGGGCTCATTCCAGTAAGCCTGTATTCTTAGTTAGTGCTTCATCTAGCAAACACAAAGAGAAGAAGAAAGTCATGCCTCATTGAGATAAGCTCCCGAATCTGGAGCCAATTTGCGAAAAGCTTCGACTTGGACATGGTTAATACTAGATTCAACAGCGCTTCGCTTAATCTCATCGAGCGGCGACCACTCTTGGGAAGTGACTGCAAGGTGTCAGAGTCTCTTCAAATCATAATGCTGGGACAACACTATGTAATTGGACTTGCCTGCGTGAACCAGAGCTTTTCTCCATGCAGGGTTGATGGCATTACCGCCACCCCTTGGTTTGGCATCCCAAACGCCTGTTCCAGAGACCATGTATAGCCTTCCGCCAGCGGGCCCCAGAAAGTCAACTAGAGCATCGCTAAAGGCATCTTCTTTCAGTGTATCCGGCGGCAGAAGCCATGATCCGACCACCTTGTCCACACCTGCCCCCTTATCATCTGCATATTCGAGGAACATACTGTGAAAGTTGGGAAAGACGGTTGAGGATACCTTCGTCGTTATCTGACTAGGAAAATCCTTTTTAATCTGTTGAACATAGGGCTCAAGCAAGTTATCCAATGTAGTAGATGATGGGGGATCGTATATGGCGAAGACTGCTTCGAAGGTTGCCATATCCCCTCCGAGCCCTGCGGCGCTGGTATTGGGGTACAGGTACGTAAATGCCGCGACACTCGAGTTGGCTAGAGTGGGATATTGTGCTATCATATAAGCTACACTCTCCCAATAGGCCTTTGAGTTTGGTGTTGTCTCGATGGTAAAGTCGTATACCGCCATGGGCTTGGATGGGACCGTTCGAACAGTCACCTTGGTCAAGACTCCAAAAGTACCCCCGCCGCCCTAAATATGTCAGGAACCTTTGGAATAATGGGAAGAGCAGTTATTATTGAAGAACATATCACTTACACCTCGAACTGCCCAAAATATGTCGGTATTCTGACACTCGTTCGCCGTGATTATTTCTCCCTTGGGGGTTACCATCTCCACCTCATAAACCTGATCCGATCCGAGCCCGAATATGTTTGATATGGGGCTGTGGCCTCCACCAGTGAGGTACCCGCCCATGGTGACTTCTGGCCCCATTCCATCAACGATGGTCAGGTTGTATTGGTCCAAGTGAGAGTATATATCACTGACATACGATGCGGCCCCCGCAGTCACGGCCGTTGTTTTAATCGTAGTTTTGCAGCCCTTTGGCTTGAACTCGCTGTGTAATTCATATCCTCCGAACATATGTCTTGTCCAAATGGATAGAGAATGGGGTGCCGTAGATCTGTTTACTGAGTTAGATGTGGATCGCATGTCGGCATATTCATTCTCTTACCGCTTCAGATAGTCATGTCCTGATGCTTTGATGTTCAGTCTCACATTATACTTTCTAGCAAAGTCAATGGCTTGCTTGATATGGTCTGCAGTCGTTGCATTCACAACATAAACTGGATATCCCAGCCCACTGCACGGAGCATCTGCTGTTGGCAGACAGGAGTCGTTGTTCATATTGTTCCACGCCGTACTAACAGGATCGTCCTGATGGAAAGCGAACGAGCTCCATGATTTTTGTATGTCTGCGCAAGAGGTGTTGGATTCAGGGTCAGAGGAATGACAGGCCTGTGCTGGCGGCAGCGGATGTAACAAACGCCCCGATAGACTCTCGTTGAGATGATTCCATTCGGAGATGCTAGGCCAAGATGCATCATTCGGAGTGGATTTGCAAGTCGTCTTGGAAGCATCCACGCAGCAGAGTGACGAAAGATGAACGAACGCTTGTAGGACTGGCAGCAGTCTCAAGTGGTGGACAATCATCTTCTTCCTATGAGAAAACTGGAAGGAGAGAAAAGTAGGAAATTATAAATTTGCCAATTTTGAGTATAAGAATAAGATTAATTGCAATGAAAGACAGAATAATATTGCAGCATCAAGCACGCATATCGCCAGTCTTATATACGCCTGTATACGTGGATGCTTGGACCGGTCTGCAACTCCGAACTGCGGATTCCGCAGTTTTCGCAGTTCGGCGTCCCGACCCAAGCCCGCGCCCCTTTCCATATTACGACGCGCAAGCAGGGACTTCGCCCCTTCATAGAGTAAGTAGGAATTTGTTTTATTTGTGCATTAAATTTATAACGTCAAGCTCGGACTAGAACTGCTATGGAAAAGCGGTGGAAGCCGGCGACGGCACTTTAATCTTGTTCGCCAGGGCAGGTAAGCCAGGGCAAGTTTGCTACGAATTCATCTTGTTTAGCTCTAGGCAAATGTCTAGGGACTGCGGTTGTTCTCAAATAATATCTAGCTGCTCATCTCCAATTTGGTTAAGATTGATATAATTATCCCACTCTTCCCACCACTGCGTGTTCAGCTCTGCGAGAGCCATGATTTCCTTGTTCTGCTCAGCATCGTCCCTAGAGCCATATTGCTGAACCTCGCTTCTTTCTTTTCGCACAATAGTTTCTGGGAGTCTCTCGGAAAAAGTTTCGGTAACCGTTTTCCATTGCTGCAGTGCCAACGGCTTTCCCGTCTTCGAGTCAATGTTCCTCTGGCGACATGCGTGAAAGATTGCGTCAAACATAACAGACGCTCCTAGCTTGTTTTTCACAGTCAGCTCGCTCATCCCTACAGGAACTCCTTGTTTCAGAGTATCAATAAGGGCCTCGATGTGAATAGCAGCTCGTGTGAGTTCTCTACGCTCCGGAAATGAATGGAAGATTTTGTGCGATTCTATAATTAAACCCATCGCTTTATTTCTCTGAGTGGGTGTGATTGCCATAAAAGTTGCCATGAACCTGAAGAGGAAAGTCGTCGCATTGAATAGTTCCGTAAAATATGGCTCAGGGATGGTTCTCAGTTGGCTATTGGGATGCAGATCCGAAACATGGTCCTGTCCAAGTTTCGTGAAGTGAGTGACGAGACTTGAAGCAGCGTCAAATGCTTTCAGAAGAATCGTTTGGCGAAAAATCCTCCAATGCGCATCTGAATTAGGATCTGTATTTGCTGGTAAGGTAAACGTTAGAGCAAAGACGTGCAATTTGGTATTGCACCACTCAATCTCTAATTCTGGTCCCCACGAGTCATGATTCGCCTCTTTGAGCTTGTTTAGCTGCTCGTTAAATATCTCAGTGGTCGAGAAGTGTAGAGCGCGGTCATCTATATTGCTTAGAGTGTCAATCGCGGAGACCGTAATCTTGATGATTGTGATTAGGACCTTCCACCATGGAGGAACTCGATTCGACGTGTTATTCAGAGCTTCATCAATGGACTTCATGTGCTGTTGCGATATTGACGAATGAAAGCCAGAAATTGCAGCAATTCTACAAGAGCTGTTAGTATTCGACCATTTCGTATGCATATCTCCACCAGTACTCACGAAGTTCCCACTCGGAAGCAACCTAGCCATGTCCAAGCCTGGTCCACCTCATCTACTTCACACTCAGGCACGAGGCCGAAGCCGGGCCACATGTTTTGCTGTCCACCTGAAGACAGGGGACTATTGCATTGCAGTTGCACCGCTGCATGCACAGCAAGGCCTACATAGTTCCAGGCTGGATTGTGAAAATACTGCGATTGAGGAAGTGGCCACAAACAAAGAAGAAGTAGAGCATGGATCGTTTCAATTCGCTGAATGGCCTTTCCAAGTATGGGTGACAGGAGTCCCTCGTATCCAACAGCTACTTCGTGGTAAATAGCCGTAAAGCTATCATGCTCTCGACTGGCAATGAGCACAACAGTCCAAAAAAGCAGCGGTGATCGGGCAAGCAGATCTGACAGTGAGGTAACCGGTTGTAAAAATATCGCGTGAGGGTAATAGTGCAAGCCGAAGCTCAGAGCTGAGTTAACAAGACATAATGATAGAGGGTTAGCAATACATACTATTGAAATAGTTCAGTGGTAGTCTGAGCATCAAGATTAAGAGTGCCCAAGGCGTAAGAACAGACCGAGTCGCTGTCCGTAATATTAAGCCATACCGAAGCCAGGCCCCGCGCAGGCTTCATAGACAATGGCGTGTTGCCGTCCGAGATACTCTGAGAAGATGTGGCTGTTTCCACAATAGATGGCTTTCCATAAGAAGCATCTTCGCTAGAGCGCAAAGCGTGCAACTCTTGACTAATTTCTTCTGTAATTCTACTTTGATGAGAATAGTTATAAATGATATGGAGCAGCGCATAACCAACCTCCTTGTCGATATACGCTTGAAATTGGCATCAAATCGACAGTCCAGCTGCTTTGACCTACACCGAGAACATTGGCCGGTTCGGGTCTTTCGCGCGTCGCAAGCAACCTTGGCCTGGCGACAGCAAGTACAGCTTTTGGCGCGACCTGTGGATTGCGATTTTGTCGGAACCTTCAATTTAGCCAAACTAGACTGATCCATGGAGATAAAGAGGCAGTGCGAGATTTTAACAATGTATAATTAGTCTTATAAGAGGCCATACAAGTTGCGGTCAGATTGAGGATTCTGTAACAAATACCTGGAGTTAAATAGGATTTATTCCCTGTTATCTTAGTGGCTTACATAACCCGAATTGTATCTGGAAACTGTATTGGAGCGTGAAAACGCTAGGAAAGCTTGATCTAGGCACGGAGGCTGAGTTCTTGAAACAGCGAGGGCTGTTACGAGAATCAGACTTGTAGAGACCCTTTTCGGAGTAAAGGCGTACCCATCGTGATATTTACGTCCCCATTAATTGCTATTGATCAATTGATCCCCCTTTGTTTCAATTTATGCGTATTTGTGCCTAAAAAAATTGTCTGGCCTGCGCAATCCCAAAAGAACAGTCATCAACGACCTACGTCGCCTTAATCGGCCTTATTTGGCGGCAACCTTCTCCCTCATAGAATTCAATGCGCTGCCTGCCCTCAGCCATCTCAACTGCCCCTCGCTATATGTATGCCTCAAGTCGCAATCCCACATCTCTCCGTTCTTCGTTTGTACGTGCATTACCACAGTCGAAGACGGCTGCAACTCGTCTTCTTCGACACCCCTGAGTGTGATCCGATCGCCCTCCCGTATACGATCATAGTCCACAGGTTCGGCAAAAGTAAGAGGCAACATGCCCTGTTTTTTCAGATTCGTCTCGTGAATACGGGCAAACGAGCGCGCAATGATGGCTAACCCGCCAAGGTAACGTGGTTCCAAAGCAGCGTGTTCGCGAGATGAGCCTTCACCGTAGTTCCAGTCACCGATGATGCACCAGGGTGTGCTGCGGCGTTGCAAATCACGCGCGACTTCGTGGATGAGCTCCACATTGCCGTCTAGCGGATGGATGGTGTGACCGAGCATTGTGGACGTGGAGGGAAGGAAGGCGTTGCTCGCTGCGAGGAGCATATTGTGGCTGATGTTCTCAAGATGGCCGCGGTAGTTATACCAGGGACCGGCTGGGGATATATGGTCGGTGGTGCATTTACCCTTGACTTTGACGAGGATGGGCATGTCAGTCGTGGCGCCCGGTTGCCGTGGCTTGAATGGCTGGAGAAGTTGAAGACGGTCGGACTTTGGATTGATATCGACTTGGAGATGAGCAGAATTCTCCTGGGGAGGCTGATAAAGGTCTTGGCCAGCTGTAAACCTGGACGGTAGCTCAACGCTTGTTGGCGCTGTGAAGCGAAATTCTTGCTGTGAGCTATTGACAGGCAGTGCATCTGTTGCGGGATTGAAATCAATACGACCTGCGTAAGCAAAAGCCGTGACCATCTCCGGCGATGTCACAAAAGAGCATGTCTCCGGATTCCCATCGTGGCGGCCTACAAAGTTACGGTTGAAGCTCGAAACAACAGTGTTGCGCTCGCGACCTTTGACATCGACATCAGTTCGATCCCATTGTCCCACGCAAGGCCCGCAAGTGGTGCTGAGCACAACTGCTCCAGCATCGCGCAATGTTTGCAGGATGCCATCGGCCTCGGCTGTAGTTCGAATATCTTCACTGCCTGGAGCTACCATGAATGGCGTTTTGACTCGGTCGATGCCGGCAGCCTTTGCCTGCATCACTAGCTGCTGTGTCTTGTATAGATCTTCATAAGACGAGTTCGTGCAGCTTCCAACCATGGCGTGACTAATCTCAACAGGCCAATCGCTTTGTCTGACTGCGTCCTTTAGTTGAGAAAGGGGATGCGATAGATCAGGTGTAAAGGGTCCGTTGATGTGTGGCTCCAGAGTGTCCAAATCTATCTCTATGATGTCGTCGTAGTGGTTTTCTGCACCCTCATCAGGCCGAAGAAGGACGTCTTTGTACGAGTTTGCTAGCTGCGCAATGCCTGATCGTTTCGTCGCTGAGAGGTATCGAGCCATAGAATCCGTAAAGGGGAATATGCATGATGTTGAGCCTATCTCGGCGGACATGTTGCACACAGTTGCCATCCCAGTTGCACCCAAAGTCTCCGTTCCAGGTCCAAAGAACTCAAACACTTTACCCTTGCCTCCCGAGACCGTCGTGATACCAGCTAGCTTACAGATGATATCCTTGGTTGATGCCCAGCCATGGAGCTTGCCAGTAAGCCGAACCCCAACTACCTTAGGATTCATAACCTCCCAAGGCATGCCTGCCATAGCGTCCACAGCATCAGACCCGCCGACACCAATACCAAGCATACCCAGTCCTCCAGCATTAGGCGTATGTGAGTCAGTGCCGATGATGAGGCCGCCAGGGAAAGCATAATTCTCAAAGATAGTGATGTGGATGATACCCGCACCAGGCTTCCACCAGCCGATACCGTACTTCTTTCCAGCGCTGCTCAAGAACTTGTACACCTCCTCATGCTGTATTAGTCCTCGCTTCAAGTCCTCGTCAGCACCGTCCCGCGAGACAATCAGGTGGTCACTGTGTATGGTAGTTGGTATCTTGACCTTGGGCAGCCCGGCACTAATAAACTGCAGCAAAGCCATAGTTGCTGTAGCATCGTGACAAGCCACTCGATCGGGCCTGAGCTGCAACAGTGTCTCGCCTCGTCGTATCTCGCTCAGATTCCATTGAGTTTCAGCGGTGTCAAATAAGTGGCTGTATAGGATCTTCTCGGTCAGATTGAGTGGGCGATTTGAACCCGCCTTGACTCTTTCTAATTGTGCGATGCGGCTGTCATAATCCAGGACCGTATCAGGGTTCAAAGGGCTGATCGGAATCCGAGGCGTGACAGACGCTAGTCGGCGTATATGTGGAAGGCGCCTAATAGCCCGCGAGCAAGAGTGTGTCGCCCAAAGGGCACGAGTTCTGTTAGCGAACATCAAAAGTGATCGCCCGGGGATATGACTACAGAAGAGTACAGCGAGGCAAAAAAAAAAAAAAAAAAAACGCGAGAGAATAGTGAAGCACAGAATTAAACAAGAAGAAATACTATAGCAAGAACATCACTGATAAGTATTATTGCAACTTTCGGGGGGCCGGAGTGCTCCGGGCCTCTGGTGGATGGCTCCGGCGCACTAAAACTGGAGTAAGCCAACCGACGCCAGGTCCGGATTTCTTAGAACATTCGGGACTCGTAATTCTGTTTGAATGTATCGTGCTTCCAATGCAGACAAATCAGGAGGCGAAAAGGAATGGGTATCTTTTGTTTCAAATACCGTTGCGAAATCCGCCGAGCTCAATGTACCTCTCACTTACAATATCACGGGGCTGGGCAACGCCGAAATACGTATGCGACCAGGCGACTCGATCATGAGAGAAGTCGATCTGAAAAGGTATAGTAGCGCTCTAGAAAGGGTTCCAGGCTGTGTCATTCCGTAAGAATTCAGAGATGAAGGCTTCAACAGTACTGTCCAGATTCTCTGTATTCACTTCGGAAACCGCGCTGTCAACGTCCTGTTGGTTGAATTGCAACGACAGATCGCTGTATTTATCCAAAGCAGTCCAGTCCGTCGTCCCATAGTTGGTTGAGGCATCATTTTGGGAAAAATCATTGAAACCGGATGGTAGAGCTGGGCTGATTCCCCAGAAACTATCCACATCTTTTGACTGAGTACTCGTCGCGGGTGTGAGCGACTCATAGTTGGCTGACTCTCCGTCGGATTGTTCTGGGGCATTCCGCACGAGTCGCTCATCATGGCTACGGACCTTGCTCTTCGTTCGTGATGGCGCCCTGGATTCATCAAGTTTCTTCAACAGCGCGTCCATTGCTCGACCAAACGTCTCTTTGCCTCTTTTGACTGATGGCCACCATTCCCCCCCAACACTGAGAAGGTTTGTGCAGGTTCTCAGGTCAGTCATTGCCTTGGAGAGTGGGACAGATTTCTGTACGGAGCTCGACGTCCAGAGACAATAGATCATGGTTGCTCCTGAGGAGAAGACTCCTTGTACGCCGCGCCAGCTTTGGAAAAGACCATCTGCGTTGTACAGGCTATTGTAGATGTTGATGCGGGAGACTGCACACTGGTAACATATGAGCAAAGCTTCTTCGCCTGGATGTGGTATCATCTGAGAGGGCTGATATAACAAAATCATAGCTGCGAAGAATTGACTCTGTGCTGTCAACTCGTACCGTCGCATGTCTAGTTGGTGATCTTCATCGATCATGTCCTGTGGAAGCAAATTCAACAGTGAGCTGATTTCGTGACGCCACTCTTGCAAACGCTGCCGAATCACGGTTTGAGTTGCTTGATGGTCAGCAGGCCAAGAATAAGCGCTGATCTGGCTGGGAAGATGGTAGAATAATAACTTGATCTCCGAAATGATGGGATCAAGCCTAAAGCGATGAATCGCGAACGCAACAATGGGAGGAATCGATAGCTCAGGAGCCTGGCTTGAAGACGTCAAAGCCGCGGCATCGGCTTGGACATCCTGGAGACTAGGGAGCTGAACATCGAATGTCTCATCCCGAATACCCAGTGGGCGCCCCTGGATGGTGGCCACAGACCTTGGAGACGGTCAGTGAAAGTTCATCCTTGGCTTGCAAAAAGTGGGATTACCTATCCAGATGATATACGTTGAAAAAGACCATTTTACGAGTCAGAGCTGCGGCGTCGGAAGCGCCATTGTCGTCGGCGGGCATCCGATGCAGTCCTAGGTCGATACACTGTGCCATTGCCGTATATGTGAGTGTCCAGATATTCATCTCTGTTGGACTAAGCAGACTATGCACGGCTAAAAGGAGAATGGCTTGCAGAGTGGCTACCGATGCGTCTGAAAAGCAGTAATGAGCAACCGAAGTTGCTGCCCGGTAAAACTGGTCTGGTGCAAAATCGTACATTCTTTGACGGGTCCTCACGGTAGCCGCCAGCGTGAAAACCATGAATACATGGAATGTCGCCGTGAAGATGGATATGGAGGTACAGTTTACACCTCGCGAAAGGGCGAATTCTCCATTGTACGCGAATGGCTCAACTGCTGTAACCCAGCCATTGAAGCCAATCTCTGCAGAAGGCTCCGCAGCAGCGCACTGATACAAGGCTTCGATAGCCGCTACGATGGAGCCGGGATGCAAGAAGGGGTGCTCAGCGTGAATGTGACGAAAGTATGTTTCCAGCAGAATCTGAGCGTCTTCGCGAGCGGGTAGAGTCTACGCAATGTAAGCCACGCCACCTCTCTATGATCACTGGGAGTTTACCTTGCGCAAGATATCATAAACCAGCCTACTAGCTTCTTTCTGACGCTTTGCATAGGCAAAAGGACCCGGCTTCCCATAAGGACTGGATTGAGAGAGCGAGCTAGGGGTACTGCTTGCTGAAGTCTGGGTGGTCGTATCAGGCAAGCCTAGGCCGATGAGCGATGTGAATAGCCGTCCTGAAGAACTGCCCAGATAGTGGAGCTGTCTGGAGTCTGAGCCCAAGCTCAATAGGCCGAGATCCAAAGCCACAGAGCGCGCTTCGGCCGTGAAAGGTTGCTCCTGTGGCGGAGTTTGCTCTTGAGTGACGTCGAAAGTCCGTTTTGAAAGCGATGCGGCGTCTTCTGCTTCCACTGACTTGGCTTCGAGCGTCGCTGGGAGGCTCGCAACTTGCTGGAGGCGGAAATCTACTTTTGGACCATCATCGAGATTCACATGGGGAGTGTGGTGACGAAGCTGCTCTTCCAACCAATCAATGCGAGCGCGAGCATTTGCGGTAAAGTCGCGTGGAATAGAAATGGAGTTGTTTCGCCCGTCAACATCAAGACAGACCTCGTTGGCTTTTTGGCAGTTGCTGCAGGCTGGAATGCTGCCATCACACTTGATTCTCTTCATGCGGCATCGCCGGCACGCGATGCGGACCTTGGAAGTCATCCCATGTTACGCGCAAATTGAGACTGGATAGACAGCACAGCAATGATAAATGTGCGATATTGAGTGGTGCAAGTCATGGCATGAAGTGCTGGAGAGGCGCTACACGATTATAGTGCGTGGGGGCAGCCGACTAGACGCGGTGAGACGTTAATCCACCCCCAGACTCATCCAGAGAGCCTTTGTACAAATTTTGTTCGCGATACTCCGTATATGTGTCTTGAACTTGTCAAAAGGCATCGTGCAGTAGGCGGTGATGGCACCAACCGAAAATCCCACCGCCAAGCCGGTTGTTGCGCTGATGTACGGACTCGGCGCGGTTTGTGGCTCGTGAAGCGCATTGCATTCGACAACTGCTCCGCAACGCTCGCACAAAGAGCACCCATGCATGATGTCTCCAAACACGGCCGTCTTTCTAGATGCATCTTTTGACGTGAAATCTCGTGGAGCATCGAATGTGAGTAGCTGAATGCCTGGTTTGGAGGCATTGGAGACATAGAACACAGCACCGCCAGCGTGTAGCCATCAACGCTTGCGCACTGTGGATAGCAGAGTCCTTATAAGAGACCGCACAGTTTTGACATATCCACACCGCAGCTATTATCGTATCTTGACAAACTCGGGTTGGCTGAAATAAATTAGTATCAATGTGTAGATTGGGCGACACCAACAGCTACCCCCGACTTCAATGGCATGACTTTTGACTTGCCTGACATTTATTTACATGTGATGTTAATAATAAACAGTGAGCACTCGCTAACCTGTAGCATGCTTCCCCTTCAAGTTTAAGGCATTCCACATGCCACTGGAGTTCTTATACAGCAATCCTAACCGTTACACGGGCATCTCCATACCAAGTCCACATTCAAAGGCATCCCTTGCCCTAGACACATTTCCCAGCGGTTAGCTCTGCCCAGCTGTGATCCGGTAACGGTGGAGGTTAGCGTCATGTTCACTCCGGACCTGCGTTTGTGGAGCCCGGAGTGCTCCGGCCCCATTAATCTCATTTGTGTATTGCCCTTTGTGTTGACCACTTCTGAGCTGGGGATTTCGCGTATGCTTCCAGTCCCAGAATATTATTGCCGCTACCATCAATCAGTGCTTACAGTACGCGCTAGAGTGAAACTTGAATCTTGAAGGTCATTTGACTTCAGGGCCGCCAACGGTCAATTATCCAAACTATCAGCATTATGAATGAGGCCCACGACACAGACATAGAGGGACAGGAGATCTTGTTTCCAAATGGCGGATGGGATGTACATCATCATATCTTCGAGCGTACGTGCAATTCTCCTCAAATTTGATCCGTCCTAACTTATCGTAGCTTCCAGGTTTCCCTACTCTCTTGACAGGCATCTCACGCCGCCGCCGGCATCAGTCAAGCAATATACAGAATGGAAATCAGATCTAGGCCTTAGTCACTCAGTCCTTACTCACGGACTGTCATATGGAAATGACTGCACATCCCTCCAATCATTCGTGCCAGAGTTGGGCAAAAGCTGCACTATGGCAATCGGCGTAATAGACCCAACGAAGGTAACGCCCGTTGAACTCCGACAGATGAGAGAAGCCGCAATTCGTGGCATTCGGGTTAATATTTACAAGTACAACGCCATGCACGACGTCGAGCGCCAGAAAGTGGCGTTGAGAGAGCATGCTGCAGTCTTGAAACGCCATTGTCCTGGTTGGAGCATGGCTTTCACCCATACACATCCGGAATTCTGGGGCGAATTAGCGCCAGCCGTGGAGGAAATCGTTGCAAGCGGTATCCCCATCGTCACCGACCACTTTGCTCTCCTTAAGGCTGCTAGCACATTCCCAGAGGAGTACAGGGGCGATATAACTTCACAGCCTGGATTCTCTGATATCGTATCGCTTGTGCGGTCTAGTGCTCTGTACGTCAAGATCAGCGCACCGTATCGAATCAGCAACCTGGCGCCCGACTACACAGACGTGCGTCCTTTGGTCACAGCACTAGTAGAAGCGAATCCGCAGCAGATACTATGGGGTAGTGACTGGCCGCACACGCCGAGGATGACGGTCAGGTCAAGAGAAGAAGCGCTTCGGGAAACTTCTTACTTAAAGGTTGATGACCGGGCATGGCTGAGACAGCTAAAGAGCTGGCTAACAGAGGAGCAGTGGGACTTGATCATGGTGAAGAACCCGCAGAGGCTTTACGGTGGGCAGTAGTCAGTGGAACATGATGAATACGCTATGGCGAGTTGAACAGAGGAGTGAGAGTTTGTCGATTCAAGAATAAATGGAACGTTATTGCGGATAGTTGAATAGAGCACGCAGCTTCCTTTGGAGATTATGTAGATACTCTCAGCAATAAGCTCGACGGCGCCTTTGGCACGGGCGGCGAGTGATTCAAAGATCACGATGCTGGATTCTAGCTTTGAAGCTTTGAGCTGTGTAAGATGGCACTTTGAATGATTGAACAACGGCTTGCATGGTTCTTGTACTGTCACTAATAGGGAGGAAACTAATGCTACCATGACATCGGGAGCGGCCAACGATCCAGCAGGGAATACCAACATCTCGGTTCAGTCATCATTTACAGAGTATACTAATATCTTCATTTTTGAAGCTGTTGATGTTTGTTTGTACATTGTCTATTCGTACGCTATCTTGTTGGTGAAGTTTTACACGGACAATCAGTGGACGGGGGTTGCACTATTACATTCCACAGTACGAGTCCTCCTCACTAGCCCATATGGCCCCTTTAACCTTCCTGATGTGATCTTGAATGATCCCAGCCACCACAGCTCGAGGTTCGCACTAATAAATCCGAATCCATGAGCGCCTATCTTCAGCCTGTAGGCGCCTTTTAACGGTCTGAATATGAGCTCGAACCGTCTCGGCCGCCTCAGTTGGAGACATCATAGTCACATCCAACTCAAGTTCGTAATTATTCCGGAAACGGAAGACCTCTTCCGTTTCACATTTGATGCGTAAGTTCTCAAGGACTTTCACTCTTTCATAGCTTGCCGTGCCATTCGTGAATCTTTCCCTAGCTCTCTTACAAGCAAGTTCAACATCGAATTTTAGGATGATTGAGATGAGTGGCGAGTGGCTCATGACAGCGGCAAACTCGTAGTCGGCGGCAAGTGAGCCCCTGTTCTCCTCAGGGTCAAATTGATCGATCATGACCCATGTGGCTTCGCTGGCTTCCTCCGACTTGTAAATAGATTGCAATCTTGTCCGTCGCTATGATATATTAGAATATGAATCCACCAAGTCAAGACGTAGGGAAAGTGTGATCTGTTTGCAGAGAGCCATGCGACTTACCAGCGCTACGCGCAAGCATCGGTACTCCTCTAGAGTTTTGGCAAACGCTTTTGCAGGTTCAACATTGAGATTATCATCGATGATCTTTGTTTTCGGCATCAATTTGCTATTTGGCAAGGTGTTAGTCCGGTTTGCGAATCGGGGACATCGCACGCCAGCCGTCGACGTACCTTAGCTCCTCTGCCAGAGCAAGGTTACAACCGTTAAAGTGGCCGTGAATATAGACGACTGGAGTCATAGCTGGCTAGAAGTCGAAAGGACTGCTAGATATCGTGTGCCGGTATTGCGTATATTCGGATGGAAAGTGCGTGGTATATCTAGATAGAAGACAATGTCTCTGGCAAGATCGAGAGGAATGATGGTAAAGAATAAAATTTACTCGGGGAGGGAACGCAGAAGGGCATACTTTATATATGATGGATAATGAGCTGCGTTAGAGTGTACTGATAAGTGGCCAGATAGCTCACGACTGCTGGCACGCATTAGGTTAACTTTGTGATAGCTTTGAGGCGTACTTGGGTGGCGTGTCCATCTCCCGGGTGGGTTCAGTTCAAGTTTTATATACATGTACACCGAGATACTCCTGAACACAGGCAATAATACCATACATGTAAGTCTCAATACCTAGCCCCCTATTTAGCTCTGCTGAGCGTCAATATTGAAGCGCCTGGTTTCGAAGCGCCACGGCATCAATAAAGCCGCGCAATACTACTTTCAAATTAAATACACTGTTGTAATACAAGGCCGATGCCTGCTAGAAGCGTTCACGAAAGCAATCAAAGCAGCTCTTTTCCTCCTTTTCCCATTCTGCTTGTTCTATTTCTCCCTTTGTTCTCCTTCTTCTGTGTTCTTCTTCTTTCTCCTTTCTTCTCTTTTTCTTTCTCCTCCCTTTTCTTTTGGCTGCTTTGCTCAATTATGTCCGCTTTTTCAATTCTTGCGTTGTTCATTAAAGTCTGAATTTTGGTGTAAGTTAGGTTTGGTGGTAGTAGTTCTTCTCTAAAGAACATTTCACACATACTTCGCTGTAGTTCGTGACCAATGAACTGTGATTATGTCATCCTTGGCCCACACCAAAATCGGCGCATCTAGATTTTAGTAGTATCACGAATTAGCGCATTCTTCCCCCTGCTATTCCACCCACACTCGCCAATCTGACTCGCATGGAGGACTGGCTGAACGAATCCGGGGCGGCAGGCCTGAACGACCTGGAGCTTGCCGAATTCCCTGTCACTGGGCGTGGTGTGAGAACTCGGAGGCGTTTCCAGCAGGGAGAACGGATCCTCACGATTCCAGGTGATAGCCTCTGGACGGTTGAACATGCAGACAGCGATCCTCTTCTCGGGCCAGTTCTTCGCTCTGTACAACCACCCTTGTCAGTCGAGGATACTCTAGCTGTCTATCTTCTCTTTGTACGATTGCGCGAGCATGGATACGAGGGCCCGCGAAGCCATGTGGCGGCGATGCCCGCAAGGTACTCTTCAAGCATCTTTTTTAACGAGGATGAGCTGGAGGTTTGTGCGGGAACTTCACTCTATACTATCACGAAGCAACTGGAAGAAAGAATCGAGGACGACTACAGGGTATTAGTTATGCGAGTATTCACACAGCATCCTGATCTTCTCCCACTCGCCAAAATCTCCATCCAAGACGTAGGTATCATGAACGCGTGATTTATTGTAGCGAATCAGCCACTAAAGCTTCCCTTTCCTCTAGTACAAATGGGCACTCTGCACCGTCTGGAGTCGGGCAATGGATTTCGTACTGCCGAATGGAAAACCGCTTCGAGTTCTGGCGCCCTTTGCTGATATGATAAACCACTCGCCTGAGGTCAAGCAGTGTCATGCTTACGATCCCTCGTCTGGAAACCTCTCTGTTCTTGCAGGAAAGGACTACGAAATCGGAGACCAAGTATGTTCACCGTGTTTCCTGGCACTAACTTATATGCTAATCGGAGACTATCACCTCAGATTTATATATCTTACGGGTCTATTCCAAACAATCGCCTTTTACGTCTCTATGGCTTTGTTATACCAGAAAACCCCAATGATAGTTATGATCTCGTTCTTTCAACGCACCCTATGGCGCCTTTCTACGAGCAAAAGCAAAAATTGTGGGCATCGGCTGGACTGGACTCAGCCTCTACCATCCCCCTTACTCTCATCGATCCTTTACCGAAGAGTGTCCTTCGATATCTCCGTATTCAGCGACTGGATGCATCAGACCTCGCAGCCATTGCGCTTCAGAAACTCGATACAAATGAGAAAATCAGCAATTCAAAGGAAGTGGAGATCCTACAGTTCTTGGTAGAATCAATCAGTGCTCTTCTTGACGGCTTCAATACTCCATTCGAAAAGCTACAAAAGCAGCTCGCAAAGGGCGTCTACCCACTAGGTGGGAATGCATGGGCGGCGGCGCATGTTAGTCTGAGCGAACAGCGGGTACTGATGCTGGCGAAAAAGAGAGCTGAGAACTTACTAGAGGCAGTGGAGAGCGGGAGCGGGAATGAGAGAAGTTTATTATCGCCGCTAGCTCGATGTGTAAATTGTGGAAAGGATTCTGTACCATTGATGCTGTGCGGGAGATGCAAAGGGGTTAGGTATTGTGGGCGGGCGTGCCAGGTTGCTCATCACAAAGAGCATAAGGTGATCTGTCAAGCTATGGCTAAGATGAGGTGAATATAGAAAAGCTCAATATTTCCACGAGACACTGAGTAAATACACAAACATAAATATGACAGCCTCTGAGCCATTCGGAATCTACGTAGCACTGATAACAGCGTTATATGCAGCTTTCGGTTGGTAGTTGGCATCAAAAAGAAGGGGGTTCGAAGAAGCCCTCCAGCTATCGACATCACGAACGCCCCAGCTTGTAATGCCCACGCAGTTGGACACTGCAAGGCATCCCTGAACGACCGCGACATAATCAGCGGAGGGAGCACTAGCAATATCAAGCTCGGTGAGGGCAACCTCCGGAGCCGCAGCACTTAGGGCCTTGAGAGCAGCTGCGTTCTTGGACCCTCCACCAGCGCTGAGATGGCCCTGGCTGCCGATTCCGTCAATGGGAATGCCTTGAGAGCGCCACTTCTGGACATAGGAGATCAGGCCCTTGGTCTTGGCATAATTCGGGTCATCAAGGTTGTAGTCATTGATGTATAGCTTTGCGGTAGGGTCCTAGGATCATCATCAGACCTTAATTCTGTTAATAGCCAGGTGGAAGGGGGCGCTTACGGCACTCTTTGCTGCCTGGAAAGCGATGCGAACAAAGTCCTCACCGAGAACGTTGTAAAAGACCGATTGACGGAGAGTTCCATCTTCATTGAAGATTTCATTAACAACATCCTACCGGAGACTATTTGTTAGCACTGTCATGATAATCAAGTAGCTTGTTACGCCAAGTCCCTACCCAAGCGTAAAGCTTTCCCTTATAACGGCCAGCAACGTTGGCAATATGATTCTGTAAGACCGATGTCAAGGTATTCTTATCGGTGATGCTTGACACCCAAGATGGTAGCTGCGAGTGCCAGAGGAGGTTATGGCCGCGAATCAACAGACCGTGTTGCTGGGCGTAGTTGACCAGGTAGTCTGCGCCAGCAAAGTTGAACTGGCCGCGTGAAGGCTCAGTGGCATCCCATTTCATGCTGTTTTCAGGAGTGACTTGGCCAAACTGTGTCGGCACGAATGCTGACATGCCACTCTTGGATAGAGAACTTTGATCAGTAGCAGTGCCCCAGTACTTCTTACCATGAGCCTTGAGCTTGGTGTTCAGCGATGTGGACTGTCTCTCCTCGATAGGGGAGGCGGCAGCACTGCCAATGGTAAAGACCACGGAAAGCAGTGTTGTGTACAACATTATGGCGGAACGAAGTCTCTTTCAGAAGTAGAGGGACAAGCAAAGATTGATGCACAAAAAGCTGATTCTCAGAACATGCCTTTATCACAGGTAAAGGCCAGTTTATATACCTATTCCTGAGCTCCCGAAGCTTTAACCCAACGTCGGTACATAATTTTCCTAATCTAGTAATTCTTGTAACATACCCGGTGTTTTGATTTGATCCAAAAATTGCTATTCTCCCGTGACATTTTTTGTATACAAAGAGAAAATTAGAGCCGAGGACCTGCCAAGCCAGCGGTTAATTATTTGGCAACGCCATTTCTTTTCGTCTTACAAATAAAGGGATTATTCTTGATAAATGGAAATACAAAATAATTCTGTTACTGCTACGCAATATGAAGCATGGAATACTATTCTTTGAACTCTGATTGTTTATTCCCCACTCAGCGAGCGCACCCCGATGCACAAAGGGCACTGCAGCTAATAGCGATGCCACAGATCCTTGGATGCCCAAGAAATAAAGATAAATTAGGCATAATATGCATAATGTTAAAAAAGAAATAGGCTAAAAGCACGCGGTCCCTACATATTACAACTATAGATGCATTTTCCCAATTAGGGCGGACCAGGTTGTCATTAATAAACTCTGGTGGACTTCAAGTTGGTTGGCTCGCCCGTTTGGGTAGTTTGTCTTATGCGGCCCAATCCGAGAAGAGATGCTGCCACCCGTTTTTCGAGGACTTTTACTACTATCACACGTACTTGAGGTATGATATTTAATAAAAATGATTCCCTTGATGGCATTAGCCGTGTACAAAGGGTGGTTGAACCAATCCTACATTGAGCAACGCTTTTATCCTCAGTGGTGCCTGTCGGCCCCTACCGGTGCTAAGCCCGGGGCGTCAAACGCGGGGAAGTCATACAAATGCCGGTCAAGTGATGCCAGATTTCCCAATGGCCAATGGCATAAGTATCGGCAGGGTTGCAAAGTAAGCTTATAAGTTACTAAAAACAGCGTACATGAATTTTATTAATAGGCCAAAGAATATTAATAAACTTTATTCGCTTATGAAAGCACCTAGTTGTACAACGTTTGACACAAGGCCGTCCAACAGATCTAAATATAGCAATAGCCCTCTCAATACCTTGCTCCAACCATTAAAAGCACTGGATTGGAAGTGTACTTGAAAGATCTGTAAGAAATGTATTTCTCACTAAGAAGGGTATCTAGAAGAAAATTTGAGTTCTTCCGTTTGTTATTGTACATTGTGTGAGACTTGATAATGGTATAATAGCGGCTTCAGCAGGGTAGCTTTGAAGAAATCCAGTCATTTTACCGGGTGTTTAAATAACCTTCTGATGGTTGACCAACTCGAGCCTGATATGGGTAAGAATGCAGGAACTACCAAAGGCTAAATTGGCTGGGAAAATGGGAAAATATAATTGCTACTCTGTCCAGCTACATATCATTACGTATTTGGGAGAACTCTAATCTCCTACTTATCCCCTTTGACCTTGAATTGTTTTGGGAAGTATCACACTCGAGCTGCCCTATACTGATGCTGAGTAAATGCAGAGTGGAATGTTTACTTTTTAGGCTAAATGGTGAGTGTTACTACTATGCTTCGGCCTAGTGGTTTGACTTTCCTGTCTGTTGACTGCAAAGTAAAGGCCATGGGCTGGCTCTAGCATGCGGTTAAAAACAAAGGATTGGACATAGACGTTTGCTTCACTCGTCATAACGCCATTGCCTCACATCTTGTATCATTTGCACCACAACTGAACCAAAAGATAAATGCAGTCACGCTTGAGCCTTGCGCTTCTCTTTGCGGCTTTGGCCACTCTAGTAACTGCACAATCCTGTCCCGCCGTTCACATCTTCGGTGCCCGAGGCACCACCGTTCCCCAAAGTAATGGCTATGACCTCCTCCTCCCTCTGGTAAACCAGCTGAAATCCACGTACGCTGGCGCCACGTCCGAGGCAATTGTCTATCCAGCCTGTGGCGGGCAAAGTTCCTGCGGAGGAGTTGCATATGGCGACTCGGCAAAACAGGGAACTGCCGCCGTGGCTACGGCTGTAAATAATTTTCACAACAATTGTCCAAATACCAAGTTGGTGTTGATGGGATACTCACAGGTACGTTGTATTATACCTTCAAGAAACATTGTGTTAATATTATCTCTGCTTACGCTCTCTTTAATTAATGCAGGGCGGACAAATTATAGACAACGCCCTATGTGGAGGACCTGATCCCAACGCGGGAATCACTAACACGTCTATTCCCATTTCCGCAAGCGCTGCACAAATGGTCAAAGCAGCTATTTTCATGGGAGATCCTCGATTTGAGTACGGGGCTTCTTACGAGATTGGAACTTGCAGGCTTGGAGGAGTACGTCTACACCAGAGACTTGGCTTCCTCCGTGATTTGTTGACTGACTTCCTCTGCAATAGTTTGCTGCGCGCCCAAAGGGCTTCACATGCAGTAATGGATCTAAAATTCAGTCTTATTGTGATTCTCCCGATCCTTATTGCTGCCAAGGCAATGATGCGAGCGCTCACGGGGCCTATGTCAATGTCTATGGCCAGAACGCTATTTCCTTTATTGAGTCCAAGTTGAACTCTTAGGCAGATCAGTGCTAAAGTGCGAGCGTATCAGTAATTGAATTGGCACATACCGCTGTGTATAGTCTCAGTGATAGATGAATAGCATTAATTTTTAATGTTTCAATTTGGTAAGGGAATAGTTATCTAGCACCCCGACCGTAGGCACTATTTTGAAGAGACATCACGTTTTATCACAAGCTGAACCGTGATCTATCTTTAAGCTACATGAATCAACGTTACTATTATACCATTTATCTAGCTCTGTATGAACATAGCACGTCGAGAGATTATTTTATATGCACATGAAGCTTCCCACTCTGTTACCATAGCTGAGAGTCCCCGTGCCGGGGTTTTGCAATGGCGTGGAAGAGGCGGGATAGCCACAGTGAGCATCGCTGAAAGAGTCAGAGCTCTGATCATACAACTTTGTGAATATGCGGAATGACTTACACGTAGAACATGCAGGAGCCCACGTTGGGGCCGGCAGAACCGACTGTCTTCATGCTGGGGTACGTGTCAGCAATAAACTCCGCCATTTTAAATGTGCTCTGACTTACTGAGCCTCATCCAGGGTTTGGCAGCCATAGCTAGACCAGTTGTAGTTGTTGCAAGTGCCACCCCAGTTCTGCGCACTGCACAGGTAGATCTACAAATATATTAGAACGGGAAGGGTGCATAGACTTTTCGTTTAGAACAAAGAGAGCTCACTGTGCCGCTGCCGGAAGCGCTTATGGCGGGGTTTGTGCACATGAAGCTGCCAACATTGTTGTTGATGTTGGAGTTGCCGGGGTTCTTGACACCCTGCAGAGAGGAAATGGGTGTTTCGCAGATGGAGTCGCTGGGTTCGTTTAGCGAATGTACATGGATAGATAGAGACGAGAGACTCACGAGTAGAGAGTACAAGATCCCTCATCAGGACCAAAAGCCTCGACATTATAGTTGCTACTCAATCTCAATTAGCATTGATAGCGGTTACTTTCTTGATGCTCACTTACACATTGCTGCCAGCCAGGTTCTTGCAGGCAAAATTTGGCCACGGGATGTTTTGGCACGTTCCTTTGAATCCGGAGGCGGAGCAAACATACGACTGAACAAAAATTGGCATCAAATCACAAAAAGTAGAAGAAACAGAATATCATGAAATAGGGAAAAGACAGCAGAAGACTAGGGTTGCCTTACAGAGCCAGAACTGGAAGGCGCCGAAGCTCCAGAAGTGATACCCGTGCCGGGTGGCGAGCCAGACTTTGGCTTTTCACCAAAGCCAATCTGGGCATTGTCAAAGTCAAAGACGATGAAGAGTTCCTCCATGAGGTTCTGGGCAAAAAAATAAGGGGAACTGTTGCTGACGCCCAGCTTAGAAAGGCAGTTGGTGCCGTCCAGGGAAAACGCCACCAGGCCACTTCCCGGTAGGGTAAACTTGGTGACAGCTCCGATACCAATCGTCAGGTCCGGCAGGCTCTCGGAGCACGGATATTGGTACTGATTCCAGGCGCTGTTCCATGTCGAGCCGGGCACCTGGGAGAAGTAGTAGTCGGCCAGGGTTCGGGGCACGCCGGAGCCACCAGTGCCTGTGTCGAGGATGACGGGCCAGCTGTAGATGATGAAGGTGCCGTTGACGATGAAGCCCGAAAATTCTGTGATCCATTCGCCGCCGCTGGATGACGAGACATCGAGGGGCGCGTAGGCCATGGCGCCGGTGAACTTTGAAGGGTCGACATATCCGAATTCGAACTCGCCCGAGTTGGTCGAATCATCGTATGCGACAGTGAAGACGCCGGCTAGTCAAACAACTATTAGCTAAATGACGTTTCCAAAATCGACATATATAGGGATCTTACAGTCGAGAGCTGATCGGATGGACCAGAGAAAGCCTGAAGGACCCCTTGGGTTCGCAGCCTGTGGTGTTCCAAAGCTCAGGCCTACGTTGCCCGTTTGGTCTCCTCCCTTAGACGACGCACTGTTGACGACCTGGATAGGTACCCCTGTGACTGTGACATCGCCCAGAGTGCAGACGTCGGTGTAGACAATGCCGGAATCGCAGTATCCGCTGCCGTAGCATTCTGAGTAGGTGTATCCCGGCAGCTGACGCGCCGTGGACGAGGACCCGGGGCTGTAGATGGGGCCGGTTCCGCGTAGAGACGCTGCCAAGAGGTCCGATTCAATGGTGAAGTCCCCGGAGCCTGTATCAGGGAGGAGTTCGAGGGTCTGAGGAGGTGTACCGACTTGCATCGGCATAGACCACCTGTTTAATCACGTTAGCATTCCATCCGTTGCTCGTCGATATAGTCAAATATACAGAGAGTTAAATGGCACGTCACCGGTTTTGGCTCGGCTGGCTATCTTGCTGTTTGTTGTGGTAGTTGCACGCTTGGTAAAAGGAAGCTTGAATCTTCCCTCGCTCTTGGGGGCAGCAGCATCATCCTGGCCTGGCCGAGCAGCAGCCGTTGCTGCAAGGCCGGCGAGACATGCAAGACTTGAATAGAGCATTGCCAAGGCTTTCTGTTGTTCGTTAACTCAAGGTGAATGAAGGCTAAGGCTGGCTGTGCTAGGTAAACGATCATCAGGGCGCAATGCATATATAAGAGACGATACTCCTTGTTTTTACAATACTTCATGCGACATACAATCATGGTACTATTTTCTTGGACGAGGGCCCATCGTTGATTCCTCATGACACTATCTTTACTTTCACACTAGCTGCCCAACCATCATGGGCAATGGTTGGTGGAAAATAGGATTATACAGGGTCTATTGGTCTGGTAGTTGGATATACTATAAGCTTACGGCCTGCTAAACCACGAGTTACACGAGCCTTGCGAGATCCGAACTTAGCTGACTTGAGCAATAGGTCCCGCTTCCCGTGCATCTACTAATGAAGCTTTAGTGTGAAATCGGCCAAATTACTATGCATGCTTTATAACTTCTTTATAAACATGGGACATGGGCAGGGATTTAGCTAATAAGGCCACTCTTAGTACCTATACGGTATTTTGCTGACGAGTTGGGAATCAATTTCTGAATTGGCTCTCACGCGTATGAATACATCCACGGATAACCGGCTTGTCAGACCGCTACTATAACAGCACAGCGAGACCAGTTACGGAATCATTTGACCTAGCCGGCGCGCCCCCGTTCGCTTAAGAACAAAGCTTCATCAAGACATGCTATGAGAAAGGTTTTACAATAGAGACTCAGGGCATGTGCAGAGGTCTTGTGAAAATAATCTTTGGAGAGCCGGAGAATCTCAGCGCCCGTCCAAGGAGTTTTTGCAAAGGCCAGGAAATCATATTGGCTGTTGAGATGATATCTTTCAGACCAAAGCCTAGAGAAGTATTAGATCCACTCATTGAAAAGCCCCGAGAAGTGCCGAACCCATAAGCCAACCTATCCTTGAACAAGGCCTGAAATGGTAATAGGTATACTATTTCTCTTTAAATAAGCTAGTAGTTCCCGTGGAAGCATTGAGCTTAAAGTCTAAATAGGGGTGCTATTTGGAATCCAGCTTTGTCTTACACGGCGACACCCCTCTGCCTAGGTAGGTAGGTATTCTTACTTATTCAGAAAGCATGTAACTAAAACCAACTATTTACTCCCACTTGCCCATTGACCCCAACATGAACCGGCTTATAGAACTAGTTGTGGAATACAATTCGGATATTCGAGATTTTAATCTTTGTCTTACTTAATTTGTACAAAAGCTTCATGAGTCATACATGTTGGCTAGCTAGATTTTTTTGATAGCGAGATAGTGTCAAGACCATCTTCATAAATTGGAATACCGAATGGATAATAAGCCGCCTTTAAAATCGACGTCTTCACTACCTGATGGATAGATAAAAAGAAGATTGTGGACTTTCAGTATATCGACCTGACAACATCAGGAACTAACCACCCCTCCCTTTATACCCTCTTTGATGTATTCTTGATGCCCCATAGACGGCTTACCAGCGAATGCTTGGGCTGGTGTAGAACGCTTGGGTGGATCCAAATACTGGAAGGCACTTTCTTCACGCCCATCCTTGAGAAGTCCCATGGCTCGAAAAAATCGATAAAATTTAATCACATCTTCATGTTCTTCATCTCCTTCAGGAGCAGCCCCACGTTGTTGCTCCCACTTGCGGGTTGCGTTGACAATCTGAGCGAGGACTTCGGCTGTGATGCCATCTGGATCACGCGGCTGAACCCACTCGCCGCCGTCCTTTGGCCCCAGCACGGCAGCTGCATCGTCATATCCACGATGCGCATCAAAGACGAAAAGTGTAGCGTGAAGCCTGCCACCTGGTACGATTGAGCGATGATAGGCACCGCCCGGAACGCTGTAAGTCATATCACGCGAATGCGGTACGCGACTGACCGGGGTTACTCTCACGAGTTTCCCCGTGTTCCTGATCGTTGAACTCATCTGGTGGGTCTGGTATCCCGTACTATTCTGCTTGCCGTCTGCCGGGGCATAGCAACACTCGTAGAGCGCATGAGTAGTCAAGGAGGGATCGTCAGGGGTATCGACCTTGAAGGTGCAGTCTGTGCCAGATCCCAGCAATATCCAGCTCTGTCCATACGGTTGGTGGGCATGGATACACACCTCTTCAGAGATGCCCCGTTGCCCGTCAGGGAGCCACGTGTGAAGCCGCCACAGCTCCTGGATGCGTCCATCTTTGACGAGACTGCACAGCGGGACGGCCAAGAATCCCTGCGCGCTGCGGGAAACAGTGAACTGAAGGTCTGTGTCTTGCGCGGTGATTATAGCATCGTAGACTGGGGTCCAGATCGAATCGATACTCGCTGCATTCAAGTCTTGACCGGCCCGTGCCTTTTCTCGCAGTAACGCAACGGCTAGAGTGACTTGGACAAGCTGCCTCGTCCCAGCATTGGAGTTTTCGGGATTTGAGTTTATGGCTACAAGCCACCCGCGGAAGGGAAGGGCATCATCAAGATCGTTCGCTGAATCGGATGTGTTTTGACGCTGCTGCAGCCACTCAACCAGCGGTTGAACATATTTACTAGGCGCTTTAGTAGCCACTGCAACGCCTGCGAGTACGAGTAAAAGCGACGACGTCGTGATGCTTGTATTCTCATCTAATACGTCAGCGGTCCATGGATTGGAGAGGTGCGGGGTCTTGACAGCAGCCATTTTTGTGCCGCAGCTCTGGACCTGGGCTTGGTGCGTATATGGCTCAGAGATGGGGTAAACAAGGTCTATAGGTCTTGATTTTGCTTGTAATATCGTGGTAAAAGATGAGGATCAAGACGTGGGCTTTATATGTATAGGTATGTATATGGATAACGTCAAGTTAGAAACAAGGAAACTAAGAGAAGTGGCGCGGCTTGGCGATCGCTGGAAGCCTCGAAGGAGCGGCAAGGCGGGACGAGCCTGTTGCCTAAATATGGACAAAGCCGCCTCATTACTGCATTTGGGATGGGCGCCGACTCTAAGCAGGCAAGACGTGGAGAGATCTTGGTGGTCAGTTTGAGTCAGCCTTGCGCCCCAAGAATGTCCAATAAGTTGAGGGCCACTTGATAATCACATGCACTTTTATGTAACTCAGTATTTCGCAATCCCCGTTTATTATTGCAAAGTATATGTAAAATACTTGTGCTGCCTAAAACGTTTATTTAAAATGCATTATTCTGCCTACACCAAAAGGCATATAAAGCCTGATAACCCCTCACAACGGCGATCAACTCTGGCGACTCATACAACGTCTCTCCCAAGCAGTTTGCTCTGCCTCATCAAAAAGTCAATCTTTGGTCTGTCCAACTTCTCCTCTGTTAGTTTCAGGTCGCCCACATCAAGGACATGACTTGTATCGCCCTCCTTGAAAGAGCCGTCGCAGTCCTCCCACCATTGGTGCAATCCGTATGATTCGACAATCGCACGCATAAGCATAACTTCTACGGCACACCATGCTCGCTCATAATAAGTCTCATCCACCAGACTGATCATGGCGTTACACTGCATGACTGCAAGCGGCAATGCATCAACGCCACGCTCTTTCTCCTGCCCATCTACTTGATCAACGCAAAAGTAGTCCTGATAAATCAAGACGTCAGCTTGAGATCATTCCAAATCGGAAATACAACTTACCAGCCATAAGCCCAAACAATCTGGGTCAAGGTGAGGATTAACCTTCTTGAATTTCTCAACTGCATTTATTATACGGCGCCACTGGGTTCCCGATTCATCATCCGGTCCATTTCCACCGCCAATCCAGCGGTACGAAATAAAAATAACAAAATCATCTTCCTTTGGCTTCTGTGTCTCACCCATAGCGTCAGAGAATTGCTTGTCCAGACCAGACGTAGAAATAGGAAGTTTCCCATAGTTCACAAAATCGGTGAACTTCATATAGTGAAATCGACTAAACATGCGCCTTTCCTTGGTGTCTTGTGAGATGAATCTCGCATAAATTTTCCTTAATTCATGGAAAGCTCCGCTAGGCTTCTTCCTCAGCACAGGTCTCATATGCTCCTGGAAGATAGTTCGGTATTGGCGGCGCAACTCTGCTTGCCGTTTTCGGATCAAAATTTCTTTGTCGACATCCTTGCTGGCTAACTGAAGAGCATTTCGCAGCGCTTTCTCAACGATTGGGATTGCTTCCCTTGCATGAGGGCTATCACTGAGTACGGCGTGGTCCAGAGCACTGAAACCTTGCTCATCGTATGTATCAAAATTAACACCAGCATCAGCCAAGAGCTGAAGATGCTCATTATGCTCTTTGCCTGGCTCCTTGCAGAGAGCCATGGGGGCGCTGCATGTTCCAGATGGGGAATTCCACTGTTCCAATGCTTTTTCAGCTTGACCATCATGCCACAGAGCATTACCGTAGTAAAATTTGGAAAAGGCTGTGACTGTTGGGTCCTGGCGCGATTGCTTTCGTTGAGACTCTTCTGCAAGTTGTACAGCAGCTTCTGTTTTGCCCGCAGCGATATAACAAAGTGTCAAACGGTCCATGGCTATAATTTCCCAAGTTTGCGCCATTGCAAGATACTTAGACCGAGGATCCGCTTTGGATATATGTCGTTGAAGGTCTTGAGCTCGAGTTATGCGCTCTTGGAGTTGGCTGAATGCAGCATCGAGCAAAGCAGGATCAGGTGGGTTAGAAAGCTGCCACAAATTATAGGTCGACATTCCCTCGTTACCAATTGCGCGACAAATTTCGGCGTCTGATTCAATACTAGGGGGTTCTTCGCGAGCCAGACGACCTTGTTCCCGGAATAGGTCTCGGGCCTCGTGATAACGGTTGTTGTGCCTTGCCATGACACCAAGTTCGCCTGAAACCGCATTAATCAACATCTTCAAACATGTCGTTATTTTTGCATGATCGCAGCTAGTGTCTTACCTAGGACAGAGGCTCTAAAGGATGAAGTTGGACTTGCATATGCTTCAAGCGATTGCTGAAGCGTCTTCTCGGCACGATCATATTGTCCTAATCGTCGCCAAATGCCTGCTACATCAAAAAGCAGTTCCTGTTTTCGTCGATTGGCTTCTGGAAAAGCTGGATCTTCGCATATGAATAATGCCTCTTGTAGCAGTCGGAGTTTTTCTTGCCACAATGCTTGTTTATGGTATTCATTAGCTCGATTTATTAGTCTTTGGTAATCATCCACAGAGTTGGCCGCCATAGCAAAGTCGTCGTGGGTTGAATGCACAACAAGGTTATGCGAGCACAGTGCTGTGTACCGGGTTGTTATGTCTAAACCAGTCCATACAGACCAGAAATTGACACAGCTTTCGATACCGCCAAGCCCCAGTTTTGCCGTGCGCAAGTTAAGCTTACAATTTGGATGCGGGGTTACAGCGACAATGAGATGCAGTTAGTCTCTAAACCCCGTTAGACGAACCAATTGAAGATCAGACCCAAAGTATTCAGACATGTATGACCCATTGGATGTCTTGTTAATCTTGTCAGAGGCATTGTCGGAACTTGCTGAGCCCTGTCATCCAGCGCGTGTGGAGACGAGCCGGAATCAAAGGATTCAGCTGTAGAAATCTAGCAGTAACTCGGGCTTCTGCGCGATTTGTGCCTGGCAGCCATTAAAAACGGTCAAAGCTTAAAAACATTGGAGGTTCCTCTTCTTCCAATTTCTACGTCTCACCCAATCACATCCGCAAGATGAACGCAGCTACACCAATGATCCGCTGCTGGCGACCAGGTCCTGCTCTGTTGCCGGTCACTCGGCAGCCCCGGTTCTTGAGCTCTTCGCTTGTAGGGCGAGCCTGTTATTCGGATCGAATCAAAGTGTCTCTGCCGCATCAAAAGACGGATCGCTATACCACCAAAGCGGGCAACGCGACTTCTGCGACATCCCCGCCACGGTCGATTTGGCGTCTCTCCTTCTGGAAATGCCGCCACACCTGGAGGCGAGCGGGAGTCAACACGCTGCGTTGCCTGGTGGGCTGTACGGTTGGTGACTTTTCAGCGCTGTGGATGCTACAAACCTATTACCCAGAACTCGGGATGACCACAATCATGGGTGCATCCAGTAAGTTCCACTACAATACACCTCAATTGGTAAAATCCAACGGGAAGATAAATTAATACTAAAACAACGATACAGTGGTATCTGGTATCACGACTTCAATCATTCTGGAAAGCATTCTACTCCGACGCGGCGCAGACCAACTTTCTTGGCCTATGGCCGTCCGTACTGCTATGGGCATGAGTATGATATCGATGATGGCGATGGAGGCAGCAGAGAACATTGTCGACTACCATCTAACGGGTGGCGTAGTGGCCTTGGGCGATCCAAATTTCTGGATGGCAGCGGTCTTGTCTATAGCCGCCGGATATCTCGTTCCACTGCCATACAATTACCTGCGCTTAAAAAAGTATGGGAAGGCTTGTCACTGAATCTGGCATATGTGGCTGCTAGGATCTGAGTAGCAGAAGCTAATCCTGTAGTTGGACCTACTATTTAACTGCGAAAAATTACAAATACCAATCGAAGCGAAACATAGTCTGCACATTGGGAAATAGGTTATCGTGCACCTATATTGTTTCAATTTCTCGCTATGCACGTTTTCTACGTAGCCAATATATTGATATAAGTTGATGACTGTAAGTCCCGCTGAAAGTTACACCATCCGCTACTAGTTGACAACCATGTTCTAATAGTCTCTAGAGCAAGATATAAGTGCACTTGCATGTTAGCGCCAGTAGATACCGATGTATTCAATTCTTCCAGGTGTTGAGAGACACCTGAAATCCAACTTCAACTCTACCCCTGCCAATACTACCTTTCGGCACCCCGCAGCGACACGAAGCTAGCGCGAGACCAATGTTGCAATGCACAGAACCCTCGGATCTTTTAAACTAGAATCAATCGACGGTGAATTTTGCCGCAGGTCAACTTGCCGTAAAGACTTGCCGTGCGGAGATATGGCTGTCAAGGGTACTGGGAAATGGCAATGATATAACCGGCAGCCTTTCCTCCACTGTCGTATCGATTATGCTGCTAAAGCTCATTTGAAAGATAAATTTATGTCCTAATTCTATGCGGCCATGGTGAATCCATCAGACTACCTATTCCAAGCCGTGTTGGCCTACAAGTCTCTTACTGAGACTTGCAACCCGGACTACCTCAGCCATGACTTGAACATAAAGGATGGAAAAGTCCTCCAAATCAACGCCACACGGGTTACGGATGCCGCCGTGTCCGGGGCTGAGGGCCCCATTGACTACTGCAATATCATCGTCACCTACACGCACCCCAAATACAACGACACGATTCACACTCAAGTGGTGCTGCCGTCCGCGAGCCACTGGAATGGTCTATTTCAGGGAGTTGGCGGTGGTGGATGGGCAGGAAATAGCGGCATTGGCTCTCTCATGAAGCCGCTTGGCCAAAACTACTCTGCTGGGATGACAGATGCGGGCCATGATCCCCGTCTTCCAGACTCCAGTTCCTGGTGGCTGGACTCTCACGGGCAAATCAACATTGGCCTTTTCACCGACTTCGCTTCCGTTGCGCTGGGTGACCTCGCCGACATTGGCAAGCAGCTCTCCAACAGATACTACGGCTATGGACCTGTCTACTCCTACTGGAATGGCTGTTCCACGGGCGGCCGCCAGGGCTGGATGATGGCCCAGCGGTATCCAGAAGCGTATGATGGCATTTACGCTGGAGCGCCCGCCGCACAATGAGACCGGTTTATAGTCGCCGAGTACTGGGGTGTTCTCCAGATGAATATCCGTCAACGCTACCCGAATCAGTGCATCTTTAACGCCTTCAATGCCGCTGTGATAGACGCCTGTGACGGTCTTGACGGCGTTACCGACGGCGTCATCAGCAACTTTGCTGCGTGCAAATTCGACCCCCAGTCCATGATTGGCACTCAAGTAGACTGCAGAGGCACGGAGCTGATGATTGCCGAGGCAGACGCTGAGATAGTCGCGGCGACATGGCAAGGGCCTCGAACCCAGAACGGAGATTTCATCTGGTGGGGGATTCTGCCAGGAACACCGTTTTCTGGCTTATCAAACACCATATGCACAAACGTTACAGACTGCAAACCTGCCCCATTTTCCATACCTCCGGATTGGATCAGCCGGTGGTGTATGGGTGACGCCACCACCAATCTAACTGCTCTCACTGTAGACGACTTCGTTGACGTCTTTGACAAGTGCAAGGCAAAGTACGAGCATATTATAGGCACCAATGAGGTGGATCTAACACCTTTTGCTCGAGCCGGTGGCAAGATGATCTCATGGCATGGCTTGTCCGACGAGCTAATCTTTCCTCTTGCCACGGGGGACTATTACCAGCGCGTCCTTGATGACGATCCCAATGCAAAGGATTACTTTCGCTTCTTCTACGCCCCAGGTGCCCAACATTGTGGCGGCGGTGCTGGTTACGCTCCGTTAAATCCCTTCCAGGCAGTTGTTGACTGGACAGAGAAAGGTATTGTTCCAGAGACTCTTGCCGCCTCTGGTCCATCAGGAAACCGGGACTTGTGCCTGTATCCTCTTGTTGCTGTCTATAAAGGTGGAGATACAAGAGACGCGGACTCATATGACTGCCAAGAAGATTTCAATGCTGAATAAAGACTTTGCATTAGACATGGCATTGACGTAATTTGTGTTTCCTATTGTCAAGGAATTGTTAAAGGACTAATAGCTGTAGTGATCATCTAAGAAGGATGACGTTTCAGAAAATCTACGCTTTGATATGCTACCATACAAGTCGAGGCCTTTGAGGTTGTAGTGAAGCTATACATCGTTTATGCAAATTTTATAATGCTTTCTACGTTTTCCACAACAGAATCTTCCAATGGCCTCCATCCATTCTGATCTGTCCATTTCTTTAACAGCGCAAGCGGCTCGCTGAAGTCGGCAGAGATACTCAATACAGTCTGATTTGCTAGATCATCGATCAACTCGTGATGCGGGTAGTTTTTACGCATAATGGTCAAAAGATCATTGGCATTGCATTTGTGACCCCAGACATGGAGGCGCGCGTTTGCGACTTCGGGATCCAAGATGGCGGCAAAGTGAATTGCAGCCACATCCTTGACATCAACAGCGAAGACTAATAGCAATAAGTTAGTTACGCTGCTTCGAATATAACGTAAGCCAAGTTGCTGGGCTATTAAAATAGCATCAAACTTACTAGCAGGCATTGAATTCCAGAAAACTGTATTACCGTCATACAAAGTCCTCACCCAGGCCCCGTCGCCTTCGTTATGAACCTTGTTGAGCGCCTCTCCTATAATGACTGACGGCACCACAGAACTAATTGTAAAATGCGGTCGCTGCTGTTCAGCAAATTTCCACAGCGCCTTCTCAGCTGCTACTTTGCTGGCCATGTAGGTGAGCATACCGCGCCCAGCTTCATAAGGAGGGGGCGCCAAAGAAGCCTTGGTAGCGAAGTCGTTGTAGGTGCCTTTCGTAACATAAGCTTCATTGCCAGGTGCAAGCATTGTTGCGGCGCCGAGAGAGCTTGTATATACAAAGGACTTGACCGATGGCTCCTTCATCGCTGCATTGAGGATCGAAGTAACGCCGGCGACAGTTGCTGGGATGACTTTCGTCGGGTCTGGATCCATGCTAAGGATGCTGGCTACATGGGCGATAGCTGAGACTCCCTGGATAGCCTCATCATAGGCTTTGGTTGCCGCTATATCAGGGATGTAGCAAAATTCGAATCTACCAGTGTCGGCATAATCCTTCAGGACGCTCTTAACAAGCCAGGCAGCTTTTTCTACATCTCGCACGGTCCCGCGAACTCTGTATCCGCGCTCGAGCAGGGCTTTTGCAATGTGAGATCCCACAAAACCAGTCACACCAGTAACAATCACCAAGGCACCTTTGGGAATATTTTTCTTAAGATCGGTCATGTTGTAAAATAAATAGTAGCTGAATGATTTGCTCGATAGTCATACCAAGTAAGAAAAGCATGATGCACAGTCTTAGGAGCAGCATCTTTTATAGATGAATCTCTACGTGAGACTACAATCGCAAACTTTGGAGTGGAGTATGTTCTCACAAAGAGCTAGCCTCTTTAATTACCATTCTAGTTACTACATATGATATAATTATCTAAAAATATATAAATACTATATCTCAAACAGGTTGCATTATGGCCTCCCTAATGCCTACTCTGACCGTCAGGGGAACGAGGTGCGGACACGGCACCGCCTTATCCGAAACTACCGACAGTTTATAAACGCGGCCGCCCTATGTCCGCCTTCCCCGCCAATTATCCACCTTCAACTCTCGACCTTTTTCTTTCGCATCTACACACTCCGGGATACTTGTCATGGCTCTGGCGGCCTATTCCTGCCAATCATGCCAGAAGCGTAAGAAGCGGTGCAGCAAACAGCTGCCAGAATGTGCCGCCTGTATCCGGTATAATGTCTGGTCCTCATCACATACCAAAGAGAGAACTGACTGCTACGCAGAATGAAGAGGCCATGCAAATATCCGCAACGCAAAGTCACGGTGCTCCCCGGAACTACCAGCAACAATGATCAACTTAGCCCTGGAGTGTTGACTAATAGATTTCCATCTTCTTTCTTTATCGACCCCATAATGTTCGAAAGTTGTGGCGTCCAAATCCCCCAAGGCCGAATTGCAATTCCTAATCGGATAATGGAGTATCTTGACGACATTACTTTATTCAAGTCTGCAGTTGCCGACTATTTTAAAAATGTTCATCATTGGATACCAGTCATCTCTCGCATACGCCTCCATAATCTGGTATCCAATAGGCCGCTCCATCAACAAGACCCAGATTCCATCTTACTTCTCCTGTCTATAAAATTAATTTTATCAATACCGAACCAAAATAAGAGCCCACCAGAATTGTATACTAATACTAAACAATTTTTCTTCTTGGTTGAGGCGGCCGGTTGTTTTACTCTCCAGATGGTCCAAGCAGGCATTATGATTGCTCTCTATGAGTTGGGTCATGGTATCTATCCAGCCGCCTTTTCTACCATTTCAACATGTGCCAGATATGGAACTGCACTCGGAATCGATGAACTAAACAGAGCTGATCTCACGAGTGCAGGCGGAGAGGAAAAAGTCCGAGTGTGGTGGGGAGTCCTCCTTATTGACCAGTATGTGTGCCGTTAGCCCAGATGCAATGTAACATCAATCCTCACGTTTCTTAAAGCATACTAACAACTATGGGCAGTATTCTGAATATCGGGGTTCACGGGCGCCAGCTCAGCACTCAGGGTCCAAAGAGTAACCAGCCATTACCGATGGATGATGACGACTGGGATCGACTGGTAAGGATATCGCGCGCTGCAACCTGAATGTTGGCACTGGCTCACTGGACACTAAAACAATGCAGGTAGCCATGCCCAGAGAGCCCCAGCGACTTTCCAACCCAACAGAACTAAAGGCAGGCAGCTTTGCTCGAACAGCACAAGCTATAAATCTCCTAAGTCAGGTTTTCCAATACCTGGGTAACCTTAGAGCTGGTCTACAGTTAGAATTCGAGCATCTCGATCAGCTGAATCGAACAATTTTGTCACTGAGTAATCTAGTGGAGGAAGAAAGTGCCCAAAGAGGGATTCTTCTGTGTTGCCCTGTTGGATTTTGTAGCAAGTATGGCTATCCATCTCGAGATTCGCAAAGTCCATGATTCTGACAAATTTTAGTGCTTTATTACTGATCAATACTCCTTATCTTGACGGTATTACCCCGGCACGTCTTACGGACGAACAGAGTCGCAAGTCAAGGCAGCTAGTTCTCTCGGAAATAGAAAAGACACGAATCATCGCGGACGAATATCTGGCCGGAGAGCGAGGCACGGCTGACGAGACTTGTCCTCTGTTTCTCAGTTGGCTCTACAGAGCAGCAGCAACAGCGACGTTCATCTATCAAGAAACGAATGATGCCAAGCATCAGGAACAGTCACTCTCGGTGCAAAATTCCTTACACAGTATAAGTCAGAGATGGCGTGTTGCTGGTATGCTAAGTACTCTAAACCTCTGGCACTAGGCTCGCCATAAATGCTCTTTCTGACCACATCTGTAGCCTCCTATTTACAACTTCTTGAAACAAGGCAATTTATGGCAATGGCCTCGTAAAGTAGCATAGCATTACTGTCTACCGATACAGTAATTCTTGCATGTCCGGCCCTGTTGCTGTATTTATTGATAAAATGGACGGAAATTTAAGTATTCGAATCAGAGCTTGATGCAGTTTAGTAAACGCAGAATATGTAACACAGAGGGTATTCGAGCGGCTCTGTATTGCTTTTTATCTGGTTTCTTCTTATATTTAGACTTTTATACACTCCTTGTAAAAAGATTAGCCAACATTACAGTTCTACTATTGGAAAGGGTACTCTCTTGCTGTTACTAATGCTGATACTCCAACACTGCTGATATTAGGTCCTCATCCATATTGGTACTACTACTGCTGCTATTATTGCCGCTACAATATTGTCATTCCTGTTACTGCTGTTATCACTCTCCGCATCACATGATTAATTTTATCCTCAATATAGACTGTTCTCTAAAATCCGACTTAGTGCTGAGTTTTCACTGATGAGGCGAGCATCGGCGAGTTGGCAGGATTGTCGGGCTGGTCGGGGGTTGCGGGGAAAGGCGGCCGCCATATTTCCCAAAAGGTGGTTCAGTGAGTGGGCACCGCGCCCGCGGATGGAGTTCGCTTCGGCTGGTGTCTCAGCTCCAGTCTCGGATTCAATTATATCGATTGCTGTGTCTGACAAATCATAAAGAGTTGTTGGGGTTGGAAAGCCTGAAAGTGCAAAGAACTGACAAGTATAAAGAAGGGACAAAGCATCATGGCACCAATGTTGACGTTGCCGCTAACCAATCTTTTTAACTCTTAGCACTACACGAGCTTCAGGAGCAAACTTTCAGCTCATATCACCATGTCTCCGATCAAAGTAGGCCTTGTTGGCCTTTCGTCGCGCTCAAAAGCCCAATGGGGCCCCATGGCACATCTTCCCTACTTTCTGTCAGACCGAGGAAAGGAAAAATTCCAAATTGTGGCCGTCCAAAACTCCAGCACCGAGTCCGCCCAACAGGCTATCAAGGACTTTGGGCTGCCGCCTACCGCACGTGCATATGGCAGACCCGAGGAGATGGCTGCCGATCCAGACGTACAGCTTGTTGTCAACGTCACTGGCGTTCTCAGTCATTATCCCGGAGCGCTACCAAGCATCGAGGCTGGAAAAGACGCCTTTATTGAGTGGCCGCTTGCAGACAGTCTCGAGCATGTACAGGAGATTGTCGCGCTGGCTTCCGAAAAGAACATTCGGACAGGTGTTGGGCTACAAGGCCGGTTTGCTCCACCGTTCTTGAAGATAAAGGAGGTGCTTGCGTCTGGCAAATACGGAAAAGTGCTGAGCAGCGAGATTAAAGCCGCATTTCCGCACAATCCGCGGGATGTTTTACCTGTTGGATGGGATTTTTTCGCTGCAAAGAAGTATGGTGTCAATTCGTATACCATTGGATTTGGTCATTGTGAGTTCTCATCGCTATCAACTAGATGGATGACCATGAGACTAACAGTTTCTAGTGATCGACGTGGTACAGTCAATTCTCGGCGATATACGCAATCCTTACACCCAATTCCAAAACCAACGTCCTGAGCTAAAGCGCGTGGATCGCAGCACCGGCGAAATCGTTGGAACAATTCAATCAGACGTCCCAGACCTGGTTGTCTTGATTGCTTCCATAGCTGAATCAGCAACCATTCGTGATGGCGCAACTCTGCTTGTGCGCTATCGTAGGGGCCCATCTTTCAAGGGTGAGCCAGCTTTTGTCTGGAGCATCAACTGCGAAAAGGGTGAAGTCCGACTGGTCTCTCCTGGTGGTCCGGCATTGCAGCTGAATGTGTACTCAGAGCCAGTCACTATTGACGTGCATGACTTTGCCGCAGACGAGGTGAAGTCTATAGAATGGAACTGGGCCGACTATCAACTCCAACTGGCAGAAGACGCAAGGGCTACTGCAGCGTGGTACGAAGCATATGCAGCAGGTACCGAAAATGAGGCTGCAACTTTTCAAGATGCACTGCATCGACATGAGCAGCTAGAAAAGTGGCTCAGTATATATAGCGCATAATCTTCTACTTTGGTGTTCAAAAAGTGCATAACAGGGTTGATCTTTGTAATTCATATATTAGAATATGAAAGAAATAGTTGTGTAGCTCTAGATTTCGCTTTATGAAGTAGCTGATCTATATATAGTATCGTGTCATTAAACATTATTTACGCTTAATAGTAGTAATGCCAATAGCAGCAGCAGCAGCAGCAGTGGTAGATTACTAGCTTCGCCTACATGCGTCTTTCATATTATTGTAATTTGTACGAATACAGATGATCGGCATAGAGAAATATACAGTGCGTGCAGTATTCAATTACAAAGTTTCAGTATACATACTTACTTTCATTGATAGCAGCCATCATGCATATGGTCAATGTTATGATGCTATAACCGTGCGTTGAAAGAAGGCATGAGCTAGCTTAAGCGCTGAGAACGGGGGCTGCATCGAAATCAGGCGACCAATCCTAAGTAGACAACGCAACTTCAGCATATAACAGCACACAATTTTAAATTAAATCACTCGGGTTGATATCTCAATCTGGTTGAGTTTGCAGCTGAGGTTGTACAAAGCAGGGATTGCCCTGGTTATGAACGCTCAGCTTCAGCCGCACAGTGATATTAATAGATATCTAGCTGCTCGCAAGCATCACTATATTCAACATATTGTTCTACAGTCATTTACTTTATGCACGTAGAAAGATATTCGCCTATACACCAACAATGATTTGGCTATATATATGGCGGATCGCCATTGATGGGCATTCCGAGGCGCACGAACTACATGATTCAAGACACCAATATAAAAAAGAGCTACGTGATAGAACCTTATTGCTTACCGCGTACTCAGAATCACAAACTATTGACATGGATACTGGTATGTCTCTGATTGCTTGATAGATTGATCAGTTTATTGATGATTGTTTATCCATAGCTCAAAGTCGCACTTCAATTCCTCATACAGCTCCCAAACAAGCGCGCGATCGAGCAACTTATGCCTCCTTCGGAGATGACGGCACTACGGCGACTGCCAATGCTCATGGTCATTTGTTGCAAATCACGCGCTATTTCGGGAATAAACCTTCTGGATTCTTTTGTGTGGATCTTCCACTTGCTCCTGAGCCATGTGTCATCGAAGCTCGCATGAATTATTTGCAAGAGTCTTGCCAAGATGCTACGCGCGGGATTCGTCTTTTCTTCGACGACAGCGAAAACAGTGCACGGTGGAGAGCAAAAACAGGTATTGACGCAATGCCAAAAATGGCCTTTTTGCAGGATCGCTGGCCATCTTTCACGACACAGACTTCGGCATTTTATTTGAACATACAATATGTGATATCCCAGGGAACAGTGTATCAAATCTACACATACACACTTAAGGAAGAAAAACTATCAACTCCTCCACAAGTCCCGGTATTGAAGATTGACGCCAACTTACTTCTTCGAAATCTCAATTTTATCGAGGATGGCGATGAAAATGAACGTGAGAGCGATGATGCCCACTACACTCATTTTATTCTGAATGATGGCTACTCGGTAGCCACTATGCATAAGGTCCGCTTGAATGCGCCACAGAATCAGGATGCCGTTGCATTGTTTACATCACTATTCATCAACGGACGACTCCAAACTTTTGATGATTCTGAAAGTGGCGACGAGAGTGAAGACTTATATGGTTTTAATGGATTGCCTGAAAATTCTGAAGAAGTTCCAAAACGCCTCCGGCCCAAATATTACCAAGCGAAGCTAGATCAGCAGGCACTAACAGATCTGATAGAACAAGGCTTCTTGAAAGTGACATTGGCCTACAAGCTAGATATTGTTTCTTCAAGCAAAGTAAAGAAGGCTTCTGCGTTTTCTCGTGGGGACCTTCTGGCCGCAGAGCTGATCCTTAAAACTCCATATGAGAGAATGCTGTTTTCCGAAGACGAGCATCTCAATTTCATCTTGAGGCGAAATTTGGAACACATTTTATCTGTTTGCAGCATTCCTGTTGAGGACTTTGAAGAAAATGAAGTATTTTCGGCTCCCAGCGATTCACCATATTGCAAAGCAATTGCACTTACATGTGGAGATGTTTCTGGTCATCGGATTGCAACCACAGCAAGCTTGTGAGTTAAACACCCTTATTCACCTGGCCAACACTAACGAATGTAGCTACGCTTTTCAATTTTTACTTAATGCTCTAAAATTCTTTCAGAAAAAGGGCTTAACTTGTGCCTGCCCTGCAGGAATTAATTTATGCGAAGATTATGCATGCAAAATGTACTCGAGAATCCGATTCACTTGCCGGGGACATCTAAGATGGCTTCATTATGCTCATATATCTGCAAGTGAAAGCCCTCATAGCCCCAGCTACTGGGCTACAGGTGAAACAATACCTGTGTGGGAAAGCAAAATTGACGAGATTTCGATCACTACTACGCTTTGCAATTTGATCAAAGCTGCAGGCTTATGCCAATTAATCGCAGATGAGAATACAAGACATGAAGTTGCTAAAGATTTCGGAGATATGGCAATCTGTTTGATCAATAGCCTTCACCACCATAATAAGAACAACGAATACATCTTTCCACGTTTTAAGAAACGAACACCGCATACGTTTTATGCTAGCGATCACGCCATCATCTGGTGGGCCATCAAATCAACAGAAGAGCTGGGCCTCGCGTCGATCTGCTATATCCCTCCGGATATTGGGCAGCGTGGAATGAGTTACTCGTCCACCAAAATTCAGAAAAGCATGCTCATGAAACTGGCGGCCGAGAATCCCGATGGAAGAAGAAGTATGCTCACCACTTCTCGCAACCTCTCTGAGGACAGATTTCGACTAGGAGTCAATGATACTATCCTTTTTCACGCCATGGAGGTTGGCCTATTTAATAAGCCTAATAGTGTTGATGATACATCGAATTTTTGGAAAAACAAAGTCGATGTTTGGAAAAATATAGTCGATTGCCAAGGGGATCAAGATCCTGTTTTAAGCGATCCACTCGAACTCGCTTTAGTTTTAATCCTGTCGGCAAACAACAAATGTATCAATTCGCGACCAGCAAGAGAAGTGTATGACTCTACGAAATCATTTTTATTTACCATTTCTTCGCCGAATGGGCTCTTCCCCGGGCAATTGGACGAGAATCAGGAGCCTGCACTATTCGGCAACGAAACTTCACGTGATTCATATTGGCATGTCACGTTCGAGTTGCCTTATATTCTATGGAATTATCAAAAACAGCGACCAATCAGCCAGTGTCCGCTTACGGCTGAAATTATTGCGGACCAAAGATTTTCTGAGCTTTTTCAGAGGATGGAAAAGACAATTGGACGAATAGAGGCAATGGCGGCTAGTCCAACTGCCACGGTTCTTAAGGTAAGTCAGTGATATAAAATGAGACTAAAATTGCTCACTAATGTCATATAGAGAAGCGTGAATGAGATACCGAACGAATGGCTATACGACGAACCAAATTTTTTCAAATTCCACCACGATGTATCCAGCGACAGCATTGTACAGTTTTGTGAGAATAACAAAAATAAACATTACGGTATAGTAATAGATGAAGCAATGCTAATTGTACAGAACGAAAATAATTACGATGTCTTTAAAGATGATATTGCCGGATATATCGTTGATGTTCCAAGAAGTAAGGGATTATACTCGAAGACACGTACATTTAATCTACAAAAAGTCACCAAAAGCGAAAATTTTGGTTCATGTATCCAAGAACAACGAACTCCTGCTATTTCGAAGAAGCGACTTTTCCATTTTTACCCTCTGAGCTTGAATGTCGCATTAGCGTCTTTCGTCGCATCATCTGAAAAGGATGCTATAGCGTTATTCTTTGATCGACACGCATCATACGATCGATATTTTTCTGAAACCACAACCTTAGCACACAACAAATGGACAACTGAGCTGCATCTTCCCTTCTATCAGATAAGCAATCAAGAACCATCATCCGGTAAATACCGTACTGTTGCAAAGATGGTGGGAATCCCGTTCTTACGCAACAATGGGAGTGAAGAGAACACTATATGGATCAATAGAGCTACAATGAGCTTCAGATTTGACGGAGATATCTTTGATCGCTATTGGACATGCCATTTTATTGAATACAGCCCTCGAATTATATATGAGGGGCAGAAGAATACATATAAAGGGGAGCAAAACCCAAGCAGCATATTAACTAGACGAATCGACGACGCATCAAAAGAAAGCTCGTGGAGACAGCGAAGAATTTTGGAGCTCATTCTATTTGACCTGATGCTCGAAGAGATGTTGAGAAGTACTAAGGAAATTCTCATGGAGATCCGATCGCGCATTGAAAGAAGTTTTGAGTCTGAAGCAATAACCGGTCTCAACGACAAGGCCTCAAAATCTATGCTCTTGGATCCCCTTAATCTTATCGATAAGGTCGACAATAACATTTTTCTTTCCACAAGTACCTTATGGAATGAGCTTGAACCTATCTTTCAACTGATGAAAGATTTGCTTCATGAGAATCTGGAGACAATTGCAAATTGGACAGATCGAGAGAAAAACCGCGGGCTTGATGAGCCACACTGGACCCTGAATGATGAGAGAAGCTACCGACGAGCTATATCTGCATTACAAGCTTCCAACCAGCGAAGAGTCGATGAACTTAAGCGATATAATGCAGATATAGCATCTTTCAACGCTTCATTTGCGAGAAAACTGGAGGTCATGCGCAGTGAGCTTGATCGACGTGGTGCCGATGATATAAGACTCTTCACGTATGTGACGGTCGTCTTTTTACCTGTTGGCTTTGCCACGAGCGTGTTCAGTATGAATGGATCACCATCAGGTGATACACTACATGGAATGATTATCCTCGCGATACTCGCTTTGCTCATTACTTTTATCGCTTTGGTCAATGCTCGTATCTTGGACAGAGTTTTGGGGCCCCTATTTGGGGCATGTCGTGTTATAACTGAGGGTATTGTCAATCCACTCATTAATGAATTGCACAAACTTGCGCAACCAATCGGCAAATCTGTTTACCTTCTAATATGTCGATCTATTTATCAGGTTGCGTTTCCGCTCTATATGCGTCTCTTGTCGTCGCCTGACGATCCCAAAAAGGATAACCAAGAATCAGAAACAAATGACCGAGACACAGAGAAGCATGAACAGGATACTGATAATGTCCGAGATCCTGGAAAGGGCGACCAAGATGAATACATTAAGAAGAAAAAACACGACAAAAAGATAATAGAACTAGGTCCTGTACATGCCGCACGAAGAGATACTCTGTACATCCAATCAGAAAAGAAAGCAAAAGAAGAACAAGAAATGAGAGATATCGAGAGGGAAATAAAACATCAAAAAGAAAAAGAATATAAAAAAGAGGAGGCAAAGAAGTTTAAGGAGAGTGGGCAACCAGAGCTCAACGAGGAAATCTTCATGGACATGACTCAAAGAATGGAAAAAGAATTAGAAGACGCGATTGAAGCAGAGTTTGAAATAGAGCTTAAAGCCATGGAAATACAATTGGAAGAATTGGATGTTGAAGCGAAAACGGAATTAGAGGCTCGGTTAAGAGAAGAGTTGGAGGCTCCGACGAGAGAAAGACTTATAAAAGAGGGCAAAGTGAAAATTCGGCAGCGGACGAACGCTATAATTGACAAGAGAGTGAAGGGAAGAATTGAGAGGGAAGCGAGAGAACGTATTGAACTTAAAAGACAAGAAGACGAGGAAAACAGGAAAAGAGACGAAAAGGACAGGAAGAGACAGGCTGAAAATGCCAAAAAACAAAGTGGTGGCTTTTTCCATCGCATTGTCAGGAAGACAAGTCAACATTTCCAGGACAGATCAGCCAATGGAGAGCCTAAGGAACGCGTTTAATGGTATATAGAATGGAATACTTATAATTTTGTAACATAATGAATATATAATTGTTCACGGCTTTCAAAAAATTGAACTATTATATTTTAGTGTTTAGGAACAACAAATGTTATAAATGCATGTAAGAGAACTTGTGTAGGAAAATTATACAGTACCCCAATTCCATCATCCAATATTAAAAGACACTTTAGCTAAAGCAGAGGCTACTACTGTTGCTATTTCTGCTATTCCTGCTGCTAGTACTAAATCTTTTATATATTGATCACCTAGATGATCAAGTTATAGTTACAGTGTGAAATCATGAAACTAAATTGCTGAATAGACCTCTACAAGATAAAAAGGTAGCTCTATATCCGCACGTAGTGGGGGATATTCGGAGTCTCAGTCTCACAAATATCGGGTCACCCATGTTGGTCAAATAGAGACAGGGTCATACACTATATCGTAGTCCGCGCCGGAACAAGTCTCAGATTCTGCAACGTATGAACTAAAAATCTCAATAGACCGTGAATATTTCATGAATAGGATCTGTTTTGAGAAACTCTCCGTGCATAATCTGGTCCACATAAGCATCTCCTACAAACGTAAAGCCGCCACCCCCGTCGTTTCGCGGACGCAAAATGATGGGGGATGGCAATCCCCACAGCAATGTTACCACGTCTCCAGGCTTGATGGCCAAATGACCAAGGCCAAGCATGCCCTTTCTTGTCTTGAATATCCTTCTTCTAACCGTAGAACCTCTCATTTGAAGCATTTTAATCATTTGTGCGGCATATTCAAGCTGGTCAAGTCGAGCAGCTAAGTTGCGTTGCCTAGCAAGTGGACTGTCTAAATTGTTGAGAAAATCCTTTTGGGTAGGCCTCAAGAGTTTGACATCAATACTCTGTCCACGCATAATCATGCGCACAAGCATGGCAATGTCCTCGTCCATAGAAGGGTTGACTTTGTCGTACCATCCTTGAGATAAGATAGTTCGCCATATGTAGTCTTCTCCTGGGCCGGCGACAGGCCCTAACCTAAAAAACGCCATGATTCCCGAAAGCCAATCTTCTACGTTCTGCGCCATTTCCCCGACAGGAGGTCTATGCGGTTGTAGAATCTCGGTGATGATATCAACGCGACACCCGGCGCGATGGAGGATTCCAAGAGAATCATCATTCTCGTTGCTAGGCAGTGTTGGAATGGAAATGTTGCTAGTAGCATCGAAGAATCCACCGCGATTCATCTCGGGTTTATTAGACCCTACTTGTCCTATTTCTTGCCAGTCAGGCACCCAACTTGGCAGTGTGCTTGGTGTATTTTCTTCTCTTGGTACACAATGGTCAAGATGATACGAGTTCTTGTCCTTGTCACCTTTGGACATCAATGCTCTTGTCGCGGCAGTGAAGACCTCAGCTTTTGTCAGTTGATAGTCAACACGCAATTGTAAAGCATCGTTGTCGGTAATAATGCCGAGCAACCCAAAAACCAGATCTCGAGTATCTGAAGCAGCGTATAAAGGACAGCCCGAGGGAACGACGTCTGTGTATAGTAGGCACGACAAAGGTGTGCCGATTTCACTTTTGGACCGCCGACGTGTGTCAAGAGGTAAATTTATCCAAAAATTAGGATGCAGCCCCTTGGCAAAAGTTTGAGTCTCTGAATTTATGTAGCGATGTAAACGATTGCACTGATCCACTGCGCTGAAAGCCGCCTCGACGTGGTCCAGCAATACGCTCTTCGTGCCACACATAAGGGTGACTTCTTTTGCGAGAGCAATTTCCTGATTAATCCATATTCGCTGCCAATATTCTCGCTTCATAAGGTTTTGAATGCCAGCGACGAGATCATCTCCATCTTCCCCTTGCCTGGACGTGCGGCTGTTTAGATCAGGCCAATAAAAGATATCGTAGATGAACTTGGCCAAATCGAGTTTCTTTGTATCACATTTTAGAGAAACTTCTGCTTTCCACAAGTCTTTGTCGCGATTGAAGTAGTTTCGTAGCTCTTCCAGCGGAATATCGAAAGCTGAGGGATCGCTCCCAAAAGACAGTGCCCGCGGCCCAATCCGAGAAGCAAACTCTATCGCTTTGTCTGTAGAGGACGTTCCAGGACCTAGCCATGAAAATACACGTTCCGCATGGGAGAAGATGGTTCGCATTTGCTTGACCTGGTAAGTCTTCTCTTCTTGGTCCGACTGCTGAATGCACAAAGCATCGATCCAAAGCCATCCATGGTTTCCATTGTCAAAGAGCTGTCTCAGAGCCGTGAACAAATTGTGGCCAATCATGCATGAAGAAGCATTTATAGATACTTCAATTGGATTTTTGACGTCTCCCCAGACGTACGATAGCGCAGCGAAGCTGATTTCGTCGATGAAAGCATGGCGTAGTTCAAGCGAGATATCGCATGTGGACTCTCCAGCACTTAAAATTCGAACAAGCCTGATCTCCAAGGTATCGCGACGAAGAGGTGTATAAGTAAACATAGTGGCGGTTAACGATGACCTTCTTTAAGCTCCAAGAAGCTGCTTTACCTTTATAGTAAGTGAAAAGCCATTCTTCGCTCCATTTCAGCCTCTAGAGCTACACTGGCTACTAAATGCTTATTGTGCAGAAAACTAAGCCCTTCTAGCCATCATTATGCCTTGTGCTGCATAGCCAATCTCCATCTATGCGTCTGACCCCGGTCACAAGTACAGTTGCGGGGCGCTTGATCTTTTCCAGTATTCCAGGCTGCCTTATTGCGCCCACCAAAAGGCAGCCTCATCTTGTGCTAAGTAAGTTTCCACAGGCTGCCTGTATTGATGTCCCCAACTATCAAATTACAGTCTCGTATCCAGACAAGGTGGGTGATGCGATATGCGCCTCCCCTGCAACGTTATCATTGGCGGCAACGATGAACTAGGATACGTGATGGGAAATGAGGGAATTGAGAAGAGACGTCTTTATGTTGCCAGCAAGGGATAGTTAAGAACAAGTTCAAGAAAAACAGCTCGATTTCACTCGGACAGTTTTTTATTTGTAGAAAACGTCTGTTAACGTACTAATCGTACATGACACCCAAAGCCATCTGTTTGAGCGCATAGAAGTTATTTTGTCGCAATCGCTGTTTTATCTTTGGGCGAGCGACGAGTCGGCCTTCAACAAGGTTAGTTACATCGGATCCTATAACATTACCAACAACAAAGCAGTAATACCTCCTACTGCGAAGCTTGACGTACCGGCTGCCATGTAATTTATACATCATCTGATACGATTCATGAAAAGGGGGTCTCAGAAAAAAGGCCAAGTGATTTTATTAGGGAGATCATTGTTTTCTAGCATCAAGATCGTTGGCCGAATGGCTTCGGCAATATCCTCTATTGCAGGCTAGTACTCATGTGATGACTACTTTATGTTTGCTGTTGGTTTTAATGCCGTTACATAACACTCAAAATTCATTGAAAATGTCGAATCATGATTTCTTTGATGATTGAGATAAAACTTGGCTCGTGGTCATTGGTAGCTATCTGTCTGTTAAAGAGCGATTCCTCCTTTCATCGTATGGTCATGCGACCTAACAGAAAGCGATTGAAGCGTAACAAAAGAGATCACCGATTTACTGTAACAAAAGAAAGGTACGTCACTCGGTAGCATCAAATCCAAGTTAAAAGAAGCCAAGTCCCCGGCGAGAAAGGCATATCCAGCAAACCCAATCTTTATCCTTAACCTACACCGCTACAAGTCTTATAATCGCCGCGTGCTCCTGTTCAACTCCCAACAAAGGCTAAGATGAGATTCTTTGCTTCCATCCTCACTGCCGCTGCCATCCTCGCCTCCGTTGAGGCCTGCCAGTGCAGCTCTTCCAAGGGTGTTGTTAATGTTCTCGCCACTCAACAATGCTGCCAATTCGCCGGCCGCGAAGCCGATGGCGACCAGTGCCCAGTTCATGACAACAAAAAAAAGCACAGCAGGTTCTCTTATTGCTGCGAAGACTACGAACTTCACTCAGACTGCAAATGCACAGGATGTTGAAGCTCTAAGCTTAACACCCAAAGCATGAGGCTCGAGGCAGAGCGCCTCCCACTGAGGCAGATATCGACGCTATACTCGCAAAGCATGCGGACTAGCCGTCACTCCTTGAGATGAACATGTTAAAGGGAAATCGACATCTACCGACTTACAGCCTGGGCTTTCTATAACTCTTCTCTTTTATTTCTTGGTGTGGTAGTTGCTCTTGTGGATGTTTGCTTAGTCGGATTATAAATGTATTCGCGAGAATAGTACTCAATACAGAACGTTATTTATTACAACTTATTATAATTCACGGAGTAGCTATAAAATACTCGTCAGTGTGTACCAAATCCTTTCGCACACTATTTTGTAATCTTTCATCGAAGTACCACGCATACTCGAGCGAAATACTTTGAAGATCAGATTCGGCACATAATCCGTGCATAAAGCCAGGTTATACGTGTATTCTAGAACGTGCACCCATCACCCTACTACAACAAACGTTCGTCATATTGATTCAATGCGTGCCCGTATTCGTTCTGTCATCTTCAATCTCAATAGTCACCCAAGATCTCGTTGTTTGCTTATCTACAATTAATGACCCCGCACAACACCACACCATCTCGCAGTGACTAATACGAAGTTGGGCAGACATGAAGCGGCATTCTCTATACAACCATGTAGCTAACGTTTCGAATCGCATTTTGAACTCATCTAGACATTACCAAGTCACACGCCAGTCCAAAGCCGCGAACTACGAAGAGTCGCATTGTTTGCTCCAACATATTCGGATATCATTCCCTAATCTGGTCCGGATAGCCCCCGTTGGTCTGTCCAGATAAGTACCGAGCATGGAATTTTCTGCCAGTGAGAGAAGGAAGGCAGGCTACCAATTCCTGTGGCCGGAAATAACAAGCATCAAAGTCATAACACGTGAATTGTATCCTAAAAGGGTTACGCAATAAAAACAGCTTTCCTAAACTTACTTCGTCAATGTTCCCATTTACTAGCAAGCTAGTGACTATGCTTTGCTGCCCATGTCTATATATGCCAGTAGATCTATATTCGCGTGTAGATAAGCGGCTCATCACTATTTTCGAGAATTCGAGTCGTCTTGTCTATATGCAACAAATACATTTGCTTTTCTAAACTCTTGTAGAAGATGAAGTTTTGACTCCGGCGATACATGACCGACTCCTACGGAGAAGACGTTCAACACGCCCATTCACCAGCAAGAGAAAATGTTATCGTCTACTAACATGGCTGAGAAACATTAATCCTTATCATGGTAAGCCAGCTAGGCAGCAGCACTCCCTAAATAGCATTGCTCACTAACGACATTACAACAAGATAGCACAGTCCATACAAATCATTCATCTTCTAATAATCATCAGTCCAGGCATCAATCTCCCTTCACTTCTCTCAAACTAATGCCTACATAAATCATCCACAAGCGCAAGAGTGGGGAGAACAAAAGTGAAAAAGGTCTTCCTTGCATGAGGGGAACAGAAAGCCTATACAGTTACCCTCTTCCTACTCAAAGCGGTGAACTCGTCCCGTCCCGTCCAACCCCATGCCTTATATGCCCATTTCCGAGATCCTATTTCTACCAAGAGCAACATACTCTTCAATAAACCTAATGCCGAACCCTAGAAATCTGCAGTTGAACCATGTCTACAATTACCAACAGCTTCCTTTCCATGCCTTTCTTGGGAAAGGAAATAGATGTAACTAAGCGAAATAGCTCTTCCACAAAACTCCTTCCAGGTCCTCTAGTTGATCCTGAGTAAAATACTGTCAAAGAGAGTTAGCATCTATTCCGTCGTTTCGGTCTCAGAAATACATGTGAAGCCAGTGCTTTTACTTACCTTTTGATCAACAGTCCAGCTATCCTGTCTCGTCTTCTTGAATTCGCTGAGGATTCCCTTGGCAGCTTTGCCAACAACTCCTGGGTCGCCCGCAGCTCGTCGAGCCACAGTGGCCAGGACCTCTGGCATCCATTTCGGTGGCGGTGTGGCGTACGGGAAAGCCTCGATCAAGGCACCCAGACCCAAGACCGCAGCGTGTCTCCTGTTAATCTGCTTGTGGATGTCGACGGGTGTTTCAGTTCCAGAGAGTTTAGGGCCACGCTTGGGCATCGGATTTTGGTCCAGCTCGATCTCGAAGCGACGCTTGAGGCGTACAATCAGGGGATCTCGGATGCGGCCTGGAGAACAGCGGATCATGCCAGCAAGCGTCGTCGCCGCACATGCTCGAACCTCAAGCTGAGGGTCGCCAAGCATGTCTGACACATTGTTAAATAAGACATCCCGCTCTCGCTCCTCTGTCAGGAAGATGCGGCGGAAGTAAATGACTTGCATATTGACCAGAGCTCGCAGTCGCTGATGCCAGCTGCTGGCTGTTCTGCCGATTTTAACAAGCCCATCAATGAATTGAGCATCTTCCCCGTCACGGAAAGGAATGTTGGGGAGGTGTCGATATACGTGGTATGCGACCTTCATAAGCTCCGGGTCTTCCTTGACATCCATCATGTGTAGAAGCTGGTCCATGAACGGAGTTGCAAAGAATGGCACCAATTGGGTGCATTCATGCGATGATAGCGTACAATCTAGCCACACCAGTACAGTCTTGGATCCGCACGTGTATGCGGATTGATCTTGTTGTCCTGGCACTCGCTCAAGGCGCCATTTCTCGAGTCGATCGAATACGTCCTTCATCGTAGTCTTCAGCTCATCAGATAGTTCATATGGCCTAAGTCCAATCGATGACGCCTGCTTGTTGGCCTCTAACAGAGCATTCACATTCTCAAAAGCCTCGTAGTATCTTGTCTTGTAGATTACAGACAGAACACGGCCGATAGCTTCGCGCACAGCTTTGTAAGGGTGGTCTATGTGAGCCAAGAAATCTTCCAGAATCGGCTTCTCGTGACGGAAATGCCATCCAGCATCGGCTATAACAAACTCTAGCAGCTGGACCTTGGAAGACTCCTTGAAAGCAGCGTTGGAAGTCATGTCAAGTCGGAATGACTTGAGCTCATCAACAATCTCGTGAGATCGACGTGGATCCTTTGAGTCGAGGATAAGATGAAGGCAGGTAAGCCAATATTGCAAGTTTTCTGGCGTCAGAGCTTCATCAATGACCTTGAGCAACACTGGCGCAGCGAATGCCCAAACTCTACTGCGTATTTCCGGCGGATCATCGCTGGACCCGCCTAGCAGCGCACCGATAATCTCTGCAGTCGCACGATGCTGGTGCTTATCGTTGCCGTCGCCATAGATTTCCATGGTGAGCTCCTTGATGTCATCCAAAGTGGCAGCTGTTCGACCATAGTGCATCAGATCGAACACGTGCATTAGCAGGTAGACATTGTTCATGCGGAATCTGTCATTAGTAGCGTCTCGAGGCTCTTGCTTGAGGTACTCGAAGCATTTTGAAAACCATTCCTTGGTCAAGATCTTGCCAACCTGGTCGCGCACAGCTCGTTCAGCGTCGTCATAGCTGTCGAAATGCTTGGGGCGTGCGCGATACGCAGTAAAGCTCTTGCCCCAGACCAGCCATCCAGGATGGTCAAAGTCCACCATGTACTCTGCTTCCTCAGGAGGCGCTTCGAATGCGTCCAGAAATTTTTTTGTGAACTCAGCATTGCCCTTGTCCACCGGGACCTGAATCTTGTTTCTGTTCTCCACCTCCTTTTCCAACAGGTAGTTGCGATAATCATGGTCATAGACAGCTCGCATATCGATAGTAGTGAACAGGGAAGTAAAGGCAGTGAGAAAGTAATTCCTCAGACCCGGATGCGGGTCATTTGTTCCAGTCGCTACCAAGTCGACAAACTCTTCTGGGGCGATTGTGTCAAACCGAAGGCACAGGTTGGTCGCAAAGACGGCACACCGTGTCGCAATCTTCCAATGAGCCCCCTTTGCCAGCTTCGTTAGCTCCAGTCCGAGGTTCGCCTTGGAAGTCTCGACTCTTTTGCGCCTGTTCAGTATGAATTGGTGGCGGCTGCGGATGGCAGAAGATACGTCGCCGGGCTTGATTGTGTTTACCAGTGCGTCATCAACCAAACTGGCTCGTTCAAACGACTTTCCAAATTCAATCAGTGAATAGATGGCAGAAGATCCAAGATTCTGTATGGATGGCTTGTCGATGCCTGCTGTCTCTATGTAGAGGCGCATCGCATCAGGGGCAAATCTCCAGTCTCTGGTCAGTGTTCTCAAAAGCGACGTGAAAAACAGGGAATACATGGCGCCTTTGATCCTGTCATGGTCATTCTCTTCAATAGCCTTCTTGAAGCCGTCCAGGAGGACGGGGATAACCAGAGGTTTGCCACCGATAAGCACCTTGAGTGAAGAGTCCTGCGAGCTCTGTGCAACGCGGCGGACGTCTGCGTATGAAGAGAGACACGACTGTGCAAGGTCCAGTAAGAGACGCTTGTCTAATTCGCTCTTCTGTCGAGCCGATGCATTGTGCTTCATGCGCAGCATTTGGTATGCCTCTGCACGCTTGATGAGCAAAGGTCGAGGATAAACCTTTCTCAGACCCTTAATCTTGAAGGCAGCAATATCGCACTTGTATAGCCGCAAGTGTCGTTCTAGCGGATGGGCCGATCGCTCGATGCCCACGTCTGTAATCCACGTTCGGTATGCAGTGTATAACGTGGTGAAGCATTCGACATCATCCGGTTCGTTTTGGGTGAAGAAGGTGTGCGCCCTCGTCAGCAGCTGACCAAGCTGCTCTCTCAAATCGTGGATTCGCTCATACACAGGGTCAGTTGGGCTAAGCAGATATCCAGCTTTGTATCTGTACTGAGGACGCAACTCTTCGTCTTCAGATACCTCCGCAAGGGGTTCATCGTCTACCATGACATCTTCTGACTCCACTTCGACATCGACGTCCATGACAACATCGGCATTCCCAGTATCTGTCTTGGTAATCTCTCCTGAGGCTCGCTTGGGGTCGAACATGGTGGCCATGCCGCTTGTAACCAGTCGAATTTGTTGCATCAGCCGAGAAACTTCATCGGACCACTCCTTGTTCTTGCCTTTTCGGCTCACCGGAGGATCGTCGCTCAGCAATAGTTCTAGCTGCTCAGCGGCTGACTTGGTCTGTGAGGCGAAAAGCTCAACTGCAAACTCAATCTCTGGCGGAGACGGCTGGTGCCACTTGATGGTAAGGTTAGCGGGAGCAGTTGTTTGGCCCCAGTCGGTGACATCAAGCCCTCTCTTGATAACGTCGGGTTCATACAAGGCATGATCGATGGGGTAGGTATGGGTAAGGTTGAGCAACAAATGATGAATATAGTTTGAAACAAGGATAGTTGGCAGGCCTCGGCATTTTTCTTGCATGTACTGTGCAATTCCAAGCAACTCATCCTTGTAGTTGAGAACCTCGCGGCCAACGTGCACGACAGCCATGGCGAGCATGGTGACATGCCATACAAGAGCCCGATCTCTGGGCAAATAGTCTGTCCCGCTGGTACGATCAGAAGCTGCGTGGTTGAAATCGATTTCATTTCGAATGTTGACCACAAGCATGGGGATGAACACCTTGAGTGTTTTCTCTGGGTTGACTTTGCAAAGAGCATTGAGAATCCAAGCCATGGCGTCCCGAGCTTGGTGGACGACGTGTGAGGCGACAAAAGTAGCAATCTTTTCGAGGGTAATGTCAAAAAGATCCGGAGACATGGATGCAAACAGCGGAGAAAGAGCAGCCGGCAGGGCATTGACAACGCTATCCTCTGGTGTTCCTCCACGAACCTGGTTGGCATCGGGGAGGTTCTCAAGCAGAGTAAAAACTTTGCCCAAGAGTGTGATGATGAATTCCCCGAATCCAGCAGTCGAAGACCGAAGGATGTTTGATTCATCTTCATCGCTGAGCTCAGAATTGTAGTCAATCTTAACATTCTGGCCCTCAAGCTCCATACGGTCCATCTCGCCCTGTACCCACTCCATGGCCAAAGTCGTGTCGTGAATATGGCTCTCGCCGCTCGTGAGCGGAACGATGGGGATGCTGTATGCCACTGCCTGGATAAAGTGCAGAGTGTACTGTGTTTTGTTAAGATCATTGGCATCAATTCCAGGAAGAGCCAGGGCCAGCAAGGCTGTGATGTGACAGCGGTAACCCTTCAGCTTTGACATGATGTTGGCAATCATTTGTAAGCCGTTCAAACTAGACGTAGTCCGGTGAACCTCGACCAAGCCCTGAAGACTTGGGTAAAAGCGTTGAAGCGCTCCTGGGAGGACCAGGTCAGGCTCAAGATAAGCCAGCCCCTGCAGCGTGTTGTAATAGCACTGCGCCACTCGAGTACTCTTCGAGAACAGGCCCATGAAGGTGACTTCTTTGAGCGAGTTCACGAATCGCTTTTTCAAGGCGTCGTTGATCTTTCGCTCATACGGGATATCTAGCTCCGAGCTCTGTTCGCGGTTCCACCGAGACACAAATCCATCGGTCAGATAGAGCACAAGTTGGCCGAGCATACCTGACCAGTTGCCTTGGTTGGAGGGGTGGAAGAAGGTATCGATGGAATCCATCAGACCTTCCAAACTCGACATGATGGACTCTTCATGGTCGCAGCAGGCGGGAGACAAAGAGCTTACGATCAGTCGAGCTATCATATAGGCAATTGGGTATTTCTTCTTATCCTTTTCGAAATACAAGCCAGTTCCAGCCATGTAGTCGAGAGGTGTGTAAGGAGAGTTGGCTTGCCCAACCGGGATCTGAGTCAACCGAAGAATTGCTGTAAAGATGAGGTCAGATTGAGCCTTTGTGAAAATGCCGTGTTCTCCAAAGGGGACGTAGGAGCAGTGGCTGTGATCTCTCGCTATCCGAGAAAACAGGTCGATAAAGGCCACATCGACGACTTTGGATCGATTGACCAAGGACCACAAATGGAAGAGAGTCGGGAAGAAGTTGGCCGGGTGCGATCCCACTTCAGACTCTGGGGCAGGATGGCTGGGCAAAAGGCTGTTTAGAGCCCCCACCACCACAAAAGCGTTTTGAAGATCGTTTGTGCTGAAGTAGGGCAAGAACTCTTGCAGCATTGTCAGCCTATCTTTGGGGTCGAAGTATGTGTGAGCATGAACGGTCAGCTTCAAGAGCTGCTTCGCAGATCGTCTTCGGTTCGTCTGGTGCGCTGCCACTTCGGAGGGCAGGGCCCATGCCTTGACCTCTCCCCAAAGTGGTCTCCAGTCGAGAGTCAGGTCTTCGCCAGGCTTCAGATAGTGATTCTTTCTAGAGTTGATAATCAGTCAGCTAAATCAGTTCGCCCATGGCCTGCTGCAGGCCACATCTCATTTCCAACGTACCTCGTGAGGGTGAGGACCATGCGCAGAAAGCGATCTGCAGCACTGGCATCAACGCCGGGAGCCAGCGCCAGCGAGTAGTACAGCTTCGCCAACTTTGCTCTGAGCTCCCTCGTCATCTCAAACTTGAGATTCAGCCATCCCTGGAGCTCTCTGGTCCAGTGCAGCGCACCGGGCGAGAAGTCCTCGGCCTGGATGGCAATGTACAGCTGCTTGAGGATGCCCTGGAGAGCAGCATCTCGCTGGGCCTCCTCCTCGACCTCGAATGGCAGCAGCTGAAAGTATGCAAAAGTTCGGGGTCGGTATCGCTTCTTGTCGTCATCTTCGGACTTGGAAAAGGGCAGGCCAGGCGTGGTGGCACGCGAAATGGGCTCGTAGGCGGCGAAGCTGGTCATGAGGTGGGACGCCGCACTCGCAGACAGGCCGGCCACTGGGCCCTCATGGCTGGGACCGATATTCTCGTCCATGGCCAGCAGAGGCTCTGTCTCTGCGTGCTTGTTGTGCTTGCTCCTCTTCTCACGCGAGGCTGAGAAATCCAAACGCGGGAGAGAGGGGTTTCGGCTGGCACGCAAAGCGACCGAAGCTCTAGGGCAACGGTGCGGGCTCAGGAACAGCAACGGGCGCTGCGGCTACCCATGGGGGAATCCGCAGCAAGGCGGACGGCAATGAGCAGATGGCGGAACGGCAGAACGTTGACAAGAATGAAGAATAATGTGTGGTGTCTGGTACTGATGCAATTCGGATGATGCTGATGCTGGTGGGAAAGCTGGGGCGGAAATAAAGGGCCAGGTCGACTTCCAATGGGAGGAATTACGACACTGAATCGTGGGCCTAATGCAACCACCAAGCTACTGGTGCTAGATTACGGGGTGGTGCCACTTGGCCAGCTGCGAATCGAGGTCAACAGCAGGCAAACAGCGCTGGCTGGCCTATAAATGGCCGTGACAGGCGGCTCTCAGGTAGCAGCTGGCTAACGCGGCCGCTAACATGAGCTCAAGCTTGCTGTTCAAGGCGGGTGCTACGCTGGAGTGCGAGTGCACGTGTATGCCAACAGTGAGTGCCTGCTCCTATTCGCCAAGGCATCAGTGTTACTGCGCAGCTTGCATTCCCCGAAGCTGCAACATCAGTCAGTCTGCCTGGATATTACTACTAGTACCAGCACCTACTGTTGGCGATGAGGCCGCACGAAATCGCCAGTACCTCGCCCGGCGTAGGCCTGGCCATACTCTAGCCTGTACCTCCGCACCTCCGCAGTGCTCCGTCACGGCACTTGGACACGTCAGTAGCCGGCAGCCTGCCTGCCGCCGGCGAGCCCCACCTCGACGCCTCAACCGTTCAATTATAGCTCCTGCAAATGACATGCATGAAACATATACGAGTAGATTCGGAAACTACGTTTCTTGACAAAAGATAAAGTCTGAAAACTTTGTAACTGTGACGATTCTCAAATAAGAGTTATTTTTAAATTACAGCCAACGCAAACTCTGGACCTCCAAACTTCCCATCTTCCACGTATCGACATTTTAACGCCCCCACGATCGATATCCAACCCATGAACTCATAGCTGTTCCCCAGCCAGATTGGAAGCGTCGAATCGGATTGCTGGGCTTATCCCAATCATAACGGCAGTATTCGCTGCAGACATGCTGACTGAAGAAATTGTCAATGCCGCTTTGCCCAAGATCAGTCACACCATAGGCTCGATTCGGGGAAAGGATGACAGGATCAGTGATGACAGCCTTGTTTTCAGAAATAATGCCACCCTGGAGATCGCATAGAACGTGTTTTCCTCCTGAACCATGGTAGCTGAAATGACTTAGAGCTTGCATTATTCTTCCCCAGACGTTGGAAGTGTCGTTCCATCCGGTGTTGCTGTTGAACCTTCGGTAGTCTCGGATAAAGGGCTCACACAAAACGGTTTGCCCTGCCCAAATGGCAGGAATGTTTACCTCGATGAACTTGTCTGTCAAGATTTCCTGATTAAAGCCTTCGACAATTTTTAACGCCAAATCGACAGCTCCGATATCGAGAGTGAAAAAAGTATGTGCCAAGGCCGCATCAGACCTGAACCACTTGATAACACAGGGTTTGCCCCGATGAGGACCCGAGCCATACACTCCTTTGGCCACCGAGCGCAACGCAGTCTCAATATAAGACCTGTATGGATGATCAAATGAGATAGAGCTGAAAAAATATTCTCTGAATCTGGCGCTACCAGACCTCCGGTTCGATTCGTCGACGGGTACCTGATTGTCGACGCAGTTAAAACATTTCGATACGCCGGACCCCATACCCCATTCCTTGCGCGGATATCTAGACCGGTGGCGGTTGCGGTTACAGCCAGTGCAAACGCGACGCATTGGAATTAGGCAAATTGAAGAGCAAAAGCTGCCTTTGAAGTGAGAAAACTACTCAGCAAGCTGAGAAAATCGATAGGCCTAGACGTTGAGGTTGATTGAGTCGCTTTTATTGTCCATTCGAAACGGTGTCTCTTCTAAATAGGTACTTCTGGATGCCACTTTACACATATATATACGCATTGCGTAGTTATATTCGTTACTGTATGCGTATTATAAGGCTTGCTCTCACCAGCTGTTCAATATCGGTAGGTGACGCCTCTAAACACTTCTGAATGCCACTTTGCACAAATCCACATACCATGAGCAGTCATGTTCGTTGCTTCATGGTGTCTCACATCGCCTGCTTGAACAATACAAGTAGGTGGCACCAAATATCTGCTTTTGCGTTCACAGCGTAAATACACATCAGTGTTCACTCCCAAGAGCCTTTCTGAGTCGCTACCCAAACTAAACTTACCCAAAACGCAAATTGAACAAACAAGCAAAGACTCAGCTCATAGCACCCTGGTAAAAAAGCATCGAGGCTGTGAAACGGGCCCTCCAATCCTGCCTATCGCAACCCTTGCTCGCATACCCTATTTACACACGGTGACGTATGTTACCTACTGCCTTGCAAGGCTACAACGATGAGGTGTCAATCCAACCTACAACTGAGCCTCAACTGAGCTTCATACAGACGGCACCGTAGAACATGCCGTGTCTCGCTCATTATACGTTGACAACGCCACAAGTGCTGGCAGCTGGCAGCTCGTCATCCATTGTATATACCAACCGTTCAAACTGGACGCATGTACATATAGCCAAATATTTGTTTCATGATATAAGTGGTTTATCCATTGTTGCTTATTTACATCGTCTTTCAATCATAATATGTACAAAAGAACACACACATAAAAAAAGGGAAAACTCCGATACCCAAAGACCGAATTGGATAGATGCAGGCCCATAACCGTGTGCCGTATAAATGGCAAAGCGCCGCCAAAAAATGTCCATCGAAATATGCCTATACACCTATACACATATTCACATGTATATGCGCTATGAGACCCTCTGACTCCTCGAGTGGTGGAATAACTTGTGCGTGAACCGCCGTATTCGAACGCGGCAAGTTGGCGTTTCCTCTTCCGAAACCTCGAGGTCTCCAAGCTTCTCCACAGCTTCTCTCTCTGCAAAAGTGGTTGCCGCCGATGCAGCAACCGCCTCGCGTCTCCTTCTCATGAATTCGCTCCCTGAAGACACCGCCCGCTGAATCCTACCAGTAGCGGGTGTTTGACCGGCAGCGGAGGCATCCTGAGACGGCACGCCCGGAGTGGCCGGCGAAACCTGCGAATCTATGCCCCTTGGAATGTCGATAGAGGGGGATAGACAGCGCCCTGAGCTTACGCGCTGAGATACAACTCGTGGAATTTTTGGTGTTGCCGACGCAGGCCAGCCTCTTTGTCGGAGACTGACCCAAGTTGCTGTGGCTAGCATCAGAGTCTTGGTGTACTCTGTGACCTCTAGTGTCGTGCGCTCATCCGTAATACTCGTTGTGTCTTCTTCTGAGATACCGCTCATGTCGGATCCAAAGCCTCGTGTGGGGGGATAAATGCCGCTTGATGTTGACATGGTGTTGTATGTATCAAAAACTTCCAAAGATGTAGAGTTGAGAATACCCTGGATAGGATGCCTGCGAGTCGAAGGGTCTATGATGCTAAAGGTCCATCTACTGTCCGGGGCCGTAGGGGTGGTTGGTGATGAGGGCGCCGTGGTGGCAGTATTGGCAGATCCCCAACTCGCTCTGGGTGACATCAAGGATCTCTTGACCCACCGAGCCTTGACATTTTCTCTCTGTTCGTTGACGTGATTAAATTCGTAAGATCCATTAGCCATGCGGCTAGAGGTCCAAGTCGATCCGTCCTGGAACACGATTTCAACATAGTCATCTTCCGAAGTTGTGCTCACGACGGCGAGAACATCCTGGTGGTCAAGGTTCTTGCTGTTGTTGTTATCCATGTTATCGTGATGGTGGTGGTGAAGATTGGGATGATGATGGCTGTGTGGAGCGCCATAGTCCTCGCTCCGGACCAGGAGGAGATCGTTTTGTCCGAGATGAGGCTTCGCATAGAACATGCGCGGGTATAATTTGGCCAAAGCAGGGATAATCAGTGTTCCCGCAATAAGACTCGACGGCAAAACATCAAACGCTGGGATGGCACGTTTCTCTCCCAGCTCCTGAAGCTGCAGCAATACACGAGGCCGAATGTGAAAAAAGGCCCGCTGCTTGGTACGCAGCTGAGGTGCCGGGAACGCCAGAGCATACTTTGCCGATTTCCGTGGTCCGCGCTTCCGTTTCCTCAGGCGGATGGAAGCATCCGTCTGGTCGCTCACCTCGGAACCAACGAGCGACTCTTCATCCTCGCTAGGAGCGTTGGAGTGAACAACAACTTCGGAGTCCGGCTCGCGGAATCTGACAGTGTGCCCAATGTCAGACGTGGTCCGGCGTCGAGCTGCAAGAGCAGAACGAGGGTTGTGGGTAGGCTCGACGGAAACGGGACGAGCTGGGAGACTGTCTGCGGCGTCAGGAGCAGGCGTTGTGTGGCGAGATATCGGTTCGACGTCAGACATTGGTCGCAAAGCAGAGAGAAAGGCAAAGCGTCTCGCTGGAGGTTGGTCTGTTTGCGGAGTGGAAAATTCGTGGCCATGAAGGCTCGCTCCTGAGTGGACGATCATGCTGGGTATATGTGTGGTGGTGTATAAGTGAGGCAGATCGATTTACATAAGACTGCCCTGGAACCGGAAACGAATGGACGAACCAGGGCAGTTCTAGCCTATAATCTCATACGAGTCGAGGAAAAGAGGAGTTTAATAAAGCCGTGGCGGTGGTTGCTCGTATATGACAAAATGGAGAAAGGGAAATAGTGTCTATGTGGTTGGTTCGTATTCGTCGTCGGATAGAATGAGGTGAGATGAGATTGTAGATTGAACGCCGTTCAACAAAAAAAAAAAAAAAAGCGAGAGAAAAAAAAATATCGTCGGGCAAGAGAGATTTGCGTTTGCAGGCTTTGTATACCCGTTACTTATAAACTTGGCAGCAAAGTGGCGTTGAGTGATGGTTATCAACGTCGGTTGCCCAGAGAGACTTGACTGGCGATGAGAGAGTTCAGCGGCCGGCGCATATAGTGTGAAGCTTGAGAGGCGGCTGTAGAGCAGTGGAATTGCGCCTTGTACTCCAGGCACCGGCGTTTGTTGCAAGGGAGAGAAAAAAGAGGGATATAAAGTAAACAAAGGAAAGGAAGACAGGAATAACACAAATGGCTCTCTGTCTGCAGCGGTGGTCTGTCTTGAGAGGACAGGATTCGACAGCAGCAGCGAAGCCTGCAGCTTATGTTACCGGTACATCAGTCGGCACGCGACCAGGCCTTATTTAGTGGGACGGCAGGGGCAGTCGGTGTACCCGGTACGGGATCGTCGATGGTGAGAAGGACAAGCAGAAAAGCCCGCGTCCGAAACAGCGCGGAGTTTGAAGTTTGCGCGGCGGCCCGGGGGCTCTGGGCGGGCTCTGGCCTGTGTCGGATTCTCTTTTTCGTCTTGCTTCCCTTTCTATTCCGTCTAGTGTTACCCCAGAGAGCAGCACATGCCCCCAAGACCAGAAAACGTGTGCGAGGGCAACGGCCAAGAGAAGGGGATCTCGAGGGATTATGAGCAAGTGAGACCTGAAGCAGAAGTTTTCGGGCTGTGTTCAGCTCTAGACAAGATATGGAGGTCGGGGCCTTGGCAGGTCTTGTAGCGTAGAGTTGTGAACTTGTATCCGTCCTAGTGGCAGCGTGTATTCGTAAACGTGCCCGAGCACCAACTCGTTCTGGTAAGCTGTCTGTAAGCCAGTGGCAATCAGGTTGGCACCTAGAAACAGCGTTTTGCGCCCATCAGAGCTATGAGGCTAGTGCAATGCCCGCAATGCCCACGTTTGGATTTTCTCTTCTGGGCCTATGGAGCTCGGAATGTTGCCACTTGGTCGGCAGACTTGGCTGCTCCATGGAGTTGCCGGAAGAGCCGCTGGCACCTTGGCGTAGCGCCCAAGTACGGCTGGTGTACCCTGGGCTGATGCGTCGCCAAAGAATCAATTGGCAGCACTGTACGGATGCAGCACTAAGGCAGGGAGAACTGCAGTCTCGAGTCCTACCTGTAGGGATAGTGAGACGGCGTTGGGGGATGAGGTCAGTTTGGCCGATGCCTCCCACTGCTGGAAAACTGTTGCTGTCCACCTCCCTTTGGCGGCAGGTACCTCTCGGCTACATGGATGGTACTTCAGACCAGCTCCCGCCAAGTCCAGTGATGATCGGGCTGCTCTAAGCTGCTTATCCGCTATACAGTATTCACACAGCTGATTGGAAATGAGTGGCCCGAGTCCTGGCTAAAGAAAGGGGAAGCCAAGCCAAGTCGAGTAAGAAAGGAGCTGTGCTCAGAGGATGGCATCTGCTTACAGTGGTGCAGTGGTGCAGACTCACAGGCCGAATACCTGCAGATGCAGGTAACGGGTACTGCAGGTGGCGCGCTGTATGGGGCCAGAGACGCCCATCTGCCCAGTAATTAACCCCAAGGCTAGGCCTGGGTCCATGTACAGTGTACTTCAATGCTGTTCAGCCATTGAATGCACTGAGCAGCTGCATCTCGTCTGCTGTCCTACCTACAGCAGTCACGCCAGGCGTCGGACTCGCATTCACCCGCTGGTCTGATCCTGACGATTCCTCCTCTCCCGTGATTCTTCCTCCCATCTCCTTCTCCCTCTCCCTCGATTCCTCCCTATCTTTCCCATTCACCCAAACAACAAACAAAAGATATACAAGAAAGACTGCCGCCAGACTGCCGGCGTATTCGGACTCGCCAGGCGCCACGACAGGTCCAATAGCGGGCCGCCGAGCAAAATAGCGCGTGTGCACGGCGACGAATGGAGAATTCAAAAGAGATCAGCCCCCTTGTCTCGTTTCTTGTTCCTTCTGACAGGGGGCAGCCCGCGTTTCCGAGGACCGAGATCCCTGCCAGACAGCCTCACTATCCAATGGCCGGGCACCCACTTACGTCGTCTGCCTGCCGAAGGGTGGGAGATATGGGGGGAGCACATGCGCAGTGGCAGATCCAGGCGTGGCATTGCTGGATGTACAAGCACAGTAACGGCGCGCGAGTATAGGGATTCACGTCCAGGCCTTGCTTGGGGTAAAACGATAGGATGAGGAGGAGACTCTGCATGCATGATGCATTAGAAGCACGCGCTGCCGTTGGTCCAGCAATGCAGCGAAGCGAAGCGAAGTGACCTCTCCAGCGGAAGAAATCCATCACCACAACTCACAGACAAGCTGTAGCATCAGGCCGGCGGCATTTTCTTTCCACTCCAAGCCTCCGCCTCCGTGGAGTTTGCTTCGCTTCTGTTCTCCCTATTCTTGCACGGACGGTGCTGCAAAATACGCATCTCCCTTCATCTCTCCTCACGTTCCGAGGCCATCGTGATATTAAGCTCTCGCCCCAGCATCCGCCAGTCCCACCTCATTCAGGTCCTCCGCTTAGTCAAAAAGAAATAGTACAACTGCTACTGGTTCCTAGTTCGGTGTACAAACTTAGTACAGGCACTACGAGGAGCCGACGATGGAGCAAGAGTCCAAAGCCGGTCTTTGTCGGGCCACATCTCACCGACTGTTTGCGGCTGAATAGCATCCGTTTGTTATAAGTGGCTGACCTAACCTGGTTCGCCTTGCATAGCATAGCATGCTGTCCAGTCACAGCAACAGCCCATAATCAAGGGAATATGTGACGATGGATGTCCGAGTGCATTACCTGGCACCAGCACATCACACCGCACATGCGTGCATGAGCTCCTTGCAAGACCTCTCGCGTCTAGAATTAGCACAACCGCAAGAGCCATGTGATATCCAGGCGGAAACCGAGCTTCATAACTCAGTCCGAATCAAGAGAAAAGATTCTATCTGTCACAAACCTTAAACGACTAGCACTGCCGACGAAGGCTCCGCTCTCTGTGAGAAATTTCTCTCGTGCCGCCCGAGGTCTTAGACTGGGCTACAAAAGCTGGGATAAATGGATACAATCGAGAATCAATCCCTCGGCCGGCACCGACTCCGTGGGTCTGATCTTCCGGGTCATCTTTCTTTCTCGACAGAGCCGTCTCGCTCCACCACGCTCGAAAAGAGCCCCATGAGGCTTAGGCTCGGCCTTGGCAGTTTTCCGATACTCCAGACTACTTGTTGCGCGGGAACCAAGGAAGAAAAAAAAAAAATTCAACAGCTAGGTATATCGCGATCATTACCAAGCAGCAAGACTATTTTTTCTTCTGGAATCATTTTCTCCACAGTAGACCACAGAGTGAGGAGACAGCAGAGCGCTTACCAAGCTATACCAAGCTAGAAGAAGCATCAGCAAGGAATCGGCTCCATATTCTCTCAAAATGAAGAGGATCTCAGTGTGAATGAGAGCGACGAAGCTTACAATCAGGCCCAATGATATCACAGCGCCCTCTCGAATCAGCCCTAGAGAAGCCCGACAGGCGCCTATCGTTGCTCTCGTTCTCGCTGAAGTCGTAGGATCCATGCCAGGAGCCGTTCTCAGTGTGCCACGGCTCCTAGCTCCAACGCCACGCTTCCCTAACCTGCGCCATGGCTGAGGTACTCATAATCGCCCTCCCGACGGCAGCCTGCCTATTGATAGTTACTGATTAGCCTAGCCGCGAGCCCGAATGAGAGCACGCCTCGTTGATCCAATGGGGTGGACGGGCGGCCATGTAAGCTGCACGCGGGCACTGTGCTTTATAAGGCAATAAAAAGGCACCATGACGAGACCAGACTGCGGAAGATGACGACTGCTCAGAAAATTAACCTTTTTTGAGCTTACTGGCATGTATTCTTAGATCAATGTTTACTTGATCAAGCGGCACACGTGTTATGGCTAACTTATCAGCATGCTTCTGCTCTGGTGTTGCGGCTGTACACGCTTCCACATCTCTCAATGTCACGGTCCCGGCTCTCTGGGCACTAGAAGCTTATCTGAACTAGCAGTAGCATCCAGTTTGATGGGTCGTAAGGATGCAAAGAGCAGATAGATTACTGGCAACATCCGTACATGCAAGATGCCGAGGTTTTAATACCGATGCTGGAAATCTCACGATGAGCTGAAGAGGGGCGTCGGTTGCTGCCCCATAGGGCTATTGAATCCCGTATGGAGTATATGCGGATTAGTTATCAAATGAGACCGAGCGCTCACATATAGAAAGCAATGGACCATTTTGTATTTTGCTTTACTTCTCAAACGAGATGTACCAGTAACAACAACATCCAACTGATCCGCGTGATTTGGCCAAAAAATGTCTCTTCCGCTGAAGGATCTAGTGAGTTTCGTTAGCCATCTTGATAGTCGCCAATTGAAGCTCGAGACACGGAGTCAGCCTGCATATCATTCTCCATACTTGATATTTACAAGCTGTAGCTAAATCCATCAAAAAATCATGTTTTATGACTCAAATAATGCCACGCCTGAAGATCCGTTATCTTAGCATTGTTTTTCATTGGTCTTATACTTGTTTCACAGAGTGTAGATTTCACAAACATTGCTACATGTAGATAGTGTAAATCCGCACTAGCAAGAAGCGCTACAGCGCTCATGATACAAGTCGTATCTGCAACGCTTCGGGAAAGGGGCAATGACCCAATTAGTGCTGCGGGAATGGCACATGATGAAGCTTTAAAAAAAAAAGCAAACAAACACAGCTAGTTTCGCATTCCTACAGAGTTTGCGAATAAGCCCAACGCACGGTGCGTCTTAGTGGTTGCTTTGTACGAAGCAGACAATAGAAGTCTCGGATAGATTCTTGTCTTGCTTCTGGCTTTTGGCGAATGCGAATACGAATGAGAGTGAGACATGCAGATTGGTGATGGAGGAATGCGACCTGAGAGGGGTGCATCCTTTTCTAAGAAACTTTTCGAGGAGAAGTTGATGGGCTGGTGGCTTTGTGAGGGCTGCTTAATCTACATTCTGCTGTCGTGTGTTGAATCAAGTTACGTATTGGTGGCACGATGGACACTGTGGTTAAATCTGGAGTTGGTGCAGAATGGTTGAAGCAGCTCTCCACTGCCTAAATTGGAAATCTATGGACCCCTCTTCCGTCATCTTATCGATAAGAATTTACATCTCTCGATAACGAAACGATGAAGTTGAAGCTATGCAAACTACAACCTCAGCAATCAAAGCTCCATCATCAGCTCACTCCCTGAAGAAATTCTCCCCGATACAATCAATGGCTGTAGAAATACAATAGTCGTCTTTCACATTGCTCATGTCGCGCTCAACGTTCATTGCGGCCCGCAACTCGCGGCATCGCACCGCAGCTCTCGCCTTGTATCGTGCGCTCCTACGAACTGCGAGCAAGGTTCCCGTCCCACTGGAAAATGCGGCGCAAAAGGCATCAAAAGACATCAAATCGAATCCCGTCGTTCGAATTGTGAGGAAGCGGTTTGCGAAGAATAAGCCCTATACGAGCTTTAGGCTTATATATGCAGCCATGACGGCGGGCTACAAGGTAGGCAGAAGAAGCTTTTTTCCCATCATGATTTTGTGTCAAGACACACTTAATATCACCAATATATGAGATGATATACTAATGATAATACACAGTTTCTCAATCTTCTCACCAATGCGCAAACTCCCAACTCTCCAGAGCACAACCAAGTCATTAACCACCTGCAATCCGTGCGCCAAACCGCCGCCGCATCCCGCGCAGTCCCTCAACCTCCACGAAGGCCCGATCCCATCCTCCCACCCGAACCGCTCCTCATCAACGTCGCAAAGGCCGACCAACCCCCGAAATACACATCCAACATACTCCCCCGGCCAAGGGACTCGCTCAAGGGACCGGGCCCCCGAAAAGTGCCCTCTGTGAGTGCCACCGCAGACGGCCAGCCGTTTGTACGTCTGCGGAAACCCCAGCCGCATGCCATGTCCAAGATGATAGGCCGAAAGACCAACATTTTCAACAATCGGATTCTGAATATTCTGGATGTGGACGAGTGGACTGCCTCTCAGGCGGCTCTGGAAGACGAGTGGGACCGCATGATGGATAAGCTGTTGGCAAAGGAGAAGCCTGAGAAGATGGAAAGTCAAGGATTTTTGAGGCGACCATATGACAAAGATTCTTTTCCCATGGGGGAAACTTTTGGCTGGAGCGTGCAGCTGTCCCGGCTGTGGTGGGAGTGGAAAGTCGAGAAGACGTGGGAGGATTGGACTGCCAGAGGAGAAGCCCTCAACGATCTCGTCGAACAAGAGAGATCATTGGCTGAGAAGGAACGAGGAGGAAGTGAAATCGATTTGTTAAAGAAGGATAAAAGCCGAGCCACGGCACGGTTACGGCGAGACGCTCAGGAATTCGATGATGCACCGCCTAATGTTGCCGTGAGTGACACTACGGGGCTGCCCCTATTAGAAGCTCTGAGGGGTAATTTATCCAAGAGCACAAAGCCGATGCCAAACGAGGTACCGCACGATCCATTCTTGTCACTGGCCTGGGCTACGCTGGTCAAGGCCGAGCAGGGGAGAATGCTGATGTGGGCAAGAAGGCATGGTGTCAGGTCAGAGAGGTGATTGAAAGCAGCAGCTGTTCCATACCGTGGATGAATCGATTGCTTGCATAAATAATGAGACATGATTGTATAATAGCTGCCTGTATAGAATAGTATTTACCGCTTGAGGAGCGACGCGGGCGTTTTTGGATGAGCGAAAATAAAACAGTGCTGTGGATTTGCCCTTGTTGCTTCTGTACATACATGCTATATATTCGTAAATGGGTATTGTAGGTGCTATATAATGAACGCTTTTGCCTCGCTCGAAGTAAAGTCGAACTGCCGCTATGAAAATCCTTGCTTTCAAACGTGATCCAAAAAGAAAAACCAGCGCTTTCCGACATATATCTATATATATATATACGCTCAAGATTGTTTGATCGCTTGCAAAAAAAAAATATGCATTTTCAAGAAATCCTATACAAACAACTTCCAATGATGTCCCTATCCTTCCGTTTCCTCCTCTTTTTGTCTTTTATCGTCACTGCTTTCTTCGATTTAGCTGCTTCAGCTCCTTTTTCGCCACCTCGGCCCAGCTCTTCATCGGCTGCAGCGAGGGGATTCTTCTCTGCGGCTTCGTGGTCGCATTTGGATCGGCGCCGCCGCCGTCATCATCATCGTCGTCGTCATATTCACCAAAGGATCTTTGCGTCATGGGTGACGATATAACCGAAGGAGACAAAGACAAGCCTGGACTCGGAGGCGGCGGAGGCGTGGAAGGTCGTCTTCGATCTCGGTCCCTTTTGGTGGGGAGAGCGCCCCAGTCGAGAACTGGTTCATCGCCGGCTGTTGATACACGACTCACAATCGGGCTGTTGTGAGCTGGCGTGGGCACAGTCTCTATGCTTTTCCTGGAAAAGATGGACGATGCCATGCTGCTGTCCGTCATGCTTTGTTCTTGGTGGAGGTTGGGGGTGCCGGATCTGCTGCTAGGAGTCACGGGAAGGGGCAATTTGGATCCCGAGCCACGAGATCGTAGCGTGTATCCTGATAGACTCGTGGTGCTTGAAGTTCTGTTCGCTAGACCGGGAGATGCCTGCTGGGCAGCCTTGACCGTCGAGCTATTACTAAACCGCGATAGTGATTCTGATGAACGGGATGGTGGTGTAGGCATCTGGAAGTTGACTGATGAGTTCCGGGGCGACGACGATGACTGGTACAAAGGCCTAAGTGGCGGTCGCTGTGGGATGGCTGATGGCGGCGAACGAGTTTTAGACTGGCCACGGCCTGCACCGATTGGAGTTGGTGAACGAGAGGAGCGTTGCTGTTTTATTCCTAGGCCGCTCTGGCGGTGCTGATGCTGTTGATGATGCTCACGATCATGGTGTTTCCTGCGTCCTCCTTGAGCTTGCTCCAGCGTGCGACACTTTTCCTCTGCACTTTTTAGTAACGCCTGAAGCTTAGTGACATCATGTTCGTGCGCTTTCCGTGCATTCTCTAGTCGTTTCTCATACGTCTCGTCTCTTCCATGTAACTCCGCAATCTTCTTCTTCAGGTCGTCATTCTCCGCCTTGAGACTCAATAGACTGACGAATTTCTTATCCCACCTGCCTTCAACCCATGGCAAGGGCCGTTTACAACAGCCGCCGTGGTATGTCTGCTGAATGCCCCCTATCATGGACAGCTTTTCGTCGACTTTGTCGGCTGGTAATCGGGCACGGGGCGAGGGGGCAATCATTTTTGCTATGAGGCTCACTAGCGGCCGCGGTTTTACTGTTTCTTGGCCCTCGTATGTGAACATGAATTGAGGCGTCACCAAGGCGTGAGAAGTGAGTGTCTCAAGAAGGCGCTTGAGCTTCGCTTCTCGGGTTGCCAGCTTCTCGCCGCGGGAGAGGTCGATGTCGTAGTTGAGGGCATCATTAAACTCGGAGAGCCTCACATTGTATAAGACTGTTGCGATATTGAGATAGACCAATCCTAATGAGTATATGTCGGAGAGCTGCATGCTGGCGCCATTCTCGCTGTAGAGCTCGGGCGCTCGCCATTTCTCTGTGCCGGGGTTACCGTCGATGGTGGTCTGGTCCTGCCCACTGACGTCCTTGGATATGCCAAAGTCGGCCAGATACACTCGATCGGCCTTTAGCAGGATATTCGACGGCTTAATGTCCAGATGCCGAACGCCGTTGAGATGGCAATACGCCATTGCGCGAGCCACACAGCCCACCACGCCACGAAGGAACTCAAACGGACACTTTGCCGGCGAGTCCATGATCTGGTCCTCAGTGGAGGGCTCAATTGCACTCAAATCGGTCAGCCCCAGCGCGTCGAGCCTCTCCATGATGTCCTCGCGATCGCCCTCGCCCGTCCGTATCGCATCCAGATCCCAGAGCAGAGTGTCGAGATCGCAGACGGCGGCGGGCCAGATGAGCAGACACAGCTCATGGGGCCGCGGCATGTAGGCGGCGACGAGCTTGACGACATGGCGATGGTCCAGCTTGCTCATCGTCAGCCCTTCCTGGCGCAGATCCTCGATCGTCAGGCCACGGCGCCGCACGATGCGCTTGCGGGCGAGGCAGACGGAGCCATGGGCGACTTTGTCGACTCGGCCAAAGGCGCCGTCGCCCAGGTCTCCGAGGCGAGTTAATCGGGAGTCGAACCGCTTGGCCTCGGGGCCGTTGAATGTCGGCTTATGACTGCGCATTGCCTTGTTAGCCTTTGAATTCAAGATGCTGGGATTCCTCCAATGACTCACACGCTTGGCCACTGCTCGTCGCTGTCCCATGTGGCGATGGCGTCCCGCTCCAGCATCTCTTGCTCGTCCCATGATTGAGATTGGCCGTGGGAGACCAGGCGTCTGTGGCCCACGGTGATCCAGCCGATGCCCCGATCGCCCATGCTGGGACGGGCACATGCGATGTCCTGGCAGTAACGGGCGAGGAAATGAGGCGTTCCCACGTCTTGTTCACCGTCTGTCAGCTTGTCGATTCGAAGCTGAGAAATTGGGTTTATTAAAGGTTCCCTTAGTGTGATGCGACGGCTGAGCCACGGCTGCGCCACCATCCCCGGCAGCCCAGTTTATGGGGACCTTGTGTGGGGAGACTGCAGGGATCAGAGCCGCACAAAATGCCTGGCAAGCCGTGTTCCCTGTACGCTTAGTAACAACGATTCAAGCGTAGATTTTGGGTATCATCACCCTTTATCCATATCACAGATGATGCCTGTCAAGTACTGGAATGAAACAGACAACATGTTCATGTACATGTAGTGAAACTTGGAAACTTACTGATCTTCTTTATTATCGCCTCTACACGTACACTATCTTTACTCTTCGCTTAATCTCTATCAATAGGTGTCCAACATTCAGCTGGCGCTCCATTGACCTTGATCATACAGCTTTCAAGCCATTCCAGATTGGATGTTACTCTCACTCCTCAAATGCACATTGTCACACCAAAAAAGCACCGCTCGCTAATAAACTAATGTTCTTTCCTTGGAAAAGTTCTTGCGTTATTGAGGGCTCTGGGATGTTGTCTCCGATACCAGGCAAGACCGGCGATCTCTGCCAACACCTCTTCTTCCAGCCCTACAGCAGACGACGAAGAGTGGCGCAGAGACGACCTTTAAGCTACACTGATGATGATGTCCGCCGTGCATCCTGATATCCTGATGGAAATCGTCACCTGCACGTCGGCACGTCACGTTTGGGTTGCCCTGCAAAACTAATTTCAACGTGATAACCATACAGCAGCTCCGTCAACTAATATCCATGAGATATGATGAGAACAAAGATTTTGTGCGAGAACAAAATATGAGAATATTCAAAGGCCCTTGACCTTTTTGTAGCAATTAAAAATGTGATCTAAATACGGCTGGTATCAATCAATCCTTGGGCCCTCGACGACCCCTTCATCATTTACTCAGTGTGGTCGCATTGCAACCAGATTGATACATATGCCATCGCCAACAAACAAAATATCCTTTCCAACTCCCCCCGAAAAAAATAAATAAACGCCCAGCAATGTAATTGTGTCTTAAACTCCGTCCCCTAATCCATAAATAGTCACCAGCCCAGGACGTTGAACCAGCTCTTTCGGGGGTCCTCTTTGGCACCTTCAAACACCTTTTTGCGGGCGGCTTCGCTCTGGGGATTCTTATATTGGGCGAAGAAGCGGTCTTGGGTTGCGGCATGTGTCTTGAGTTGCCAGCGGATGTTCATTGCGACGGCGGAGACTGAAACCAAGTGGTGTTAGTGGGCTGTATCCATGTATCAATGCCGGGCTGAGGTTCAGTTGATGACTTACCAATGCCGACGGTCATGACAACGGGCATAACCCTGGCGACGACTGGGTTCATGGGGGGCATCTTTGCTGGTTGAGCGACCATTTTGGCTGTTTTGTTGTGTGTATGTTGATAATTGGTATTTGTGTCTGGATAGTAGAAGGATGGCTTGGAGACTTGAGCCGAGCTGTGGAATTGAAACACTAAAGACTGGACAAGATGTTGCTTTTGTGGGATGCTGTTGATGCGCATTGGAGTGCATCCGGCATTCTATCAAAAGCATTTATAAAATTCATCTTGCCTGCTTCTCCCGACCGTGGCGTCTTCTTTTCGTCGAGTTGTGTGTTGATAGTTCGAGGGTGGTGCGGTGTTAGTCGCTGGTGGTGTGATTTGGCGGCGCAGTCTGCTCACTCTCACCACCCAAATAGGGAGCCTCCTAGGCTGTCAAATTTGATCTTGCGCAGTCCATGATCCCTGCTATGCTCGTAAAGGGAAAATGTCTGACCTTATTAGGCCATTTTCCCTCTCTGAATGACGCTCCATTGGTCCATTCAGTGAAGAAGCCTTGGGACAACGGGCAAGGATTGGGGCAGATCGGAATCTTGTGCGCTGTGTCTGCCCAGCTTGTCGAACCATTTCTGCCGGAATGTAGCGAACTGGTCCGTAAGCATGGATGCGCAATGACGGTGGCTGATAGGTAATATGTCACCTATAACTGGATTCTAGTCATAATCGAGTGTTGACAGCTGTTTTTTTTTTTTTAAGTGCCTTATCTAAACGAGCGCAACAAGTTTGATTAACGGGGTACATGTGGTTAACCGCGGGTAGATGATGGCTGAACCAGCTGACCGACTAGTCGCGACTTATCGTCTCATCCGCCGATTTAGCCATGCGACTCTTTGTACTATTGAGATAAGTCCAATGAGCCACTTGGACCGGTTGGATATTTAATTTTATCACAAGGATCGAGAGGTAACAAGCCTAGCAATAAGAGCCGACCCAAGGGGCTGCCCCCTGTACCTGTGAAACTAAAGAGGGAAATGCTACGTTGTCGTAGTGCGACTTCGCACGAGTAACACATAATCATAATAGATTTACAAAGAAAGCTCACACAATTTTCGCTTGAGCATCTTCTCTTATGAAAAGAAGGGGGAAAGACTGTCCCGAAGGAGTCAGATGTTCATACAGGGAGCACCGCTGGTATTTTGAATGAGTCAAGGGTAGGCGAAAGTGCATGTATCCACTTACAAGTATACGATGGAACCACAACAGATGATAACAGAACATTATTACACCTCCGTCCTATAATACGAGAACTTATGCATTGGACATAAGTAGCTAAGCTGCAGTATTACTTTACCTCGGGTAACAGCGATTTCTTGCAGACTTACCTCTGAGAACTGAAGGATTCAAAACATCAGTACAAAGGCAGTGTTAGCCTCAAACTTAAGCACTAGAGTGCCTACATCCATTCAATATGACTAAAGGAGGCTTTCAAGGCAAGTAGAAAGAAATATTACAAAAAATTAAGAATGTCCATATTAACAAGCATTTACTTACTACAGATGGAACGTGAATTCAGTGTAGATGGGAAAAGATCAGTCTTAGGCCAACTGACATGTATTTAGTCACGAGAGTGGCTACGGTCCACTGGCTGGAGGGACCCGTAGTAGCCGAGTGCCAGCTGCCTACTACCAAGTATGTCCTCAAAGCAAACAGCTATTAGCTGGCAGCTTTAATTTCTGGATTTGATCATTTTAAGATGTTACTCACTGGGTTATCGCTGCTGGGAAATCCTTCTGACAGTGGCCGGGAGGGGCAGATGTCGCGAGCGGGATCGGAAACGCTCGTGACTCACTCGAATTCCAGCAAGATTGCAGGCATAATTATAAAATTGCTGCATTCACCTCCACGATTCCCGCATTTCTGGTGCATATTCACGATCCTCGCTCATCACCCATCATGTCTTCAACGCAGGCTCCCGAGAAGCCCATGAGCGAGAAGCAGCGGCTGAAGCTTGAGAAATTCAAGCAGAAGCAGGAGAGTCTTGCCAGACAGCCGCAGCAGACATTGGACAAGAAGGCCAGAAGGCTGGCTCCTCCTGCTGTCTCGGCCAAAGATTGGGTTGAAGAGACACCTGCTGGGCATCGAAAGATCTTGAAGCCTTTGGATGACGACTTTCACAAGGCCTATCTACCCAACGTCGTCGAATCTGCATGGTATAGCTTCTGGGAGAACCAGGGCTTGTTCAAGCCGCAAACAGAAAAGGATGGTAGCCTCAAGCCAAAAGGCAAATATGTAATTGCCATGCCGCCGCCAAATGTATGTACCTACTCATGGATCCGTCCATTGTTGCATGTTCATCTGCTAACTCTTCGAGTAGGTGACGGGAAAGCTACACATCGGACACGCCCTGGCGCTCTCGCTAGAAGACACGCTCATCAGGTGGCATCGCATGCGACAGTTCACAACACTCTACATCCCCGGCTGCGATCATGCCGGTATTGCAACTCAAGCCGTCATCGAGAAGCAGCTTGCCAAGAATCCGATCAATGGCAAGTCCAAGAGGCAAGACTTCAGTCGAGAAGAATTTGTCCAGCTATGCCAGGACTGGAAGGAGGACTATCGGAAGAACATCAACAATGCGGCACGCAGGCTCGGCATCTCTCCAGACTGGTCTCGAGAAGCCTTCACGATGAGTCCGCAGTTGTCTAAAGCTGTCACCGAGACCTTTGTGCAGCTACACGAAGAAGGCCTGATATACCGAGCCAACAAGCTTGTACATTGGTCGTGCCGTCTCTCCACAGCCCTGTCTAACCTGGAAGTCGACCAAAAGGAAATTGAAGGGACGACGAAGCTTGATGTGCCGGGTTATGACCGAAAGGTTGAATTCGGAACACTCACGTATTTTAAATACCAGATCGAGGGTTCTGATCAAACGATAGAGGTTGCAACAACACGACCCGAGACGATGTTGGGCGACACTGGCATTGCCGTGCATCCCCAAGACGATCGATACAAAGATTTTGTGGGCAAGACTGCAATCCACCCTATTATTCCCGGCAGAAAATTGAAGATTATTGCCGATGAATACGTTGAAAGGGAATTCGGTACTGGCGCAGTCAAACTTACACCCGCCCATGATTACAACGACTTCAACCTCGGCAAGAAGCATGGCCTGCCCTTTATCAACATCCTCAACGAAGACGGTACTCTTAATAGCAACGCTGGACCTTATGCCGGGGAGAAGAGGTTCAATGCAAGATACCGCATCATTGAAGAGCTCAAAAGTCTTGGCCTCTATACGAAGTCGGAGCCGAATAAAATGACTGTTCCGATTTGCAGTCGATCAGGAGACATTGTCGAGCCGCTTCTCAAACCACAATGGTGGATGAAGATGGAATCGCTGACGAAACCTGCCATTGAAGTAGTTGAAAGTGGTGAGCTGATCATTAGGCCGGATGTACAAAGGCGATCATATCTGCAGTGGATGCGAAATCTTCAGGATTGGTGTCTATCAAGACAACTATGGTGGGGTCATCAGATACCAGCGTACTTTGTCAGTCTCGAAGGCGACGACGCCGGTGACGATGCTGATGACAAATACTGGGTGTGTGGCAGAACAGAACGTGAAGCTCAGGACAAGGCAGAGCAAAGATTTCCAGGCAAGAAGCTGACACTTCGGCGTGATGAGGACGTCTTGGACACTTGGTTCAGTTCTGGACTTTGGCCTTTTAGCACTCTTGGGTGGCCAGACAAGACGGAAGATTTGGAAAAGTATTTCCCAAACTCCACTTTAGAGACTGGTTGGGACATTATTCCCTTCTGGGTAAGCCGTATGATCATGTTCTCTCTGAAGTTGACTGGAAAAGTCCCTTTTACAGAGGTCTACTGTCATGGCTTGATTCGCGATAGCGAAGGCCGAAAGATGTCCAAGTCACTCGGCAATGTCGTTGACCCAATCGATATAATCGACGGTATTAGTCTCGAAGGCCTGCACCAGAAGCTGCGACAGGGTAACCTGGCCCAAAGCGAGATCAAAAATGCTGAAAAGTACCAGAAAAAGGCATTCCCGCAAGGCATTCCCGACATTGGGGCCGATGCCTTGCGGTTCTCACTCGTCAACTACACGCAGTCATCCGGCGGCGATATCAACTTTGACGTTAAGACGATGCACGGCTACAGAAAGTTTTGCAACAAGATCTACCAGGCCACAAAATATGTCCTCGGAAAACTTGGTGATGATTTTGTTCCTCGCGAAAGCTCCGCTCTGACAGGAAAGGAGAGTCTGCCTGAGCGATGGATCTTGACAAAGATGAATACCGCTGCGAAGCAAATCAACCAGGCACTCGAGGCGCGCGAGTTCGCCAAATCGAGCCGAGTTAGTTACCAGTTCTTGTACGATGAGCTGTTTGACATCTTTATTGAGAATTCCAAGTCGATAATCTCGGATGGCACGCCCGAGGAAGCTCGTTCGGCCATGGACACGCTGTACACCGCACTTGAGACTGGCCTGCGACTTGTGGCCCCATTCATGCCCTTCCTGACTGAAGAGCTGTGGCAGCGGCTACCACGCAGACCAGGCGATGAAACATGTTCAATCTCGATTGCCGAGTATCCAGAGTTTGAAGAGTCGTTCCATGATCCGAAATCCGAGGTAGCCTATGAGCTTGTACTAGGCTGCTCGAGAGGTTTCCGTGTTCTCCTGGCAGACTATGCCGTTAAAGAGAATGGCGTAGCTTACATCATACCTCTCAGCCAAACGACGCATGACACAGCGTCTGCTCAATTATCCGCCATCAAGTCACTCAGCAGCAAGACGCCGGTAGATATTAGCATTCTGCCGGTTGGAAGTGCCAGTCCAGCTGGTTCCGCAGTCTTTCCTATTTCCGCCGAGGCAAATGTCTATCTTGAAGTCAAGGATCGCATACAAGATGCCGGAAAAGAGGTTGAAAAGTTCAAGGCAAAGTTGGCTGAGGCAAGAAGGGATCAAGAGAGTAACGACGCGCATAGGGCAGATTTGAGTAAGTTACAGGACATTGATGCGGCCGAGGCCCGGCAGGTGGTTGAGCGCCGAACGCTGGATCTCGAAGCTAGATTGCGGGCGTTGGAAGAGACGGTTGCGATGCTTCAGAAGATGGTGGTTTAGAGCGAGTGCCTTGACTTCTAGAGAAGTGGATGTAGCTGCAATTATGTATAGCGACAAGTTATTGTTCAATGGATGATGAGTTTGCGTTTTGACTATTTGCTCCTGAAGTTTAAGACGACTACCACCGTATCCTTGAGTCTCAGTGGAATATGCCGACAGGCGCCGAACTTGCTGTTTGCTCGCACGGCTTTTGGGGCAATTGGACCCTGTATTATAAGCTTCTCCGAACGGTTTGCTAAATCGCGGGCCGAAGAGCCAGGGCTGTTAGGGGCTCCATACATGTAGGCGATGATTGCGGGGCGTTGACAAGAGATGATGTTTGATGCAGTTAAACCTTAGGGGATGTCGAAGAGAAACAGTAATGGACGCAAATATGCACAGGTACAGTAGATATAGCACTTGACAGAAAATATGGAGCCACAAGGCAGTGAAGCTCGTCACAGTATGTTTCATGCCAATATTATAGATTGGTTGAGTGTTCAGTTCAAATATTTATGTAGTTTACGAGAGATATGCTTATGGAAGAAAATGAAGATGAAGTATTAAATGTGAGTACATGTAATTACGATTGAGACGAAATTAGGCAGAAAGAACACAATACTTTACTCGTGAAACTGATACGCAAACGCAATAGCCCAATTCACGCCTTGAGAGGCCTGAGTAGTTGATTGGAAGGGATGTGCGGAGACATATGCGGACTACAAGCCACAGAAAATGATTGGATCAACAGTTGAGATTGTCTCGAACTTTTAGGCACCAGCTCACGTGTGAGATGCTTCGTTCAATAAGGTTGCATGAAACTCTAAGGCATATTCTTGAGCGTATTTGCTCCCAGACAATTCGACTATCAGCTTCTAATGACTGCCTAAGAAACACTCAATCATCTCAGGCAAGGCGATCGTATTTAAAAGTGCTACTTACCACTTATGAACTTGCGAGAAGACAATAACGATTAAGAATTGGAGCTTTGTCACGCATTGATTACTTGAGAAACATGCTTTCTCAGACCATGAATCAAGTCACTTCGCACATGAAAGAAACTGAATATGAGCGCGAGTCTGCTCCGCTGGCCGTGGACGCTGAAAACGAACAACCGGATACATTGCATTTACCGGCTGCAGCAAATACCCTGGATTATTCGCTGCAGACAACGATTCACCAAAATCCGACATTGATGCAGCCTAGCTTGCGGACGCCGCCGACTTTGCACTTGCAAAGCGACGAGACACCACCACTAGACTCGACATCTCCCATCGCCAATCATCAATCCATGTATAATGGCGGGACAATCTTGAGGATTAACGGCAGTCTCAAAGAAATGACGGCACGGTGGACTGAAGAAGAGTGGATCAATAATCGTCGAATAGTCAAGTTCGAAAAATTTCAAGATGGAGAGATCTTGAATGTCGACTTTAAAGCAGTTCCAGTAAATGAGATTCCAGCCAATAGCATCTGTATCTCATGCATTTGGTGGGATACATTCTCCGACTGCTACCTTACACACTTTGATGCCATGTACCTACTTGAACAGCTTATGGGGGCACCTGGCCGCTTTTCTGTCGAGAGGAAGAACCGCCTCCGCCGCAATCTCGAGGGTTTTCATCCTGTAACAATTTCAAAGACGAATCCTCACAATTCAGGACTTTTCAAAACTGTCATGGCCTTTGGCTATCCCAGACCCAGGGACATAGAAGGGGATTTTAGAGTGCTCCCCTGGAATTGTCTCGAACCAATGCTCAGAAAGATGATTGGAAAGTATAAATTCATTCCGTTTGGAATATACAATGATATCTTTCGGCGAGAAAGGGGACAACATGCCGATGATACTCCAGTCGCTTTTTCCAAATTGCCAGAGATTCTTGTTGATAGGCCTGGGATCTCTTTACCATGGTTGAGATACTGTGTTCAACATTGCGAAGGATTTGGATGTGGATGAAGATGTTCGAGAGACTTTTGGGCGTTCTTCCTGATTTTCTTGGGGCTGTTGCGCTCAAACTTGGCTACGGCGTCTCGGCTCTTTCGCACCGCGCTACCACGTATTTTGTCGACAAGCATCGCCAGCAAGCTGATAGCCCACAAGAATGAATGGTTGTTTAAGCCGTTATATATGAGTGGGATATGATGTAGCTTTTGTTGAAGAGTCTGTGGTCCGTCAAGACAGGTAGCTAGACCATGGAGCTTTTGAGAGGAAAAAGCTGGCTTTCTAGTTGCGACAATTTATTGATCAATATTTCGACTATCGGTAGGAAACTAGGAGCCCAAAGGAATTGAATCAGATCATGCAGAAGAAGAATCGATTGTGTGAAGACGAGTTGGATAAGAGACAGCTGCGGCTTACTATAACCCGCGACTTAGTGACGAAGACTGTAGTTTATGAGTGATTTGTCTACCGTCCATTGAACCACTCGTATTATGTAGTTGTGTTGGCTTGAGATTACTTATTCAAAACTTCTTGCTTTATTAGTAAACACTCTCTTCTACATGTTTTAGGTCAGTCGTCGGACTTTGTCTTTTTAAGTCTGGTCTTTCGGACGAGCTTAAAATAGTTTATAAAATAATCAGAGCTACATGAAGATTATATGATGTATTGGTACTGTTACTATAGACGTGAATGATACCTGGTTTGCGATCGGTCTAGCTAGAGACGGTAGGCAATGAACTACAAAAAAGGGTTGAAACTAAACTTTATTATATCCATTGCTTTCCTCTCATCTCTATGCTATATATTCGTCAGTTCAACAAGAATGTGGCATTAAAATAAAGAGACTGTTGAAAAGATTCCAATATCGAGGACAGCGGACTTGAGGAGAATGCTTTTCCAGGCTTCAAATACCTTGGCAAAGAAACCCTCTAGTCTATCAGAGAGAATCTAGACAAAAAAAATATCTCATGTGACAGGTAATGGGCTAGAATAAGTCCCGATCATCTGTTAACACGCCAACGACACGAGGTCTTCGTCCGATTTGACACTTGGTCCGATGTGACCGCTTCGTCCGATTCAAAGGCTTCATCCGACACAGAAGCTTCGCCTAATCGCCCGCGGATCAAAAACATCCGATGAGTATAAATAAGACGGCAACAGGTGATACGGCGGCAAACGGGCTGGCTCTTAAATATGCCTAATTAATGCAGCTAAGGCCACAGTGGCTCTTACAGACAGCCATCATCGTCCACCACTCTGGCAGCCCTGTGGAGCAGAGCGGTACAGTGTAAATATGATAGGTTGGCCATTTTCACCATCCACATTGTACTCTCTCTGTGTTAAATAGGAGGCGCCAAACTTGGGACAACTGTATAAGCGAGGGGGAGCAAATACGCCACACGCCACGATGGTGTAACTGCCCAAACAACTCCAATCGTCGGTTGAAAGGAGACTGCTGCAAAACTTGTTGCAGGGCTGTTGACATCAATCTAATGGGCGCGCACATCCGTTCTCAAGTACTATCAAGGCGCGTCTAGGAACTCAACTAGATCTTTTGACAAGTCTCATCGGCCTGGTATTGCGGAAATATTTCCTTCTCATTTGCTTCAACTGTCCTCTCTGTCTCTCTCAAAGCCTATTAGCATCACGCTTAAAGATGCCCCATTTTTTGGTTGACAGGGATCGGCCACTCATCAACACTCCGCGACCCCTCGTTGAAGAACTGTTAACCCCCTACTTCATGGGTGTAACTGGCAGTTCCTAAATCCATACCCAGACTCGGGTTTTCATATGCATTGAATAAGCGGAAACCGACGCCATGATACCCAGTGGCAAAGACTGCTTCTCCCGCGTGACGATGCTATTAGGGGCTCGACCTGAACAGGTAGGAGGGCCTCTTGGCGGCAGGGTATCGGCCGCCCCCCTGCAAGAAGCATCGTCGGATCAAGCTGACCGAAACGTTTTCGGATCAAAATCGCCGGCCCTTGCCTTCACGAGATACCAACTAGTGCCTACCTTGCACTAGCATATCCTGTCGTTTCATACGTTAGAAGCGGAATTCCGCCTAAACCCTGCTCATATACAGTTTTTAGTAGGGCAGACTTGCTGCCATGCCCAGGCCAAGCATCTTCCTTTCAAAAAGAAAAGAGAGACAGGAAAAAAAGGTCCACCCAAGCAGGGGGTGCACAAGCTTCGTTAAAGTCTGTTGTTGAAGGGCGCACACTTGTGCTCAAGGGGGGGTCGGCATGATGACTTACATGGCTGAGTCATGAAGAGAGTGGTTGCCCGCTAGAGACTTATTCGTGCCGCCACTTTAGTTGAGAATGCATTTTAGCCATAATTTGACGATAGAAGAGGGCTGTCACTGCGAATCAATCGAGGGGTATCCACGTGTTTGTTGGTCAATTCATCCATTCCTCATTAGAATGCCGACAAGGCTGTCTTCAATGCCGCATTATAAATCGATTTTTTCCGTTGACTCCAAAGGCAAAAAAAGAGATCGTCCTGGGCGTGGCTCGAGCGCTGTTGATTTTACATTTCCGCATTTTTTGCGCCCTCTGATGAGGCTCTTCGGGTCTTCGGTTATTCATCACAGAGTTGCTGGCCTTTTTGCGGGTCGTAAGAACTTCCTATCTGGGTAAAGGTAGGCAGCATTTGGCAAATGACAGATCTATATAAAATGCACGGAGGGGCCTAGAATGAGAAAAAAAAAAAAGCATGCAGACGCAGTGTAGGCTTTGATGATGTCCGCAGGATGCCGCAGCTAAGCTCATAGCACAGCCTTGGTATACATGCAACACGTCCAATTCCAAATCAGCGGACTTGTGTCGGTATGAATAGCATCAATATTACGGAGATAGAAGGTGCGCAATTACAACTTCCAACCTTACCTCCGATATTTATCGGCTCCCGCGTTATCGGTCGGGAATTATGTACAGCACCTGTAAGTCATATGCTAGCGGCAGCTTCGGCTCAACTATACGTGCCGACAAAGAGTTGCACCAACCGCTCTGCGTAGATTGGTTGCCAAAGGTGGCTTGAAAGTGTCGAGCGCCCGCAACGACGCTTAGGACATGCCGTTCTCTTTTTTTCCCGTGTCTTTTTTATTCAGTGTATTGCAGCACAGCAATTGCCTTGTGAGCCAGGAGTACCTGGTTGTGCGAGTTGCGCGATTGGCTAGGAAGCTTTGGAGAAGGCTGCATGACTCGCCACGGATCCTTTCCGTCGGCGTCTTTGCCTCTTTGCCTTGACGTGGAGACGACTCCTTGTACATGATCGACGTGACTATAAGCACCAGTTCCGTGATGGTGGGATATGCAGTGAAAATAGTACTAGTAGTTGTAAACTTGATTCAAGGATGCCTTGGCCTATTGTCGAGTTGACGCATTGTCATCACTTGCAAGCCGTAGAGCCGCGCCATCTGCCTATCCATCTCTGACAAAGCCGGAAAGGCATACTGTTTCCTACTCAGCTCATTATACTGTATAGCTGTGAGAATAGGCAACCAAGGGAACTCGGGTTGCATCAAGTCTCTTTGAACGAAATACACACTACAGATATCCTCCTACTTTAGCCAGAAGCAGCGGAGATTACACCGGATATCAAACTACGTAGTTGAGAATTGCAGGATCCTTCTATCATTAAGCGCGCCTTGTATCTGGGCTTGCCACGTTGTGATCCTTGTGAGATTGGCGAGTCATTTGAAGGATTATCCGTTCTGATCGTGACTTTGACAATCTTGGCGGGTCATCATCGTTGCCTATACTTGGCTAGCGAAGCGAGGTCTCAACAAGAACCGGAAAAGATCCCGATGCCATTGCTATAAAGCTGGTATGGTGTGTTTCTACAGAGTCCTCTTTTTCTTGGCATACACGCGTCCGCGGACATATTGTACGAGTATGCTTAGAATAAGCTGAATCGAGCTTCAGCAAACCACAGTGCGGAGACCGGAAAACGCATTCTCTTCTAGGTGTGTTTGGCTGCAGGACGCTGACTAAAATTGCCTCTTTGGACCAAAGCGTGATTATGGATGTGTTCCATTTATAGAACACCTGCAGATCGGTTGGATAAGCAGCTGCTAATACAAGCTCTGTGACTCTGTCCTGGAGTTGTGAGACAGCCAAAACACATACCTACACCATGTACAGAGCTGTCCCTGTCTTTTGGACTGCCTCCTTGTACGAGTTGCAACTGGCGTCTGGCCAATCAATTCCCGTACTATAAGCTGACTCGTATGACCCCCAACCAGCAGTGCTCGTATACCCGTATGCGTGTGCTCTTTACAGGCAAAGGGCCGTTTCCTGTCTATCGGCCAGGGCTGCTGGCAGAAATAAAGTTCTAGAAGCAGGGCCACCATGTTACGGTAGCATATCGTGAGCGAAAAGGGCAAATATGTAGGGAATAGTGCGCGGCATGGGACTAATGTCGGGGTCAGGACAATGTTAATGCGACAACAAGGGGAGAGCCAGACACAGTGACATTTTCCTAACGTTGGTAAGACTCGGTCAAGACTCGATGGCCGAGAGCCGCAAGGAAAGTAGAGTCGGATCGGCCGCTGCCTTGGCTCCTTTTTCCGCGCTCTCTATAATTTTCCTTTTCCGACCAGACACGCTGTACGGAGTACTACTATGTAGCTGTGAAGATCAGCAGGGATCGGGGTTCCTATCGCATTTGATAGGGTGCTGTTTCGGTGCCTAGGCCGAATACTGACAGCAGCCGATGCCTAGTCGCTGAAACAGCTCGTTTTCCGGATCGTCGTATGTCGCATCTGCAGTCCGAGGTGCTGCGTCGAGAGACGGAAAAACATGCTCATCGCAGACGCCTTGTCCTTGTACTAATAGCCGGTGCGATGCCCTCCTAACGCAGTCCTGAGGGATTCGGCCAGCAGCTGCCCATTGTCCCGGATAGGCATCAATATTAGCTGCTCGGGAATCGTAGCGTTCATTAGGCGTCTATTTGCTGGTGGAATATTAATCACGCCGGGAGCTGGTTGAGCATCTCCAAGCCCTTCTGGAAGCGTCTGGTCTGCGTGGCTCTCGGCTGGCGGTGGCCGAGCGTTGAGATGCGGCAAGCGGTGAGCGGCCCTGCTGGAGGCGGCGGAAGCGGCGGAAAAATCTCCACCAACCCGATTGCCTGCTTTGGTGCTAGAAACGACAAGGAAGAGACGGGGACTGGAGCCTTGAATCTCGGATTGCTGCACTGTAGCAATGGTGGCCAAGTCCCTGTTTGGGATGCCCTCCAGCCCCCACGACATGCAGCCCGGCGTGTTGGAGTTTAGTTCAAGGCCGCTAAATGGGGGTTCGCAGCGGCACCGGCCAATCAGCGTCTCCGGCAGCTGCTGACAAACGCGGCTAGGGCTGGTGCGAAAGGCGCCCGGCACGGAACTCGCACTGGAGGTCACACTGGCGAAGCCTGAAGCCACGCACTGAAGCCACTGAAGGTTCCACCGCAGCATCTCTAACCAGCAGCGACCGTACAGTACAAGCACAGTCGAGCGCCAGCCCCTGCCAGGCTACCGACTGCCTAAGGCGGTTAACCCTGCTGCCGCCGCGCTGGAACTGCAGAACCGCAGCGTCTGATGCGCTGACTAATGGCGCGCTGTCAGAGCTAATCGGCTCTAGCGCGCCCCAAGCAGCCTAGGCGACTGACATTAGCTAATTGCGCCGGAGAGCCCGTCCCTGGTTCATGTTATCATGGCGTCGTGCTTCGATGCAGCAATAATACCTCGGGGCGGCTGGTGGCTGGTGGCTGCTGGCTCAGCTCACACGTGGAAGAAGGTTTCAGCAGCTCGTGTGGAGGAGACTCCTCAGAAGCCGGCCATTCATTGCTCGGTAAGCAAGCCCGACAGGACATTCGGCGTTTGGCTCACCAGACTACAAATTCCAGAGACTTGGCCCGGCTCCACAGCTCGACAACGACTCTGCAACTGCACAGACACAGCTCAACTGGACATCTGAGCAGGGTCTCCAATCAAGAGCCGGTGGAATCTGCCGTTGGGAATAGTGGAATCTCCCGCTGCCAGGACCAGGACAGGACCAGGACCGGACCTTGACGCCTTGACGCCTGAGCCTGGGACTTCCTTGCATCTCCCATGCTCTACTGTATGCTCCCAGACGCACAAGCGAACTCTCACAACCCGGCTCCCGCGCAAGCTCTTACTTGTAGGGCTGGGCTTGCGCTAGCAATCTGCAGGCGCCAGGAAGAGCCACAGCTTCAGGCACTACTGCCGCCATTGCCTCGAGTCCTGAGTCCTTGTCTCGAGTCTCGCCATCCTGGCAACGAACCAAAAGGCCAGACACCCCGGGCTCTGATCCATACCAGACGCAGACACAGTATTGCTGTACCTGTCATTGGCCCAGCACTTGAGCCAACACCAGACCCCATACCTACCTTTGCAAGTACACGCCTATTGGTACCTCCAGCACAGCTACCTCGGCACTGAGTTCTCAACCTGGTCAGCATTGTCTCTTGTCATTTGCGGCGTCCCTGCGGTGTGGTGCGGTGCGGACTCGTCAGCGAAGACCGCAGCTCACCGAAGCGGACGAATGCGGATGAATAAAGACTGCGCCCTAGCATCGATTCTGACAAAATAGCTTTCCTAGCACTATCACTTGTTATTGGCATATTCTCTCCAGGTGCCCCGCGCCGTTTCTGATCCTCCCGACGTCACACTCAACCTTATCAGGTGCTTTCTACTTGCGTCTTCTTTTTATTAGTATCCAGCATTTTCTCATCCATTTCATCTTCCCACCTTGCGATTATTATTTCAAAAGCTTCCGACTCTGCTCCTGGGATCGCGACGTGGGCTCGACTAATCAATTGGATACGATGAGTCGACTATCTCGACACGAGGGCAGGTCCCCCCTGCCGTCAATGCAGAGTGAAATCTCAATTCTCAACGCCGAAAAGTATGGAGAGGAGCCCAGACGCACGCGATCTGCCAATGGAAAACGATCGCTTTCGGAAGATCACGACGACGACGACGACGACGATGGAGTTCAGAAGAAGAGATCCAGGGGCCGTCCGCGACTGGATACCAAGGACGAGACCGCCGCCGATGTGAGTCGCCCGCGTGCTTGCCCGCTTGCTTGATATCAGATCCAAGATGCTTGCCTTCTTTTCCATCACTGTTCTCATCTTGTTCGTCGCCACCCATGACTCGTGGTAGCATTCACAGCTTCTTGTTCTCTTCCCCTTCTCCATCTGTGTCCATTAACCCTCCTCTGGAGATCAACTCGGCATGCAATAGACCCACTTGCTTGTTTTGAATTTTTTTCTTTAATCGATGGTCCGCTTTCCATGAGAGTTGCAATTCTAATCCCCTTGCTCCAATGTAGCGTCGTCGAACACAAATCCGTCTTGCTCAGCGAGCGTACAGACACCGCAAAGACACTGCCATCACCACTCTTGAGCAAAAGGTCAAAGATCTAGAGGCCTCAAACGAGGCCATGAGCAAAGAGTTTACTAAATTCTACGACATCATTTTGGCCGAGGGCATTTTCGATATTGCCCCTCATGCTGCGCCTCGCCTCAGACTCATTGCGGATCGACTGCTCCGCATTTCTAGCATGGTCGGCACCAGCAGCATCACATCCGAGAGCGAGGATTCCATCATGGCTAAGCCTGCGGGGGCTCGAAAAGGCCTCGGCGACGTGAGCATGCACCATGGCCATCAGACAACGGGCTTGGGCGAACCGGATCTCTCGAGCTCGGCTTATCCCACTATTCCGCATCACTCTAGTTCTTTCAACTATGAAGTCATCACCCAGGCCACACCAAACAATGCCAGTTTCCCATTCTTCACTTCCATGGAGCCGTCCGCTTCACAGCCGCCAAGCAGTAGCTATCTAAGCACCTCTCTCAACAACCCTTCGCCCTACCCCCGACTCTCATCTCCGACATATGGCATTCACGAACGCTTCAGCAAGAGGCTGCAGCGAGTCACTTTGGAGTGCGGCCTCAGGTTGGCTACGATGAAGAACCCACCGCCCGACCGATACGCGACTGTTTTCGGCTTTAGTTTGCTCTTTGAATCCCGCGACTCGATTATTCGGCGATTAGCAGCAGGGCTGAAGAAGATACAGAGCGAGGGAGTAGACTGGAAGTTCCCAACGCCTGCGATGCAAAGCGACCAGTTTGGATATCTAGAAAATCAATTTTCCTCGGCTACCTCGGAGGAGTTGAATAACGCGATACTTTCAATAACTAAATCAGCTTCGGGCTTCTCTAACATGCCCCAATTCGGAACCCAGTCTCAAGCCAATTCTGAAGAAAAAGCTGAGCATCGGATACGAATACTTTGCCAAAACTTTGAGGGTGAATTTTTCACAGCGGACGAAGTAGAGCTATTCCTGCGTCGACTGGGTCTGGCCATCCCCCCGAACGTTGACTATGTCGATTCCGAGCTGGATCTAAACGAACTACAAGCTGCCGACGAAGCGAGCACCAAAACCAACTTTGCTAGTATTGGGCTTTCTCCTGGTAGCTCGGGCATCAGCGGAATTCAAAGCAGCAGCATGTGGCCGATGAATGGCCCCTCCGTGGGCGATTTCGGCAGCTCTCTTCGAGGAGACTCTCCAGGTCAGAATATGAAATGCACTGAGCTTAGTGACAAGACTGACCTAGATGGAGGATTAGTTTCATTTATGAATAACCACGACTTCAACCACATATGGCCTACGGGATCAAGCTGGTCCAAGACGAAAGTTTCAGTCGACGTGGGCCGATTAATAGATGGTATGTGGGCATTTGCCCTGATATCTCTCTCATGTGCTTCATTCTTTAATGTTCCTTTTTTCTAACACATTTCATTAGAATTGGTGAACGCGTCAGTTTGTCTGGGAAGGACGCCCGGTATACGACCAAAGGATGTTATCAAGGCCGTCAAAGTTGCTGCCGGCCTATCACCTGCTCATGCACCATAAACCAAGGATTCCGACAAAACAAATCTCGAATTTAGGGGCTTCATGAGCTGCTACGCAAATGATGATACTACTATTCAACGACAAGCGATTATTGTTAACGGAGCTTAAAAAAATAAAGATATGACACGGCTTTGGCGATAGAGAGAGCGGACTGGAGAAGTTGATCGAGGGACACATCAGGCTCCAGCCCATCTATTATTGATTTGTGGAGCAACGGGAGTTACGCAGGATATACCACTTGAAGTTTAAAGGCTTACGGATTTTTTTCTCATTATATTGGCGGAAAGCGGAGTGTTCCTTTTTTTGTTCAAAACTTGATTTTTTTTCTCTCAGCTCTTACGAAACCTTATGGGGACGGACTTTCGATTTGGAAACGCAAAATCATATATGCTTTGTTTTCCCTCTGTCATTTTTACGGAAATTAATGCTGACATCCGGTGGGGGAAAACCTTTTGTCATAAGACGGAAAAGGTTATATGCAGAATTACTACTAGAGGCAATAAAAAGCCTGGGAAATATCGCATAGGGCGGCTTGTCCTTGTAACAGACATAGCTAGTTGAGAACTACAAGACAACAGGGGCTATCCCAGGTTGTCATTAAACGTACACAAGTTGAAAGAGACGCCGAGTTACCAATCCATGATTCATGGTGGATCGACGGAGTTGAAGACTATGACTCTGTTTAGAACCCAAAAAAAGGCACGCATCTTATAAACCCGCGGACCAGTGAGATGCCGCAATAGGCAGGTGATCCGCCCGCCTGGTCAGATTCAGTGGAGGAACGTCAAGCCGTTGCAATCTGCTGGTTTTGCATACTATCATGCGTGTAAGCGACTTTTTTTTTTAACTTCTATCACCGACGTCCGATACAGCCCGCCGCCTGTTGTTCTAATTCTATTTCAAGGAAAATTCGATCCAATCGTTCTTTTCGAATTTTAAACAACAGTCTCACACCCCCCTTCTTCCCGGAAGTTAAAAGAGCCGTCCGAGAAATAAAACCCCACCACGGCTCGGCGTCGCCGATAACCAGCCATTTCCCCGCAAGCCTCTTTTTTTCTGCTGCTAACGAATCAATCTCCTCAAGCAGTAATTCGTTCCTCTTACAGTTATTATACTAGTAGTTTTTACTTTGCTTCTTACTATACACATAAAACAAGACAAAAGAAAAAAAAAAGACATGGAGTACCGAGAGCCGCTCGCATCGTCTGATCCGCGGACAAGGATTCAGCCTCGATTGATTATCCATGGGGGCGCGGGGAATATCCGGCGTGAGAACTACCCCTCTGAGAAATACGGTGCTTACAGGAGCGCTCTTCTTGCGATTGTGAGTGACGATAGTCTTTTTTTTTGGTGTGAAACAGTAACAAACTCTCTTTTGTATCACGAGTGAAAGTGTATACTCTATTCTTCCCCTTTTTGTATACCACTATTCATCGTATGAAGTCTCAGAAGAAAACATGTAAGACTAATGTAGAGAGATGAATTCATCATGTAGGTATCCAACACTCAACAATACATGAACTCGTCTTCACAAAAGACGCACCATCAGTCAGCATATGAAAACCACCCCATAACACAAGAGAAAGAGTCTCCCCCTCTTCACCATGGCCCTTCAGCCCTAGAAATCGCCACCCACGCCGTCGCCCAGCTCGAAGACAACCCCCTCTTCAACAGCGGCCACGGCGCCGTCTTCACCCGCGACGGCATCAACGAGCTCGAAGCCTCCGTCATGGTCTCGCGGGGCTTCAAGAAGCGCGGCGTCGGCGTCATGGGCCTGCGGCGCGTGCGCAACCCGATCCTGCTGGCGCGCAAGATGCTCGAGCACGGCGAACAAGATCTCGCAGCGTCGTCACACGCCTCTTCTTCTCTTTTGCTGGATGTAGATGTGCCCTCTGCGCAGGGGCACACGCAGCTTCATGGCGAGACGGCGGAGAAGCTTGCTGAGCAGTATGGCCTGGAGATTGTGGAATCGGGCTACTTTTTCACGCAGCAGCGTTGGGACGAGCATGTTCGTGCGCTGGAGAGGGAGAAGCGCGGGCTTGGCTTGGGGACGTGGCATGCGGAGGAGCATCTCCCGCAGGGGACTTGCGGAGCTGTTGCGTTGGATGCGGAGGGCGTCATCTGCGCGGCAACGAGCACCGGTGGCATGACGAACAAGCTCACTGGGCGTATTGGCGATACTCCCGTCGTAGGGGCCGGATTCTGGGCTGAAGAGTGGGAGGATGAAAGTCAAGAGTCGTCAACGTGGGAGAAGCTCACAAGTCAAGTGAAGAGAGCGCAGCCGGGGATCAGTTTCGCTGGCCCGTTGAAAGGTCTGCTGGCAGATTGCTTTCCCACCCCCTGGATGTACTCACCCGTCAACTTGGACCAAGAGACTCAACGTCTCAGCCTAACAAACTCCACAACTTCGACTCGGTCCATTGGTGTTTCGGGGACAGGCAACGGCGACTCCTTCCTACGCATCAACGCTGTCCGCACCGTCGCCGCCATCGCGAGATACAAGCCTTTGGCTGGCAACAAGGCGTTGTCCCAAGTGGTCGGTCCAGGAGGCGAGCTGCAGAAGAGTGCGGGCGATCGCTGGACGCGCACGGGCGAAGGAGAGGGCGGTATGATTGGCATCGAGTGCACGCTGGTGCGAGACGAAGATGGGAATGCGGTGGGCGTTCGGTCGGAACTGCTGATGGATTATAACTGCGGCGGAATGTGGAGGGCGTGGGTTGATGATGAGGGCAAGGCGGTGATGAGCGCTTGGTCGAATGGGTCTGCGGATGAGCTGTGAGTTGAATGCATAATGTTAAGTGAAAGCAATAGAGTCAAGTGAGATCAGATAGACCATCTGGGGTAAGGAAAATATCCCTATTCAATTCATTCCTTGTTATTTGTTGGATTAGAAGTGATGCAGGCCATCACCAGGCCATTCCTCCAGGAACAAATTGTACACAAGCGGCGTGAGACTGACCTCGTCTCATCTTGTCCCAGCCAGCTTTCTTCCTTTGTATATATTCATACATGTAATCATCTCACCAACACCGACTTCTTCTTTGTTACCCAAGCAACAAGGTCCATTTACCCTGAATTCGCTTGTTCCCTTGTTTTGAAATTCCTTTGCAGACCCAGGTAGAGAGCCCATTGGTATTTCCCTCCATATCTATAATTCACGGAAAACGCCTGTGCGATGCGGTTTGCAGATTATCCATAGATATCGGTTTCCTTTCTCAGGTTTCGTTCCTCCCAGATTTTCCTTCTCCTTGTTCGTTTTCAAGTGGGTTCTCGCCCTCGATGCGTCTCTGGCGCCGCAGAGTCAACAGGGAGAGGAAACAATATAGTTGGGCGTTAAGGCCATAAAAAAAACCAAGACCAGTAAAGCCGAATAAAAGACATTTAAGAATAAAAGGCAGAGTTGAGAGGCATAAAGTCGATAAAATTCGATCTTCGTTCTTTTTGTTTCGTTTCAGGCAATATTTTCTTTCGCTCGTCGTTTACAAAGCCTGGACTTCCGAGTTCGGGGGCGGCTGGGGCATCTCCAGCTTAGTTGATCCGGCCATCATCTTTCCAAAGGCAATACCAACACCCTCAATGACGGCCAGCAGGACGGCGCAGCCAATGGCGTTGTTTCGGGCAGCCTTGACACCACCACGGAAGGCAAGGGAACCACCGGTGAAGAAACCCGCACTATGAGATGGAATGTCAGCGACAAGGAATTGTTTTCCTCAGAGAGTCGATTCAATGCATACATGATGGCGTTGTAAGGATCCTCCTTCTTGCGGATGCCCTTGACGGTGCAGTCAAAAGTTGAGAAGAGACCACCCCAGACACCGAAGTTACCGCCCAAGACAGGCGCTCGCATCTTGACGGCGGTGATGGCACCGATTCGACGCTCGCCGTAGGGAGAGTTTCGGAAACCCTTGATGCCGTGCCAGATGGTTCCACCGATGGCCTAGAGTGATAGAATGGTCAGTTTGCCGTAACTAGATATAGCCCGTGCACTCAGGCATCAATGAGGCCCGCAGTGACGACGGTCTGTCAATGCCTCCATGTGGGGGTTATGGAGAGAGGCTTTTGTAACGTACACCCATGGCAAAGGCACCGCCAAAGTCATTGAGAATGACCCAAGGGCAGGGGTCGCGTCCGTGATCCATGGCTGAGGATGATTGTGAGGCACCGAGAGAGGACGATCGAGAGGTGGCGGAGGATCCGAGGCGGAAGTCGAGATGTGGTGAGAAAAAAGTTGGGTTTGCGTCGTGACGACTTTTTTGGAGTTCTGGAAAATCCGGGCCGACGGCGCTTGTTCCGTTTTCGCAGACGTGGGGCCCCAGTGGCGGAATGCGTTCCGTTAATAACGGAGTCACATGATCTGCTCGATGCGCGGGAGGATAAAAAACGGAGCCGACTAGTATCGCCGTCTTTTACGGGCACTTATATAGCCATCGTTGACCATGATAAGTTCGACTGCTCTTATCAAACCGCCAGTATACAGTCATCTAGGTCGAAAAAAAGAGTTTTGTCAAATAATAGAGTATGAGCATTTTGGAAGCTATGATGTTTAACAAAGTTCTGAGAATGCGGTCTACTTCATACGAGAACAAACAGTGTGTATACGACATTTTCATGACCTAACCCTTGAACAAAGATCAAGCAATGCGACAAAGATAGATTGTGTAGACAAGTCATCAATCTGTTTGTAGTCTGGCCCAAGATAGACTCTCACATCCATCGAAACACGTGGCAGCCTTTACCAGATTCTCCAATTTAGGAATGCTTCCCTTGCTAGTGGCCATTCTCAGCAGCAACTCCAACTTTCAGCTCGGCTTCGGCTCTCAGAGCGGCTTCGGCTCACAGCCTTGCCTGAACCCCGGTGCGTAGCGGCGTTGATACCCCACCCGCATCACGGAGTGCAAACCCCAAGCTTGTTCTTTCGATCTCATCTATACGTCCATTAAACACGTTGGGCCAGCGTTCAGGCTCATTTGACCCCAAGTGACAACTAGAGGATATGATATGCGGGACTATTGGCCAATTATGCACTTCATTGGCTTCCAGAAGGATCTTTTCGGCCGTCCGAAATAGGCAATCGGTGCATGGAATGGTGACTGCTCGTCAAGAAGGATTCACTATGCGGGTCCGCAGCGCCGGGGCCCACCGCGGCGTCTTGCCCGAAGTGGCTCGCCGAAATGGCTCTCCAAAGATGCTCCAAAGATCTTGCACTAGGTGACTGAGTATAAAGAAAGTCCTGGTGTACAATTCCATCATTCCATATCACCTCTCTTTTCACTGCTTCATCATCTTTACCTTCTTCAGAGCGCAAAATCCGCCCGTCATGCCTCTCAAAATCGCCCCGGCTACAGAGGCCGACATGGTTCGCTCCAGCGAAATTGAAAAGCGTGCCTATGGCCCCAGCGAGTCCAATGCCGTTTTCTTTCCCGGAGAGGGAATGAAGACTGAGGACCGTATTGCCATTATGATTGCGAGAAAAAATGAAGAGCCAGCTTTCCAAATGATGAAGGTTGTCGACACAGACCTGGAAGCAAAGGGCGAAGATGGCATCATTGCATGCACTCTATGGTTCATTTGGTCTGGGGACCTCAGGCCAAGCAAACCTAAGCGCACTTGGGGACCTGGAACAAATGTAGAGGCGTGCGATGCCTTCTTTGGGGAGATGGACCGAAGATGGTGGGCCAGATTTGAAGGCAAGCCGCATGTTTGTGAGTTGCTCCTCGTATTCTTGGGATAAGCTATAGCTGCCATGTATGATGATGTAAATGCTAATGTTTATAGATCTCAAACTCCTTCACACCGACCCTGACCACCAGAGACGAGGCGCCGGAAGCAAATGCCTAGAGTGGGGAACCGCGGAGGCTGATAGGCTGGGGCTCGTGTCATATCTTGAGTCTTCTGAAGAGGGGCGACCGTTGTATGAGAAGTTTGGCTTCAAAGAGGTGGACAGAATTGTCGTGGATCTATCGAAATGGGGCGGCCCTACCGAGGCCAAAGCTTATCAGATGGTCCGCGAGCCGGTTTCGAATTAAATGATGCAGCAACAGCAAATAGTATAAGATTGAATTAAACACAATATGGTTTATACTCAAACGGAAGCTTTTTATATCACCCCAGTTCTGTTCCAATTAATATATGTATCTTGCCCTCCAGCTATAGCATGGATTATTACTGCTACTGATGCTACTGATGCTACTGATGCTACTGATGCTACTGATGCTACTGATGCTACTGATGCTACTGATGCTACTGATGCTACTGATGCTACTAAATGTTCCTATTTGACAGTTGGGTCATACTTTGATCGTTTTTCTTTTTTCCTAAATAAAGGCTCAGCATCAATTATACCCGCTGGCGGTGGCTAAAGCCTGTTTTTGTTCTCTGCAAACGCCCCCTACAATAAAGATAGCTAAACTATACTTGAAGGGTATGAACCTGTCAAAAGAAAGTGACAGCGTGATGAACTCCACAATTACCTGGAAAGCGAGCACAAACAACGCAGCGAGCATTGTAATATGGACTATGTTTCTACAGTGATTATCGGTAGTGCTAAATTGAAAGCTATTATTCATGTGATTCAACAAGAGCAAGCGCGTTGATGAACTTGTGACTGCCATCAGATGAAACGGCAATCGTTGCCCATATAAGCTTTGCTATTAAGGTTTTTACGTCTTTCAAAGCAAAAACAAATATTGGTATCGTTTAAGTATGTTGAATTAGTTCCTGTAATCGATCAAAGTGAAACTCGAGGAGTATGCGTAGAGGGGCGTTTAATGTCCACAGGCCATTGAGCTGCAACTTGGAATGCAATCTTCAGTGTCATTATTGGAAACTGGGTGGTCATAATATATTTCCATTTAACTAGGTTGATTGCAATATACCGTTATGGTAATAAGCAAGCTACATTCACTTTCGACTGCTCTAGTCAAGACTAAAACTGCCCGGTTGAAACTGATAATTTTGGGTTGGTATACGTATATCACTGCACAGAATGTAGCCAAAACTTGAGTAGCTTCTCATAAGGGATATGAATGTCAGGAAAGAATCATCGCAGTTCGAAACCTTACAAAATAGACAAGAGTCAGGGCGGCTGAAGCTAAATAGCTTAGTACTAAGCAGGATAGTAATTCCTTTCTGTAACTACGCTGCACAACTTATATCATAGTTTCTTGTAGACTATTAAAACGGATAATGCAGTATCATAGAGACGCGAAAAAGATACATTGCTCTTCCAGCCCTTCTCACTTCTGAAGAAAACTTTCATGTCAATTATATTTCCTGTTAGTTACTGGGTGATGGTGGAATACTTCAGTTGTAGCGACCTAAGATTTGACAATTCAATGCTTTCATCCATTCAACTACCTACAAGCACCAATATGATCATTCCACAGTACATTCTGTAGATAGACAGTCATACTTTCCTAATGTATAGTTGTAACTTTTCAATCATGAGGTACCGACTCGAATGAGAACAACGAGACTGCCATCTCACGATCATTACGAGACAATGTTGCTCTTGCCTTGAGAGGAAGTAAACAACGTATTGTCATAACATAAAGGCGATCTTCGGGCACGTATACAATCTTCAGAGCTCTTTGAATCCAAAACACCAGCACCAGCACCAGCACCAGCACCAACGTCGACGACGACGACGAAGAAGATGATGATGAAGACGAAGATGATGATGGCCATGATGGCCTGGGTGGCCCCCGAACCGCAGACTACCTGCTCCCCTTGTCCCCCTCCACCCTCCTCCACCTGGGCAGACGTTGTCTCCGCCATAAGCGGCGTGGTTACTGCTGATGAAGAAACCTCCCGCCCCCGTCGCCGTCTCCGGTTTCGTCCTTGGCCTCATCTCCGGTCCCGGAATTAGAAGCAGCAACAGCAACAACAACAACAACAGCAGAAGCAGCAGCTGAAGTGCCACTACAACTCTCGGCATGACCATCGGCATCATCATCATCATCATCTCTTCCTCCTCCTCTCCCTGCCAAGGCGTCCCAGCAGCAGCCTCCTCCTTTTCGGCCCCCTGGCGGCATTTAAGGACTAAGTCGCCCCAGCCAGAGCACCTAGCTGAAGTAGGAGAGGGAAGACAAATTGGAGAGGTGAAGAGAGTAGAAAGGATGAAACAGGTAGAGGGGGAGAGAATAAGAAGATGGGAAATGGGAAATGAGGAATGTCTTGTTGAATACCGACGATCTAAAGCTTATTCTAGATTTATTAATGCTACTTCTGCTACTTCTGCTACTTCTGCTACTGTGTTCAAGTACAAAATATTGTTCTATGGTATCATTTAAACCATATGTCTAGAATACAGATTCAATTGTCTTACAAGCTTTTTGCTCTAGCTACCTAGGTATGCTGCTGCATAAAGATATATACACAGTACTCAACAAAGTCGACACGTTGGTTATAGCTATTCTACGACAAGTAAACATAATACACACCAGCAAGTCATTCATTGACAATTGATATGCCCTTGTGGGCTCTATTTTTATTCGTCTGCTTCTACAACACACGACACTGCTGAGAGCTGGCAAGGCGGAGAAGAGGAAGAGTAGCAGCTGTTGCTGCTGTCCGTTACTTTTGCAGCTGCTGGGTCTGCTTCATCCTAGGGCCATTGGAGCTGAAAGAGACATCGAAACCTGAGAGTTTCCATTTCGCTGAAATTCCCCCCCTCATTCTCTCAACATAATTTCTTCTCGCTTCCCCCACAAACAATTGACGCCCAGTATACTACCGTCATGTACCATCCACATGTCCATTGATATATTCCACGGTGCCTAGAGTTCAACCTCAAATATGCCACCACTTCCATATACGAAAGGATTTCGCGACTTTGGGCAATGAAGGCAAGCAAACAGTTTTGAAGATGTGTGATGTGTTCCGGCTTGAGAATGAGTTCTCAGCGCACCAAATGACAAGCGAGCAGACTTGAAGATGTTTTTGCCAGCGCAGCGAATGATTGGAATGCGAAAAGTGCTTGATGTGAAGCGAATGGTTGGTGTCCAGCAAATGGTTTAATTGTTGATGTCTTTAGAGAGAAGAAGTTGTTTATTAAGTTAAAGGAAGGAGCATTGATTTGAATGCTAGGGCTGCTGAGGCCGCTGCTGCTGGGGGGGCTGCTGGGGCGCCTTGGCAGGGAGAGGAGGAGGAAGAGATGCCGATGGTGATGCCGAGAGTGGTAGTGGCACTTCAGCTGCTGTTTCTGTTATTGTGGTTGCTGCTGTTGCTGCTGGTTCCGGGGCCGGAGACGGGGCCAAGGACGAAACCGGAGACGGCGACGGGATCCGGGCCGGCAGGCAGAGCTGGGAGGCAGCAGGGGCGGCGGCGGTGGCGGTGGGGATAACACCGAATTGTCCCCATTTCACCCTCTCCCCCTATTTCCCCCTTTTCCCCTTCTCCTCTGGGGGCCGGGGATCGGGGCCGGGGCCGGAGCGACGGGAGGTTTTCTCATCAGCAGTAACCACGCCGCAATGGCGTTGGCGACGGCGGCAAGGGCGCCGAGGATGGCGCTTATGGCGATGGCAACGTCTGTCCAGGTGTAGGAGGGCGGAGGGGCAGGAGCAGGGCAGCTTTCAGAAATTGGACATGGAACTACCATACCCCTTTCGCCACCAGAGCGGCGGAGCTGATGTAGTTGTACAGAATGGTGCTCAGCTCGTAGTGGTAGTGGAGGCAGCTTCCGTCCGAACCGGTGGTTCCGTGCTGCGGGCTTGTACAAAAACCATCAACATCGCCATTGCCATCATCATCTTCGTCGTCGCCATTGTTACTGCTGTTGCTCCTACCGTCGTTGTTATTTTTGTTGTTGCTGTTGTTGGTCTTGGTCTTGGTCTTGGTTTTGGTCTTGTAGTTGCTATTATCCCCCACTTTCTTTCCTTCGCCTTCTCCCTCCTTAGGACTCCGGGGGCCGGCAGAACCATGACAGCCGGAGGTCGTTCCATAGAACAAAGGAGAACACCATCATCGCTGTGGGTGGACAACGGGAGCCGAGCCGGTGGTGGGTCCGGAGCTGAAAGCGGCCGATTTGGACCATTGTTTCACCTTCAACTGACTTCTTGCCGGTGCTCCTTTCCGTAAAATTTCCCTTCAAATCCTGCTCAGACTCCAATGTACTCCAAATTTCCATCTCGTTGACATTCCACCCATACCCTTCTTGTATCCCCCATATGAATCCATCCGCCCATCAAAAGGTTACTCCGAAATGTCCCAGCTGTCAATATAAACTTGTCGCAACTTGCTGAGTTTGAATGATGATGACAAGCGAACAGGGTTGAAGATACTTTTGCAGCGCAGCGAATGGTTCGAGTCCAGCAAATGATTCAAGAGTAGCAAATAGTTCAAATCCAGCAAATAGTTTGTGTCCAGCATGTTTGAGTCCAGCAAATTGTGTGTATCCGGCAAATGGGTTGAGTCCAACAAACGTTTGGAGTGCAGGAAATGGTTTGAGTGCTTGCAGCAAATGGCCTGGTTGTCGATGTCTCTGGAGAGAAGAAGATGCTCGGCGAGGAGTTGAGTGAGGGCCCATTGATGTAGATGTTGGCAAGGACTTTTGATGAAAGGTCGGTCGTCTTTACGCCTGCATTTGATGAATAGCAAGGCGATGGAGCTGCTTTAGCTTCGGCTTTGATGATGGTGATGCCTAATAGACCTGAACGGGTACGCTGAGTGATTGAAGCGTCTGACCCACAGTCTCCGTGGTTCAGGCCCCAGCCAGACAGGTGCTCTGGCTGGGGTGACGACCTAGTCCTTATGGGCGCCAGGGGGGCCGCTGCTGGGGCCGCTGCTGCTGCTGTTGCTGCTGCTGTTGCTGTTGCTGTTGTTGCTGCTGTTGTTGCTGCTGTTGCTGTTGCTGTTGCTGTTGTTGCTGCTGTTGTTGCTGCTGTTGCTGTTGTTGCGCCGGAGGGGGGGCCGCGGCGGCGAGCCAAGCCAACACAACTCCCAGAACCACCCAACCCCGTAAACTACCTCCCTGAGGACGAAGAGGTAGTTGTACAGGATCCGGCTTAACTTATAGTAGTAGTTAAGCCGACCCCCGTCCGTAAAAGAGTCGGAACCGGGGGCGGGTGGTTCCGGGTTGCCTGCTTTGTTCAAAAGCAGCAGCAACACCAAAATCATCATCATCATCCTCATCTTCGTCGTCGTTGTCGTTGTCTTCGTCGTCTTCTTCGTCGCTGCTGCTGCTGTCGTTGGTGCTGGTGCTGGTGTTGTTGTTGTCGTCGCTGCTGGTGCTGCTGTCGGTGATCTGTATGAATGGTGTAAAAGAATGTCTGGGAAGTTTGTTTGTAGACTAAAGTAATCTTGTAACTTGCTCAAAGGCAGGAACAACAATGCCTCGCTTATTTCAGGAAGTTGCAGCACTATTCCTGCTTCATTCAACCCCATCGTTGGGAAGGTGCTATTACGTATCAGATAGGAAGAGCTGCAGCTGCAACCAGGTTCATGAAAACAGCAGTCGCCATGCCTTGGGGGGAAAAAACATATCAAATGTTCAAGGCAGTGAGTGACAAAGAAAACCAGCGATTAATTGCTGTCAATGGATGCAGCTGAAACTAAGCGCGTATTCGCAAAACAGATTTGTAGGGCGCGGTGTCGGTGATCGGTCTTGCTACTTTCCTTCTAAAAACACAATATCTGCCGTAAAATTACAACCACTGTGGCGCGAACCAAAACAGCGAGGCTGCAGAGAATGCAAATGATACTCCATGGTACAAGGAAACTAGGCTCTGGTCGCTATGAGCTCCTGCTTATTAGGCGTGGTCAGTTTTATTCTTGAGCCTTTGCAGCTTCTCTCCTGCTTTTATAACGCTTTCCTAAATAAATAGCTGAGAACCAATTTTAATTCTGGATAAGATATTATTCCTGGCCAACATCCGGGCTGCGCCTCCGACTTTGCCCGCAGATTTGCAGACGGCCACCAGCATCAGCGACAGTGGCAAGAGAAGCTTGGCAAACGTTGATAACGACTGGGCCATCCCATCAACCTATTTGACTGGAGCCACGGAAATTTAGGGGCCGGAAGTTTCAATCACTCCGAGTGTGCCCGTTCAGGCGTGAAGAGCATCATCAGAGCCAAGCAGGAGGCAGTAATAGTTGGATTGGATATGAGGCGTGCAGAATTCGTAGGCAAAGATACAAGTATATTAATGAGATTATAGCCATGATCAATCCCCCCTTCTTCCATATATCTCATCGCGGGCATTGAATGGTCCATTCGGTGTTTGGTGAGTGACCTCGTGGATACCTGGCCGACGCAATCTTCTGCCAATACCCCAAACGCGCGCATAGAGTTTGAGCTCATATTTTTGTCGATGAGGACTGCCTTCTCCCGTAAGCAAAGCAAGCCATTTAGAATCAGTTGGAGATGTTCCTGGGCCAAGATCCCTATAGCAAGTATACTTTATCTTAAGATAGGCACCATTAACTTCCAAGAGACACTCTGCATCTGAATGGCATATTGTGCAAACAACAATCTGAGTGTAGGGTCCTTGGGAGCTGTTCCAGCTTTCCATTGGGTGAATTGGACACCGTGGCGGATTGTTGTTTATTCTAGTCTGTATCTCAAGCTTATCGTTTTTATACCCGAATTTTGGTGGATAGATACGTATACTTTGATGAGGGCACCCTGTGAAATATTCTGTTTCTTTGGTTCTATCGCTGAGATGACATCGCATTTGTTGTCTTTGTATGAAGGTACCATGCTGGAAATATATCTCATTTAACCATTCGTAGTGACAATTTTCTCTGGAGATATGCTTATCATTGCAAGATAAGCTCTCAACAAGATCTGTATCTGTTCTGGAGTCGAATTGGCGGCGGATGCACGCCAAGTGATCCTGTGAGAGATGGTAATTCACGGTGTGATGGATAGGCAGTAGTGTAAGTGCTGACGAAACCTCGGTATCTGGAGCTTGTGCTTTCATAGTTGGATGAGTGAGCCTCTCCAATGCCATGAGGCTAGAATCGTCCGGCTGGTCAAGATTACCACGGTTAGGTGTTCGTAGCGAGTTGTGCATGCGACAACAGCCTTGATGATGCAAACAGAGGCATGTTTCGTGACTGCTGTTAACAACAGCATTATCTAGTGCTGCTGTTGCTTCCTCATACGAGGGAAGCATAGTGTTGATGGATTCGCTACCATGTTCAGTAGATTCATCTTCCGAAACCCAATTCTCATCGTCATCGTCATCATCATCGTCGTCGTCGTCGTCGTCGTCTTCATAGTCGTCGTCGTCGTCTTCGTAGTCGTCGTCGTATTCAAGAGATCCATCTTCAGGAACAGACGATTTTTTATTCAGCGGCTGTTTGCTTGGCTTATCGGCAGATTGGACGCCAGGAGATGAAGCATTGGGCTCGGAACGGCCACTTTCAAAGAAGTTCCAGAGCTTGGTGCAGGCAGCATTAAATAATTTGGCCATGGTAATGATGATATAACATATTGATGATGATAAAAGAGAAGAGAAAAAGAGATGGAATGCAAGGATATTGGTGAGGGGAGGGGGGGGAGGGGTTGCGCTTTATGTAGTTCGCAAGTTGGTTCCTTATCGCCACGGTTTGCCAGTGGCTTGAAGAGCAAAAGGTTACTTTAAGCCAAGATCCGAATGCACTACATCAAATCCATCTTCAAACAGCTCTACGAGAAAGTCACAGCCGCCGCGGCTCCATTTGGTAGCCTGTGGTCCGATTCATATAAGCCACCCGAGGAGCTTGTTATTCTAGAACGAGTGATACGAAAAACCTAGCAGTTTTTGTGGTAAGGCGTTTGGGCCTAAAAGATTGACGATAATATGACGGAGGGGGTCTTTTCAATTTCTGAGAACCCTTGTTTTCGAGGGGAATCAACAAAAGTACACGCCTAGGTACCTACGCTTCCACCATTTAGCCCGTGTATCCACATGTCAAGTTTAATACAGTCTTAAGATACGCATACACAGTCTCCGCCGTGGTAATAGATGCCCATAAAAATAACAAATGAAAAAAGAGTTCATTTTTGTACATATGATAAAAGCAGATATATATTCTTGCTATAGTGAATGGATACCTTGCAGACGCTATGACTGAAAGGCCCAGCTCAGCTGCCTTGCCGATGAGTCAGTGAGGCTAAATCTCACTTGACGCCAACGCGCAAAGCCACGATGAATGCACGCAAGGGAACGATTCACGCAGCCAAATTCCTCTCATAGCAATTACTCATGCCGAGTAGGCAAAACAGATATAAATGATGATTTATACGTGCACCGGAAGAGAGATAAATAATGTGCTCCTCCCGATTGAAAACCAGCACTGGCCCTAGGGTCTCAATCAGCTTGAGTCTTAATCGTCCATCGTCCACAATGCCCAAATCATCAGCAAATCGGTCTCAGCCCATCTACTTCTGGAGAGAATCAGATTCCCACACGGGATGGCTCTCACAATGGTACTACTGTCCATTCAATGATGACAAAAACCCAGAGCTCATCTACGAGACTGCCGAACAGTATGTCCATCACCGACATCCATTACCTCTGAAAGAGAAATATTATCCAGCACCCCAATTTATGCTATCCAGCACTCTAGCTGTAGCCTCCACAGGCTACCTGCTGCTACTGCTGCTATAGCCACTATTTTTAAATGTCAATATTTAACAATTGCATATTTTAATACGTAGACTGGCTGCCTTATTGAGCTACAGCTGCAGTGTTGGATATTGAAATTGGGGCGCCGGATAACTTCTCCCTAAAAGAATCATAAACTAACACCGTTCAGCTACATGATGTACCAAAAAGCAATTCTCTTCAACGACCACGCCACCGCCGCCCAAATCATCCAACCAGGCCTCCACCCCCGCAAAATCAAGGCCCTCGGCCGCCAAGTCGCAAACTTCTCAGAGGCGACGTGGAACGCCAACCGCGAGGCCATTGTTCGGCGTGGCAACCACCTCAAGTTCACCAATGCCGTGACGGAAGAAGGGTTCTGCCTTGGAACCTCTTCAGGGAGTGGTATTCCGCTGGTCAAGGGCTCTTTGAGGGAGACGCTTTTGGGGACGGGGGAGAGGGAGCTTGTGGAGGCGAGTCCGTTTGATAGGATTTGGGGAGTCGGGTTCAAGCCGGCGGATGCTGCGGCGAATAGACGGAGATGGGGACTTAATTTGTTGGGGAGGGCTTTGATGGATGTGAGGGCCATGTTGAGAGAAGAGAATGAGAGTCAAGTTCAAGAGGAGTAATTTGAAGATGAGTAAGGTAGTTTTGTATTTCTCAGGACAAGTCGACTGGCTGTTTGTATCGGGCCTATTATTGCTAAAGCGTATGGTATAGCCAGGAATAGCTTCGAACAGAGATCATCTTTCCAATTGCCCTTGATGTCCTTGGCCGTTTGGTGATTATATCTATATGTCTATATCCCAACCTCTTGCCCTCCCTTCCTTTCCCTCACATATCATCATCGTACACACAAAAGCGCCTCATATTAGACGCAGGTAGAGCGGTGTTTATATCATGGCATGATTTTCCATGCTCCCGATTCCCTTTTTTTTTCCATCCATTTTTTTGTATCGCGTTGTTAGTCCCTTGGATATATGCATCCTCCACATGGTTTTTGACGACATAATATACATATTAACACAGATCGGCAAGGCCCCCCTTGCCGAGGATCATTCCCATGCTCCCGGACGCCGTGAATCATACAGAAACGAGTACAAGTCATGCTTTCTTTTTTCGTCTTTCGCTTTTTAGACCCAGTCTCTTCCACTCTTCTGCATCTCAATCAGACGCCAGCCCCTAGTCTCGGGGTTGTTGACGTCTTCTGGTACTCTGGTGATACCAATGGCGTATGTCACCTGCTGCACCTTGTCTTCCATACCCGCAGCCAGCTCGTTGCTCTTGGCGTTGCGGTAAACGTGGACCTCCTGGGTTCGGCACGTAATGATGAAGACGGGAATTTCACCAGGGTCCAGCATACGAGCTCTGAGAATGTCGACGTTCCTGATGTCAAGAATGCGACCATCTGACTTCATGCCCGCTTGGAGGTATTGCTTGGTGAGCGCCTCGTAAACGGAAAACTGCGCAGCAGAAAGCCACACCTTGAGCGTCTCTGTGTCTCCCTTGACGTAGGCGTCCAGCACCTCGGGGAGAATGTACTCGCGCAGCTCCTGTAGGAAAGGCTCGGATCGGAACATCGGGTCCATGGAGCGGAACTTTTTGATGACCATGGCAGTCTCGTTCTCGGCAAAGAATCCGCCAATGGTGTCGGTGATGCTTCGAGCGGTCGAGATGAGGGGGTTTTCGGACTCTTCGTATTTGCCCTTCATGCTGAAGACTCCCTGGACAAACTTGTTGCTGTCGCGGAAATCCCTCCAGGCCTCCTTCCAGGCTGCATCCTTGTGCAGAGTGACATTGGTACCAGCACTGACGGAATTGTTAGAACCCAGCGGACAAAGACGATTGGGGCTATAGACTTACTTGGGATCTTCTTGAAGCACCTCATGATCGCCGCCACGAGTCTTCTCCCACTGCTCTCTTCTCTTCCTGCGCTCCTCCTTTTCAACCCATCCACCATATCTGGAGGAACTACCATCATCAATAACATCCTTGACGTTTTTGTAGGCCTCGGTGTCTCGGATAGGCTTGGTCGCCTTGTCGAGCGCATCACCAGTAACGTTGGCGGCCTTGCGCACACCCTTCATGGCTGAGGTATCCCAAGTCCATGCGGCACCCTTTCCAATGGCGGTAGCTGTGGTCTTTACCGCCTTGGTCGTTGTTGATGAGATGGCGCTGGTGGACTTCTCGTAAGCCTCTCGAGCTCGTCGAACCGATTCGCTCTCGGTGAACTGGTTGGCAGACGCAGCAATCTGCTTGGTCGATTCGTTCCACTCTTGTGACTTTGTAAGCTCAGTGTTCATGGTCTCCATGAACACTTGCCAAGGTGTCTTGTCGCCATGGGGCGGAGGCGGCGGCAGGTCTTCCTTCTTCTCTTTGCCTTCGCCTTCGCCTTCAGCCTTGCCCTCCTCCTTGCCCTCGGCCTTTTCCTCTGAGTCCTTGGCCGGATCTTCCTCAGACTTGGCCTTTTGCTCAGCGTCCTGGGCGGGCTTCTCCTCGACGGGCTTTGCCTCGGTCTTTGGCTTATCCTCCTGCAGTCTCCGGCCGCTTACATGCAAGAACCGAGTCTGTGAGGCCGCTGAAGGAATTGGTAAATCGGCAGGGAGGAATCTGGATCTCAGCGGCGTAGAAACCGCAGTAGGCAGTGTCGCGCGCTCAATGCCCGCTGCATTGCGAGCTGGTTTTCGCGCAAGCTGTGAAGCGAGCCGAGCATATGCGGCGGGACATCGGCCATTAGCGGGGGCAAAGCGAAGAGATGCTCGCGAGAGAGCATTTTCCGAATTGGCAGCGCTGCGGACAAGAGAATTCATCTTTGCTTTGGGGGAGGAAAAAGAAAAACAAAAACAAGAAAGAAGAAAAAGTCTGCAAGTAACTGCAGCCCTTGGACGGAGCGGCGGAAGCGGTGGTGGACAAGAAAGGATGTGGCTCATGTGCGAAGGAAATTTTGGTTTCGCGATGTCGGCTGGCGGCGGAAGGCAGGCGGACAGCCGGTAGAATGCCGGCAAAAGGCCACTTTGCGCCACTATGGCGGGCGGCCATTCCGAATGGGTGGGAAAAGTTTCCAAGGGCCTCTTTTTGGATCGATCTCGAGAGCCGATCAGCAACAAGACGACAAGGCGCAGTCACAATGAGCCAGCCATTGAGAAGCTGCGTTGCGGCGCGACCGCTCGCCCGGATATCACAGAACATTGCAGCCAGGAATGGCGTGCGGAGCGCCAGGTTTCTGTCGCAGACAAGCGCACGATGGGAGGACGCAAAAGATGCAAAGCCAGACTCGCCCAAGACGGTGCCTCCGAAGCCTCGAACCGAGAACCTCCTCGAAAGCATCTGGGGCACTTCACTGGGATCCAGCGGCCGGTCCACGCAGCCTGATTCCATGGCCAGCCTCTCCCAGAGCATGGTCTTCCAGGCCCTCAACAAGTCCAATATCGATACCAGCGTCCTATCAGGCGCGCCCTCACAGGCCACCCAGAAGAAGGAGGACGAGCTGGAGCCTTACCACTTCCACATCTACGCACACAAGCACAACACACACATTACCTGCACAAAGCCGAACCGGGAGCCCATCATCTCCATGTCGTGCGGCAACATTGGCTTCAGGAAATCACGGCGGGGCACTTTCGACTCGGCCTATTCTTTGACAAAATACGTTTTGGAGCGATTGATCCACACCGGGTGGCCCATGAAGATTCAGCGTCTCGAGTTAGTTCTACGAGGATTCGGTCAGGGCAGAGAAGCTGCGGTCAAGGTTTTGATGAGCCCAGAGGGCAAGGTGCTGCGGGACAAGATTGTGCGGGTTGCGGATTCAACGAGAATCAAGTTTGCAGGAACAAGGAGCGAGAAGCCCAGGCGTTTGTAGATGCTCGGTTGCATCAGTTATGTGTGGATGATATATACAGCCGAATGTACCATATCTTGTACTACCTATACCAGAGATAAGACAAACAAAAAAGATGAAAACAAAAAAAAAAGGCCGCCAAAATTGGGCTGCAAGGCGCAGTCCGTAAAGATGCCAACCCGATAAAATGAACTCCAAGTGCCTCCATGAGCATGAAAATGGTATCGTCCGATCTGGTTTGAACGTCACAACTCAGCCAAGAACGCCCCCTATCCGCCCTCCCATGAACTAAGACCAAAGATGAATATGAAGCAACCTGCCACGAGATTGGCTGTAATCACTACGCTCGAATAGCTCTCTCTGCAGCTGGGAGCTGTCTGCCCGATGTATCTCGCAGAATCTGCTTTCCCTTGCCACTTCCACCTCTGCGCCGTTCGTCCTCGCTGCTCCATTCGTCGCCATGTTCTGAAAGGAGATGCGGCCTCTGGTGTCCCAACATGCGCGACTGCTCATCCGCATGCTCGTCGTCGTCATCCATGAGTTCTCCATCAGCGCTGACGTATTCGGGGGGCTCGATCCAGTCTCTCGGCACCACACACGGCAGCGCAACTCCAATGCTTGCCGCGCGATTCAGCCATGCCGGGCCGGCGTCTCCCGTCAGCTTCTTGCAGAGATACGACGTGAAGTGGTTGCAGTTCTTCGTGAGCAGGTTGTATGATGTGCCTAGGAATTCTTCTGACGCCTGTCGCAGCATGGCGTCGATTTCTTCCGACGTGGCCAAGGTGAAGCCGTGCAGAATCTCGCACTTGAAGGTGCCGCCGGGAGGCTCGATCCGAGGTTTCGTCCAATACACTCCGGTGACTCCGCGCTTATCGTGGCCGCCATACGCGTATTCCCTGCCGTTGATAACGACACCTGAGTGAAGCAGAGATGCCCCGACAGTCCAAAGCACAGAGGCGACTCTTCCGGGCTATCGACGACAAAGGCATGCGTTAGCAAGCAGGGCGCTTTGAAACAACTGTTACACAAATTCCTGGATACGGAAAGGCGTAACGTCAGCTCCTGGGAGAGGTTCTTACAGGCAGAAGATCGTAGACGTGGATTTTGATTTCCGTCTTTTGCAGCGACAGTGTCGATCTGTGTCCGCGCCGGCCCGAGTGGTGATGCTGATGGTGATGATGATGCTGCGAAGGCATTGCGACGCTGGGGGTGGAGATTCGAGATCTTATCTCGCGTGTAAGCCGTGACAATGCGGGGAACCGCCGGGGATGAGAGACAGGAGAGCGAGTCGATAGGAATGGCGAGAGCGCGAGACGAATTTAAATAGGATTTCCCGTCTTATGTCTTATGGCAGCTTCGGGGGATGGGAAGCGACAATTGATTACCAAGGTGCGAGGCGATGTGAGATTACGTCGGTTAGCGAGCTGAGATGGGCTACGACACCTGCGACAGGATGCCGTTCAACTAATATACAGGCGTGACAGGCTCCCGTGGCGGCGGCAAATAGCGCCCGACGCAGCGCAGCTTCGCAGGCGCCTCGTTGCTTCAGCCCGGTTCCGGCTGCGCCGCGATACCGAGCAGCATCAGCAGCGCTTTTAGCGACGCATGCCCTATGACGCATGCCCTGACCAAGGCCCGGAACAATCTAGCGCCGCGTCCCGACAGAGCTTCAGCTGAAGCCCACCACATGTGGGGTCGAGACTCAAATTTCGCTTTTCACACCATCTCCCCTCCTCTCACCAGGAAAAAAAAACACAAAGGCAAAAAAAGGGCCAGCAACTTCCATCTGCGCCCCTTTGCACCTCCAAGAAGCTCCTTTCTGCTTCTGATTATTCCTAGAGCCGGTCGCTTCGGACTAGGAACAGCCGCAGCCACCACATTGGCTTCCTCATCCGCGTCTTGCGTGCCGCATTTCGCTCTTCTCGTTTCTGGATTTTCGTCGCGCGCAGCAAGGTCTGCAGCTCCAGCTCTTGGACTAGCTCCATCTCGACGCCTCGTTCCTTTTCTCCCCTCCCGTCACTACGCAAAATCAAGAAAGATGCCTCCCAAGAAGGCGGTTGTCGAGGAGAAGATTCCTCTGGGCAGGCCCGGCAACAACTTGAAGAGTGGCATTGTGAGCACAAACTCTCTTGCCCAGCCCTAGTGGCTGCATCCCCCCTATGCTCTACGCAAGTGCCTCGATATTCTAACATATCGTCCCTTTGCCAGGTCGGTCTCGCCAACGTCGGCAAATCTACCCTCTTCCAAGCCATCACAAAGTGCAATCTTGGCAACCCAGCTGTATGAAGCCCCCCGCCCGTCTTTCTTCATCCGGGGTGCTGACAGCCTGAAGAACTTTCCCTACGCCACAATCGAGCCCGAAGAAGCTCGCGTCATTGTGCCCGATGAGCGATTCGACTGGCTGGTTGAGAAATACAAGCCCAAGTCTGTCGTTCCCGCCAACTTGACCGTCTACGATATTGCCGGTCTGACTCGCGGTTCTTCCACCGGAGCTGGTCTCGGAAACTCTTTCCTTTCCCACATCCGTGCTGTCGATGCCATCTTCCAAGTTGTTCGATGCTTCGACGACGCTGAGATTATCCACGTCGAGGGTGATGTCAACCCCACTCGTGATTTGGACATTATCAGCGAGGAGCTGAGACTCAAGGATATTGAGTTTGTGGAGAAGGCTCTTGAGAACCAGAAGAAGAAGACCCGCATGGGCGGCCAGAGTCTTGAGCTGAAGAAGGCCAAGATTGAACAGGAGATGATTGAGAAGGTCCTGGCCTGGCTTCAGGACGGCAAGGAGGTCCGCAAGGGCAACTGGACCCCTAAGGAGGTAAGCGATCTTTTTTTTCTATTTTTTTACTGTTTTTCCTCCCCGCAATTTACGTGATGACAAAGAGCCTTGACGGCTCGAACAATTTAAACCCAGCTCGTCGAATGTCTTTGACATAGTGAGAAGAAAACTATTCTGAACTTTTGCCTTGTTACCCTCTTATTACAAATTCCGCATGCCATGGGTGGCACCAGTGCTAACAAGCATCCAACAGATCGAGGTCATCAACCCTCTCTTCCTGCTGACGGCCAAGCCTGTCGTCTACCTTGTCAACTTGTCTGAGAAGGACTACATCAGAAAGAAGAACAAGTACCTCCCCAAGGTTGCCGAGTGGATCAAGGAGCACGCCGAGGGCGACCCCATCATTCCCATCTCCGTCTCATTCGAGGAGCGTCTGACCCGCTACGAGACCGAGGAGGAGGCCAAGGAGGAGCAGAAGAAGGTTGGTGCCGAGTCCGCCCTGCCCAAGCTGATTGTGCAGATGCGCAAGGCGCTCCAGCTGGGCAGCTTCTTCACAACGGGAACCGACGAGGTCCGCCAGTGGACCATCCGCACCGGCACCAAGGCTCCCCAGGCTGCTGGTGTTATCCACACCGACTTTGAGAAGACGTTTATCCAGGCCATTGTCTACAACTACAGCGTCATTAAGGAGCTTGGTGACGAAGCCGAGGTCAAGGCCAAGGGTAAGGTCATGACCAAGGGTAAGGAATACGTAGTGGAGGATGGTGATATTTTGCTCATCAAGGCCGGTGCTGCCAAGAGCTAAATGTGTCGTATCTGCAGAGTAGCGCTCATGTAATGGGATCATTTTGCCCTTGGTTGGGAAAATAAAAAGTAAAATACCACCACCGATTTGAGTCTTATGCATTTGCTTGTGGTGTGATGTGAAAAAGAAATTGTGAAGTGTATAATGGCCCTTGTAGGCTTTTCTTCCAAAGGGGAAAAACTTATATCTAATTTCTAGATTATGAAGTCGAGAGAAGACGAAAAACGGCCAAGCAGTTGATAGTCACCACAAAACATAATCTCAAATAAGTAAATAAGTAGTCTTGTATCACAGAGCATCGCAGTTTCGAATCAGGTAACAGTCTTGTATTTTATAAAAAGGAAATGGTAAAAGAGAGGGTAATTAGTCAACTAGAGATATATCCTTCCAAAAGTCATTCCATTCATAAACTCAAACAAAAGAAAAGAGTAAAAAGCATATTATAAGAGATATTACTGCTGAGAGAGAGTTTGAGATGCGAGTACCAGCCAAAGCATCTCAGTGAATAAAGAATCAGCACAATCCACCATACTTGACGCCCCTCTTGCCCATCTCCTTTCTTCCAATGGGATCCTCAGGCCACACCCAGCCTCGGCTCCTCTTGGCCTCGCGCTTCTCTGCCAGCTGCGGCTTGGGAATCCAGTTATCCCGGGCCTTGGCCTTTCGCCTGGTGCCGTCGGCGGGAGCGCCAATCTCGGCCTTCCAGTGGGCGTGGCCAGCGGGAGTTTGATCGCCGGCGAGTTGGCAGAGGCCCCAGAGGGCAAGACATGCCGTCAGGGGAACATTGTCTGAAGAGTCGAGCTCGGCTTCGGAAACAGCGGCGTTGAGCTGGACAGAGGTGATTTCCAAGTCGCCGAAAAAGGGAGTAGACTCTGTGCCGGCGCGGACGAGGACGAGCTCAATCTCGGTGAGGATGAAGCCGTAGCGGCAGCCGTGCTCGCGCATGGCGTAGTGCAGGGCTGCGAGGCCGCGGAGATAGTCGACGCGCTTGATGTTGCCCTCGGCACGCATGCCCGTGTTGAAGCGGTCGAAGCTGCGGACGAGGCCGACGACGCGGCCGGTGGGCTTGCCGCCGAAGATGGCAGCGGCGGTGGACGATTCGCCCATGGGGTTTGCGACGAAGATGAGGTCGTTGACGCCGGATGCTGTTTTTGCCGGGACGGAGAGCTGCAGCGGCCGGTTGGAGGACATGGCCAGGGCGGAGTTGAGCTTGGGGAGGTAGAATGAGGCGTAGATGCTGTGGAGGGCGGTCTCGGTCTCGGGGTGGCGAGAGGAGAAGGAGGGCGTTTGCAGGAGAGAAGCCGGGACTGGCGAGTTGAGGAGGGCAGATGCGCCGGGGAGGGAGAGCACGGTGGAGGCGTTGAAGGTTGACCATGAGGAGACGCTGCGGACGTCCCACCAGAAGTGCTTGATAGACGGGTCTCGCAGGGGGAAGGAGATGGTTCGGACAAGAGAGGCGGCGGGATTGACGCAGGTCAGATGCTGCATCAGCGTGGTTGAGGGCTCTGCGTCGGGAGTGGCCGTGGCGGCGAGGGCGAGTGGTGATGGAGCACGCGGGAGGTAGGAGGAGAAGATGTAGTCTGACTGAGAAGCAGCAGCAGCAGCAGCTGTGGTTGAAGGCACAAAGGGCATCTGTCGATAGGTCGGATAGCCATACTTGTCGATGGTGGCAGTGTCGATGGTGCTGGTTCGACGAGGCTGCGGCAGGTCCTGGGCGAAAGTTTGCGGCGAGGCGAGCAGCGAGGACGGGAAGACGGGAGCCTCATCGTGAGTTTGCGGGGGAGGCGTGTTGAAGGGCGAGATGTGCGCAAAGGCCATGTTGGCGAGGGTCTCTGGGTTGGTATAACTGCGAGAGTGGCTTGTGCGGATGGGCTTGGAAGAAGAAGCCGGAGGAGGCGTAGATTGTTGATGAACCATCCTGGCCCTGGCAGAAGCAGCAGAGCGAATCGAGTTGGAGCGAGAGTGAGCTGCACGCGCAACGTGGGATTGGTCAAGCTGCTGGTCCTGGGAGCGGATCTTGGGGAGCAGCAGAGGGCCATGTTGACGGACGGGGGGGCTGGCGCGGGGAGGCGTGGTGAAGCGCGAGCAGGCAGACTCTGCTATTGAGTCGACGGCCGAGATGGCGGAGTAGACGGACGAGGCGCGGGATGTTGATCGGGCGTGGCGGTTGTGAGAGTTGTAGGGGAGCTCGAGCAGGCTGGAGGGGAAGTGGTCGAGGCTGTATTCCATGACGGGGAGGGACTCCATGGGAGGGGTTGGGGGGGCGTCGAGGGAGGAAGAGGGGGAGGGGAAGGTGAAGTCGAAGGAGACGTCGGCTGCCAGACTGGTGAATGTTAGTATATATGTGTGTCTATTGGGATATTGACATCTTTGTGGTGTTGTTGTGTGTATGTGGGGATGTGTACTCACGCTGACATGATGGCGGTTGGGTGGATATGAGAGTAAAGAGGTCGATTAGATGGGTGAATTAAGCAAGAGGAGACCGGCTCCAGTAAATGTTGTTGTTGTTTTTTTGATAATGCTGTGTATATAAAATATGTTTCCCCAAGTGTTTGGAGTATGTCGGCCAGCGAGCAAGGATCTCGGTCTAAGTGAATGCAGATGTGAGGTTG